TTTAAAACGATAAGGGGTTAGCCTTGCATTTTTATCAAAAAGGGGCAAAAACACATTTTTATCCATAATTTACAACGGTAAGGGGTTAGCCTTGCATTTTTATCAAAAAGGGGCAAAAACACATTTTTATCCACATTTTAAAACAGTAAGGGGTTAGCCTTGCATTTTTATCTAAAAGGGGCAAAAACATCTTTTTTTATCCAAAATTTACAACAGTAAGGGGTTAGCCTTGTATTTTTATCAAAAAGAGGCAAAAACACATTTTTATCCAAAATTTAAAACGGTAAGGGGTAAGCCTTGCATTTTTATCAAAAAGGGGCAAAAACACATTTTTATCCAAAATTTTAAACGGTAAGGGGTTAGTTAGCCTTGTATTTTTATCAAAAAGAGGCAAAAACACATTTATATCCAAAAATTAAAACGATAAGGGGTTAACCTTGCATTTTTATTAAAAAGGGGCAAAAACACGTTATTATCCAAAATTTAAAACGGTAAGGGGTTAGCCTTGCATTTTTATCAAAAAGGGGCAAAAACACATTTTTATCCAAAATTTACAACGGTAAGGGGTTAGCCTTGCATTTTTATCAAAAAGGGGCAAAAACACATTTTTATCCAAAATTTACAACTGTCAGGGGTTAGCCTTGTATTTTAATCAAAAAGAGGCAAAAACACAATTTTATCCAAAATTTAAAACGGTATGGGGTTAACCTGGCATTTTTATGAAAAAGGGGCAAAAACACATTATTATCCGAAATTTAAAACGGTAAGGGGTTAGCCTTGCATTTTTATCAAAAAGGGGCAAAAACACATTTTTATCCAAAATTTAAAACGGTCAGGGGTTAGCCTTGCATTTTTATCCAAAAGGGGCAAAAACACATTTTTATCCAAAATTCAAAACGGTAAGGGGTTAACCTTGCATTTTTATGGAAAAGGGGCAAAAACACGTTATTATCCAAAATTTAAAACGGTAAGGGGTTAGCCTTGCATTTTTATCAAAAAGGGGCAAAAACACATTTTTATCCAAAATTTAAAACGGTAAGGAGCTAGCCTTGTATTTTTATCAAAAAGAGGCAAAAACACGTTTTTATCCAAAATTTAAAACGATAAGGGGTTATTAGCCTTGTATTTTTATTAAAAAGGGGCAAAAAACACATTCGTATCCATAATTTACAACGGTAAGGGGATAGCCTTACATTTCTATCAAAAACATGAATAAGGGTATAGCTTTGCATTTTGATCAAATGGGGGGAGTTAAGATTTTATCACAAAGTTGTAATGGTAAGGGGTTAGCCTTGCATTTGTATCAAGAAAGGGATGAAAACCAACTTTTTTATACAAATTCAAAACGGGCAAGAGTAAACTTTCATCACAAATTCAAAACAGTAAGGTGCCTTGCATTTTTATCGAAATGGGGGAAGTTACATTTTTATCACAAATTCAAATCGGTAAGGGGTTAGCCTTGCATTTTATCAAAATGGGAGAAAAGTTAAGTTTTTATCACAAATTCAAAATAGTAATGCGTTAATAGTCTTGCATTCTGATTAAAATTGGACAAAAATTTTGTTCATTATAAAAAAATTGAAATGGTAAGACCTTGTTTTTTCTTTGTTAAACCGAACTCCATCAACAGAACATCAAAGAAAGAGAAATACATTGTAAAGTAGTGGCTCAAAACACTATGCCAAAAGCCAAATCATCGCTTCAATGTGTGCTTTTGTGTGTGGGCTAAGAATGTTTTATCAAAACGTGACACAAGATAACTTTTATCAGAAAATCAAAGCGTTAACAGATTAGCCTTTCATTTCTATCAATAAGGGATGGAAAAAAACCCTAATTTTGATCCAAAATTTAAACAAAAGGTTACATATAGAAATGAAGTAGTGGCTCAAAACACTATGCCAAAAGTCAAATCATCGCTTCAATGTGTGCTTTTGTGTGTGGTCTAAATTTTTTTATCAAAACGGGTCAAAAGTTAACTTTTTATCACAAATTCAAAACAGTAAGGGTTAGCCATGCATTTTTATAAAAACTGGTCAAAAGCAAAATTTTTTCACAAAATCATAAAAGCTAGGTGTTAGCTTTGCATTTTTATAAAAATGGAGGGAAATGTACTTTTTAACACAAATTATAACGGTAAGATGTTAGCATTGCATTTTTTTTCAAAACGGGGTAAGCGTTAACTTTTGATCACAAAATCAAAACGGAAATGGGTTAGTTAGTGCAAGTTAGCCTTGCATTTTTATCAAAAACGGGGCAAAAACCCTTTTTATCCTTGCATTTTTATCAAAATGGGGGAAAGCTAAGTTTTTATCACATATTCAAAACGGTAAGGGCTAATGAAGGGGTTAGCCTTGCATTTTTATCAAAATGGGGGAAAGTTAACTTTTTATCACAAATTCAAAACGGTAAGGGCTAATGAAGGGGTTAGCCTTGCATTTTTATCAAAATAGGGGAAAATTAAGTTTTTATCACAAATTCAAAACGGTAAGGGGTTAGCCTTGCATTTTTATCAAAATGGGGGAAAGTTAACTTTTTATCACAAATTCATAACGGTAAGGGCTAATGAAGGGGTTAGCCTTGCATTTTTATCAAAATGGGGGAAAATTAAGTTTTTATCACAAATTCAAAACGGTAAGGGGTTAGCTTTGCATTTTTATCAAAATGGGAGAAAGTTAAGTTTTTATCACAAATTCAAAACGGCAAGGGGTTAGCCTTGCATTTTTATCAAAAAGGGGCAAAAACACATTTTTATCCAAAATTTACAACGGTAAGGGGTTAGCCTTGCATTTTTATCAAAAAGGGGCAAAAACACATTTTTATCCAAAATTTACAACTGTCAGGGGTTAGCCTTGTATTTTAATCAAAAAGAGGCAAAAACACAATTTTATCCAAAATTTAAAACGGTATGGGGTTAACCTGGCATTTTTATGAAAAAGGGGCAAAAACACATTATTATCCGAAATTTAAAACGGTAAGGGGTTAGCCTTGCATTTTTATCAAAAAGGGGCAAAAACACATTTTTATCCAAAATTTAAAACGGTCAGGGGTTAGCCTTGCATTTTTATCCAAAAGGGGCAAAAACACATTTTTATCCAAAATTCAAAACGGTAAGGGGTTAACCTTGCATTTTTATGGAAAAGGGGCAAAAACACGTTATTATCCAAAATTTAAAACGGTAAGGGGTTAGCCTTGCATTTTTATCAAAAAGGGGCAAAAACACATTTTTATCCAAAATTTAAAACGGTAAGGAGCTAGCCTTGTATTTTTATCAAAAAGAGGCAAAAACACGTTTTTATCCAAAATTTAAAACGATAAGGGGTTATTAGCCTTGTATTTTTATTAAAAAGGGCAAAAAACACATTCGTATCCATAATTTACAACGGTAAGGGGATAGCCTTACATTTCTATCAAAAACATGAATAAGGGTATAGCTTTGCATTTTGATCAAATGGGGGGAGTTAAGATTTTATCACAAAGTTGTAATGGTAAGGGGTTAGCCTTGCATTTGTATCAAGAAAGGGATGAAAACCAACTTTTTTATACAAATTCAAAACGGGCAAGAGTAAACTTTCATCACAAATTCAAAACAGTAAGGTGCCTTGCATTTTTATCGAAATGGGGGAAGTTACATTTTTATCACAAATTCAAATCGGTAAGGGGTTAGCCTTGCATTTTATCAAAATGGGAGAAAAGTTAAGTTTTTATCACAAATTCAAAATAGTAATGCGTTAATAGTCTTGCATTCTGATTAAAATTGGACAAAAATTTTGTTCATTATAAAAAAATTGAAATGGTAAGACCTTGTTTTTTCTTTGTTAAACCGAACTCCATCAACAGAACATCAAAGAAAGAGAAATACATTGTAAAGTAGTGGCTCAAAACACTATGCCAAAAGCCAAATCATCGCTTCAATGTGTGCTTTTGTGTGTGGGCTAAGAATGTTTTATCAAAACGTGACACAAGATAACTTTTATCAGAAAATCAAAGCGTTAACAGATTAGCCTTTCATTTCTATCAATAAGGGATGGAAAAAAACCCTAATTTTGATCCAAAATTTAAACAAAAGGTTACATATAGAAATGAAGTAGTGGCTCAAAACACTATGCCAAAAGTCAAATCATCGCTTCAATGTGTGCTTTTGTGTGTGGTCTAAATTTTTTTATCAAAACGGGTCAAAAGTTAACTTTTTATCACAAATTCAAAACAGTAAGGGTTAGCCATGCATTTTTATAAAAACTGGTCAAAAGCAAAATTTTTTCACAAAATCATAAAAGCTAGGTGTTAGCTTTGCATTTTTATAAAAATGGAGGGAAATGTACTTTTTAACACAAATTATAACGGTAAGATGTTAGCATTGCATTTTTTTTCAAAACGGGGTAAGCGTTAACTTTTGATCACAAAATCAAAACGGAAATGGGTTAGTTAGTGCAAGTTAGCCTTGCATTTTTATCAAAAACGGGGCAAAAACCCTTTTTATCCTTGCATTTTTATCAAAATGGGGGAAAGCTAAGTTTTTATCACATATTCAAAACGGTAAGGGCTAATGAAGGGGTTAGCCTTGCATTTTTATCAAAATGGGGGAAAGTTAACTTTTTATCACAAATTCAAAACGGTAAGGGCTAATGAAGGGGTTAGCCTTGCATTTTTATCAAAATAGGGGAAAATTAAGTTTTTATCACAAATTCAAAACGGTAAGGGGTTAGCCTTGCATTTTTATCAAAATGGGGGAAAGTTAACTTTTTATCACAAATTCATAACGGTAAGGGCTAATGAAGGGGTTAGCCTTGCATTTTTATCAAAATGGGGGAAAATTAAGTTTTTATCACAAATTCAAAACGGTAAGGGGTTAGCTTTGCATTTTTATCAAAATGGGAGAAAGTTAAGTTTTTATCACAAATTCAAAACGGCAAGGGGTTAGCCTTGCATTTTTATCAAAATGGGGGAAAGTTACGTTTTTATCACAAAATCAAAACGGTAAGGGGTTATCCTTGCATTTTTTTTCAAAACAGGGCAAAATTTTTTTTATCACAAATTCAAAGCGGTAGCGGATTAGCCTTTCATTTTTATCAAAAAGGGACAAAAAGAATTATTTATCACATATTCGAACCGGTTCGTGGTTAGCCTTGAATTTTTATCATAAACTGGTCAAAAGTTAACTTTTCATCAGATATTCAAAACTGTAAAGGATTAGCCTCGCATTTTTATCAAAAAGGGGCAAAAACAAACTTAGTTTTTATGGTAGTTTTTATCAAAAAATAGCACGAACGTAAATTTTCATCAAAATTTCAATACGGTAAGGGTTAGCCTTGCATTTTTATAAAAATGGGGAAAGTTAAGTTTTTATCACAAATTCAATACGATAAGGGCTTACCATTTACTTTTTATCAAAACATGTTCAACTTATGCCTGTGCAAATCCGAAGGTAAAAGTGGCGAACAAGACATTGTTTAGACTTACCACTTAGACGACTTGCATGATGTCAGACTTCTTGGGTGTATTGTTTCAAAATGAATGTGTAAATTGCAAGTTTGCATCGACAGGTCTCGCATATGACCAAGAAAAATTACCGCAAATAAATGTTTATCTGGAAAATACAACACTACCTAGTCGAGCCTTAAGCCGAACTGTTTACAAAATCAGTCACAAGTCATCACAAGTTAACTAAGAGTCATTCAGTCTCAAATCTATTCAACGTGACTGATCTGGTTACATCTCTGCCCAAAACAGCCAAGTCCAGTTCTGCCCTCTGCAAATCTTGGGTGTCGGCAAGCTCACCTTGGCCCCCTCTCCAAGTCTCTTGTCCAGTTTTTCACACTCCTTGTTGACAATGTGATCAACCTCATTCTCATCAATCTGAATGGAAAAAAGAAACAAAAGTTTCATTTAAAACAACATTTTCTCTGTATCTCTGGTAACTGTGATTTTACAAAACTTGCCACAAATTTGTTTCCATGTGATACTTCAAATGCTTGGCACTGAAAGCTTAGTTCTTTATTTTTCTGCTCCTGTAGTATTGAATAGTTATCTTTGGTTCAAGTTAGGGCACATCTTAAAAGTTAAAATGTTCCAATTCCATAAGCTTCTTTTTGGAGCACTGTGTGTTCCCAATGTGTTCCCAACTGTGGCCTAATTACAGAAGTTATTTCTGCACCAGGCGATTTTGACTTTGACTCAACCATGTGTCCCGTCCGAAATTTCAAGTTAGAATGATTTGCTCTTCTTTTGACATTGACCTTCAATACTTTAAAACATAAATCAAATGGCCATTTGTGCTCGTTTTGTTTTGGCATGGTACAAAAACCTGGCTACACTTTTAAAACAATTTGGAACAGCGACTCAACTTCTAAGTGGCATTTGAAAGGACCATGGCACATCTTGATTTTAGACGTAAATCCACTCATGAGCTAGTATATAATATTTGAGCAGATTCGCTGATTAATTATGCAACACCTCTAGATTTTGACCAATCAGAGGGCACTTTCTATATCAGGCCTTCGGTCATTCACCCATTGTCGCATCATACATGATTAAAAACCCTCCAGACACGACATGGGATACGCTGTGAATTGAGCACACAAAGTCTGTGGTCATGCACTCTGTGTTATGTTACGCATTACACCCCAAGCTTGTCTAGATTTTATAGATCTAGGCCCGGCCGTTATTTTAGTATAAAACACTGCATCGGAATCAACCAATCACACTTGTACATGTATGTTGTCAAGATTTCAGAATGAAATTACGTCCTGATTTAACGTTGACTCTGATTGGCTAGCTCATGGCACAGCACACATTTGCATTCCTAGACGTTTGAATGGAGTTAGGGCTAGAACGGGTGATACTCAGACTACTCATGAGCTGAACCTAATGCAAACTGCTGCAAATCTACAGCAGGTTTGCCTGTCTGAGACATGAGGATAAAATTACGACTGTTGAACAAAAACTCAGTTTTGAGCCGCCATCTACACTTTTAGTATAAAATTTGTTCGGACAAACATGGTCAGTGATTGGTAATTATCTGTTCAATGGTAATTTCACCTTTGTGAAATGAAAATCTAGTTTGGCTTACTGATTTTTGGGATGGCTTGACTCTTGATCGCCAGTCGGAACCATGTGGATATAAATTGCCAAATAAACACAAGATGTGAGTAAACTTACTTGTTGAGTTCTCTGGGCATGTTTGCCCTTTCCAGCAACTGGCACAGCAATGGTTCCATGTTGCTAGACTCCAGCCCATCAAGCTTGACGTCGATACACAGCAGACTGTTCAAGATCTCCCTCCCTTCCAGAGCCTCAAACTCCGCCCCCTTCCCGAGCCCTCCCATGCCTAGAACAAAGAGTAGCCGCCGAAGATTAGCGTAAGTAAGCACTGGAGTCATCATTGATGCATTGGACATCATGGATCGCTATCAGCGGGGCCGTTTTGGTGTCTAGTTGGGTGTCTTGGACGAAACGACTCAGGAGACGTTGGAGGATTTAGTGCGCCCTGCTGGGGAGAGGCTTGCGACGGACTCATGAGAGAAAAGCTGGGGAGAACCAAGAAGGAACACTCGGTGTCAGGTGGCTTGGAATTTATGCTAGCAGTAACTCTGCATTTGGGTTTCTAATAAAGCAGTTTAACCCATTCATAAAGACATGAATGATTTCAAGTGAATCGATCTGGAGCAAAACATTACCTAAACATGGGCACAACAAGCCAATAACCTATAATGAAATTGAGTACAATCATATCGTCTTTTACTGAATCAAATACGACTCTTCTGAAAAGCTATTTTAACAGGTTTTTAAAAATAATGTTAAAGGCGTATAGGATCATTTGCATTTAATCAGATCAGACTGGTTTTTAAACGTGTACATACCGGTACAAACATGTATACCGTACAAAATTTTCTTTTGCTGTAATTTTCATATATAGAAGGATTTGGGGAATAAGTATTTAAAAGCAAGTATTTTAACACTGACCAATTTAAAGTTTTGTGTTCATAGATGCTGGGAAAACCAAGAAAAATATGCTGTTCTTGTCTTGTAGTATGGTTTCCTCACCCTACTTCAGACAAAACAGAGCAATTTATAGGCGTCAGGGAATTGTACCGATAGGGTCAGGGAACCAGACTAGCTGGCTTGCTCGCACTCACAGATGTGTAACCGATTGCAAACAAAATGTGTACTAACTATAATTGGCAAATTGGGGGCAGTATTGAAAACAGTCAGGTTTTTCCAACGATGGTCGGCCAACAATCATTGGAAATTGATACAAAAATTCCACTTTTCTGGAAAATGACAGCACACTAGGTGCCATGATTTCATAGGACACTTGAGACTATTATTCACTGAAATTTCATAATAATTTAGTAATTTTGTTTTTTGATGTTTGCAAATGTTGCATACCGCGGTATTAACTTTTACACCCCACAAAATAATTCCGTCTGTCATTTAGAAAACCGAGTAATGTAGGGGATTTCCAACGATCAGTCAATCGACTCATTTTTGAAGAAAGAGTTACAAACACACAAATTATGTTTAATGATCAAAAGGTTGAGCTTTTTTTTTTTTTTTTTTTTACTGTTTTCTAGGGGGGAAATGGTATCACTGATCTGAAACTGTTTTCTAGGGGGGAAATGGTATCACTGAGCTGAAACTTCAATAGGTTAGGCATTCAACATTCTTCTTTTGATTTTGAATGGTCTTATTATTTGAAAACGAACAAAAGTCATGATATCAAATGATCCTATATGCCTTTTAAAATAAAGATCTTCCCTTTTTTTACAATGACCTTTTTATTTTCTAAACGGACTTTCCTACAATGTAGGTGATATTATGCCCATTTGAAGTTTGTAAATTTAACAGAGATACAGCTTGTTAAATTTGTTGGTTATGCGTTCTTGAACTGCTACACAAATGGAATCACTTACTGTCTCGCATTCCCTTGATGATCAACAGGTCATCAGCTTGCCGTAAGGGACGTCAATGACTTCATCAACCCTCAGTCGCTGGACGATGACACGGTCCACCTCGGGGCTGGTCAGATCCTCACAATTCCTGTGAACATTGGCAGAAAAATCATCATCTATGGGAAAAATTACTAAGACAACAATTGTGCAAGAGAACTAGTTACAAGCAAGATAAATCACATGGGAATGAAGCTGGTAACCGGCATCTGCTAAACAATGAACAAATTCTATTCTTTGCAGCGTTGTAACGAGACACTGAATGTTGGGACTTGAGTCGAGTTGAGTCATTTTAAGGAAGTGACTTGAGTCAAATCCAGTCGGGTGGAGTAACAGTGTGTGGTCGAATCGAGTCAAGTAGAATCTGTGCTCTAGTCAATTTAAAGCCGGCCTCAGGTCGACCTTGCGACTGACAAAGATCAGTCGACGACCGACTTTTCAGGATCAAGCTGTGCCTGAGCTATCACCGGCGGGAAGATTTCAGTCACCGATTTTTTGCGACCTGAGTGTAACTGCGACGATATTAAGACGATCGGAATTAGTCGGGTCTAAAAAAAAATCAACAGTAGCAAGAGAAGAAAAATTTCAACTTCTATGACGACGTTGCGATCGTGTGCGCATCAAGATCATCCTTTCCAATTGTTTAGCCAATTAGCACACTACTCTGGCACTCCACACGTTCTGCGCAACATCACGTAGTACGCAGCACGCGTGCATCAATCACCATATAAGGCGATTGTTTACCTACTCACGAGAGGATATTCCATACCATAGCTAGAGGGGTGTTTAGAAAAAAATTAAATAAAACTGTTCAACAAAATCATCGGAAACGTATAATTGTTTGACTTGTGCCGATTTTTTGACTCAAAGCTATTTGTGAATGGGAATACCACAAGTACATTTAAGACCGTATCAGGGGAATGCGTGCTGGTAATGGCTCGAGACGAGCCAGCCAAACACATATTTACTCCCTTATTGGTAAAGTCTGTCTATGACTGTCTATGCTGTGGAATCGTGGTGGATCGTCGCGTCAAGGTGACATGAGCAATTTTGAGCATGGTATACAAATATTGAGTGGCTCAGCGTGGAATGGGAGGAATATTATCGCAAGGTAAAATCTGGACTTTTCCATTTCACGAGGCGAAGCCGAGTGAACTGGAAAAGTCCAGATTTTACCGAGCGATAATATTCCTCCCATTTCACAATTTAAAGCCACTCAATATTTGTTTTATATAACTGACATATAGATCCTTGTCATTTGATATACTTGAACTTTTTTTGCAATAGAAAACTGAGGGAAAATATATTTCTCTCTTCCAAATACCCTTTCACGAAAATGATTGAACCCAACGCTGTAGCGCTGGCTCTTTGGAACAATACGCGCTACGCGCAACGCTGAACGCGCACACCAGCATGCATTTCCACACAAATACCGCCTCATGATCCTAACTGTTGAATAGTATTTCCCATTCCCCATGGGCGGATCGTACTTTTTGAGCCGCGGCGTGAATGGGAGCAATAACGAATGTCACGTGATGTGAGTTCCACCAATCAAATGACTAGGATATATGTCAGTTATATAATTGCGATTATTTAATCGGGATGCCACTTGTTCAAGAGAATCACACGATTTCTCAGTTTTGTGATCTGAGTATTATTTTTCTGCTTGATGCCGACGGTTCCGTCATGGCGCAAGCAAATCGCAGGTCGAACCTGAGGCCGGCTTAAGTCAGTGATATTTGAACAACATCTAATAAATTACAGAATGGAAGAAAGAACACAAGGCACCAGTTTGTAATGAAAATCCAAAGACTTAAAAAACGCTGCATGGTACCCAATAGACAGTTTCTGCTGGACGTTGCTACCAAAGATCTGCGTACCAATTAACATGAAGTGAACTCCGGTTTCATCTCTGGTTTGGATTCAGGTCTGAAATATTTTTTACGCTGACAAATTGCAACATTTGAAACTGTTTCTGATTATATAGAAAATATCAAACAAAATTTGAAAACATAAATTTAGTTGGAGTTTCATCAAGGGCTTAGGAAATCGCCCGAAGCCGAATATGAAACCAAGAATTGGGAAAACTCTGGTTTCGGGATAGTAATTTGTGCGCTACATTATAGTACACGAGTTGGGAGTCCGTGATGAGGCCAAAAGAAAAAAAATAATTCTGCTTCCAATTACATGTCATTCGAAAATAGGGTAGGTACATGTAGGTAGGGACTTTTTTTGGCCAATATTTTTTGGTACGATCATATGGAGGAGTCTGCGTGTAGTCATGGGTTAAAGGCAGAAATTGATGGTTTTTGGTGTTTTTTTGTCATTTTTCCCATAACAAGATTAGGGTAGGGGCTGTCAGAATAGGGTAGATAGGGGGTTTCCCTACAAAAAAAAAATTCTGCTTCCGGTTGAAAGCAGAACATTTTTTTTTTGGCCTGAGGCGTATACATGTATTTGTACGCGATAAACGGCAACAACTCGACGGTAATGTGAATATAAAACTTTGTAATGTTCGCACAGTGTTAGGACTCAAGTTTTATTAACCTTCGACTCAAGTAAAGTCGAGTCTACTGATGAGAGACTCGAGTCCAGTCGAGTCAATTACCCATTGGGACCTGAGTCGAGTCAATTACATTGTAAATCATTGACTTGAGTCATTACAAACTCTGATTCATTGTTCAGCAAAGTTGTGTGCTTCACAGCAACATGAAATATGCTCTTATTGAAGGGTTTAGAGGTGAAATGCCCCAAGTATGACATCACCCCAACTACATTGTATTGTTGGGACCACTGCCATATTTTGGGCTATAGTTGGGACGACTGCCATATTTTGGGCTATACTTTGGACCACTGCCATATTTTGGGCTATAGTTGGGATCACTGCCATAATTTGTAGTTGGGACCACTGCCATAATTTGGGCTACAGTTGGGACCACTGCTATAATCTGGGCTACTGTTGGAACCACTGCCATATTTTGGGCTACAGTTGGGACCACTGCCATATTTTGGGCTATAGTTGGGACCACTGCCATAATTTGGGCTACAGTTGGGACCACTACCATAATCTGGGCTACAGTTGGGACCACTGCCATATTTTGGGCTACAATTGGGACCACTGCCATATTTTGGGCTATAGTTGGGACCACTGCCATATTTTGGGCTATAGTTGGGACCACTGCCATAATTTGGGCTATAGTTGGGACCACTGCCATATTTTGGGCTATAGTTGGGACCACTGCCATATTTTGGGCTATAGTTGGGACCACTGCCATATTTTGGGCTACATGTATAGTTGGGACCACTGCCATATTTTGGGCTAAAGTTGGGACCACTGCCATATTTTGGGCTACAGTTGGGACCACTGCCATATTTTGGGCTACAGTTGGGACCACTGCCATATTTTGGGCTATAGTTGGAACCTCTGCCATATTTTGGACTACAGTTGGGACCACTGCCATATTTTGGGTATAACAGGCTTACCGATGGTTTGATGGTGCTCAGTTTGTGGATTTTCGTCTTCGTTTTTGCCACCTTGCTCTACTTGTACAAGTTTGCGCTGCATCTGCAGGCACTTCAGCTTTTTCTCCAACTCGCTCATCTTACGGCCCAAGTCCATGCTGCATCATGACGGCCTTCAGCACCTCCACCAGGCTGAACTCCTCATGCAGGCCCAGGCTGCGGCCAGGGAACTGGCTTTGAAACCTAAAAAAGAAAAATTAACATCTATTCAATTAATAAAGTGTCAATTTCATTTTCTTGAGCAACATTTTCAATTTCATAACGTTTATCCAAAAACTTATTACGTAGCTCCGCCAAGGAGGCTATGTTTGCACCGGCGTTAATTGGTTTGTGATTTGGTTGGTTGGTTGGTTTGTTGGTTGGTTAGTTGGTTATGGACGGATTTTCATGAAAGTTTTTGCGGGAGTGGTCTTTGGTAAAGTACAAATCGATTGGATTTTGGAAGTGATCCAGATAGTCTACATGTTCATCTGGATGCAGGATTTTTTTTTACAGATTTTTTTCACCCATCATATGGAAAACTTTCAACAGATCACCCTGCGTGACCCTCTTCTTGTGCGTGGCACTGACCCGGTGACCCTGTATCCCTTATCACCCACCTAATCTAACCACACAGGTCAATGGACTAGACCATTTTATACAATGGGGGAGTGGAAAGGTAGACCGACACAGGCATACATACACAAAATGTTTGAGTTAAAGGATTTGTTTTGGGTCTGCATGTAGGATTTTTTTAAAGGATTCTTCACCATAAATGCGAGTATTTCTTTCGGGTGAACTGACAATAAGGCGGGGAATTGTTTATCCTTGGTCATGTTGGTACATGTAGGTTTGCACACTCTGAGTGCTTTGCTTTAAATTGAATAAAAATACAAATAAGGAGATCCATTTTAGAGTGAGTAGGCCTACAAACAGAAGGAATAATTGATAAAATCACCATGTGAGTATACCGGTACATATGTCACAATATAACACAACAATGTTGCGACAAGAATTAAAAATTGGGATTTAAATCGGTGAATTAAATCAACGCGATTTAAATCAGACAACCCTAATAATAGGCATGTAAGGGGGTGTGATTCAAGTCAATTAACTATTCTAGCAGGCAGAGAATGAAACATATTTGGTACTCAATTGACAGAGAATTGACAAAGGAAACATAGGTGTGCGATATGTGTGTTCAATACGTAACAGTTTGACAAAGTTAAGTGAATCATTGTGTTAAGATTATGTGGTCTGCACTGGCGCAGCGCTGGCCGGCCACGCCCTTCAACTTCTGCCGGCCCACATTGCTATATGAACACCCAGGTACATGTATCACCCCCTTTGTGACACACTGCAACACCGGTTTTGCCACTAAAAATATGAACCATGTATGTCGGATCAGAAAACCCCAAATTTTCCAGTGCATGGTGCCAGAAGGTGCTAATGACTCCTTGCATATTAAAATTCTGTATTTTTAAAGCAAAAATCAAACAAACTACCGGTACCTTGAATTTGGAGAGTTTTATTTCTTCGTATAAACTTTTTCTTCGACATAATTTACAAGTGTTGTGTTTGGTATTGCTGGAAAGAGCAAGATATTGTCTATAAAACTGACCTAAAGTATAAAGGTTAGGAAATACCAAGAATGATGACGCTTAAGGTTGATAATATTCACGATGGCGACGGGCAACATCGGCGGCTAATTGTCATAATTGTTACATGTATGCTCATTTTGATTGTCACTGATTGTGTAATTCTAGTTTGTTTGCACTTTGCACACATTTGCATTATCGAAATGACGTCTGAAAAATGCCTAACTTCTTTTCTATAGCTAATATAAGAGGGTTCTAAAGCATAAATAAACTACAAAGTCTAAATATGAAAATCAAAACTTGACAAAGTTCTATGTTCGGGTACATGTTCCAAGTGTGGACTATATTTACGGAGGTAGTACAGCAAATTGGCCACATTTGTGGGGCTGGCTATCACGGATGGTGCCGAAAAAAAAGTGCTTTTTGTCAGATTGTTAGCCCCATAAATGCGGCTGAAATACTGGACTAACTCTGCACTACATGCATGACATGTGGCCCGGGGGTGGAATGGATGGTCCCATTGCTACAAATTGTAGGGAAGCCGAAAATCAATTCAGAACAAAATTATTTTGTCATTTAAAAATCACCCCACTTATCTGAGCTACAGAAGTGTGATCGCTTGCTTAACCCTCGTACTATTAGAGAGGTCACCAATGGTAAAAATGTTTGTATCTCACCTCCTGGCATACTGCGTACAAACCAATGGGGGTCTTGACCAATATGAATAACCAGGCTGACAATGCATGTTTCCATAGGAATAGCAAAAACCGTTGAATTCCGTACCTTCAGAGGACTGACGAATTACGACGGTTTTCCAAAAGCATGGCGTCTTTGCCGTAAGTTCGGCCAGTGATCGGTCTTGATGTGTAACATAAGGAGATTCCTTTTCGTGAGAAACCGTCAAACAACAACCGACAGTTCTTTCGAGAATAAGGGTGCGCAAAGTAAACTCGCAGCCGCTGCACACGTGTCTGTCTAGGTTTCGTTCAATAGAGAGCGCGCCACATGTAAATAGTAGTCTCCACGTACAACGCGCATCATGACAAACTCGTTTTCGATCAACTACTCAATAAATACAACTATGTATTACATTGAAATTTCGCGCACTGAGTTTCCACGATGTGTTACATAAGGAGATTGAATATCATGTGAAAACATGAAACAACAAATATAATATATGATCGCAACAATGTAGTGTTTTAAACGCGAAAAATCGATGTTGACTACCATTCGGATTGTATTTGTAGCGCTCATAATAGCTCCATTGTTCGATGGTTTCTTATGAAATTAAATCTCGTAATGTTGAACATTATGACAAATAAGTGTACGAAAATTCAATGTAGTACTGCTAATACATCATGTTTTTCTTGAGTTGTTGTCCCCCACAATGAGTTTGGTGGTGGAGATGGAGACCACTATTTATGTGGTGCGAGACCACGAGGGGTGCAGACCTGTAATGAAAGTGGCCCATCATTGCCTACGCGAGCCAAATCACAATGTGTGTACCCTCAAATATACTTTGCTATTAGAGCAATTATTGTGGGCCATGAACTTGAAAGTTTGTAGAACAGAAGAGCAGAAGCCGTGCACGTGACTGCACGCTTGTATTTCTGGATTTTTTTCTGCTATCAAATTCAAATCCGACTTTAATAATAAGGGAATAAATGTGTGCTCCGGAGGTTTTTATCACTCTGTTTAATACCACTTAGAGTCTGGGTGCTGATAATTACCCGAGCCGGAGGCGAAGTTAATTATCAGCACCCAGACTCTAAGTGGTATTAAACAGAGTGATAAATACCGACGGAGTACATATTTATTCCCATTCATAAATACCTTTTCGGTAAAAAAAAAATCATATAATTCGTTCAAAACATCCCGATTTTGTTCAACAAATTCACTTTATGCTTTTTGAAACATCCCTCCTGCAAAATAATGGAGTGTTCAGCTGGCGAGTAAGATGAAAACAACCCTTTTATGGAGATTGACGCGCGCGTATCATGTTCTATGCGATGTCGCGCAGAACGCACCTGGCGCGTTGCGTTTTGAATTTAGAACTATAAAATTCTAACTCCCTGGTAGTGTTGCGCATGCCTACGTGAGGATTGTGAACGTTCAACCAATGAAACGATAAGAGGCACTGGATTTTTAGGAGTCCACATTTTATTGTGACACTGGAAAAGTGTTTAAGACCAGCTAGCCATGTCTTTATCATCCGTTTAATACCGGCCACGTGACGGGCTCTCGACCAATAGGAATGGCTAAACTGTCTGAGGTATTTATGAATAACAATTAAAGGGAAAAGTCGAAAACTGTTGAAAAAAGGGGGAAAATGAAGACCAGGACAGGAATCGAACCACGAACCTCGATTCAGAAAAGAAAAAAGCTTTTCTGCTGTGAAATTCGAATCTCAATTAAACAATAGGGCCGCCTCACAGTTATAATTAGGGGGGAAAATCGAAGAGTGTGCAAAAAAAGAGGAAAAAATGAGGACCAGGAGAGAACTCGAACCACGAACCTTAAGATGAGAACCCTACGCGTTTTGTCATAGTTTCTAACTTTGCATGCATGACGTCATCATTATAAAATAATTGAAGTTTCCATAAAGTACACACAGGCACATGGAACTGAGATATTTTCTAACTTCATGCAATAATGAATTATTAATAAGTAAATTGATTCCTTTCAGCCAAGCCCGTTACAAGGTTTGTGGTTGAATCAATACATGAAAACCTTCGAATAATGGCGCGGTATCGATTATTGGTACAGTATACCTTAAGCCTGAAGTGATGGACAAAGGATTGACTTCGCAACATCCATACCGCGATAAACAAGTCACAATAAAAAATTGGCCGTTGCACACTTATTACTCTCCTGCGGGCCACAACGCGTTTATTCGCCCATGTGTGTAGCGACTGCGCGAGACGGTCAAGGAATTCGCGGAAACGCTTAAAAAGAAGCAACATTAATGTCCTTCAACTGACATGTGACACTTTATGCGAAGCAAGCAATGACTCCTCTTCATCTCTGTGTGGTGTGCCTAAGTGTGCCAAGATTTCTCCCCAATCCAACACCATCATTTCAGAGAATCAAGACTGTTTTCAACATCTAAATGACCGCACTACGATATCTCGGGTAGCGGTCACTTGAACTGGCGGTGAATTGAACTAACTGAGAGATAAGTCCGTTGTTAATTAAACACTGCACACTAATCGCTGTTCTTTGTTTTCGCCACCCATCTTACGCCCGCCCACAATCAACGAGGTTTTAGTTGATGCTGGTAGTTACGAATGATAATTGTTGTGTTCGTACGTCAATAACACCCGATTAAGGAGAGACTGAGATTAGGGATACTTTTCTGGTTGCTTTGTATTGTATTCACGTTCCATGTCATGCCATAACACACTAGAGTACACACATTCTGGAATTTGTATCCTTGTGGAGACATTTCTTTGTTCTCGTGTAGTAAAGTTTTCGAGTTTGAAATTGAAGTTTCAAAATGCTCTAATTTTAACCAGAATTAATTTCCTGGGCTGAAATTTGGACTAAATATCCCTTTTCTAAAACTCTCCATTTGCGACACATCTACCCACCTTGGAAATTACTAGTTTTTGAGTAAAATCCATATATCTATTTCGTGAAATTCTTGTGGAGACGTATTCATCTATAGAAATGTTCTTGCGGAGACGTATACAATCTTTTGTTCCCTATTGTGTGCATGTCTCCTTAAGGTAGTAAATTCCAGCACACACGTACTAGAATGTACAGACGATTAACAAATGACGTCATACACTGGTTGCACTATAAATAGATCACTGCAGTCTGCATACACTACATCCTCTCCCCCTTAATATGGAAGCTGTACACACACACAAATATCATTTTCAACCCTATGAAAATGTCCTCGACTGAAAATTCTGTCTATAAAAGCAATGTCACACCTTACACAAAAAAATGCTAATCCTACAAACACTTGTTGCAAGAAAACCAAAGTTCAAAACAAAGAAAATCCTTTTTTCCATAATTAAATCCATGTCCCTAGACAAGGTACATTGTAGCAATGGCTTTTTTCTCTTCCTGCCCTTAATTTGAATAAACGGAACTTCCCTTAGGATTTCCTTCTTGTTTGCTTGCTTGTTTGTTAGTTTTTTGGGTTTTTTTACACCCATGACATTCCAATACCGTACAATTTCAACTTCAACCTTTTTTGTTTGTTTCAAAACTGCAACTCTAAAAACTTGTTTAAACAACTTGAGTAACAAGATAAACATTAACACAACTGTAACAACTCAAAGTGCAGTACATGCACATTTTAACTCTCATGCCGGCCTCTGCGAACAACAGTTAGGTTATTCCATAGTCTCAATGAGTCTGTCTGGGGGTTTGCTGACCCTTGACGAACGACGTAGGGGTTTGGGTGAAGCACTGGAATCTGCGGTTACGGTCGGTGTCGCCGATTGTGAAGTCTGCTCACCACTTGTGATGTTTGAGGGTGGCGCGTGTGTACGTTCTGTCTGAGGAATTTGCGAGCCAACGACTGGAGCTGTCTCAGCGGTAGGGATAAACACCGGAATGGTTGCTAGGTCAGACATATCAGTATCTTGGTGAGCTGAGGTGTGCATCCCATTCCTTGAGTTCTGAGAATGACTGGTTGTAGACCGTTCTGCTCTTCTCATCTGATCCACGTGTCTTTTCCACACTCGACCATCCTGCAAAATTACCACCTAAGACTTTGGGGCTGTGCGCTCTGCGACTGTGGCCAGCCACCAAGTCTCTTTGCAGCGGAAATCCTTAACCAACACATCCTCCCCCGCATAGAACTCGCGGAGTTGGGTCTGTTTGTCGTGGTGCAACTTTTGGTTGCTCTGCATGTTGACCACCTTGCGTTCAACGTCCGGGCGTAGCAAGGACAAACGAGTACGCAGTTCGCGTCCTAGGAACAAACTCGCAGGAGTACGACCGGTTGTTGCATGTGTCGTAGTGCGATATGTCAACAGGAAACTGTCGATACGTTGTTGCAAACTCCGAACACTCGATTTGCTTGAGCTGAGAGCACGTTTGAAGGATTGAACCATTCGTTCTGCTGCACCATTACTTGCGGCGTGGTACGGTGCAACTCTTACGTGTTTTACGCCATTCACCTTGAGGAACCATTGGAACTCCTCACTTGTGAATTGCAGTCCATTGTCACTGACAAGTTGGTAGGGGATGCCATACCTGCTGAATAAGTCTTGCAGCACCGTGATGGTTGCATTCGCGGTGGTGCTACTCATGTGGAAGATCTCTGGCCATTTTGCGTATGCGTCAATGACGATCAGGAAATCGTGACCATTTTTCTGCGCGAAATCGATGTGAATTCTGTGCCACGAAGAGCTATGCCACACCCATGGCATTAGGGGTGCCACAGCTGGAAGGTGTCTAGTCTGTTGACAGCTAGCACAGAGACGAACAGTCTGTTCGATGTCGCGATCGATGTTAGGCCACCAAACGTAGCTTCGTGCAATTTCTTTCATCCTGACAATTCCTGGATGCGCATCATGTAACTCACCCAGAATGAACTTCTCGTACTTGTAGTGTATCACAACTCTTAACAGTCCTGTTCCGTGGATAGTTCGTGTCTGCGATTGAAGAAAGGTTTGAGGCGTTCGTCCCTTACCTCTGCTGGCCATCCACTTTTAGTGAACTCTAACACGCGCGAAAGCACAGGATCAGTTCTTGTAGCCTGTGAGATCTCCTTACTGGTTACTGGTAGGCTATCGAGGCGTTTGTCTTCGATGTTGTAGATAGCGTCTTCATCGTCCTCCTCCATTGTGGGTAATGGGAGACGTAAGAGCGCATCCGCGAGCACATTCTGCGAAGATGGAATGAACTGCAAGTTGTAGTCAAATGCGGACAACATTACAGCCCATTGCTGAAGACATTGTGCTGCAAGGGTTGGAATCGACGTCTTGGGACCAAGGATGCGCTCCAATGGCTTTTGATCAGTCCGTATGGTAAATTTCCTTCCGTAGAGATATGTGCGGAAGCGTTTGAGACCGAACATGATTGCCAGGGCCTCCTTGTCCAGTTGCGCGTAGCCCTTCTCATGTTTATTGAGTGAGCGTGAAGCATATGCTATAGGATGTCTGGAGCCGTCAGCGTACACATGCAGCATGACTGCTCCAAGTCCATATGGTGATGCGTCCGTTGCGAACTCGAGAGGGAGTGCTGGGTCGTAGTGAGCGAGAAGTTTGTCTGAACTGATGGCGTCCTTCACTGCCTCAAATGCCCTGGTACATTCATCCGTCCACTGCCAAGGACAATCCCTGAGCAGTTCGTTTAACGGATGGGCCATGGTCGACAGGTTGGGAAGGAACTGCGCTTGGAAGTTGACCATCCCCAACCATGAGCGAAGCTCTGTGACATTCTGTGGAACTGGAGCGTTGCGTATCGCGTCAACCTTGTCGTCGGTTGGCTTAATCCCTTTTGCAGAAATGCGACGTCCCATGTAGATTACGCTCTCCTGCATGAACCGACACTTTTCGGTCTTCAACCTGAGACCGTATTTCCGGAATCGCTGGAAAACGTTCTTTACGTTGCGGAGATGTTCCTCATCCGTCTTGCCTGTAACAAGCACATCATCCATGATTGCTTATGTGCTGTCCAGACCTGCTAGTACTTGTTCGATGAATCTCTGCCAGATTGCAGGACTCGATGAGATACTGAATGGTAAGCGTGTATACCGATACAGTCCCTTGTGCGTGTTAATCGTGACGTATTCTTGGGATTTGTCGTCGAGCAACATTTGCTGATATGCGCATTTCAAGTCGATTTTGGAGAATTTCTCCCCACCGGCTAGCTTGCTGAATACTTCCTCCGAAGTAGGTATGGGGTACTGATCGGTGTGGATTGATTTGTTTACAGTGTTCTTGTAATCCCCACACAGGCGTACCGTACCATCTGCTTTGGGTACACACACCAGGGGTGTCGCCCACTCGCTGAAATCAACTGGGTAAATGATTGTCTCTTGCTCCATTCTGGCGAGTTCCTTTTCGACTGCGGGGCGAAGAGCCAATGGCACTGTGCGAGCCTTGTGGAAAACTGGAATAGCGTCTTCTTTGACGTGCAGTGTTGCCTTAACTCCACGTACTGTGCCTAACTCTGGCTGAAAAATGTCCTTATATTCACTTTTCAACTCGGCGATTGGGTCAGAATTCACACCGTACTGACCCTGAGAAAACAGATTAGGCCAGTCCAGCTTGAGAACTGTCAACCACTCCCTGCCCAACAAGGGTGGTGCGTACTTGTCTGCATGGACGATGATTAGCGGTAACGTTGCTTTCTGGTCGCCGTACTGAACCTCGACAACCAAGATAGTAATGGCACTAAACTCCCTGTGAATTATTCTTTCTGGCATGCTGTCATTTTGTAGAAAACAATAAAAAGGTCATTCCCAAAGATGAATCTATAAAAGACGCAGCTATGGAAATTTCCATTAGTAGTTTGTTATTAATTCAGTACAGCCGATATTGGGTGCGCGCATGCATTGACACAAGGCACACATGCACATGCTTGCTCTCATTTGTCAGTTAGTGCGTGATATCGCGTAGCTGCAATCAGCTGAATGAGAACGTGTCCTAGGCGCTAACTTTGGCGCAATTTCAAACATGACTCGGGAACTTTTGATTTGAAATCGAGATCCTAGAATATTGTTTTCTCAGAATATACAGCATTCACTGAGCTGAAACTTTATCGGGTTATTTGTTAAGCGCCCTCCAGAATTCGAGCTTTTTTGTTGCTTCAAACGAAAAATGCACAAATGACAAATGATCTATTCTGCCTTTAAACCATTCATTGCTTTTGCTTAGGTCTGCTACAATAATTCCATCTTCGGATCATTGTGTTCATTATTCAGTTTTTTTTTTATTCAACTAATCGAGAACCATCTTTAGGTCTATTTTTCAGAGGCCATTACAAATCTTATGCAAAAACCTAAAACAAAAAATCCATGTACAAGCACGTACGTTGCAGACGAGAAGTATATTGTTGTTTAAAGGGCTGGCTGGGATTTTCAGAGACATTAGAGTAAGGCAAAGAATAAATCAGCCTTTGGGTTTATTTAACTCAAAACCCCCAAAAGGAACAATGGATTTGAAAAAAGTACTTGCAGATTCGTTTTTGGTGGCTGAAATGTGTAGCATGCAATGCCAATTATAGTTACCAGGAAGACAATTTGAAACTCGTCTTTCACATCCAAGTAATAATAAATTAAAGACTCTTAATCAGACCATTATTACAAAGCTTGCATTTTTGCAAGACAAATTTTAGGCAGCCACTATTATACATTGGTTTAGATTTGTGCGACTGTTCACGTGCTGCGGTTGTTATCCGATCCAGCGCTCTCAGAGCTCTGCAGTTCAAACAGTTCTCCTTCCAGCGTGTACTCAGCATAGACCGGTTGTCGTACATGCGGTATGGGTAGCGATCGCGTCGACTGTAGCACCGTTGGTGGGTTAGTACCGTGGCCTGTCCTCATCTGCCAGTTGGCGCGCTCCGTGATTGGCACCATGTCTTTGGGGTTATCGCTGGTCTTGCGACGGTTGTACAGCATACAGCCGACGAGGATGCTAACAATGACTAGAATGACTGCTGCTAGGACCATGACGGCGATCAGCCAGCTATCAACCATCCCTGCTGATCCACCCAGGGTGCCACTGCCAGAACTGGAATCATCACTCTTGCCTGCCAAAATGAAATTGCAAACAGTTATAATTGAGGTTCCTATGATGGATTACAAGTGACAAAATTACGCACCTCCACTGAAAAATGTTCATTGTTACAAATCAATCAAACACGAACACTGTGATAAACCAGGGGCCGTTATCACAAATCACCAAGACGCTGAGACGCATCTGAGGAAGGGTAACTTGTCTTAACTTGCAACTCGTCCTAGGATCAATTTCACCAAACTTAAGATGCATTCAACACGTCCTTACTTCCTTAGCAATGGCGCTGATCTTTTAAATCTCATTAATCCGTGCGTAAATTTGTGCGTAAATCATTGCAATATCTTCTCGTTACAGACGAGTGTCAGCCTAGAGTTATAGTTTCGAGGAAGAAAACTACTGTAGAACAGATTTGAAAAGAATTCCGATACGTAGCTTATTTACAAAATTTACTTATATGCAACACCCAAATCACTCAAATAGAGTGATGAAACGGGGAGCAAGAATGACTCTTTCGTATCTTGTGTAGACCAACCTTGTGTGTAAAATTTATTGAGTAGCTTGGCAAAAGTTTGTGTTCTATGCACACGCGCATGGGAAGTTGGTTTTGTGCATTTTTTTTTCAACGACTGTTTCGTCCAGCGGTAAAAACAAACATGAAACAGCAATCAAATTCATAGTTTTGATGCGTCTTGCTTAAGATAGGATTAGTGAAATTGGTCTAAGGATGGGTCTTAGCTGAGATCGATCTTGGAGCAAGGACTCGTCTTAAGTCCTAAGATCAGTCGTAAGATAAGACAAGTTTCAGGAAATCGGCCCTAGACAGGGTAAATTGAAAAGATCGCCAACATTTGATCTTCTCTCAACTTGCTACTTACTGTTTTCACAGTTGGTGCCAGTGTAGGTGTTGGAGCATAGACATCGATATGATCCCACTTGCTGCACACACAGACCGTTATTCTTACATGGGTTGCTCTGACACTCATCCACATCTGAAATAGCAACATTCCCAGCGATAAACATAAGCATTATCAAGATATAAAATGATTGTAACACATACATTTATGAACAAAGCTTTATAAGCCTAGGTGAAAATCCAGTTGAAACTAGTTCAACTATAACCAGTATAATTGGCGACTGGTTTTGAACCAAACTGGTTTGAAATGTTGTAACTGGTATTGAACCAGTTAAACCAGTTCAAAACCAGTCACCAATTTCCGGTTCAACTGGTTTCAACTGGAATTTGCACCTGGGAGTTCCACCAGTCACCATGTGATTTGGTTCTCGTAAGTTCTCATATGGAAGTGTGGAGTGTCATGGCCGAGCGGTTAAGAGCACCGGACTCAAGCTCTGGTGTTTCTGATCAGCAGAGTGTGGTTCGAGTCCCGGTCTCGACACTTGTGTCCTTAAGCAAGACACTTAACCATTATTGCTTCATCCTTCAGATTGGACATAAAGCCATAGGTCCCGTGTGTTGTGTAATGCACGTTGAAGAACCCAGTAACATTTATCGCTCAGAGAAGGGGTTTGCCCCGGTGTTTCTGGCAGTGGCTGCAATATGCGCCACAGCACTTGTATACCCTGATGAGATTTGAAGGTTTGCATGGTGGAAAGATACTAAGACAAAATAAGTTTGCGGTAGCACCATGAGAATAAATCTCTTTTGTGAGTATGTGTGGTTCTGAAAAGAACCGGAGGGACTCAACGTTTTGAACAGTATGCTCTGCCCGTCGTCAGGAGAATCGACGGGCAGAGCATACTGTTCGAAATGTTGAGTCCCTCCGGTTCTTTTCAGAACCACACATACTCAGAAAAGAGATTGATTCACATGGTGCTACCGCAAACTTATCTTGTCTTAGTACTTGTATACCCTAATAAGGTGCTACATATGGGTCTCATTTTACCTGTCTTTAAAATAAATTCGTTAGCGCCTCGAGTACCTAATTGTTGGTATATGCATGTGCTTTATAAGACTCCGGTATTATTTACAGCGCCTATGAAAATGATTTAAATGAAGGCAAAAAGCCAGTTTCAAAGAAAAAAATGCTTTTGCAAAAAATTGGTTTTCTCTGTGCCAAAAATAATCACTTATCAAGCAAAAAGGTTATTCCATTTCGGGGAAAGTCAACTGTACTTCATTGCACATTTTTTTGAAATTTTACTTTCTTGAAATTTTGTTTTTAAACATTTGCATAGGATTACTTCTTCCGATTTGTATCTGAGAAAGGTGAGTCTTGTCAATCTTGTACCTGTTTCACATCGACTGCCGACGAAGCCGTTAACACAGAGACAAGCATGGGTACCGTCTGTCAGCTGGTTACACGTCCCTCCATTGTAACAGGTCTCTACCGTACAGTCAGCTGCACACCAAAAACAAAGTGACAAAACGTAAAGAAAGGGCCAAAAAAAGTAACATTAAACAGGATCTGAAATATTAGCTTACAATTTTTTTTCTTCGATATAGTCCTAATGCGTATATATACCTTAAAGACGCATTTTTGAAAAAAATTCTTTTAGTAGATCGTTTTTGATTTGACGAAGCCGTGAATGGATGCATGCAAGCTTTGACATGACGCACACACGCCGCTGTAATTCGTCGTTTTAGTGCGTGACATCGCGTAACTGCAATCGGCTGAATGAGAACGTGTCTCAAATGCTGATTTCAGGTGCAATAACAAAACATGACTTGGCAACTTTCGAATTGAAATCAATCTGAAAATATTGTTTTCTTGGAATATACAGAATTTACAGAGCTGAAACTTCATCAGGTTAGTTGTTAAACACCCTTGTTTAGATTTTGAAAACTTTTGTTGCTTCAAACGAAAAAATTGCACTAATGACAAACCATATACTCTACGTTTAACAAATTCTAAACGTAACTGTGCCATCCAGGGCTAATTTGAAAACGCTGCTGTAATCTTGCACCCAGACTTCACTAGTGGGAGTCTCTAGCATATGAGAATCATCACCATACTTACCAATGTCACAGTTGGTACCTGTCCAGCCAGATGCACACGTACAGCCGAATGTTGACCCGTCGGTACTCTCATGGCATACTGCATTGGTCATACAGGGATTACGGGCACAGGGACCAGCTAAAAAAAGAAAAACAAATGCTTGGATTATTTATTGATCAATTTTGAAAAGAACCTATCATTAATATTATTGTTTTTCTAGTTATTGACTCAGTTACAAAGCTAGAGTTTGTAGGAACTCAAACTCATTGCTGTCGTATGGCTGGCTGTCATGTGAAGACCAACAGTTTAACGGCATATAGGATCATTTGCATTCACCCCAAAGTAGCCTACTAAATTATTACCAAAAAGCTTACGTGGATTAAAGATTGTACTGGTACAAAACATCCTGTGAAATTATTCCATCTGGCTTGCTGTCATTTAGAAGAAATCAAGAAATGTACATGATTTCCAACGATCAGTCAAGTGACTGAACTCGGGATATAAAGAGTACTTTTAATGAAATCATGTTTCTTGTCTAAAGGTTGTGTATTTTTTTATGTTTCGCTTAAACTGTAATAGCCACTGAGCTGAAAGTTTAACAGGTTAGGTTTTGAACATTCTTCTTTGGATTTTGAGTGGTGTTATTATTGGAAACGAACAAATTGCATGAAAAGCAAATGATCCTATATGCCTTTAATGCATAACCAGAATAAACTAAGTCATGCATACTAGAAAAACAAAATATTAATTTGTCCCTTGGTTAAAAAAATAAATACCGTCTCAAATCTGGTGATATTTACCTATTTTGCAGCGAGGTCCGTAGTATCCTACAACACACATACAGGAATAACCACTGCCTGCTACTGAACATGCTCCATCATTGTAGCATGGGTTGGGAGAACATGGATCTGGTGAAACAAGGGCAAACCAAAATCTTAAGTATTAATAACGCCTTTATTAAAAATGCCTTCAAGTTCTGAATAATTATCTAAGACATGGACAATGGGGAACCGCCAAATTAAACTTGGATAGCTCAGTTGGTAGAGCACCGGAACGGCAATCCGCAGGTCGCAGGTTCAAACCCCTCTCCAGTCAATTTCTTTCTTCAACTTTCTTCAAACAAAATGGACTACGTACCTTCTCCGCCGCCAATCTCCATCAGCAAAACGTCAAAACCTCCCAGCGTCACTTTCTCATTAGTCACAAACTGCATCGTCATTCCGTTGCCATCCGCCTCCACGTCCTCCGGGACCACGCCCCCAGAGTGGGCCAGCACCCTCGCGTCTGCGGTTGTGGTGTGTCCCTCGAAGATGCTCAAGACGTCATTTGGGGCTTCGGTGGAGAAGGTTAAGAAGTGAGCTCGGATGGTGGTGTTTGGGGCTGAGGTGATGGTCCATGTTGTGATGAGGTTGTCTGGGTAGTTGGAGGGGTGGTAGGGGGACTTGAGAGACATGGTGCCCCCCGATGGAATGGTCACTTCACCACCCCACGTCGCTTCTGGTATCAGAAAGATCAACCGAAAATTGAAATAAGATTTAAGCTAACACAGTAACCACTTGATACTTTTGACATTTTCCAAGATTTGTCTCATTGTCCTTGTAAAAGATTACTTTGCTGCTGTTACATCTCTTGTACCTACAGCTTTCTCCCCACCATAGTTATCACCATATTCGTCACTATAGTTGGCACTGCTGACAGATTTCTGTATCTTTCAACCTTGACTCTCTACCTCACCGTTTGTATCACTCTATTTGTCACTGCATACCTCTGTACCACTGGCATCAATGACCCACAATGGATTGTATACAAATAATGAATGTTTATGAGTGCAATGGTAAGAATAATTTCATTCGGTGACAGATGGAATGTTCCATTCCATGAGGCAAATTTGTATATACAACCCCGCAACACAGATAGTGACTGTGCAATGGAAATTTGATTTACCGTGGAATAGAACTTCTATTTTTGCGTTGTGGCCGTGCCTTGTGTTGGGACGAATAATTCAATGTCATGTGATCAACGACCTACCAATCAGATGACAGGGATTTATTCAGGTGTTGTATAATACGTCCTGTATCTGTTTCAACTTTCCCTCTGCCCCACTATGTAGTTTACCCTATTTGGCAATTGGTACCTACCTAATTCACAATGTGTGCCGCTGTATGCAGACAGACACTTGCAGACATACTCAAACATTTGTTGCTGGCACGTTCCACCGTTCTGACACGGATCGCTGCTACACAGATCCTCAATAATAGCTGCCAATCACACACAAATATTTAAAATTATGCACCATGTAGAATATTCACTGATGCCGAACTTCAAATGGTGCTTTAAAAGTTAACTGTAGGGGGCCTATATATTTTGAAAACTTCCAAAATAAGCTGATGATAAAATGTTGTTGCAAAAGGGAGACGTTAATGTTTAATCAGTTGTTAGGCATTCTGGCAAAATGAGACAGAACTGGGCAGAGGTCGAAATGAGAAAAAGGCTTTTACAGTTTTAAGTTTCTTTTCGTAAAAATGAAACATGCCAATTGCTTTTCCTTAAAAAAAAAAATTGTTCCACATTTTTTGTACTATTTCTATAACATATGTGTAGTAGACATATCAAATATCACAAATATCAATAAATCTGAAAAATTGAAAAATCAATCACCCCCATTAGGTTTTTGCATTTTCCTGACGCCTGACGTTTTGGTTTAGCCCTTCACTTAATTTTTCAAAGTGTGGGGGCAGGAGAATGCGTACAAAAAGTACCAGAGTATTTGTTCAAATGAGAGTATACAGTAACCATAAATAAACTAATTGTTCTGTGTGATGATACAAAATTAGGGATTATTTTTCTTACCTTGTTCGCATATGACTCCCGTGTAGTGTTCAGGGCACACGCATTCTATACCAGCACCAACGTTGTAGCACTGACCACCGTTGACGCAAGGGCTACTGGCACACGCTGCTTGATCCGCTGGAACAACATTGGAAATACGTATTCAAAAATCAAATTCTTCAGAATTAGAAACATGGAATAGAATATAGACTGTACAACCGACTAAAAACAACAGCATCCAAGACGCACGATAGAAATCCAAGTGATTCTTCAATCTTTTTCGGACTTGTATCTCATAGTGGTGTTACTATTGCAAAGATTGAATGAATTTCTTAATTTACAAACGATTTGGAATGACCACACTTGAATGTTCAATTGTTGCAATCATTTAACATAACTCCAGAGCCCATGGGAAAAAGTAATTGTAAATTTGCCCGTCTTCAAGTGCTCTATATATTTTTTGTTTGGCGCGACTACGGAACGCCAGTTTCAAATGGATTTTATGTACCTGTTTCACAAGTCTGTCCGCTCCATTCCGTGGGGCACACACACTCATAGTTCTTGATGGCTGATCCGATGGTCTCTGAGCGACAAATCCCACCGTTCTGGCAAACGTTGCTATCACATGGGTCAACCTCAGCTACAGAGGAGTCAAATTTAAGAAATTGGAATATTATATTTCAGTAATTTAAAAAAACGCATAACTATAGGTTTTCCTGGCTCTTTTAAAATATTTTTTCATTCCAATTCACCAACTCTAACATTCAATTTCAGGAGCTTTCAACAAAACCAATTTAGTCATTTACCATTCAATTTCAAAGTTTGGTTACCCTCTTTAGTCACTGGGTCGAGAATATTGGCCATCACAGATCAAATTTGTCTAAGCTGTTGCCAAATGGCAGCATTCAGATATCAAATTCGAAATCAATTAGACAAATTTGATTTCTGAACAAGGTCTGGGGTAGACGAGACAAAATCGAGTACTCCAGGATGAAAACATGTACTCATTGTTTGAATTTCTTGAACTGAATTTGAAAATGTCTGACAAAAGACAAACTTAAACAAAAGTGCACTAAATCGATGTTGGTGGAAGAATTTGAATATTAGAAACGGGGAAGTCGAATGATAAACGTTTTAAAACAGCCGGGAAGATCTATATTAACGAACTTTTGAAAAATGACTTCAAAATTTAGTGTTGCACTGTAATGATTCATTTTCATAAGCAGTTTATGCTCATTGCTGTTTGTGGCTTGTGAAGAAAAAATTCACAAGCTTACTCGAGTGGGACTCGAACCCACGACCTCCTGCTTACTAGTGCAGACATCTTACAACTCAACCACTAAGCTTGCTCAGCAGAGAAACTTGCTAATCACAGAAATCCGCTAAGCGAAAATATTTGTTCAGCGCAAAAAAGATCAAAATGTCTTTCTTGTGACTCCTTTTCAGCCAAAAAACCCACAAAACTGCTTGGAGACAATAAATCGCTAAGCGATATTTTGATGCTAAGCAGCCTGCTTACCTGTTTGGCACTGTCTGCCCAGCCAGCCAGTTTGACAGATGCATGTGAATCCATTGATGTTCCCATCCTCGGTCACTATACATTCCCCTCGATCGTTACACGGATTAGGGTCACATGGTAGTACTACAACAAGACAAAAAGAAACTTATTTTTAATGGACAGTGGAGTTTTTAGACCATTTGGGACCATTTTGTTCTTAGGATGGAAAAAGAAGACCTCTCTTGGGAAGTGGGAAATTTAAAATGTTCCAGGATTTTATTTTCTCTTAACTTTTGTTTCTTCAAAAATATCCACTGTATCAGGACTAAAAAAAAGTTAAGGTTTTATTAGATTTTGGTTTTCACCTGGAATGGGCAGGTGTGTTCTGTTTTCTGGTTAATTGTTTTTAAGTATAGAGAACATCAAAGTCTTATCACACTTCAAAACAAATAAAGCAGACTTTGAAGCAGTGAAATACAACAAAGTTAAAGCCAATCAATTATGCGTAACTTACGCGTAATTTACACAATTATTGTGTAAATTACTACATATTACATAACTAAGTACGTTACGCAATAAAAGGGCAGTGAAATACAACAGTGTTAAAGCTAATCACTTTTAAAAGCAATACTGACAACGTAATTTATACAGTTATTGCAAAAATTACTATATACTACATTATACAAATAATTAATGTTTGTGAGTGCAATGGTAAGAATAATTTCATGAGGTGACAGGTGAAATGTTGAACATTTCATCTGTCACCGAATGAAATTATTCTTTCTATTGCACGAACGTGAAACATTCATTATTTGTTTAATATAACACCTGAATAAATCCTCGTCATCTGATTGGTTGACTTTTAATAGCCAATTTATTCAAGTTAAAAATTGTTTACAAGTTTGACGAGTGCAGAGTTATCATATTAAATTTTTCTCAATTTAAAACTTTTCCATAAGTTTAGAACTCAAACAGTTCAATAAGTTCAGAACTTTTATTGCCAATTTTAACACCACAGCGCCACCATCGGCAACATGTGCAGTGACGGTGCAATGGTACTTCTAATCACAGTGCAATAGTACTTCCATTGCACTGTGCGCTGCGCGCCACGCGCACGCCGTGCATTGGTACAAATAATTCAATGACATGTGATCAACGATCCACCAATCAGATGACGGGGATTTATTCAGGTGTTATATAAAACGAAACACTTCTAAGATGTTGCTTGTCGTAAAATCTCACGTAATTTACACAATAAAAATGTGGCGTAAGGGCAGTTAAACTAGTACATAGATTTTCGTGAAATCAGCAGCATTATTGATCTTACCTTGATCACAGAGAGCGCCAGTGTAGTGTGGGGGACAGTCACAGGAGAAGCCAGCACCCTGGACATCACACGTAGCTCCATTCAGACAGAAGTTGGGATTACATGGATCACGCACTGTCAACAAATAAAAAATAGTTTAAAGTTGAATAGTTGAAGAAAGAAATTGACTGGAGCAGAGTTTGAACTTGCGACCTCCGGATTATGGTTCCGTGCTCTACCAACTGAGCTATCCAGCCCTATGTTAAAGCTACAGTCCATCATTTGCAGCTATCCAAAAAGTAACTGATGTAATTTTTGTTGAAAAGCATACTTGGTTTAAAGATAGTAATGGGAAACTCCCTGTGAAATTATTCTTTCTGGCTTGCTTTCATTTTGAAGAAATTAATGAAAGAAGGCCATTTCCAACGATGCGTCTAAAGACGCATTCTTGGAAATTTTTGTTAGCAGTTCGTTTTCATTTTGGCGAAGCGCGTGCAAGCGTTGACACAACACACACGTGCCCAGGGTTGCTATAATTCGTCGGTTCAGTGCGCAACATCGCGTTGCTGCAATCGGCTCAGTGAGAACGTGTCTCGGACACTGAATTCAGGCCGAATTCAAAACATGATTCAGCAACTTGAAATCGAGATCCTAGAATATTGTTTTTCTCGCAATATACAGCATTCACTGAGCTGAAACTTTATCAGGTTAGTTGTTCAGCATCCTTATTTAGATTTTGAGCACTTTTGTTGCTTCAAACAAACATAATGCACAAATTACAAATGATGGACGCTATCTTTAACGGTTTCCCATTTCGTCCATGTCTTTGTTCAAGTATATGGAAGTATATTCTGGTACAGTCAGACAAAAGTTGGAACTTTTCTACTGCAGAATTAATGGACTTACACGTATAATGTAACGAAATAAAACAATTTTGTTATGACATTCACAATAATGTTTCTAGCCAATTAACTGAAGCAAATCAAAAACCAGACAGAGTTGTTCAGCATGTTAGCTTTCATTAGTGGGTAGAAATTGGGAATTTTTGCCAAAATGTTGGGCTGAAAACTTTGAGGATACAAATCACTAAACATACATACCACTTCCACATAAATCTCCCACGAACCCCGGCACACATTGACAGAAGAAGCTAGTGGTGAAGATCGGCAGACATGTGGCACCGTTGAGGCACGGGGAACTGTCACATGGAAGAACGGCTGTGTGAATAGAACAAGAATGAAAGTTATCAAATGATATCATTCCTTCCACCTACCTTAACACAATCCATGCAAAACAATAGACCAATCCATTAGGCCCCGCCCACTGCGCATAGACCAATCTATTAGGCCCCGCCCACTGCGCATAGACCAATCCATCAGGCCCCGCCCACTGCTCATAGACCAATCTATAGGCCCTGCCCACTACACATAGACCAATCCATCAGGCCCCGCCCACTGCTCATTGACTAATCTATAGGCCCTGCCCACTACACATAGACCAATCCATCAGGCCCCACCCACTGCTCATAGACCAATCTATAGGCCCCGCCCACTGCGTATAGACCAATCCATTAGGCCCCACCCACTGCTCATGGACCAATCTATAGGCCCTGCCCACTACACATAGACCAATCCCATCAGGTCCCACCCACTGCTCATAGACCAATCTATAGGCCCTGCCCACTACACATAGACCAATCCATCAGGCCCCACCCACTGCTCATAGACCAATCTATAGGCCCTGCCCACTACACATAGACCAATCTATAGGCCCCGCCCACTGCGCATAGACCAATCTATTTGGTCCCGCCCATTAGGTCCTGGCAACGATACATGCGCATCTCCAACAACAAAAAGTATAGCTTGAAAATATTGTAAAAACCTACCAGTCTCACAGAGGTCGCCAGTCCAGTCTGATGTACACTGGCAACGACGTTGGGTACCAGACAAAAAGCACAGTCCGTTATTCATGCACGGGTTCTCATTACAAGGTGCTGGAAAAGGTGTAAGAAAAGTTTATATTTAATTGGGCCAAAAGCAATTCTTTGCAATTTTGACAGGAATTCTTACACAGGTTTCGTTTTATTTGGATATTGTCAATAAAGCTAACTGTCAAAAGAGTGCTAAAGCATTTGCGACATTCTATAAATCTTTATTATGCTGCCACCATTTCAGTCATGTTCCCTGTATCTAATAACAGTACTGAATGATAATGCTTTTTGTGCTAAAAGGAACCAGACTATTTCTCCTACAAGCCTCGCTTTGGTTACGGTGATTTGAACAGGCAAAAATATTGATGGCCGCAACATGATAATGGTCTAAAAACATTATTTTGAGAATGTAATTCACTTGGAAATTAAAAGACGTTTTACTTCAGAAAGTTTAGGAATTAGCAGGAATTCTTATTACTTACATGTCTCGCAGTTGAGACCCGACCAGTCTTCTTCACAGTTACACAGGTAGCTAGTGAACCGGTTAATGCAGGTACCAGCGACGCCGCAAGGGTTACTCAAACACGGATCAAGCTCTGTGATGAAGACAGAAAAAAAAGAGAATTGATGCAAACAAATCGGCCATTTTGTACATTAATAAAACACTGACAATTTTTACTTTTGAACAGGAACATCATAAATGCACACTGAGTGGAAATAAATGTTTATGAAACTAAAAAATTCAGATTGAGGATTTCTTACCGATTTCACAGAACGTTCCTGCATACATAGGACTGGAGCATTGGCACACGAAGCCCCCGTTGGACGTTGACAAACACACAGCGCCATTTTGGCATGGCATGCTTACACAAGCAGTTACTATGGAACAAACAAAACAATGACTTTAAACATCACCCTTTAAGAAACTTTAAAAAAAAATGGTGACTAATAATTTTGTCAATCACAAGTCCATCACTAGCCAATCTCATGTTCATCATAAGTCAATCAAAAGTCCACTATAACTCCATCACAAGTCAATCACTAGTCAATCACAAGTCCATCACAAGAACTTCACAAGTCAATCACAAGTCCATCACAAGTCAATCACAAGCCCATCACAAGTCCATCACAAGTCAATCACAAGTCCATCACAAGTCCATTACAAGTCCATCACAAGTCCATCACAAGTCCATCACAAGTCCATCACAAGTCCATCACAAGTCCATCACAAGTCCATTACAAGTCCATCACAAGTCCATCACAAGTCCATCACAAGTCAATCACAAGTCCATCACAAGTCCATCACAAGTCCATCACAAGTCCATTACAAGTCCATCACAAGTCCATTACAAGTCCATCACAAGTCCATCACAAGTCCATCACAAGTCAATCACAAGTCCATCACAAGTCAATCACAAGTCCATCACAAGTCCATTACAAGTCCATCACAAGTCCATCATAAGTCCATCACAAGTCAATTACAAGTCAATCAAATTTCCCGCAATTGTCTTACCAGTCTGACAGATCGGTCCAGTATAGCCCTCCAAGCAGGCACAGACGAACTCACTGGAGGAACTAGAAGTGCATACACCACCAAACAAACAAGGGTTACTGCCGCAGGGGTCCGTCACTATGGAAACCAAACAAAGCATTATGGGTAATTCATGGTATTCAAAAATCGCTTGACTGCTGATGTTTCGTTTTTGTAAGTGTGAGCTGTTTTAGAATTTATCTTTCACAGCTGTACAGTACAAAATATCTATGCAAATACTTGTAGAGAGAAGAAAGACAATTTTCAGATGATTTTATGAATCTTTTTATAAGATTATTTTTCTGTTTCTTACCAATTTCACAATTAGTTCCGGCGTAACCATTAGCGCAAACACACGTGTAGCCAGGACCTTGTGGGAAGCATACGCCTCCATTATGACAAGGGTCGCTCTGACATGGAATAACTGGCGCGACATCTGTACCAGAAAAAATAAATAATAAAAACCAGAACATTAAGTTTTGTAAGAAGAGAATGAAATAGGTATTTTGAATATTTAAATGGTCCTTAAAGATTCACTATTTTTGAGTTTCACCTAAAAAAACTCAATTAATTTTTAAAATTGCTATTTTCTCGCAAAACAATAGCTACCCACTTTTGAATGAGACATCGAACAAAAAAAATGGTCCAAGTTAATATGAAATAACTACGTAACAAATTTCAAATTATTTACGGCCTGACAAGAATTCAGTCCTCCCAAAATTTTGAAAATTCATGATGAAGACGAACAAATTTGAACTTATTTAAGAGCTCAGATAGTACATCTTAAAAAAAAAAAAAAAAGGGATAGAAAGTCACAAATTTTAAGAATTTGGATTACAACTTAATAAAATTATCTAAGAGTTAATTCTCCAATAATTAATAGTCTCTTACAAGTTTCACAGTTGGTACCAACGTAGTTGTCTGGACAATCGCAGAGATGGCCAGCACTGCCTTGTGGGTAACAGACTCCTCCATTCTGGCAGGGGGAGGGATCACATGGATCTGGAGGGGCAGGTGCTGATGAAAAAAAACATCAAGATTATTATAAATTCTCATCGTCAACGTTCTTCCATTCAGTTTAAACTATAGAATTAGCCAAACAATTTTGAAAACACAAAAATCTCAAAACAAATTATTTATTTACCGTTTTCACAATGAACTCCAGTGAAGTCATTCACACAGGAACAAACGTAGCTCTCTTGAACGCTGCTACGGAAACAGACTCCCCTATTCTGGCACGGGGAACTGTCGCAGGGATTTTGAGGGACAAGACCTAATGATTGAAAGAGGTAATAAAAGTGTTTTTAAGAACAATTCTAGCTTGCAAAACAAGGGATTGGTATTTTTTTATTTTACATCTCAGGAGGTATCAAAGATAGTGTGCTGATTTAACCCTAAAGGGGCCCGGTTATTTTTACCATCTCACAGCCGGCCCCCCCCCCTTCAGATCTCAGCCATCAAACGATGAAAAATTATGAAACTTGGTACATGCATAGAACAACCTAATATAGCCATACTCAAGAAATTTCATGACTATAGGTTTAAGGGTTTTGGAATTATGACTAATTATTTATTCACATGCACCAATGGTACTTCTGCTTTGGAAACACTACAAAAAGTTTCGAAGCGCAGCAACAAATGGTTGGAATTTTATGTTTTTGGTATCAAAAGATGTGCAAGACTCGAGGCTAACAAGTCAGGAAAGCTCGGGTGGGGAAATTTTTTTTGCAAGGGTATCGCGAAAAAAATGATGGGAGGGGACGGATTCCACGCCCCCTCCCTCGGCCCTTTTAGGGTTTGATAGGCAAAGTGTTTGAAGTTGTTTCACTTACTTATTTCGCAGTGCGTTCCAGCGTAATTCTGACTGCAGAAGCATCGGTACTCCCTGTTCAGATCGTACACCTGACAAAAACCATTGTTGTGGCACGGCTGGCTGAGACACGGGTCAGGTGGAATAGAAACTGAAAAGCAAACAACAATAACAACACTTTATAAACAAAATCCAAAATCAGCTACTGAGCTACTAACCACAATTTTGCCTGGCAAGGTTATGTGATAAAGCCCCAGTTACACATTTACGGTTGGAGCTACGAATATCCACGGTTTACCAAGAATCCATCAATCATAATGAACCGTCGACGTTCGTGGAGAACTTTCCCCAAATGCAATACGGTTTCAGGACGGATAGCCACGACTGTTATACGGTTTCTCTACGAATACACCACGGTTTGTCAAGAATTTGGACAGACTGGGCCACGGATGACCAAGGTTCTCCTATGAATAAAGCGTGGATATTGATTGTACAACCTTAGCGGCACCCTAGCATATCCGGGCACATCCGTAGGACATATGTAGCAAATTTGTATAGATTTCTACCACGAATGAGCTACGAATCTCCAAGAATATACACGAATAGCCATGAATAACAACGAATAAGTACGGTTGTCCTGCAGATGTCCCACGGTTGCACTACAGATTGATTTTCATGACGTTTCACCATGGAAGTTATGTACAGTTTAAAACTTCCGTAGCCCCTCCACGAATACCCAAGGAAGATGACGGATAACCACGGATGTACTAAGGATGAATACGGTACTCCCACGGTTTATCATGAATTTCAAATCGTGGATATCCGTAGCTCCAAACCGTGAATGTGTGACGAAGGTTTAATAACGCTTTTTGCTAAAGAAATATCGTTGAAGCTTACCAAATTGGCAGTTGTCACCGGAGAACCCTTGCAGGCAGCTACAGTGATAGGCACTGCCCAGGTTGAGGCATTCAGCTTGATTCAGGCAAGGGTTGCTGAAACAGGGGTCTGAAACTGCAAGGAAAAGAAGAAAACTATGGTTAAATAACAGACCATTTCATTGGACAAGGGAAATATGTCAGGGTTTGTGATTGGCTAGCCGAGAAACGTCACACCCTCTGATTGGTGGATGTTGCAAGAAAAGGGTTTCATATCTACTAAATTGGCCAAAAGAAACAACTATGATTGATTGGCAAGGCTATGTCTATTGTCAGTTTGTTCCCATGTACATGTAGTTACAACTGTCAAAGACCTAAGCAATAAATGACACAGATTTTGGCCAATTTAGCTTCAGATAAGAGATTTTGGACATGGCCAATAGTTTTAGACAAGAGATTTTGGACATGGCTAATAGCTTTAGACAAGAGATTTTGAACATGGCCTATATAGCTTTGGATAAGAGATTTTGGACATGGCCAATAGCTTTAGACAAGAGATTTTGGACATGGCAAATAGCTTTAGATAAGAGATTTTGGACATGGTCAATAGCTTCAGACAAGAGATTTTGAACATGGCCAATAGCTTTAGACAAGAGATTTTGAACATGGCCAATAGCTTCAGACAAGAGATTTTGAACATGGCCAATAGCTTCAGACAAGAGATTTTGAACATGGCCAATAGCTTCAGACAAGAGATTTTGAACATGGCCAATAGCTTCAGACAAGAGATTTTGAACATGGCCAATAGCTTCAGACAAGAGATTTTGAACATGGCCAATAGCTCTAGACAAGAGATTTTAGACATGGCCAATAGCTGTAGACAAGAGATTTGGGACATGGCCAATAGCTGTAGACAAGAGATTTTGGACATGGCTAATAGCTTTAGACAAGAGATTTTGGACATGGTCAATGTAGCTCTAGACAAGAGATTTTGGACATGGCCAATTTAGCTTCAGACAAGAGATTTTGGACATGGCCAATTTACCTTTAGACAAGAGATTTTGGACATGACAAATAACTTAAGACAAAAGATGTTGTACATGGCCAGCTGGGTGGTCAAAACGTGTACGAAGAAGTTAAGGGTTCAAAGTAAAAATGTGGGGACTTTGATTGGTTGATAAAGAATGCTATTTTGCTTATAGGCGAAAGATGGTTATTCTGATTGGTTTAGATAAAGGTTCAAGCTTTCTGATTGGTTGAGATAAAAGTATGTACTATCCTGATTGGTTGAGAGTTTTACCTGTTTGGCAGTTGGTGCCCCCGTATCCTGCTGTACACTGACACACGTACTCAGTGACTGTGTTGGTAAGACAACGACCACCGTTCTGACATGGGTAACTGGAACAAGGGTTCACAACGGCTGAAAAAAAATTACATAATAATAATAATTATAATAATGTGGTGTTCATATAGCGCTCTATTCCAAAAGTCTCAAAGCGCTTCACAATTATTACCCCTGTTCATCAGACCATGAGACTATTTTTTCTGCAGCAGATCAAGATCAACGCATTTTGATCTCTAACTTCACATGTACCCATTTATGCTCCTGGGTTGAGAGAGGCAATTGTAGTAAAGTGCCTTGCCCAAGAACACAAGCATCCGTGCAATCTGGTCTCTACTCTGACAGGTACCCATTTATACTCCTTGGTGGAGGCAATTGTGGTAAAGTTTCTTGCCCAAGAACACTAGCACCATGTTCTCTAGTGTTTCGATCCCACACTCCACACTTCTCTGTTACATATTATTTGACAATTTATTGCAAGCAAATTTTGGTTGAAGTTTGTGGATAAAATACTCTTGCTTGTACTTACCCGTTTCACAACGCAGTCCTTGCCAACCTAGGGGACAGTTACAGGCGTAATCGCTGGTCGATGGGAAACAGGTACCACCGTTGAGACAAGGGTTGCTACCACATGGGTTGGCAAGATCTAATAATAATAATAAAAATAACAATGACAAAGGGATGATATAGTGCCATATTCTGTTAAAGGCCTATAGGATCATTTGCAAAAAGTAAAAAACAAAACCGCCAAAATACTATACAAATATTGAGTGGCTCAGCGTGGAATGGGAGGAATATTATCGCAAGGTAAAATCTGGACTTTTCTTTTTCACGAGGCGAAGCCGAGTGAACTAGAAAAGTCCAGATTTTACCGAGTGATAATATTCCTCCCATTTCACAATTTAAAGCCACTCAATATTTGTTTTATATAACTGACATATAGATCCTTGTCATTTGATATATTTGAACTTTTTTTTTTCAATACAAAACCGGAGGAAAATGTATTTCTCTCTTCCAAACCACCCCTTCACGAAAATGTTTGAACCCAACGCTGTAGCGCTGGCTCTTTGGAACAATACGCGCTACGCGCAACGCTGAACGCGCTCACCAGCATGCATTTGCACACAAATACCGCGTCATGAAACAAGAATGATCCCAACTGTTGAATAGTATTTCCCATTCCCCACGGGCGAATGGGACTTTTTGAGCCGCGGCGTGAATGGGAGCAATAACGAATGTCACGTGATGTGAGTTCCACCAATCAAATGACTAGGATCTGTATGTCAGTTATATAACATGAAATATCCTACTGGAATGTGGACAAATAATAGCATCTTGCATCTTGTGAAATCAGTGCGGCTAATATGCTGTCATTTTCAAGAAAAGATGAATAAATCATTTCCTTGTGCATGTTGTGATGGCTAGGGCAAAACCACTGCACTGTCAACGGAAACCTATGCTAGGCCTCAAGAAAAATGAAGATGCATTTTCACAATTTTCTCAAAAAGTGTGATGTCCACTGAGCTGAAACTGCAACAGATTAGGTTTTGAACATTCTTCTTTGGATTTTGAGCGGTGTTATTATTGGAAATGAACAAAATGCATGCACAGTAAACGATCTTACATGCCTTTTAAAAGTTATGCTCAAGACACTTCACGATGATTAAAAAAAATGAACCTTGAAACAAATAAGAAGAATGGCTAAACTTTAAAAATGTACTGTAAAATAGCATGGCTCACATAATTATAAAGACATAAGAAATCATTCTTATTTATTATTTATTTCTTATTTTAACTGGGTAGCCCATTCGGTGGAATCCGCTGGTCTCCCATGAGGCCCAGTAAAGAGAAGACAATGTGAAGAAATTACAGTTTTAGATGTGGGAGGAAAACCCCAGGAAAATATTTCAAGGAGAAACCACGGAACCAGACAGGGACTGAAAACCCAATCCACATATTGGCCCAGGCGGGTTTCGAACCAGAGTCACAGCGGTGGAAGGCGAGGAAAGTACCGCTACGCCAACCTGACTCCCCTAAAAAGACAAACATGTGTCTATAAAATAGTTACTGATCTCTGGAGATGTAAATTGGCTCCAACATTCTTGCAGGAAAATTGAGCTTTTGAAAAAAGAATGTGGCACTAATATATTTAAAAACGAGGAAATTCGTCAATTGCAAGATTTTGTACAACTCACCAATTTGGCAGTTGTTGCCGCTGTAGCCAGTGGGGCATGTGCAGATGTAAGCCTGGGTGTTGGTAATGACTGAACAGAATCCTCCGTTGATACAAGGGTTCGTCAGACAAGGGTCGGTCGAATCTAGGGACACAAAAAAATCACAAGAAATAGACGCGCTGTTTTAATGTCCTTTGTCACCAAGAACAAGATGATGTACCCACGAAAAATTCCTCAAAGTTGTACTCCAAAACTTGATATCTCGATTACCAAAAGTGGAAAACTGTCACGGTTATGAACTTTTAAAGAATATAAACAGTAAACAGCTGTTTTTAAACTTCATTTTCCCCCTTATTGTATTCTTAAGTTGCGTTTAAGCATCTTACAGCCGTCAAAATCGATTTTGGGCAGCCAGAAGAGAGCAGGATTCTAAACGGGAACAAACTGGCGTATATCACGTTTTAGAAATGATCTCATCCAGTCCTCCCATCTTATTTACTCCCCCTACCCAACCCCCCACCCAACCCCAACCCCCAACCCTCAAATGTACCTACCTATCTGACAGTTATTTCCGGTGTAACCAGTGGGGCAGTTACAGACATAAGATCCCCCGGATTGCGCATCGTAACACACACCTCCATTCACGCAAGGATCGCTGGAGCACGGCCTAGCCAATGCTGTAGAAACATCACAGGAAAAAGTTTCGACAAAATCACAAACAGAATGAAATTCTAATTTGCATTTTTTTCTATTTTGAACGGCATAAATGGGTAAACGGTCATGAGGAAAACAAAAATAGGAAATCACCTAGGCTTGATTCACAGCTTTGCTAAAGTTTGCTTACCACTAAATTCTGTGCTTATATTCATTATTCTGTGCTTACAGTGCTAGCAAGAAAATTCCTGCCCAATTTTTGGCCAAAAAGTAGCATTTTAATTCAAAATCTCTTCAGTTTCACTACAGTTACAGCCTGAACGCTGATATCACATCTAGAACAGGTTTTAGAATACTCACGTAATGAAAATACAAAGGTATAAATATTGAAAAAAAATGCAAATATGACAGTAACTTTCCAGCCTCCTTTTCTGTGTTTTGCATTTTAAAAAAATTGACCAGAATTGGACCTGAGCCTATTTGTTAAAAATGCTCAGCACGGACCATAATTGGTTAGCAAAATTTGGTAACCAGCCAAAATGCCATGCAATGTAGCCTGTAACTGGTATACCCAGACAACATTTTTGCTTAACATACAAAACTTGCTAAGCGGTATTTTCCTGCTAAGCGCTCATTTGGTCCCAGTATAAGCACGAACCTGGTAGCTCACAGTTGGCTCCCCTGAAGTCCTGTGTGCAGAAGCATACATACTGGTAGTCTGCGCCGACAACGCTGGTGAAGCAGAAACCAAAGTTCTGACAGGGGGCACTTCGGCAAGGATCCGGTTCTGAGGGGATGAAAATGACATCTTTAAGGAAAGATTCTCCAACTGTATGTGAGTTATTGAGACACTTTCCGTTGGCAATGTCACACCTATAAAGGTGATTACGTACATTCTGAAGAAATCTGATCATTCACACAAAAAATCTCTCAGTTAAACTTGCATTATTGGGCTCTTCAAAAAATGGAGATTATTTTTCCTATCAATTCTCAATTTGCATGTTTTGTTTAACGAAAAAATTTGTTATTCAGATTTTACGCACAAATGAATTTGCCCTGCGACAACCGAATTATTGTCAGGCAGCTGATAATTCAAATTTTGTAAAAAACCTAATTCTATAATTAACATGGGTGGATTTTGTCGTTCGATGTCTCATTAAAAATTGAATAACTTTCAATTGCTAGGAAATTAGTAATTGGAAAAGCACATCTATTTTTTAGGTGAAAATCCAAAACAAAACTTGGAACGCATCTTTAAAGCTTGCTTGTCCCCTAAGGAATGTAATGAAGTCGTCTGCATTGTTGTAGCCTGATTGAAATCAGTAAAATTTTGCAGCATCCAAAACAGATGTTAACATTTTCTGATGATGCAACATGGTTTAGCATTATTTGCCATGCCAATGGCTTATCTTTCATGTAAAATCACTCATTTTTCAGGAGCATATGAAGCCAAACAAATTGTGGCTTTTCCCCACCAATCACATTAGAGGATTACCTCATAAATATGTATAAATTATTATTACTGAACTTACCAATTTGGCAGTTGGAGCCCGACCATCCCCCAGCACAGGCGCAGGCAAAGCCAGCCCCAGTCGTGTAGCACAAACCATTGTTCAAGCACGGTGAACTACTGCAGGGATTGAAAACTGTAAAAAACATAAAGAGTAACGATTTCAAATTTAGTCTGTTTAACCTTTTAGTGGTGCTTGAAACTGCCTGAGCACTCTATGATTTTATTTAGTTAACACAAACATTCAGTGGGTAACGTGATGTAGGCAAATTGACACTGTCAACACTTTTTAAATGTAATGCATAGTCTCAGCTCCAGGATTTTACCATTGGTAATCTTCAGAAGTGCGGCCTTTTGCTGAAATGCTCTTTTCAGACCGGAGTACCAGAGATGTGTTGAAGTAATTTCTTCCGAAAATTTTAAAGTTTGGTTGTAGTCGAGTTTGGAAGTCCGGTCACATGTACCAGGGGATGAACGGTAACAAAAAGAATGCCTTCATTTGGATAGCTTGTGATTTGACTTGTGACTATACAGGACTTGTGAATGATTTGTCATGGACTTGTGATGGACTTGTGATTGTCTTGTGATAGACTTGTAATTGTGTTATGATTGTCTTGTGATGGACTTCTGATGGACTTGTGATGGTCTTGTGATGGAATTGTGATGACTTGCGATTCAATTGTGATGGACTTGCAATTGCGTTATGATGGACTTACAGTGATTGAATTGTGATTGACTTGTAATTGACTTGTGATGGACTTGTGATTGAATTGTGATTGACTTGTGATTGACTTGTGATGGACTTGTGATTGAATTGAAACGGACTTGTGATTGTCTTGTGATGGACTTGTAATTGTGTTATGATTGTCTTGTGATGGACTTGTGATGGGCTTGTGATTGACTTGTGATGCATCTTGTGATGGAATTGTGATGACTTGCGATTCAACTGTGTTATGATGGACTTGTGATTGTCTTGTGATGGACTTGTGATGGACTTGTGATGGGCTTGTGATTGACTTGTGATGGTCTTCTGATGGAATTGTGATGACTTGTGATTCAATTGTGATGGACTTGCAATTGTGTTATGATGGACTTGTGATTGTCTTGTGATGGACTTGTGATGGACTTGTGATCGGCTTGTGATTGACTTGTGATGGACTTGTGATGGAATTGTGATGACTTGTGATTCAATTGTGATGGACTTGCAATTGTGTTATGATGGACTTGTGATATGTCTTGTGATGGACTTGTGATGGACTTGTGATGGGCTTGTGATTGACTTGTGATGGCCTTCTGATGGAATTGTGATGACTTGCGATTCAATTGTGATGGACTTGCAATTGTGTTATGATGGACTTGTAATTGTGTTATGATTGTCTTGTGATGGACTTGTGATGGGCTTATGATTGTCTTGTGATGGACTTGCGATGGGCATGTGATGACTTGTGATTCAATTGTGATGGACTTGCAATTGTGTTATGATGGACTTGTGATTGTCTTGTGATGGACTTGTGATGGACTTGTGATGGGCTTGTGATTGACTTGTGATGGTCTTCTGATGGAATTGTGATGACTTGGGATTCAATTGTGATGGACTTGCAATTGTGTTATGATGGACTTGTGATGTCTTGTGATGGGCTTGTGATGGTCTTGTGATGGTCTTGTGATGGACTTGTGATGGACTTGTGATGGGCTAATTGTGATTGACTTGTAATGGTCTTGTGATGGAATTGTGATGACTTGTGATTGTGTTAGATTGTCTTGTGATGGACTTGTGATGGACTTGTGATGGGCTTGTTATTGACTTGTGATGGCCTTCTGATGGAATTGTGATGACTTGCGATTCAATTGTGATGGACTTGCAATTGTGTTATGATGGACTTGTAATTGTGTTATGATTGTCTTGTGATGGACTTGTGATGGGCTTATGATTGTCTTGTGATGGACTTGCGATGGGCATGTGATGACTTGTGATTCAATTGTGATGGACTTGCAATTGTGTTATGATGGACTTGTGATGGACTTGTGATGGACTTGTGATGGGCTTGTGATTGACTTGTGATGGTCTTCTGATGGAATTGTGATGACTTGGGATTCAATTGTGATGGACTTGCAATTGTGTTATGATGGACTTGTGATGTCTTGTGATGGGCTTGTGATGGTCTTGTGATGGTCTTGTGATGGACTTGTGATGGACTTGTGATGGGCTAATTGTGATTGACTTGTAATGGTCTTGTGATGGAATTGTGATGACTTGTGATTGTGTTAGATTGTCTTGTGATGGACTTGTGATGGACTTGTGATGGACTTGTGATTGACTTGTGACAGTCTTCTGATGGAATTTTGATGACTTGCGATTCAATTGTGGTGGACTTGCAATTGTGTTATGATGGACTTGTGATTGTCTTGTGATGGACTTGTGATTGAATTGTGATTGACTTGTGATGGACTTGTAATTGTGTTAGATCGTCTTGTGATGGTCTTGTGATGGACTTGTGATTGACTTCAACACTGCTAGGGTCATTTGCACATGGGCTGCAGTAGCGCATAACATGTTGATGGGTACGTTTGACAGATGGCTGACCACACTATAACTTACTTGACAGCTTACCATTAAGATTTCATCAATCTGAGAAGCTTCACCTACCTTGTTCACAGTACGTTCCCCCATAGCCGTCCTCACAGAGACACACAAACGAATAGACCAGACCTACGACGCTTGTGAAACACTCTCCACCATTCTGACAGGGGTTGCTGGAACAGGGGGCGGGGACTACCAGAAAAAGAGGCGGACGATAAAATGGAGAAAAAAAAGTAAGCTATTTCACTGAACAATGTCTGTTGATAGTTAAGATACACAGCGCTACAGTGCCCAAAAAGTGCCCTCTCTTGTTCACTCACAGAGACCATTCTTAATTCTCACTTACCTATTTCGCAGTTGGTTCCTGTGTAGCCTGTTTGGCAGCCACAGACGTATGAATAGGACATCGCAGATTGGTAACATGACCCTCCGTTCCGGCATGGGTAGCTCAGACAAGGATTAGCAACTGTCAGCAAATAAAAGAAAAAATGTAAATATACCACAGCGGGATTCGAACCTAATACCTACCAGATACAAGTTTGGTGCTTCACCAACTGAATTATGCAGCCCTATGTTTGCAGTCTTCAAAATAAGCCAGTTCGGTTTCTCGATGAAATTGTCCAGGTCAAAGGTTATTCGGGATAAAATTGCTGACATGATGTTTACGCGATGTTAGGCGAACACCCACTCTGCTTGTAATAAACGCACAAGTGTTGTGTGCCATCGCCCTGCACATTCATACGCATTCAATGAGCGTTCAATGACTCAGGACCATATCATTGTGCACATGCGCAGTTGCAATACCAAACTGGCTTACTGTCAATATCTTCGTTCAAGGGTTCGAACCTGGAACCTGCTGGATGCAGGTACGGTGCTCTACCAACTGTCAAGGTCACATTGTTCACTCATGACGTCAATATCTTTGTATGGATTCGAACCTATGACCTAATGTATACAGGTATTGGTGTTGTAACAACTGAACTATACAGCTCCACTTCTCGTACCCACTTTAACTAATAACCACTTTAATGATGAATACTAACAGACTTACCTATTTGGCACTGTGTTCCCAGGTAGCCAGCAGGGCATGTACACTCATATCCATCGTTGGTGTTTAGGCAGATACCGTTGTTCTGACACGGTGTGCTCAGGCACGGCAGAGCAACTAGGAAAAAATACAGGAGTAATCATTTCAATTTTTCAATTCAGCTAAAGAAACTTATCTTTAAAACAGAATTCAAATGTGTGATCTGTAAGTTTATATGCGAATATAGGCTCCGTTCACAAGTATGCCCTCAACGGTAAGAAAGGGAGATTTTATGGAGACACTGGAAGAGACATTGCAACGCATTGCCTATGGCTTTGTACATATTCCGTTTAAAATAAGTTGTGCGTACTTTTGCGCAATACGTGCCTGAAGCAATGCACGAAGGAAGCATGTCCCTCGCATTTGAGCTCTCACAAGTGGCAAAGCGCCATCTATTGTTTATAAATGGAGTCCATTTGGGTCAAATACGCTCAACGTAAAAGTAAAGGTACAAAACAAATGTCCAAACTTACCGAATAGCTCGCAGTCGGTGCCGGCGTAGTATGTGGGACATCTGCAGGTATATTCCGAACCACGATTGACACACGTTCCTCCATTAATACACGGTACACTCAGACAAGGGTTAGCTAGGTGTATAAACAAAAACAATTCACAAGTTACTAAAAGTACAGTCTGTAGTCTTCACCAAATTCATTTTTTTTCCCCGACAATTTTTTCCCCCTTTTTATCCTGGTGTATGTCACATACTAAAAAGCATCTTATTGGGGTTGACTTTGCACCCAAAGGTTCTGCCCAGCGAGTAAACTGGTTCCTGGTCCCAACATTATTGATTCTAATAGGGAGGCAGGAACCAGTATATCCTGAAAGAAATTAATCATTGTCTGTCCGCAAATAATATGAAATGTGCAAAAATATTATTCCGTAATTAAATTTTGGAAATGTTTTTTTATTTGGTGTCTCATGCAAAAATGAATATATTTTGTATTGCTAAAAAAATAGCATGAAATAATATATATGTGAAATAATATGAAATGTGCAAAAATATTATTCCGTAATTAAATTTTGGAAATGTTTTTTTATTTGGTGTCTCATGCAAAAATGAATATATTTTGTATTGCTAAAAAATATAGCAATTTAAAAATGAAAACCTTTAACATTTAAAATATGAAATAAATTGTCTATGGACAGTGTGCATTTCTTAATAAATCTTTGAAAGTGCTCATTTTTCATCTAGAAATTAATGTTGACTTTTTAAAAAGATTTTAAGATGTGTTGGGTAAATAAGACTATGAAATATCGCCAAAAAAAACCCCAAAACTTACAATATTGGCAGTTGGTGCCGCTATACAAAATGGGGCATTCGCACTGGTATCCGTCAAACGAATCGTCCTTGATATAACTGCAGGAACCGCCATTCTGACATGGTGAACTAAAACACGGACTCACTGAAAAAGGAGAAAAAATGAGAAAAGGGCTAAAACCTTAAATTTTATGTCAGGAACAGCCAAAACAAAAAAGCAATTCCAGCATTAGGCCAAAAAAAAAAAGTCTCCGGTTTCTGATATGGAGCTTGCCCAAAAAGTGGTGCGGCGACGCGGCTTTTTTTTTTACCTTTTTTTTTGCTTCAAATGTCGGCTGATGACTGCAAATGGTGCCCGACTAAACTTAGTGCAAATATATGGGAGTCCAGAGAGGCCACATAAAGCTTATTCTCGATCATAACCCCATCTAAAAACACGTTAAAATTGTGCAGCAGCAGAATTCCAGTCAAACCAGTGAGTTTGGCGGTTTTTAGACATCATCTTTTATTGAAAAAAAAACCTTTTTCATTTTGCCGACGCGCATGGCTACGGCGACGTGCGCGCATACCAGAAACCGGAGACTTTTTTTTTTTGGCCTTATGTAATGTCCGTGCTAGAGCTTTTAAGAGCTCAGTGAATAAACCTGGGAAAAAAATTCAAATCTTATACATCCATCATCTAGTAATGGTCAAGGAGATTACAGACTAGGAGTTTTGGATCATTTCTCTGAATCATTAATTAAGTATCGTTGTTAATTGGCTCTATCGCAGGCATTACACTTCCTTTCGTAACGCTGGACTTTCCCAGATGTGTTACCAATTGTGGCCGTCCGTCCCTACAACCAAACTGTAAACGTGCAAATGTCAATTTTCGCAACGGCATAAAAATCTAAAACTGCCAGTCAGAAAAATTAGTCAAAAAATAATAATTTATAGTAGTTTTTCTTCGATTCTGGAAAAATAAGGAATGTCTGACAATTCAACCAAAAGAAAAAAATTCAGGTCAACTTTGAAATGTACGGAAATTATAAAATAAATAATTGATAAATTTTGAAAATGGCCATAGTTTTAAAATTAATTAAAGTTAAAAGTCTTTACCAATTTCACAGTTGATTCCGGAGTAGAGGTCTGAGCATGTGCACTCGTAGTAAGAATTGAACGGGTTGCACGTTCCGCCATTCATACAAGGGTTGCTTGAACAAGGCTCGTACGTCACTAAGAGTAACAGAATAACACAACAAAAATGTTCAATTTGGGATTAACCCTCCTGCTATCTGAGCAGTCACAGACAGTCAAAAAATCCTCTTCCCCTGCCATGCCTTTTACACAGGCTAGTCACCAACAGTCAGATCAGATTTCAAGTAAGCACTGTGACAAGTCAAATTCAGTCAACAGACAAAAGCAGACAAGTGGTAGGCACAGCTGGCTTATCAATCCCCTACAGTCAAAGCATAGCTGTATCAAGTTACATAAACAGTCACAGCCAGTCAATCCTGCTTTATGTAGGCTGGGAGCTCTTAACTGTTGAAAACAGTCACTTGATTGATTTTGACTAAAATGTCAACTTTGCACAGAATGTATGTTTGCATAGGAGAGATAAACAACGTCACACAAATTCAAATTGTTTTGAAATAAAGTGGCTGATTTTGGCAACATTCTGCATTCTAGAAATTTTGGGTCCACTTGTTTTTTCCTGCCCAAAATACATCTGACATCTATGATTGTATAATTCTGATGCACTCCTTAATGCAGTCGTCCTCCAAGAGTTATTATGAATAGCAAATGACCCACCCAACAAATATAAAATCATTTGAGGTCATTCTTAATGATTCTTGAATAGCAAATTACAAAGTACCAAGGTAACAGAGACAGGAAAAAAATGCCACACTTTGGACCTAAATGTATATAATGTACTTTTATCAAAATAAGTTTTGATGACTAAAAACTTACAAGCCATTAATTCTAAAATTATTTTGAAAAAATGGAAAAAAAAAATTTGATTTTGAATTAGGATGTAACTCACCAAAATCTAGACACTGAGTACCGGTCCATCCAGGATTACAGGCACATCGGTAAGCTGTGTTAGCGTTGAGAAGGAAACACGTGCCTCCATTGAAGCATGGATCACTGGCGCAGGGATTGTCAAAACCTGCAAGAAATACACAACACAAGTTTAATTATCAACACTCATATCAAATCCTTTGTGGTCAAAAGGACCCCATGTAAACTGGCCAAAGCGCACAGCCAGATGACCTTGGACACACAGAGATAAGAGCTCCCGGGCTCTGTGTATATACAGTAGCGCTGCCTAGCACGTGTACAATAAACAGACCCTACGCGCTGAGCCATCGAGAAACGGCAAATTTTATTGGAGTTTAGATGTACAATTCTTTAGTAAATGAATACACGTGAGCCTAAACCTTAACCAATCACAATAAGGGTTATATTGTTGAAAAGCTGAGACGAAGAAAAATGACTCGAGAGATCTAAGCTCCCAGGTGGCGCTATTTAACGTTATGATGATGTTAATGGACCAGTTCTTGGCTGAACGCATGGTTTACACACAAAACAGGAAGATTTTTGACTGAAAATGCAATGTTTAACATCAATTCGCGAGTGAAACTCAGTGTTTTATTCAGTTTTTCTTTCATTTTCTGAAAGAATATATTGTTAGGGTCACACTGTAGTGAGATCTAAGGTATACCCTGTCGAATAATGAAGTTGTGGCGACAGATGTGAAAAAAGGCCAGTATTTAATGATTTTTTCGCCGTGTTCTCTCATAGAGGTTGCACATAAAAACCGGCCTGGTGGGTTAGTTCCCCAAAGGAATTCATATGCGATGCAAAACTCAAGAATTTGGGATCAGTTACTCAATCAATGAGTCATCGGCGCTATGACAGATCCTTTGCCAAATAAGATGCAAGTTACTCATAAAAACTCAGGTACCAAGGATCTGTTACTCAAATATTAAGCAAGGATCACTTATCTAGGAATTGTGAACAAATTTGGCACAAGTTACTTAACATTAGGATCGGGTTGGTTACTCATCTAGTGACTCAAATGAGTTACACACTGAGTAAATCTTTTGCCACTTCCTTTGCATCACCTTTGATAACCATGAACTCATTCCAGCAAATGTAAGTTTAATACTCAAATACTATCAGTTTGTAACAAATATGAAGAGTAAATACGTTTACTACTCAACAAAGTCTAACACAAGCAAGGTTACTCATTAATCAAATCTTACTCATATGAGTTCTAAACTCGCCAACACTCATTTAATACAAAGTACTCAAATGAACAACAAAAGCATTTCAAAGGAGTTTTACTACTCATTGAAGTCTCACACAATCTTCAATGAAATCTTACTCATGAGTTTCAAACTCACCAACAAAGACTCATACATGAAAGGTTACTCAAGTGAGTTTTATTACTCACCAAAGGTGCACTCGTTGCCGGTCCATCCAGGTCTACAGTCACACTGGTAATCTGCCCCTACCTCCCTACATGTTCCGCCATTCTGACAAGGGTTGCTGTCGCACGGTATCGCTGAACAAAACAAACAAATAAATGTCTGATTGTCTCTCAAGTTTTCAAATAAATGACCGCACAAGGATCAAATACCTGAGCTAACCAGCATGAAGAACTTAAGCATAAGCACCATAAGACTTTCTCATTGGCTATTGTCTTCATGCATATTCATGCCTTCATGCATATTCATGTCTAGAATGCTGTAATCTGATTGGTCCAGAGAAGACACACATCAAGCTTCTAAGAATAACAATGGACAATTTATTTGTAAGGGGTCGCACGCAGGTAGCACAGATATACGAACATTTTGGCCGTACTGACACAAGATATTTTGACATGAGTAAAAATTGTGGATTAAACGTGGGGGTATACAAACTTACGTATTTCGCACTGGTCCCCGATCCAAGGTACCAGGCACGTACAGTTGTAGCCGTTGGGTTGAAGATGGCAAATTCCGTCGTTCATGCAAGGCTTGTTGTAGCAAAAATCCTCTAATAAATGATTTTAAAAATGAGAAAAGAAAAGGAATAAAAAATGAAGAAGAGTTAAAAACGGGACAGGGTAAAACTTAATGGAAAAATGTTTTATTTAGGACTGCTTCTAAGCCTCTAACACACAAAAAGATCTGCCTGACTTAAAGTTGGTACACAAATAATTAGAACCTTGGAACATAACTTAATGTCAGTGCAATTTGCATTCGAAGTGTCTCTGAACCAGTTCGCGCCGGGATTATTTTGACATTGACTGAACCAAGGCGTGGGATTGTTTTTCATGAACCTCGATGCCAGACAGATTCAGGCCGTCATCTGCGGGTAGCACACCCTAATATTTCCAGCCTCGCTTGTTGCGTGTGTATCCATCATCCGTTCTGAATACCACAAAACCTTTGCTGTATACACGTCATCTGACGTGAACTGGTAAAAAAGGAATAATTTTCGTTTTGCCAGAGAACCTTTTTTGGGGATGGTACAGAGTTGTAATGACTCGAGTCAATGACTCGACTCGAGTCCGACTCGAGTCACAATTTTTGGTGACTCGACTCGACTCGAGTCCCTAAGGGTAAATGACTCGTCAGAAGACTAGACTCGACTCGAGCGAAGGCTAATAAGACTCGAGTCCCCCCAAAAAAAGCACAACTTTGCGAAAAGAATTTGCAATGACTTACGGTGCAAAAATATGCTCACTTCGCTTTGCGAATAGCAGTCATGTATAAATATACAACGTGTCACAGACTCCCACCTCATGGTTCTAGAACGCACAAAATACTATCCAGGAACCAGATTGTTAAACAGATTTTCTAATTCGCTGTTTCATTATTGGCTTTGGGCAATTTCTTATAAAGCTCTTGCATGGATTCGAATGCTGGATAAACTTATGGCCTCCTTTTATAAATTTTGGTATATAGTGTTCAAATATTCGTGACTCGAATTGACTCGAGCTAAATACTTGACTCGACTCGACTCAACCTTTTGACCTAATGACTCGACTCGACTTGAGTCACTTCTTTAAAATGACTCGACTCGACTCGAGTCACGTCATTTTAAAATGACTCGACTCGAGTCACAAAAATCAGTGACTTGTTACAACTCTGGGATGGTTCTGCCCCAAACCACTCTGCCTGTTAATCCTTATGCTGCCCAAAACTGCCCCATCACTCTATGGTTATATGGATTCAACAATGAGTAATTACAGTGTCATACAATGTAATACAATGTAATACAATGTAATACAATGTAATACAATGTAATAGAAGTGTTAATGGATTAAAGTTGTGGTATATTTTACCTATTTCACAGTTGATGCCGATGTAGCCAGCTGCACACTGACAGACGTAGCCGTTCATTTCCAACTGACATTTGGCTCCATTAAAGCAGGGATCACTTACACAGTAATTCACTAAACAGTTCAAGCAAACAAAAATAACATCATTAATTAATTGATAACTTTTCTTCTTGTAATTTCAAATGTAAGCAAATAGGATAATTTGCAATTATCCCAAAAGTAACCTACCAAATTATTATCAAAAAGCTTACTTAGATTAAAGATTGTACTGGTACTAAACACCCTGTGAAATTATTCCGTCTGGCTTGCTGTCATTTAGAAGAAATCAAGAAATGTAGGTGATTTCTAGCGATCAGTCAATTGACTGATTTCTGGAAATAAAGAGTGCTGTTGACGAAATCATGTTTCATGATCAAAAAGTTGTGCATGGTTTTTCACTGTTTTCTCAAAAAGTGTGATATCCACTGAGCTGAGACTTCAACAGTTTAGGTTTTGAATATTCTTCTTTGGATTTTGAGTGGTGTTATTATTGGAAACAAACAAAATGCACGAAAAGCAAATAATCCTATATGCCTTTAAATAAAACTGATGTTTTTAATTACAGCAACACAAAAAAATACTTTTAGGCCCCAAAATGGCATAGTAAGGCCCCCCCCCCCCCCCAAAAGTCTCCTGTTTCTGGTATGCGCGCGCGTCGCCGTAGCCATGCGCGTCGGCAAAATGAAAAAGTTTTTTTTTCAATACAAGATGATGTCTCAAAACCGCCAAACTCACTGGTTTGACTGGAATCCTGCTGCTGCACAATCTTAACATGTTTTTAGACGGGGTTATGATCGAGAATAAGCTTTATGTGGCCTCTCTGGACTCCCATATATTTGCACTAAGTTTAGTCGGGCACCATTTGCAGTCATCAGCCGACATTTGAAGCAAAACAAACAGGTAAAAAAATTTTTTTTAAAAAGCCGCGTCGCCGCACCACTTATTGGGCAAGCTCCATACCAGAAACCGGAGGCTTTTTTTTGGGCCTAAAGTGCCCGTATTGCTAAAAAAAAAAATTCTGATTCGGTTTTCTGACATACAATGCATTTCTCTTACCTATTTCGCAGTGCGTTCCCACGAATCCACTTTGGCATGTACAGATGTATCCATCCTCCAGTAGCTGGCACCCACCACCGTTCATACATGGATCGCTATTGCAGTGATTCACTGATGACAAAAATAAGAAAATTGGGCAAAGAACAATGAAATTTCAGTGTTGTGTTGGAGATAAAGAGATTTTCTCATTGTATAACTGAACCAATAATTGGCCCCTCCCACATGTCAATCAAACACAGCTCACTGACCAATAAGATCACACTTTTTGGTCAGGTGACCATTGTAGCTCAGTCACAAGCACTGTGAGAAATGAACACAAACCAAAGGTGGGCGGGGCTTATGGCCAAATCTGGATTTTTCTTTGACCATTTAGATCATGACTTCTGGTCATTTGAGCATGATTGATATTGGTCACAAGCACTGTGAGAAATGTACACAAACCAACGTGGGCGTGGCTTATAACCAAATCTGGATCTTTCAACGACCAATTAGATCACGACTTCCCATCAGGTGACCACGATAGCTTGGTCACCAACTTAAAATAATCTAATAATATTATAACTCACCTATATCACAGTTAGCTCCTACGAAGCCGTTGGCACACTCACATGCATAGCTGTCATTGATGAGCGCACATGAACCCGTCACACATGGATTGCTAGCACAGTGGTCAACTGAAGAATAAAAATACAAACAAAAAGAATTAAGTTGACTTTATAGAATTGATTTAAAGATGCAATCCCCGTACTTTGCGCGACACGAATTTACTTCTCCAGACAAACAAATTTACGAAAACCATATTTTGAAACCCCCAGAACTTCATTTGGTCTTTCTCAATTTGTTTTCTGTTATTTATCAACTTCTGAACCAAACTAAAATTCGGCTACAGATATTTCAAAATTTGTAATGTCATTACACCGTAACTATTAGTAGGGATTTTCGGTTTAATGTCTCAATCAAATTTGAATAACTTTGTATTACTAGGAAAAAGCAATTGAAATATGTATATATTTTTCTGAATTAAACTTGTTAATAGCTCAGCAGTACAGCTTGAAGCCCGGTTCATACTTGGCACGAAAGTGAAAGCGAACGTGAATTCGTGACGTCACAGAGAGTATTCGTGCTGCAAATTCGTAAAAGCTGAACATATTTCAACTTGGGCGAATTTCGCAGCGATCGTTTCATGACGTCAAATTTGCTTCGTATAAACGCATTCGCGTGGAGTATGAACCGGGCTTAATAGAGAATTTCTGAAGCACTGACTTATTTGACAGTTGTCGCCTAGGAATCCGTCTTCACATTGGCAGTTGAAGCCATTTGAGGTCAACTGGCAGTTCCCTCCGTTTTGGCAGGGTTCGTCAAAGCAAAAATCAACTGTTGAAAAAAACACAACAATATTAACTGAATGAATGTTGTATGGGCTTTGTGCATATAGTCCTGGTTGTGGCAAAGACGATGTACATTTCACTGTAAAGACTGGTTAATTACAATCTAGAATAACTGACCTCACGCTAAAAATTCACACTGCTAATTCACAAAAAGTTGAGCACATTTTGCCAAATTTCGTCATGGATGCTTTCATTTCTCATATTGGACCAATCTGTTTGTACAGTATCTTTTTTTAAGCTTATACCCCAACTTAAAGCTATAGTCCATCATTTGCAGCCATCTGAAAAGTAACTGGCGTAATTATTATTGAAAAACAAACTTGGTTGAAAGATAGTAAGGGAACTAAACTCCCTGTGAAATTATTCTTTCTGGGAAGCTGTCATTTTGAAGTAATCAACGAAAGAAGGCATTTCCAACGGTGATTCTTAAGAAGCACCGTAGGAAAATTTAAATCAAAAGTTCGTTTTGTTATTCAGCGCAGCGCGCACAAGTATTGGAACAACGCACACGCGCGCGCGGTTGTTGTAATTTGTCGGATCAGTGCGCGACGTCGCGTATAGCTGCAATTCAAAACAATTCAAAACATGATTCAGTAACTTTTGATTTGAAATTGAGATCTTAGAATGCTGTTTTTCTCGGAATGTACAGCTGAAGCTTAGCTGAAACTTCATCAGGTTAGTTGCTCAGTATCCTTCATTAGATTTTGAACTCTTTTGTTGCTTCAAACGAACAAAATGCACAAATTACAAATGATGGACTATAGCTTTAATGCTTCAAAATTTGCTATTCAGTAGAAAGATAACGGGAAACACCATGTGGAAAGTAATCTCTTCTTGGAAGAAGTGTGGTTCTGAAAAGAACCAGTGCGTTGAGTGTAGAACTTGACGTTTTCGGACACTCAAACCAACCGATTCTTTTCAGAACCACACTTCTTCCAAGAAGAGATTACTTTCCACATGGTGTTACTCGCAATCTTCCTACTTTATCTCATCCGCCATGCAAAACTTCAAGTCAAATATAATCTCTTCTTGGATGAAGTGTGGTTCTGAAAAGAACCGGTTGGTTGAGTGTAGGACTCGACGTTTCGGACAGTGTACTCTGTCCGTCCTCAGAAGGGTGATTTACTATTCAATTTAAATGTTAGGTTTTTTTTTCGAGTGCAAGAAGACTAAACTTAAAAAATTCATTGTGACATATTTGAGGACAGAGCAGCTTCATCAGTTGAGCTAATTATGATAGATCCTAAGTACATCAAGAGGCTAGTCACAAGTCAATCACAAGTCCGTTCATAAGTCCAGTCACTAGTAACAGGGGATGAACAGTAACAAAGGAATGACTTTGTCAGAGTTCTTTTGTATAGCTTATGACTTGAATTGGAGTTGGATCGCTTGAGATTGACTTGTGATTGATTTGTGATGGACTTGTGATAATTTGTGATCTATCTTAAGTGCTGCTGGTGTAAGATGGCCACAATACCACGCTTGATGGCTTTACAATTGAACGCCGATGCATCTTTGTCTCTATCGCGGCTAGCTACTGAGACCCTTTTCAAAAGAAAGGGGTTTTTCCTCTTGATGTAGCTTATGACTTGAATTGGAGTAGGATCGCTTGAGATTGACTTGTGATTGATTTGTGATGGACTTGTGATAATCTGTGATCTATCACAAGTACCTTCACTACAAGTCAAAGGAAAACTGACTTACTTGCGTCACAGTCTCTGCCGATGTACGGATCCACGCACAGACAGTTGTAGCCAATGGCGTCAGTCAGCAGCTGGCAAGTAGCATTGTTCTGGCAGGGTTCGGCAAAACAATGATCAACTGTCCGCAAACAAAGGAAACAAAAAATTCAAATTAAATCAGGAAATTGTAATAAAAAGTAGACTATTTCCATAAACATGAATGTAAGTTTTTTGTTTTTATTTTCAGTTTTTTTAAACCGTCCTGCTATTTAAGCAGTCACAGACAGTCAAAATTCATTTCCACTTCCCCTGCTATATTTTCAACAAAGGCTAGTCACCAGCAGTCAGATCATATGTCCAGCAAGCGCTGTGACTAGTCAAACTGGGTCAACAGACAAAGCAGGCAAGTTGTGGTCACAGCTGTTTTATCACTCACCCGGAGTCAAAGCATAGCTGTATCAAGTTACTTAAGCAGTCCCAGCCAGTCAATCCTGCTTTATGTGGGCTGGGAATTCTTAACTCTTGAAAAGTTTTGCTTGATTTTGACTGCCAGGACAACTTGGCACAGAATGTATGTTTGTATTGGAGGGTTAATAAATTGCTTGTGTTATGAACATTGGTAGTAAACAAATTTAGGAAAATTTGCATATGTGACAAGGTAAATCTATAGTAAAGCTGTCCAAGAGTGCACACTTCAAAACGGGAATGCCGCAAAAGCTTCTATAACTTACAGAATTCACAGTGTGTGCCGAAGTAATCCACAGGGCATGTGCAGTTGTATCCCTGGTTGGGAATAAGATCGCACGCTCCCTGGTTGAGACACGGGTTGCTGCTACAGAAATCCTCTGTCATAATTAGAAATAAGAATCACTGAAATGTTTTACGATACATAACCAAATTGCCATGCTCCGGAAAAGGTTAAGTGATATGTCGATCAGATATCGATCGAAGCACAGGTCAATCAGAGGGCAGGCAATACGTTGCACAGTTTATGGGATACTTGTCGATTTGTGTTCGACCCACGATAACTTGAATACCTTTGAACCATCTACAATTTCTGTTTTACCTAATAGCATACCCTATAGAATCTTAACTTTATTCCTGGTAAATATTGGTTTGATTTTCAAAAGGGTTTTGAAATTATTTGTGTTCAAAAAAAGGCATGTCCAAAACAAACTCAACCAATTCAAGGAAAATCAATCATGAGCAATTTTTTCTAATGTGGAAATGGTTCATCGTGATCATGATGTGACGATCTCGTTGCCTTTTACGTTCTATGTTTCCTATTCTTTTCGATCCCATTGACTACACCTTTAAATGCATTCAGAATATTGTTCTTCGTTTCAAGTTCAATTTTGAAATTCATGTGCTAGTTTGTACCTATTCAAAGAGTGTGCTCAAAGTGTGACCCGAGTTTGCATCTGATGTACCGCATCATCGATTTTCCTTGAAATCGGTTGAGTTTGTTTTTGACATGATTTTATTTGAACATGAATAATTTTAAACTCTTTTAAATATCAAACCAATACTCACCATGGATAAAGTTAAGATTCCAAGCTTTAAAATGATATAAAAATAATGGCGGTACATGTTTCTGCGCCGACGCCAGAGCCTCGCTTAAAAAAGTTGCAGATATTTTGGGACGCGCTGTATATATATCTCATCATGCCTGTATTTTTTTATTTATCCAGGGCCCCCAGGGAGAACAGTTCACTGACAACTGATGGGGCTCCCCTGGTAAAATAACACAAAATAAATAAATAAATTGAAAAGGAAATAAAAATGACAAATGAAGACTGAAATAAAAGAACACATTCTCAAAAACACCTACAGAAAACAGCAAAGTTTTCTCTTTAAAATAAGGGAATAAATGTGTGCTCCGGAGGTTTTTATCACTCTGTTTAAGACCGCTTAGAGTCTGGGTGCTGATAATTACCCGAGCCGGAGGCGAGGGTAATTATCAGCACCCAGACTCTAAAAGTCTTAAACAGAGCGATAAATACCGACCGAGCACATATTTATTCCCATTCATAAATACCTTTTCGGTAAAAAACCCCCAAATAATTCGTTCAAAAAATCCCGATTTTTTTTCAACAAGTTCACTTCGTCATGCTTTTTGAAACATCCCTCTAGCAAAATAATGGAGTGTTCAGCTGGCGAGTAAGATGTTAACAACCCTTTTATGGAGATTGACGCGCGCGTAACATGTTCTGCGCGATGTCACGCAGAACGCACCTGGGGCGTTGCGTTTTGAATTTAGAACTATAAAATTCTGACTCCCTGGTAGTGTTGCGCATGCCTACGTGAGGATTGTGAACGTTCAACTAATGAAACGGTAAGAGGCACTGGATTTTAAGGAGTCCACATTTTATTGTGACACTGGAAAAGTGTTTAAGACCAGCTAGCCATGGCTTTATCATCCGTTTAAGACCGGCCACGTGACGGGCTCTCGACCAATAGGAATAGCTAAACTGTCTGAGGTATTTATGAATGACGGTTAATACTTTACAAATGTGATGAAGGTGCAGCATTCAATACAGTGTCACAGAATTGTTAAAATATAAAATACAAACAAATCAAAAACTGAGGTAAATGCATTACCCTCGCAGTTCAATCCAGAGAACCCGGCCAGACACGTGCACGTGTACGAGTCAATGGTTTGTGAGCACATTCCATTATTCTGACAGGGGCGTGAGGTGCAGGGCTCCAGGCCTGATGATGAGGGGCAGAGGTGAATTGTGGGAAACAGTGCGAGGAGACAGAAATGGAGTGATCGTGGAGAAATACAAACAAACAAATCACAGCAAAACAAAAATTACAACAAAAAACATGCATCTAGAATAAAATTCAATATCATGCAAATGTTTAATAGAAAATCAGTGACGATACATCATAGAAATGATTTGTACATTTATTCAGCATTTTTGTGACTAAAATGAAAGAAAATCACAGATGTGGAAACGTGCAATGTCTCAAAAGATGAACCTTTTCAGTACCAAATTCTTTGTTTAGTCATGCACAAATTACTAGACGACTCGTTAAATAAAAAATAATCTAACTTTTTACAGACATGGTTTTCAGTATCAAGAATGGATTGAAGTTGGTATGTTGTTATTATTTTTTGTGTGTGGTTTCCATGGCAACGAAACTCAACATTGGTACCAAAAGGGTTACAAGTTGTAAACAAAGTTTCCAAACAAGAATTCTGACAAGTTCAGATTTAGTGAGCTAAATTGGACTAAAGAAGATAATGATGAATGAAATTACACTGAAAATCGTCACGAGATCACTTCACAGCATACAGGGAATGGTGATAGCGCCCTCAGGGGCTAACGCACACATCGGATACATTTCTTACCGATCTCGCAGAACGTGCCCAGGAAACCGTCCGCACACGTACAGGTGTAGCCAACGAACGGTTGTAAGTTACACGTGGCCCCGTTCTGGCATGGGTTACTGCTACAAAAATCCTCTGACAGAAACAAAAATCAAGAAGTCAACAAAATGTGTTGCCCAGATCCAGCGAAAGAAAAAACAGGCTTTTGAGGATGACTTCATAACCAACTTGGGGGTGTGATCTGTCACAACTTGGAGGGGGGGGGGGGAGGTGTTAAGAGGGGGTGTTGGGTAGGAGTGGGGGTTGGAGGGGGGGGTGTTAAGAGGGGGGTGTTGGGTAGGAGTGGGGTTTGGGATGTGGGGGTGGGGTGGGGCTGAGGGAAGGGGTGAGGTGAGGGTGGGCTGAGAGTTGGGGTGGGAGAGGAAGTGGGGGTGGGGGTGGGGTGGGGTGGGGTGGAGGTTACAGGGTGGGGGAAAGAGAATTCACTGACAGAACTCACCGATTTCACAATGTGTGCCCAGATAGCCATCTACACAGGCACAATTGTAGCCGTCCGACAACAGATTACACGTTGCATTGTTTTGGCACGGATCACTGAAGCAATAATCAACTAAAACAGAAGGAAAAAAGGAACGATAAGTTAATTAAAATTTTGATGAGCAATTGCAAGTGGCTAGCTTAGAAGGAAAATGTAAAACAAAATGTGTGCAACCGAAAAAACATGTGGTGTTGGGAAGATGCATGTTTTTTTGCTTATATTGTGCATAGTGGGCGGGGCTTATGTTGCGCACAGTGGGCGGGGCTTGTGTTTTGCATAGTCGCGGGGCTTATAGTGGGCGGGGCTTATGTTGTGCACAGTGGACGGGGCTTGTGTTGTGCATAGTGGGCGGGGCTTGTGTTGTGCATAATGGGCGGGGCTTGTGTTTTGCATAGTCGCGGGGCTTATAGTGGGCGGGGCTTATGTTGTCCATAGTGGGCGGGGCTTATGTTGTCCATAGTGGGCGGGGCTTATGTTGTGCACAGTGGACGGGGCTTGTGTTGTGCATAGTGGGCGGGGCTAATGTTGTGCATGATGAGGCTTATGTTGTGCATAGTGGGCAGGGCTGATGGCCCAATCTGGGAGGGTACATTATTACCTTCGCTACAAGTCGTTCCCAGAAATCCTTCCACACAGTGACACATGTAACCATCCGTCAGCAGCTCACACGAGGCTCCATTCTGACACGGATCACTGAAACAAAAATCAACTGAAGAAAGAACAAATATTTATCAGTTAAAGTTTAATAAAGTTTGGAAGATTTCCATCTACAAAGGGAAACTTACAGCTAACGACAAAATAACAAGTATACTTCATGCAAAAAGGCATGTGGGTAATTTGTGCAAACTTTTTTCTTGTTTTTTTGGGATTATTTCTTTTAAGAATCAAGTTCTTCTTTCGGAGAAACTGTTTGTTTTCTTACCTTGTGCACAGTTGAAGTCTAAGAAACCAGGCTGACAGGTACAAGTAAAGTTGGCATCAATTTCCCCTAAAACAACGTCGCAGGTACCTCCGTTATTACAAGGGTTACTGAAGCATGGATCCTCTGTAGGAATGAAAGGAACAAGAGGAGGTGAGGAACTAGACTCACAAGTTCGGCCATTTTGAAATTATTTTACATAGAGATTTGTGGGCTGAAAGTGAGGCTACTGAACAAATAGTCTGGTACCTATGATATAGAAACGTATGAAAACTATAGGTCGGCATTAAATAATAAAATGAGGGGAATTTCTAAATGATCTAATTCCGACAAATTTGTCCCAATATAAAATTGAGAAATATAAATATGAAAGCTGTCGAATCTTGTAGTTTCGGTGGAAATTGGGAATTACTTGATAACCTGCTTTAAAAAAAATATCAAAAGTGAGTTTCTGTGCGATTGGAAATGGAAGTTACTGAAATTGAGACAATTTTAAGTTGCAATTTTCTCCTTTTTGGTAAATTTCCACATTCACACAAAACCATTCAATCAATAAAAAAAAAATATGAATTTGGAAAATCTGTGAAATTACTTTAAAATTCGTTTCCTATAACCAAAGAGACTCAAGTATGTTTTTTGCAAATGTTGGTCATATTTAAATTAAAGACCTAATGTACAGGATGAATAAAAAAAAAAGAAAACCCAAAAGGCAGGACTAATTTTTGTATGAAGTTCTGCATGTAGCACTTTCAAAATCTAGAATAGGAACGCCGAACTCATTAGCTTTCTTTTCAGTACAAGAATCATTTTCATAGTTCAAGACACAGAGTTTTGAACACAAGAATTGTTTTACAGTTCTGTCCACAAATCACAAAAAAAGGTTAGTGTTCTTTCAGCAAAATGAAAACAATTCACATAGGAATCTAGGTGAATTGATATTGTTTGCTGAAAGAACACTTGATCTGTGGACAGAACCTTAAAACAGTGTTTGTGTTCAAAATTCATGAAAAGTGCATGAGTGATTTGAATGATTCTTGTTCTTGTAAGAAAGCTTATGAATTGGGCTTTCATATCCTAGATTTTGAAAGTGCTACATGCAGTACTTCATTCAAAAAATGTGGATTTCCTTTTTTTTTTATTCACCCTGTATTAGCATCGTTCTGACATAATTAAGTGACACGAGAGTGCATGCATACCCTCGCAACTTAGTCCGGACCATCCGTGAACACAATCACAAACATAAGATGGGCCATTCTCATGGCATGTTCCATTGTTCTGACAAGGGGTGGACAAACATGGGCTAACGGCTGTGAAAGGAGGGTGAGACGTGAGACACAATGTGGAGAAACAAGTGCAGACGGAAAAAAGTGAAAATGGAAATAAAATAAATGAAAGAATGGATGTTAAATTACAAAAGTTACAATATCGGAGTTGACTCCAATGAAATACAAGGAAAAAAGTACAAGCAAACAATATTTGTAAAATAGGGAATTTACAAATTCAGTTGGGGAAGAATGATAGCCACATAACGATAACTATAACAAACAAGTGAAAAATCAGTGAGAATTTTGTGGGCTGAATATGGAACAATTATATTACATTTTTGCTACAAGTATAAAGACAATGCGAAAAACAATTTGATTAAAAGTGTTGACGGTGAAAATGGTTACGGAACTGAACAGCGAAAACATTTGAAGAAAATTAGAAAACAGATTCTGATGGAAATTAAAGATCAAACTGTGATTTAACAGTGAAAGATAATTCTAGCATTACTTTTCTAAATTCTGATTGTTGAGAAAAGTCAAAATTGACATTACATGGGTAGAAAAAACTGAGATAATTTATATTAGACGAGGACACAAATGCAAAACACTTTAAAAATAACAATATATGGAAACATCGATAAAGCACACTTCACACACAAAATTCCAACTTTAGTGAATACCTATTTCACAGTTTGTGCTCAGCCAGCCGTTGGGGCAAGCACACTCATACCCAGGGTCTGTGTTGGTGCACGTAGCACCATTCTGGCATGGGTTGCTACGACAGGCATCCTCTGAAAATGGGAAAGAGGTTGACAGTAAAGAAGTATTATACAGTAATATTCAGTGCGCTCAGAATTGGTTATGGAAATTCCAAACTTAGAATTTTCTGTGAGAAACTGCAGAGAAGATGGCATTTTTGACAATTTTTGAGAGCCAGAGTGCGAACTGGTTCGCACACATATGGCGCAAAGCACACACAGCTAATTGTATTTTGTATGTGTGCAAAGCCATAGCGTCTTTGAGGAAGCGTCAGGCGTCGTCAGCAATGCGTTGGAATGTCTCTCCCAGTGGTCACCCCCAACTCTCCCTTTCTTACCGTTGAGGGGGTACTTGCGCACGGAGCCTATTAAATAAATACTCTTCAAATAGAGGCCAAGTTCGCGCAAGGACTATAGTTGACCAATGGTTAACTAACGTTTGCCCGAACTCTGTCTAGTCGACGGTGGTTGACTACGCTAGTCGACTATTTGGAACCAGCCTACTGGGGTTGGTTGCTTCGCTGGTAACCATAGCCGCGCGCGTTCATAACGCAAGCAGAGAGCCAGGATCCAGAAGTTTTGCGATGACATTTTGACCAGCGTTTGACTAGAGACGTTCGCACGTCGCTATCAGTGCGCAGGCGTAAGGTACGTCACAAATCAACCACTAGTCGACTAATGGTCCTTGCCCGAACTTGGCCATTGTTGACTTATAATTGCACATAAAACAGGATTTTGCACCAATAGCATCTATTCTTATCAGTAATTTCTGTTCTAAGAGAAGTATTTCTTGTACCTATTTCACAGTCCGTACTTGTCCAGCCGGGCACACAGTTACAGATGTAGTTACTCAGGCCATCTAGGACACACGTAGCGTTGTTCTGACATGGGCTGGGCAAACATGGGTCATCTGTAAGATGGAGAAAAGTTTAACTAAGTCACATAAATGTAGAGGCCAACAACGATTATTTGGTTAATCTATTAATCAATTATTGTGTTGTTTATTCGTTATCTTTTTTTCAGTTCAATTAATCGAGAACCACTGTGCGAAAATAAGGCTGCCTTTTAAAAGACTAATAAGGCCAAAAAAAAAAAGTCTCCGGTTTCTGGTATGCGCGCGCGTCGCCGTAGCCATGCGCGTCGGCAAAATGAAAAAGTTTTTTTTCAATACAAGATGATGTCTCAAAACCGCCAAACTCACTGGTTTGACTGGAATTCTGCTGCTGCACAATTTTAACGTGTTTTTAGATGGGGTTATGATCGAGAATAAGCTTTATGTGGCCTCTCTGGACTCCCATATATTTGCACTAAGTTTAGTCGGGCACCATTTGCAGTCATTAGCCGACATTTGAAGCCAAAAAAAAAAAAAAACAGGCAAAAAAAAAAAAAAAGGCCGCGTAGCCGCACCACTTTTGGGGCAAGCTCCATACCAGAAACCGGTTTAAGCACGTGCCAGAAAATATCTCAAGTCCCCCAACAAATGTGAAAATGAAAAAATGAAAACATTCAACAAACTCTTTCACAATACTCTATCATTTGGAGGTGGAACAAACATTCATCCTCAAAAAATAAGCAAAGACATCAGTCTACAAAGTCATGAAGTTTTAGCACAAAAAAGTATCATACAGCGATGAAACTTTTCAATTAATCGAGAACCACTGTGCGAAAATAAGGCTGCCGTTTAAAAGACGAATAAGCACGTGCCAGAAAATATCTCAAATCCCCCAACAAATGTCAAAATGAAAAAATGCAAAAATTCAACAAACTCTTTCACAATACTCTATCACTAGGAAGAGGCACAAGCACAAAAAGGCACATAGTATGTGAATATGTCCCCCCCCCCCAAAAAAAAAAAAAAATCTCTGAAAATCAATAACTACTTTTTGTGAATTTTCTTTTGCAAGTAGAGAAATTCATCCTTAAAAAATAAGCAAAGACATCAGTCTTCAAAGTCATGAAGATTTAGCACAAAAAAGTATCATACAGCGATGAAACCGGAAAAAAATGTAGAGGAAAGTTAAATGTAAAATATAAAGAGTAACGGTTCAGCATTAACAAAATGCTAAGGTTAGCTAGTGTAACTTCCCCAACAAATTTGAAATTAAATTAATTCTAAAAAAACAAGTATTTGTTTTTCGTACCAGCATGGCAAACGTCACCGATCCATCCTCCTGGGCATGTGCAGTTGAAGTCCGTGTCACCGTTGTAGACGCAAACGCCGCCATTTTGGCAAGGGTTGTCGAAGCACACATCCACTGTATTAAAAACAAAGTGTAGATGAATTCGGGCACGTTACACTATACACTCGCCCCCCATCAACGGAGAAACCTTTGTGCTAGCTATTGTACAAAGTAACTGTCCTGTAACAGATTATCTGGACCATAGCTAGCACCATTGAAGGGGGCCTTCATGATAGAATTGTCAGCATGACCAAATTGTATTTGCTTCTGAAGAATACTGACCATTTTTTTCCTCAATGGAGAGCTCCTAAACAGAACATACTTTGAACAAGTTTAAACAATCTCATTTTCTAGAAATTTGTTGATCCATTGGTAATTCTTAAGATGTCGCTTACCGATTTCACAGTTGGTTCCCCGCCACCCATCAGCACAGGTACAGTTGTAATCACTGGTACCCACTGGGTTGAAGCACGTAGCTCCGTTCATGCAAGGGTTGTCCACAATACAGGGATCAACTGTGAATGCAGAAGTAAATATATAAAATCAACAGCGTTTTCACGAAGGGACGAATTGGGCCATCGGGTGTTAGACTGTGGTTTTGAGAAAAACAGGTTTTAAGTTGGTCACTTTTTGAAATTAAGATTTCGCCAAGTTTGAGAGCACATGTTGACTAATTTTTGATACAGATAGTAAGCTGAGATCTTAAACTTCAAAGATGTACCAATAACAGTATAATAGAACAATTAATTGTGGAGTAATTAATCTCCATAGAGATTTGTTTGTTCGTGAAAGCTCAAAATCCCACGCGCCCATTGTTTTGGCAAATTGTCAATACCCATTGCCTTAACCTTTGCGCTAATTCGTCTCTTTTTGAAAACTTAAAGTCAAACACGCGCGTTGTTTTGCCCTTCGCGTGCACTCAATTCCTCTCTTCGTGAAAACTTAAATTCCACACGTGCGATGTTTTTGCCCCATAGAACAACGTGATAGAGTTTGAATTTGTCTCTTCATGAAAAACTCAAACTAGGTGAAATTTTCCTTATATTGATTGTCATGATTTTGTTGATTTAAACTGATTTTGACCCAAAAAACTTCGCTAAAATGTTCGTAGCTGTTCACTTAACCGATTTCGGCCGGAAAAAGAATATTGAAATATGGTTTTTGGCCTAATTTGTCCCTTTGTGAAAACACTGACGAAATTTGTACATTTCAGATATGTCATTATTATCAATGTTCATGTCGCGCTTTAAGAAAGGCTAAGCTAGAAAGGCTGGTCCAAGTACACACAAGAATGGCTGTTCACTGGAAGTCTTATCATGCATCTGCACCCGATTTCACGAAGCGCTGCGACGCGTCGTATCTTCCATTTCACGAAAGTTGCGATGTGTTGAACGCGTCGTAAGTTCCTTGACAACGGCTTAAAATACGTCGCAAGTTACGACGTGTCTAGTGGTCATCGCAAAATAAGAAGAGTCATTTCTAAGCCAGTTTTATGCCACAAATTACGTTAACGAGATTATAATACCGAGGCAATGTGTGTAAAGTTGTAAAAAGAAAATTCATTGAATAATTATGAATTAGACTGGAATATTGGAGTTGAAATTTCAAAGTAGCTATACAGTCCAATGAGAGCTTGTTTTCCTTCAAAATTGCATCGTACGGCCGCCATCTTGTTTTACGTTTTAACAAATTTCTAGCTGAGATCCGACGACTCTTTGTTGAATATCAGACGACTATTTACTGTACGCTGACTGAAGACATAAAACAGTCACCGAGTTGTGCTATAAATACACCTACGACGCGTCGCACTTACGACGTGTTTAGTAAAATGGATCGCAGGACGCGTCGCAGCTGCGACACATTGTAGAGATACGACGCGTCACATCGCTGCGATGCATCGTAAGTTACGGAGAGTTTGATGAAATCGGGTGCTGGTCTACACAATTGGCCGGATTTAGCCATTCATTGGTGTAACTTGGTAATCCTATACAACAGCACTGCCCGGCTCACACGTGCCAGTCAGTCAGTCAGTAATGCAAAAACGTGTTTATTATTACAAGTTTTCTACCTCTAAGAAAAACATCTGCCTATCATTCTGAAGATTTTTATCAGTGTTAGCGACCAATCAACAGTAACTATTAGTCTAACAAACTTACCGATGTCACAGCTTTTGCCGGAGTAACCATCTTCACATGAGCAGGAATACCCATCAGCTTCCACAGTGCAATTGCCGCTGTTCTGACAAGGGGCCGGTAAACACGTATCAACTAGAGAAAGAAATGCCCATAATCAAAACTAAACTGTGATATCCATCAAGTAGTATCATTAATTTAATAATTATCCCTAACAGAACTTAACCCATCCAACCCCAACAGCATGTATTATTGGAATCTGTCAGGATGGGTACAGTACCCCTAAACTGACAGTCTTTTACATTGGGTTGGCACACCTCCAGAATCAAAGTCAGAAATATGTGTGTGCAGTTTCCCATATGGTGTTGGAATTTGCCAGGATGGGTATGGTTCCTAGTAAATCACGCTAGGGAGTTAGGATTTTAAAGAAGGCACACTATTATTAAGTTGAATTGTTGTAACGTCCGTCACAAGTCAAACCACAAGTAACAAAGGATGAGCGATGACAACGAATGCCTTTGTCAGAGATCATTTGAATAGCTTGTGACTGGCTTGTGACTGACTTGTGATGATCTGTGATGATCTGTGATAATCTGTGACAACTCAACAACTCGGCACTCAAAGCAGAAACACAGGCAAAAACAACCAAAACAAGAAGTGATATAAAAGTGAAATAAACAATTATTATCTCGTGATAAACAATTATTATGTACAAGTACACTAATCGCAATACGGTTTATATATAGAATTGTCTAAAATATATCCTGCATGAGACCAATTTGTTCAGATTTAGGTTGAATTTACCGATATCACAGTTGGTGCCGATCCAGCCCACAGCACACGTGCAGTCATACAAACCGGTATCTGGGTTGGCGCACGTCGCGCCGTTCTTGCACGGTGACAGAATCAAACAGGGGTCACCCACTGGAGGACAAATACACAAACAAACAAATCGTGCAGTGCGAAAAAAAAATCAAACCAACCATGAAAGTGTTTACAAAGTTTGGTAGACAGAAACACCGCAATGGAACGCAACACTACAAAACGACTGAAATTACAAGTGATCGTTTTGAGCACTTTCGTATAATCTGAAATCTTCGTGCAAGACCCGGGTCAAATCCAGATATTTTGAAAGCGCGTTTCACACAAGCAAGAATCTAACACGGCTTCTACAAGGGTTCAACGCTCTACCCAGGTATAAGCCAACCCTGGATAGGGCCAGGATTGAGACTCTCTACCCGGGTAAAAAATCCAAACTCTACGGCCGGCCCAAAACAAGCTGGCGACAGTGAACAGTCAGCCTTGTAGACCCACGTTCGATGGGACCAAACACTTCGCGCCGGGATCATTTTTGCCAAAAATTTCGATTTTTGCAAAAGGCAACATTTTCCAGCCAACTTCTGATATACAGACAAACGCCTTAAACACTGATTCGCAAGAGTCATTTCAACAGTATTTGTATGATGTTTCTTGACGAAACCTCACATGTTTCAATACTCCGGGCGTTCACTGGAGCGTAAATTGTACAATAGGCCGTGCACAACGGCCAATTCAAGATCAACACACGGTCCGCCTACACAGAATTCACGGACTTTGTGGGTGTGTACAAAAGGCACGAGGGATTAGCGTGTTTAGACGTAACCCGGAGGCGAGTTGAAGCAATCTTGACATTTAAACGGCTCAGCCATGCCTGTGTATAAAAACAGCCAGTGCGTGTTATCACGTCCTACGACGCGAACTGGTTAAACTCACGTAGGACCTAAGTTAATTTTAGCATGGGTAGGCCAGACAATAGTGTGAAAGGGCCTAAATTCTCAGGTTTTCAAACAAAAATACGTTACCAATGTTGCAGGTGTCGCCGACCCATCCACGCTGGCATGTGCATGTATACAGGTCTGGTTCCCCGGTACACATGGCACCGTTCTGACAGGGACCGCTCAAGCATGGATCCTCTGAAGGTAAGGCATTGAGGACAAAAAACAGAGAGAATTTGAGAATAAAAAAAAATAATTTCTGATTCAGTCAGTCAATCGATTCAATTACAAGTTATAAACAAGAAGTATTTTGTGCAAAACAGCTCCATAGTTAAAAGTTTCCAGATGAATTTGATGACGATAAATACAAAATTGTGCTTTAAAATCACATCTGTGTTTATGTAAATATTGCTATTTCAAACTCTTTTACCTTATTTATGTCAAAAGCAAACTTAATATTGAAATGATTTCTTGCATTGCAGTAATGACGGTTCCATTAACTTTTGAAAATCTTAATGCACAGTCTTCAAAGTACAAAGCAGAATTTGCGTTTTTGACCCACATATCAATTTTAGTACTTCCACAAATTTGATTCTGTGATACAGGGATTACATTGATGCGTACATACTTACTTACATAAAATTCCTACCTTTGATAATGTGATCAACAAAATATGAAACCAAAAAAGTCATATGGTTTGCTGGGGTAAATTTTCCAAATTGATCTTAGAATAAATGATACATGACGATAAACCAGTTCAGAATCTCGATGAAGTAGTCCAGGTCAAAGGTCATTCGGGATAAAATCGCTGACGTGATGATATGTAATGCTACGCGGACACCCGTTCTGCTTGTAACTAACACGCGAGCGTCATGTGTGCATGCCCCGTGCGCATGCATGCGCCTTCGATGAGCGTTGATTATCCCGAATGACCCATATCATTGTGCGCATGGGCAGTTGAAAACCGAACTACAGCTTAGGCCAAAAAAAAAAGTCTCCGGTTTCTGGTATGCGCGCGCGTCGCTGTAGCCATGCGCGTCGGCAAAATGAAAAAGTTTTTTTTTCCAATGAAAGATGATGTCTCAAAACCGCCAAACTCACTGGTTTGACTGGAATCCTGCTGCTGCACAATTTTAACGTGTTTTTAGATTGGGTTATGGTCGAGAATAAGCTTTATGTGGCCTCTCTGGACTCCCATATATTTGCACTAAGTTTAGTCGGGCACCATTTGCAGTCATCAGCCGACATTTGAAGCAAAAAAATCAGGTAAAAAAAAAAAAAGCTGCGTCGCCGCACCACTTTTTGGGCAAGCTCCATACCAGAAACCGGAGACTTTTTTTTGTTGACCTTATTGCCACATAATTTTTCAAGAACAGGCGACGTTTACCGGCTTCACAGTTGGTGCCCACCCATCCACTCAGGCAAAGACAGTAGTACTCAGTGTCATTATTACGACACACGCCATTCAAACCACACGGGTTACTCTCACACGGATTGGCTGAAAAGAGGCAAACAAGGTGCAAAAAACAGGTGCAAAGAAATAACAGGTGCACGCATACATAATTAATTAGGGAATACGAATATCAAATTAAGATTCGATTAACAGTAGACTCAGATTCATTGAACAATACTGACATTCTCCGAACACAGAAAATGGTAATTTCTATAACAGGAATTTTGTCAACTGTACTACGTCGAAAAAAAATTTAAACAAAAAAACTCTTTTTTTGAAATAGCTTTCTGGTTTAACAAATTTTGACAACAAATTGCAACATTTTCAAAAACGTTTCACTTTTTTTTCTTTTTAATTGAAATGTCTGTAGTTTTGTTGCATTTATTGAAAACTCGACCAAAAAGATAAACATATTATTATTATTCTAGAACATGACGAAACTTTCAAATTAACAAATCCAGAGGAATACTTCACAGCTATTTCTTAAAATAATTTTTTTTTTTTTTTTTCCAATTTACCATTTTCACAATTAGGCCCGTTCCAACCAACATTACATGAGCACGTGTAGTCCATCCCGGTTGCCGTTGGTGTACAGTCGCCGTTTGAGTTGCAAGGATTTAGTAGGCAAGGATTGTCTGTGTGTTTGATGTGCAAAGTAAGTGATTGGAGAAGGAAAAACGGTGCATGAAACAGTCACACAAATTCAGTGATTATCTCAAAACAGAAACTCTGGCTGCGAAATGGAACGCACAAAAGTTTACTTAAAGGCATATAGGATCATTTGCATTTATCCCAAAAGTAACGTACCAAATTATTATCAAAAGCCGACTTGGATTAAAGATCGTACTGGTACTAAACACACCATGAAATAATTCCGTCTGGCTTGCTGTCATTTAGTAGAAATCAAGAAATGTGGGTGATTTCCAATGATCAGTCAACTGACTGATTTTTGGAAATAAAGAGTGCTATTGACGAAAACGTGTTCCGTGATCAAAAGGTTGTGCATGGTTTCTCACTGCTTTGTCAAGACAATATCCACTGAGCTGAAACTTCAACTTAGGTTTTGAACATTCTTCTTTGGATTTTGAGTGGTGTTATTTTTGGAAACAAACAAAATTGAACAGTAAATGATCCTATGCGCCTTTAGGTGTATTTAAATAATACTTGGACTAAATATGACTGAAAAGTATGTTTAAATATCAATTCACTGCAATATGTAAAAACCAATATACTTGGGGAATAGAATTTGATTTTTCTTGTTATGGGAAAATTGTTATTTTTGTTCATTATCGTCTCTGAGGGATTTTTTTTTGCGAGTTGATTTACCTATGGAACAAGTGGAGCCTAACCACTCGGTGGGGCAGTCGCATGTAAAGGATGAGGCGTCGTTGGCATCGGTGCAGACTCCTCCATTCTGGCAGGGGTTGCTATTGCAGGGTCCTGGAGGGGCAAATATAACGATGACAATTATGTATGTTGCTGGCGCTATTTCTGCTCTTCAAAAATGTCTGATGTTTTCGGGGGGGGGGGGGGGGGCATTTTCAATCCTCAAAAACTTTTTATCGAGAGTTGCTGTTGCGGAAAACAAGTTTCAAGACTGGTTCCCGGCCCCTACATTATCAACTTGAAAGAGAGGCTGGAACCAGTCTACCTTAAGACTAGAACAGAATTGTTGTAATGTCAGTCTGTAAATAATTCCAAATATATTAATTTGGCGTAATTATTCCCTGAGTATACAAAACGTGGGCTTATTCGTTCAACACTGACTGGTTCATTATCATTGGCTCATTATAAAATGAATAGCTATTGCTAGAAAATTAGTGATCCAACAAATGGATCAACTTTTGGGGGGTGAAACTCTACAAACAAACAAAAAAACCCAGAAAATAGATCTTTGAGTTTGACCAAAATAAGTGTCAGCTTAAATATAACTTTTTCTAGAAAAGAATACGATGATAAGACAATTAATTTGATGAGGTTTTATTTACCAACTGTGCAGACGTCACCCAGCCAGGAATTAATGCAACTACAGGTGAAGAAAGTCTGGAAGTTAATGCAGTTGCCGCCATTTTGACAAGGGTCGCTCAGACAAGGGTTACCTAGCGAGAAATAAAATCATTTTCCATAAATAAAAACAATATTCTTGACTTGTAAAAATGAAATAAAACTTTCTGCCATTCCAATTGCATCATGGGTACGGATGACAAACAAGCTAAGCACTTTGCACAAACCTATGGGGACAGTAAACCAGTCAGAGCATTTTCTTGTGATCATCGCCGGCTAATGCACAGATTATAATTTGAAAATAAAATTCAATTTTTACATTCAGAAATATAAATAAGTTATATTATAATATGGGTAATCCTTACTTTTAGGACCCCTTTCCTATATAAGGTTAAAAGACTCACCAAAACAGCTGACTAAATGACACTCAAAAGTGACATTCTGATATTTCATGACACATTCGAACATTTGGCAATGACACCTCTTGAATATCAGCAGGTTTTATTTTGTAGAAAGAGGGCAGGGTTGGAAAGTCACATTTTCTTTGAAAGTGCTTTCAAAATTATAACTAACATGAGTTTGTCTGAAGAAAAAAGGCTTCTTTAGCCTGCAAAAGTCACTTTGGTATTGGACAGTCATCTGCAAAAGTCAGTTTTGAACAGAACTCGTACAAAATAGAGGTGTCCTAAAAGTAAGGATTACCATAATATGTTTCAATTTATTTCCGGGACGACAAATTCTCTCAACCTCTGGTTTGTTTGTCATCCTGACCCAAGATGCATTGTGAATATCAAAAAGCATGAAAAAGTTAATTCAGAATCAGATAGACACTGTTGCCAAAACAACTGTTTAACTTCAGAAGTTCAGTTGAAAAATGTTGAAATTCTACCATGAATTAGGGGAAGACAGTTACAGGAAATTTTTCACTATCATACCCGAGCATAAAAGGTCAGAAACACAAAATTATGTTTAGGAAGTATGAAGAAAATACATCTATTGTCATTCACATTTTTTTCTTAAAGCAAAGTTGAATGGCCCCCATTCGTTTACATTTGTCATGTTTGTACACAGCACAGCCACAGGGGAGGCGCTTTTGTGTTATTCAAGCGTAAAACTAAACAGAATTAATTATTTTCCAAGATTTTGCTATTCCTCACATTTTATGGTTAGGAATAGGAGGAAGGAGTTGTCAGTAAAATGTTTCCAGTTAATTTCATTACCTGCAAAAGTTGCATATTTCTGTCCGAATTTACCGGCAAATCACATACGACGTACACTAATGTTTTGAACACAGATTGCAGAAAGTGAGAAACTTTTTTAAGTTGAAATCGAACTTTTTCAAGAGCGCCCTCTCTGGGCAAGAAAGAGAGAATCATGTCGGTGGTATTTTCCCCTGAACTTTGCCAAAAACATCAAAATTTGTGTTTAAGTTTCCAATTATTTATTTCAATCATTTCCTTATTGCAAATTATCGATATGTCCATAAGCCACTTCGTTTTGCATACGTTCATTAAACATTTAAACTTGCAATATAAATAGCTTGACTAGTATTAAGTTTTTAACTCAATCGTGGGTCAGAAAATAACTGTTTAAAAAAATTGAAAAATACTCACCACTTTCGCATGTTAGTCCGCTCCATTCTGACGGACATGCGCAGCTGAAGGCCCCTCCAAAACTGGAACACGTCCCGCCGTTTTTACAGGGCTCACCGGCGCAGTTGTCTGTCGAAAACGCTAGCCAAGAAAAGAAACATACAGAGTTTATAATCAATATACAGGGTGAGTTAACAAACAAAAAACCCGAAACCCAATTGTCGGGACTCGGGACCATTGTTTTAGTTAAGTTCTGCATGTAGCACTTTCAAAATCTAGGATATGAAAGCCCAATTCATAAGCTTTCTTTTAGTACAAGAGTCATTCAAATCACTCACGTACTTTTCAAGTTGCAGAATTTTCAGCGTTTGCTGAAAGAACGCACACCTTTATGTGATCCGCGGACAGAACTTTTGGTTGTGTTTAAAATTCCGTAACTTGAAAAGTACATGAGTGTTTTGAATGATTCTCGTACTAAGAGAAAGTTTATGAAATGGGCTTTCATATCTTAGATTTTAAAATTACTACATGCAGAACTTCACTATAACAATGATCCCGACATTTGAGTTTCGGTTTTTATGACTCACCCTGTATTCTATCAACTTTTTTTACAAACGAATCTTAAACCTTTTTCATTCACTTTCTGACAATACTTACGAACTTCGCAGCTGGTTCCAATCCAACCATCAGGACACGTACACGTGTAGAAACCAACATTGGTCACGCACGTCCCACCGTTCTGGCACGGGAAACTTTCACACGGACCCTCCTCTGTAAAAAGTGAAAATTCACGGTCGAAAAATCAATGGTATCATAGAGAATCAGTTCTCGATTACGTCGGTGTATTGTAAGCCAAACTTATGAAACATTATTTTTACATGTTTTAATTTAACTGAAAACTCAGCAACAATTTGAGCCTCAATATTACTCAATCATCATAAAATAAATTCACCCACTTTGGGCAAAAAGGGACTCACCCACTTGGCAATTTGTACCGGTCCAGCCGGTAGAACAAAGACATGTATAACCACTGGTTCCACTCTGTAGAAAGCACTGTCCACCATTCTGACAGGGGTCACTTGAACATGCAGTCGTCACTTAAAACAAATATCATTCGATTAAAAAACATTATGCAAGTAACTTTTAGTCTCAACTTCTAGTCCACACTTACCGGGAATTTACCTTCAAAACTTTGAATAACACTAAGAGGATAACACTAAGAGAGTATTTTAGGGATGCCATATCTAGAAGTGAAAAGAATAGAACAATGAAATATGAAAATCGCAAGTTTTGTTTTCATTTAATTTCTATTTACAGAAATGAGTGGTAAAATTACACCAAAATATGAAAGCAAATAATAGTGTATGGGGATTCGTACACAAAATAAATCTATTTACAGCTCGATATATCTTACCTTGTTCGCAAGTGTCGCCTTCAAATCCATCTGCACATGTGCAGACGAAGAAGTTTGGCAGACTGTCGAAACCGAGGCAAGTAGCGCCATTCTTGCATGGTGTACTGACGCATGCATCTGGTACGAGGAAAAATAGTTCGTTGGTTTGTTTTACTGTTGGTTGGTTTCGTCGGTTCGGTCGATCTGATGCTTGGTTGTTTATGGTTTGATGATTGCTTGGTTATAACAGTTAGTTGCAATGGGTCGGTTAAGTGGGAGTGGGATTTCCGCAAAAAAAAGAGGTCTGTGTATCTCATGCGCCCAACATGCAGGAGACTTTTAAGATAAAACAAATAATAGGTGTAGTTGATATTCACGATATTTAGCTGGCCTATAAACTTGCGCGTAACCAAGTTATATGATTCTCCACTGTTATAAACGTTTGAGTGTAAAATACCGATTCTGACTTTTAAATTCGGTTCTACCAAGTTGAACCAAACTAACATTGCTCCAAGGTTTGACTTCCTTGCCAAATCTTTCATAAAGGCTGGGCACGTACATTGGCGTCCATTGTTTAATGCTTTAAAGGCAAGGTCATTTGATGTTCATGTATTTTGTTCTTTTCCCAATAATAACACCACTTAAAATCCAAAGATGAGATTTTGAGAAAACATCGAAAAGCATGCACTCCCTTTTGATCACGTAACACTATTTCGTCCATAAAGCACTCTGTATTCCAAAATGAGTCCATTAACCGATCATTAGAAGTCACCTATATTTCTTGACTTTTTCTAAATGACAGCAAGCCAGACTGAATAATTTCACAGGGTGTTTAGTATCAGTACGATCTTTAATCCAAGTAAGTATTTTGATAATTATTCCCTCAGGTTAATTTTCGGATAAATGTAAATGATCCCACATGTATATGCCATAAGCTCCAAAATGAAAACGCAATACTGATTTAAATTGGTTACAATATTTAGATTGCACCGATAACCTCCGTTTTTCCAGTCTGTAAATTTAGATTCCGGGTGCAAAAATAGCCCGTCAGTTCAGTTAACTACTTTCCAGTAAGCTAGTAAAAGCAGACCGATTGAATGCAAACACTCGTAAAATAACCTCAAAATGAAAGCAATAATGAACCTTAACCATGAACAAACATCAACAAAGCCCAGGATCTAGAACCGACCGCGGTGAACTTGTCAGCGAATCACTGATCCGGAACGGTGATCTGAAAAGCTGAATGGAAGTTCACGGTGATTCAATAGTATCGTTTCCGTGGTAACAGTGTAAACAATCTCGGCATCGTGTTGGGTGTTCGAGGAAATACCGGAATTTTCAATGCACGGTTCACTGTTGTCTGTTTTGGAGTTTCTGTAAATGCCTGATAGTCTTTTAACTTTGATTATTTTAATTTTAAAAAATATTCGACCGTAACACACACAAATATTTTGTTGAGAAAAAGACACTTGTTGGGCTGTGTTATTTTATTTGACTTTTGTATAAAATCCCTCAATTGTTGAAAAATGTGACTGCAATTTAATCAACTTAAGGGAGGAATTTCCCCAATAGTGAAGAAGGATATTTTGACCAAAGTTGGACAAGAAATTGAGCAATTGCCAAACTATTGGAGTGCGACTGCAGATGAAACACGACTTTGGATGAATGAAGACAATTAAACGTACGTTCATAGTCATACTGAAATAAAATTGTATCAGAAAATGATCCTTTATTTCGAAATCTATCCTTTAAGAATTCGTCACATTTGGAAACCATTATTATACCTGAACAAACATTAAACAACATTTCAGGTTGTCATTTCGATTAGTTGCTCCAGCATGATCGTTGAGTGCCTTTGTTGTAGGCCTACTTCAGCGCGTGCATTGAACAAAAAACTGTTGAAGATATGTTCACGGACCATGCCTAACGCAAATAGACAAAAATGCCCTAACAAACTGTTGAAAGGAATTACTGTCGAACTGTAGTCCTACTTTTACTATAAAACTTTTCTAGGTATTCTAATGTCATTATGGTGTCCCAGTTTTGTATTATAACTCACAAAGTTAAGCCTGAAATGTCTTAGGTTATCATATACCATCATATTTCAGTGCCGTAGACATGCAAATGTAGTTGCATCTAAATTTCTAAATTGTAACGGTTATGCCGATAGTGTCACAAGTAAGTACACAGTTTCATGTCTAGTCTGTTGCATGTAAGAACTGTTTGGTAATCAATAAATAATAATGACAAAACGGGCATTACGAAAGAAACATTCTGCAATGGGCACATGCATTGGATGAAAGACAAGAAATGAAAATAACAAAATATAAAGTTACGATTCCAAATTCGATTCGGAGAAAAAATTCCTCGAAATAATTTTGTCTCGCGTAACACTGGTAGCAGTTTCCTAAGCGCGCGTATCCGGAAGTAGTGTAGAAATGTAACAACTTAGCGAAACACCTGTTTCACAAAAGTATACATTTTGCGTAACACCAGGAGCACAAAACACACTGGTTTCAGGTGTAACACAATGTACTAATCTCTACAGAGACACATGTCTCGTCTTCACACTCTGTTGCAACGATAAAAAAAAACTCTATGAAAGTTATCAATTGAGACGTTAGAAGTTGGTGTTGTTGGGGTTTTTTTTTGGGGGGGGGGTAAACTTTTTTTTTAATACTCCGAGTCCCCGTCTTAAGCTTTGACAAGTGCAAATTTTTGTGAACTTTGTTTACCAAGTTGTGAGTAAATTTTGCCCGATTTTCATTCGTGTTTTGTTAGTACTTGATGTGTCAGCCTGAGTTTAATAGCACATGTCATCATGGGCAGTAGTTTACCCCGGTGTACTAAATTATACTGCACCGTCTTATTTACTGTCTTCCCAGAAAAATATTAACTTTTCAAGTTGATCTAAATTACTTCTAAATGTTGTGAAGTCGACAGCTAAGATGCTATATCACTGAATGTACCTACTTTTTAAAATCAAGTTGAACAACATAGTTTGGATGATCTACAAGTTTCGGCACTCAATTTTTAACGCAACATTGCAAGATATAGCTCCATTTCAAGATGACATAAAGCAGAACACAACTACACTCATGCTTTAGAGTGTGATCATACTTACTCTGTGCATAGCTTCCTACAATCACCAGAGCCAAAACACCAAACGCTTGCCTCCAAAACATCACGGCGGTAAAATTCCAGCAAAAAATAATCTCTCTAGTCCTAGTAATATCTATCGTCCACCTTTGTTAAAATCCAAAGCATGTAACATCTCCGAAAACAGTTCTTGAAGATTTTTGACAGTTGAATTTGCAGAACAGGTACGTCTGTTTTCTAAACTGATCGGTATTTAAAATGTCGCTTTCAGCAGTCAGCCGGATTATTTTTTTTGAATTGAGTTAACCAGGAGGTCGCCTATTGTCCGAGTGACAATGGTTGCATAGCGTGCGCTTGTATGCAGTTAGACCGTTGAGTCAGCCGTTTACTCGGTAGGGATTTGCATGTGAAAGCCGCTCTAGATTCAGCGGCTGGTGAACAAACACAATTGAAAGAGATGACTTGTTGGTGTTGCATTAAACATGACGGCATCTTGAAGTAGTTATGTCATTCAATTTCCTCTTCATTGTGATGCCTGGCTTACAGTAAAACCGTCGACTCCCTAGTAATCACCTGTTATTAAACAATCTTGCACAAACATTACTTAACAACATCAGATTTGGTATTTTTATTTTCACTTGTTTACATTTGCTGAGAAAGAAAACATTTTGACGAAAGCCTATCGTTACTTATTTCGTTTGATATACATATTTTTACAAGCTGTTTTCAGTAAAAATAAATAAATAAATAAACAAATAGGACTGCAAATTGAAAAGATGTTTAATTCCTAAGTAAAAATTGATCACAATGACCTAAACTATAAATAATAGAATATCATAAAGCAGGCAACGGTTTCGACATTAACAGGAAACATAATAAGTTTCTGTTAGGATCGCACGATAGATCTGAGTTTTTAAGATTAGGTTTGAATGAAAGTCAATGAAAAAGTTGACCCCAAAATGATTGAGGACTCATAAGGCTACACCAAGTCTCCATGTAAAAACTTATTGTGATGTCATGAATTAAACATCTATGAATGACATCCACTGGAATATCGTATTTAAATATATGAATAATCATGAGCAGTGCACCAATAATCTTACATAATAAGTACATCGATCTGACGTCACTGGGTGGTACAAACATCAAAATCAATCGATGTGAAATGCATCATGAGCCGTGGGCGTGACGGACAACTTTAAGAAACAGGGCGTAGTCCTAACTTCTTTCAAAATGGAGAAAGTGAGACATCAGTCCTTCTTCAAGTCAGTTAAGATACTTGCTGGTGATAACCATGGTTCCATTATAATAACCGCCTTGAAGATTATGGACGTCTTTCAAATAGCTTGGAAGACGTTCCATCAACCTCTATGTACATTCACTACACAGATAGAGGGCGCAATTTACTTGAAACGGTGTCTGGAAATGTGGATCGCGAATAGCGCCATCATTTTTTTAAGGAGAAAAGTTGTAACCTCATAGACCGCTAGTTCCGTGAAATTGTTTGCTTTTACCAATAAAAGTCTACAAACTACCAAAATGGAAAAACTGGACTAATTTTGGTATTGTAAAAATGAGAGAATCACTCAAAAATATGCTCTATAGGAGGTACTTTTACAGCCTGGATAGAAATATGGAAAACGTCTGAAAAAAACCTTCAACGCATCATACATTGTGAAGTGCGCCCTCTTTTCTCTTGCCTGTTGAAACATTTGTTGCGGTACCAGACTGCACGCTGCGGCTGCATTAATTTTAGCACTTGCTCGGCCCGATACCGTTTCCTATACAAGAAAATAATTTTTATTAGTGCGAAGCGATAACTTTTCTAAGGAATCCAGATGTTGTAAGGGACAGACCTAGCCTACAGCATATACAAAACTTGTTCTTAGAATTCGCTTGAAATAAACCGAAAAAAATTGCGTGTGAGTTTAGCCGTGAAATTAGCCGTGAAAAATAACCTTTTAAGGTTGGTGTTGGCATATACGTGCTTTTTGGGTGTGGCACCTTGAAAAATAGATTTTCAAATCAAATTGATATTTTGTTAGCATTACATTAATTATGAGCTTTTCAATGACACATCGCACGAAAAAATCGGCCCACAGACAAGTAAACAATTAAGTAATTTCAACTTTTGAATTAAGAGCATTAATTCATTATGAATAGTGTGCGCAATTTCGGAACTGGAGCGCGCCATTTAAAGCCACTTTTAAAACTGTATAAAGACCTGCAAAAACAAACAAGCTGATTCCTTCTTTTCTCAGCAAGGCCACTCATTTTGTTTTCACGCTGAAGCACAAGGGCTGTACCAGTGTTAAATAATATCTCGCCCGTCCAAAATCCCAATAATCCACAGTTTTTCGTCTAGGCCTATTTCATAACAGCGCAACCAGGCGCGGATCCAGAGGGGGCGGGGGGGGGGGGGACCAACCCCCTAGCTCTATCTAAAAAAAAATGCATAGAAATTCATTTAAACTAATACGAACCCCCCCCCCCCACGCCGCTCTGACCCCCCCCCCCCCCCAAACCGAATTATACTGGTACACACAATGTAATAACACGCCTGTGCACAACATTAACAGCGCCCCCATAGAAAGTATGGTACCCCCCCCCCCCCCCCCCCCCCCCCCCCACCTATTGATTTTACGGAGGCTAATAGTGTCCGGACCAAAAACCTGTCGACATTTTCAGCATTAATTTGCTGATGAACCCACCCCCCCCCCCCCCCCCCCCCAAAAAAAAAATCCCTGGATCCGCCCTGATAGCTCTATGTTTACTGGTTCTTGGTAGTTAGTTTGTCGCACTCACTGCACAAACAATATTCCAGCTCCACATTGTAGCAATCGACTTTTATACATGTAACAAGAAAACCACCATTTCAGATGTGTGTAGCGGCCGTGTAACAACTGGCATACATCACACATGGTGACTGTTACCCCTAGCAACGGGTCACAACATATAAATAGCCCACCACGCGTTCCCTGAATAGCACTATCACGTGGCCTTTTGTCCCGCTACGTGTAATGACAGCTTCACCTTCGCGATCTAACAACTGTGTACATCTGTTATGTATGCCGTATCACAGGTGCATTTGTACCACATCTCGGCACACAATACATCGATTTCACTCTAAGTGATCAGCAACTCAAAACTCCTTAGAACTTCTCAGCAAGATCGTGGATGATATAATATCCTGAGTGGTGTTTTAGAAACTTCAGTTTCTGCAGGATTTATTAGAGTTGTGATATTTAGAGAGGAATTTTGAAGAGGTGAAAATGGGGTGTTCAGGTAGTACGCAAACGAAGCAACAAAGTCCGAAGCACAACAACAGCGCACCGGCACCGCAGCAGAAGGCGCCGGCGGCCGAAGAGCCGATCGTCCCCCAGAAACAGACCCAGGAGGGTGTCAACAGCACCACGCTACCGCCCACGGACAATAAACACATAGAAGACCAAACCACAGGTTAGTCAAGCTCTCCTTAATAATGAAACGGCAAAATCATGCGAAGTCGATTAAAATTCAATCAATTATAAAAGGGGTTGGAAACAGGTGTAGGGAAGTTGTGATTAAAATTGATGCGTTTGTGGTGAACTTTGCAAATTGGGAATGGGGAAAATAATGTTAGAACTCTCATAAAAATGACTTTCAATTTTAGTTGGAATTCAAATATACAAGACTATCATATTTATGGTTTACCCCGAAAACTTGGTTAGTTGTCAGAGATCAAGGATTAGTGTTATAAATGGTTATAATTTTTTTTAAAAAACAAATCTGAGCATTCTCCAAATACAATGTACATTTAATACAAGAATAACTTGCAATAATGTTGACATAAACCAAAATCAATTTGTTCAATTCAACTTTTGCAATTTTGTTTTCTTACTCCTTTTCAGTACCATTTTTTAAAATTAAAAATATCATAAGATACTTTGAAATGCTTCGCATTGTTGCAAAGTCTTCAGTTGAATAATAATTGATGCATTAACTTCTTTCCCTATTTAGGACAGTCTTCTTTGTATCTTTCAAACATTTTTTGACATAAATTATTCAGAAATGGAAAAAAAACAGCATTAAAGTCCTCAAGGCAATCTTTGAAAAAGATAACATGATTACAAAAGAAGTGCAGTCAAATAAAATTTATGACTTCATTTGTGTCAGAGCCATTTGCGTGGAACGAGCCACTTAAAGATATAGTCCATCATTTGTAATTTGTGCATTTTGTTCGTATGAAGCAACAAAAGTGTTCAAAATCTAATGAAGGATACTGAACAACTAACCTGATGAAGTTTCAGCTCAGCTTCAGCTGATATATTCCAAGAAAAACAGCATTCTAGGATCTCAATTTCAAATCAAAAGTTGCTGAATCATGTTTTGAATTGTTTTGAATTGCAGCTATATGCGATGTCCCGCACTGATCCGACGAATTATAGCAACCGCGCGCGCCTGTGCGTCGTGCCAATGCTTGCGCGCGCTGCACGGAATAACAAAACAAACTGCTAATTTAAATTTTCCAACGGTGCGTCTTAAGACGCACCGTTGGAAAGGCCTTCTTTCGTTGATTACTTCAAAACGATAGCTTGCCAGAAAGAATAATTTCACAGGGAGTTTAGTCCACTTACTATCTTTCAACCAAGTATGTTTTTAATAATAATACGCCAGTTACTTTTTCGGATGGCTGCAAATGATGGACTATAGCTTTAAAGTAAAAATTAAGGTTTTGGAAGTCACTGTTAACATTAAGCCATCTTTTTCTGTAATAAATATTTGGTTGTGAATTGTAAGTAATGTAAATGGGTAGGAGCTTTTGTCGTTAAGCAAAATTTTTCTATGCTTAGCAAGTTGGGTACTTTAAACGAGCTCAACAAAGTTGCTTAACAATTATTTTCCTGCTAACCAAGTAGCAGCTCAAGAGGGTATTGCAAGATGTTTTGTTTGGTAACCAGCTTTTGCTTAGCAATTATATGCTAAGCGAGAATTCCTGTAATAAGCCATTAGCAGCCTAACAGTGCTTATAAATTGGACACTTGTTTTTCTCTGAACCTCTCATAAGCACTTCACATAAGGTAATGCCATGATAGCAGTCAATTAGCGTGAAGAAGAAATCTCTTAGGGATGAACGCCCACAAAGTAATTAATACGCTAGAGGATTAGGCCTCTTTGCTGGGGACCAATTAAAATGCTAATTAAAATTACTACCAATATTGAATTCTCATTAGTTGGCAAGTATAATTTTACATGATTTAATGATTATTTTCATATTTTGTAACAAAAAGTATACATTACGATTTTACAACTGAAAGGTTTTGAAATAAGTGAGGGCAGGTTTTTGGAAAAAGATAGTTAGTAATTTTAACAAAAGTTGAACATCATTATCTTATGACTTAGGAGGTTGCAAAAAAAAAATTATTTAGGATGAAAACACGGCATTATTTCATGGGCAGATTTTATGGATGCTGAGTAATTTTGTAACAAAAGTAGAATATCATTATCTTATAACTCAGACAGTAGCAAAATCCTTATTTTCTTATGCTGAAAGGATGAAAACAATGCATTTATTTTCAGGGGGTGCTTTTTAGAAAAGGATATAGATTTATTGGTATTTGAGTTGGATTGTGTTAGAGGCAGCATCAGGTTATGATTATTAATGTAACAAAATCTTTGGGTTTACAAATTGAGAAACTAAAATAGAGTAAGAGAAGGAATGGGATATTTTGAAGGCTACATAAGGTTTTTTATTTCTCGGTTTTTTTTAGGAGGTGGTCATGTTGTCAGTTATAATATAAAGCGAAGGAAATCTTTTGATTCAATGTTAGTTAATTTTGTGTTGTATTTTAGGATTTACATTGTTGTATTGTTGAGTATTATTTAATTGTTTTGCTAAAAGAAATCTTGTCTTCTTCTTTTAAATCACTGCACAAATGTACAATTCTATGAAAATGCATTTGAAACACAATACTAGGTTGAGAAGGTAATGTTCGCATCAACGTTTCATTATCAATCAAAGTAATTTATTCACTTGTACAGAAAGCAATTACAAGTGGAACACCAGTAGGTGTTAATTGAACAATAATTTGAAGAATTGATTAACCCTAACCACCCTGAATCCTTTAAAATCCTCTTTGCCAAAGTGGAGAAATTTGGAGGACTGAGGTTACATAGCAAAAGTGCGTTACTGATTTCGTAGGATGCACTTTGTCAAGGTCTTGGGCCAGATGTTGTGTTGTTTTTGCTCAGCCATGCATAAAAATAAATATAAATATTGACAGTCACTGCCGCAGGATTTTGCAGGATTCAGGCAGTGGTTACCCCTATTACCATATTCAATAAAAAATTGTGGAATTTGCAGGATTGAGGCTATATGCTATTTTTCCATGGGGCCAATTAAAGGATTTTGCAGGATTGAGGCTAGCAAAAAGGCCTAGGGAGTTAAAAAAGAAAAGTTGAAAGTATGATTTTCCTTCCAATATGAGCATTTCTCCAGGAGTGCGAAGTTGAATTTGTGTTACTATGGATTTATTTGAAACGTGTTTCTGTGAGCAACGGTGTAAACTTAGAGACCGTTATTTATTTTGGGTCATGTTTCGTAGTGATGAGCATGCAGACACATCAAGCACTGTGCAAACTAGCTAGGCGACAGTCAACATTTGAACGGTTATGTCTACAACGTTTGGTTCAACTGTACATTTCTGAGCTTTCGTATGGCTATGCAGTAAATTTATTGATTGGTTTCCATACTTATAGAATGAAATGATGTAATACCGTTTGGACATCCTATCTGCTCTGTGCACACTCCATTGAGGGCGCCACATACCTTAAGAGTGGACTCGCAGTTGAGACTGTTTTACCACTTTCTTTGGATGGGACAATTTTGTTCCTAAAAAATAAATGAGTGTTTGGGAAATCCTATCTGCTCTGTGCACACTCCATTGAGGGCGCCACATAACTTAAAGTTTGGACTCGAAGTTAAGATTGTCTTACCCCTTTTTTGAATGAGACAAATTTGTTCCTAAATGAATATTTGGGAAATATAAGACTTGGACCAAGCATTTTTGCTGTATGCAAAAGAAAAGCTGAACATTTTAGGGGTGCATATTTTTCTGTAATTTTAATAGAAAAGTTAAGATGAAATTTAAGGAAACGTGAGTTCAACGAACAAAACTGCAAGATTTTTAACACAGTGCAGTGGCTGTGCTGCAAAAGAAGGCAAAATTTACCCCAAACAACCTAAAACTTCAAATAGAAAATATTCCTTGCATTGCATTTTACATTATAAAAACAATAATTCATGTGAGACAGTTACATGTATGTGCCATTAGAAACTATTTTTAAAAGCAGATAAAAAATTTGAGCAAAATGTCAAATAACAAAAAGCTTTTTCTAAAACTTCTTTGAAGATTGGAAAATGGTGTCCTATATTTGATATTTACATTTTGGTCCCAGTCAGTTCATGTGTGTATTTAGTCTAGAATGCAAATTTGGACTTAACATTTTCTCCTTGGTTGTGAAGTTACTTACACACATGATGCTAACAATTGGCTATCCTTGTTGATCGTGTCTGTTTACTTGTCAAAGACCAGCTGAGGGTTCTTTTACACACTTTCTTTACATTAAGAATTACTCAACTGTTAAACAGGCTACTTGTACCCTGTTATAGGGGCGAGCGTTGGTTACCCAAAATGGCTGCCTAGCAACCGAGGTTACAGCGCATTGTTGTGAATCAATGGCTGATTGTACGGCAGGCATGTGGACATAAGAACACTCCTTTGTTGACAAACTTGCATCAGACCAACTTTGGGTGAAACTCTTAAGGAATTTTAAATGTAAACCCACAGAAAACTTAAATTTGTAGAAAATTCTTCACACTGCTAAGGAACTGTCCACTGTTTATTTTAGGAAAACATTTTTAAAGAACCACACAAAAATTTTGACCGACAGTGAACAAATTGATTTCGCATCCCAAAATGTGAGGCGATTTGAACCTTTTTGCTTTTACAGAATTTTAGACCGTGGGCCAAAAAACTTATCTCGCCTAGAAAAGGAAGTCCGTTCAAAGTTTCTGGTGGCAACATAAAAATGCTTGTTCTTTGTCAATTTGAGGTTGCTGAATTCAATTCTTTCTGTTGCCAAGCCTTCAGGTGGCACGTTTAAGCACAAACTTCGTCCGAAGTTTTATCCAAAAAATGTTCATTTTGGGTGCCTCTGACAACCAATGGCGCAATGCATCCTCTTAGAGATCTCAGGAATGGCCTCTTCGATTTCAACACAGATTATCACCCACTTAGAATAAGTAATGATAAATAACTGTAAAATAGCCAAAGGGGTTTCATATTTAATAACGGCTTTTCTAGTTTCCACTCAAAATAAAGAATGAAGCAGGCAATTTTCTTTACAGAAATATTAATAAAAACAACTTTTCTCAGTCATCTGAAATAACAGACACTCTTTGTATAAAATTTGCAATAAATCTTTTTAAAACAAATTTCACAGGCAGTTATTGGTTGCTGAAGTTATTTTCACAATGGGGAAATTTTGCAAAAAAAAAGGTTTAAGTCATCTATCAGCAGGATTTTGATGAACAAATTGGTCATATCAAACCTCAAAACTGTCATGATATGTGAGAAAAATCTCTAGGAATGTCAGGAAGTTTAAGGTGTGATAGGCCTATTTGTCCGCAATTTTAAGTCGACAAATCTTTTTGCAATGTTTCTTAATTACAAGGAAATCTTTTAAACTTGGGAAATCTTTTTGCAACATTTGTAAAAGCTAACTACATGTAGGCCTATACGAGAAACTCTGTTGCAATGAACTGAGTGAACACGCACAGTCATGACAGTAAGAAACAAATACATTTATTTGTTATGCAGTGCCATAAGCATCGAACAGTTCTTATGTTCTGTCCGGCTATATCATAAATTTCTCATGGCCACATGATAGCTAGGCTAACATCGTTATCATTTTACGGCTGTCATATTTTCAACCGTTGAATCTTTCACGATTTTCTGTGCACCCTGTGGTAAATTCTCATCTGTGTTTAGTAATCATTCGGGATGCAAGTTCGGTTACCATGGTTACCAGCGCTAGCGTAGTGCGTAATCACTTCTATGGATAATTCAGAGAGTAACGATAGAATTCCTGGGAAGTTGCAGCCACAACAGTAAAACATCTTCAAGTTCTCTTGATCATTTCAATAAATGCCCAAGAGCAGATTTTGAGGATTCGGTTGGGATGGCATACCCCTCCCCATATTCCTGTGACTAAAATTAAAATTTGCTTGAAAAGGATCTCAAGTTTCCGTTTCTGCAATAATAGTTTGTTACTCTCTGACTTTTGTTAACGTGTGTTGTCTACATTTACCAACTGCCTTTAAAAACGTTCGTTCTTCCAACTGCGACCCCCTATTTATTTCATGGTCATTTTGTTTTCACAATAAAAATGAGTTTGAAATTCACGCATTCCATTTGACGCACGAGTGTGTGAAATTATACACTTGAGTACAGATGGCATTCAGTTTCCTTTCAAACACATCACAAAGAGTAAATTTGGCAATCAATGTTGAAAACGTCAAATACACGTCCGTAAATAACAAATCCATAGCACATATACTGTATGTAGGCCTGCGGTACATACTATTATGTGTGATATTGTTTTCATACACTATTCATTATGAGACCTTCAAATATCAGCTGATATAGTAGGGTCAAACTCCTTAGCAACGGGGCAATATTTATACTTGAAAACATGGCAACAGGGGCCAACAACACCACATGAGCACTCGTATGTCTCTATCCAGTCCAATACCAAAATATTGACATTGCAAGTGGGCTGCTATGCACTTTGTATCAGCAGTTATTTGCATAATCTGTATGATATACATGTATTAGTGCCCTAGTGATTGCATTTGTCGATGAAATTTTTTTTTCGACAGGTGTTTTGGGGAATGATGTCAACTTTTCATTAGATTGTTGCCAAACGAAAAATCTGTTTAATATGATAGATTTAATGGAGATTCATAAATACCTCAGACAGTTTAGCCATTCCTATTGGTCGAGAGCCCGTCACGTGGCCGGTATTAAACGGATGATAAAGACATGGCTAGCTGGTCTTAAACACTTTTCCAGTGTCACAATAAAATATGGACTCCTAAAAATCCAGTGCCTCTTATCGTTTCATTGGTTGAACGTTCACAATCCTCACGTAGGCATGCGCAACACTACCAGGGAGTTAGAATTTTATAGTTCGAAATTCAAAACGCAACGCGCCAGGTGCGTTCTGCGCGACATCGCGTAGAACATGATACGCGCGCGTCAATCTCCATAAAAGGGTTGTTTTCATCATACTCGCCAGCTGAACACTCCATTATTTTGCAGGAGGGATGTTTCAAAAAGCATAAAGTGAATTTGTTGAACAAAATCGGGATGTTTTGAACGAATTATATGATTTTTTTTTACCGAAAAGGTATTTATGAATGGGAATAAATATGTACTCCGTCGGTATTTATCACTCTGTTTAATACCACTTAGAGTCTGGGTGCTGATAATTACCCTCGCCTCCGGCTCGGGTAATTATCAGCACCCAGACTCTAAGTGGTATTAAACAGAGTGATAAAAACCTCCGGAGCACACATTTATTCCCTTATTAAAGTTGATTATTGTTCTTACAAACATGAAAACTTGTGTTACAATTGTGACAACTTTTGTCCAATGAATACGGAAGATGAATGTACGTTAAAAGAAAGAAAATCCGTATAAAACAGTTTAAGATTATAGATGTAAATCTTTCACACAATTTAGTTCTTTCCTTAACTACCAACTGACATACTCAATACAGTTGAGTCTCGTTAATACAAACTCGTTCGGACCTAGCCAAATTGTGTTTTATATAATTTTGTATTAAAAGGAACATCAGTCCCATTCATTGTGCACATAAATGCACAGTCGGGACTAAGGCTTTATGTTTGTTATAACCAGAATTTTGTATTAAAACAGAGTTTGTACTAACGAGATTCGACTGTAGTTGCGTAAATTGGCTTTTAGGCACAAAGTACACATACCAGCTGATCTAGTGGATCGATATGCCCCGATACCCCAAAGTTTTATAGACAACGCAAATAAACACTGATAAAAGTCTTTTTGTACTTTGAACCCTGAAACTACTGTCAAGATTATGACAAAGCTGCTTCAACTCTTTGTATTTGACCCTGTCAACAAACAGAAATCGACATTGAATGGCCAAGTTGACATTCATCGTCGAACTGTACAGTTATTGATCGTTATTTGTCATTCTAAATTGGAGGATTTGAAATCATTTAATAATCTTGATGTTGAAACTCTCCTCATGTTTCAAGTGCTAGGTTTCTTCAGTGTCCGCATTGATAAATAGCCTAGAAATTAAGTGAGATATTTCTGAATGGATGTTACTGCTTTTTTCAAAATCTGTATTTTATTATGTGGCGGGATCAAGTGTGCATAGCCATTTTCCACCTTTTTTTCCTTAGGACTTTGACTTGAGCAAAGCGGTTGCGTAGACATTCCAAAATTGAGAGTTGGGCTAAACTCTAGTGGCCATCAAGTCGGTACTTGCACATAGAGTCTATAGTCCGACTATCAGAAATGTCAAGTTTGTAAATGAGTTTACATTAGACCCTTCAAATGGAACTGAGTCAAATTTGTAGAGAGCAAGGGGAGGAGCTTGTGCTCATTTTCTGAAGGGGGGGGGGTACCGTAAGGATCAGATGCTGTTTTTTTTCTTGTTTTCTCAGTAATTAACAGACTTCATTCATTGATATCTGGCTGGTATTTCTTATTTTTTGACATTTTGAGACAGTGTTTGTAACAAACCAACCTATATGGTCGTTTTATGAATATTTTTCATTTCATTTCATTTTCGATGCAGTATCTCCCAAGGAGCCCGAGCCGGAGAAGGAAGAAGAAAAGAAAGATGAAGAGAAACCCACGGAGGAGAGCAAGACAGAGCCTGCTGATACAAGAACAGAAGAACCTGCAAAAGAACAAGGTATAATCTTGGGCATTACTCATAGAGGGCGCTCTTACTGTGACCTATTAAGCTCCTATACCCCACCCTATTTTTGTTGTAGTTTAATGGGTGGAGATGGGCAGTACCTTATCTGAGTATCAGCCGTTGTCCAACGGATCGGAGCCCTCGATCTCTGTATGCAGCGTCTGATATATCTGAGCAATGCAACTTTTTAAGTGGGACCCCGGCCAATTGGAGTCGACTTTAGTAATTGATTTTTGATCAGAAATGTGGACTAAGCTGTTGAGTGGTCAATTGTGACATGTTTTTGTACTACAACAACAGGTTACCGAAGACCCGACACAGACGGCGCCCGATGAATGGTCAGAATCTCGAGGTCAAGACGCAGTCTTGTTTTGCATAATTAATCGCCAAATCTGCTTGCATATATCATAGACCTTAATTTGCTGTATCTTGCAAGAAACTTCCTTTTTTATTTTGTCATCTACTGTACGTGGGGCCAGTGTGGGCTCTCCGAAAAACAAAAAAAATATCTTAAACCATTAACACAGCTATGCACAATACAATATAGCCTATAGTGTGAGTTTCAACACGTAAACTGTCCCCAAGTGTCGAAAAATGTGTCTGGCAGGTTGGCACAGAATTTCCATGACTGTAAACGCAGCATAGTGAGCCTATGTACGTGCAGAATTCAAGGGTTATGAAAAGGGTTGGAATTCCAGAGAGTGAAATTGGTCCCGAGTACAGGAAAGGTCATAGAGGCGATTGAGTACCACATCTTCCCGGGAGGGGAGGGGAGGGGAATGGCCAAGTGTCTGCCCGACTAATGCCTCCCCCCCTCCTCCCATCTGCCTATGGAGAAGGTATAGGGCAGTAATGACTTGATTGATGTATGGTTTGATTCACAGAGCCTGCTGCACAGGAGGAAGTGAAGGAAGAGGCTGCGGAGGAGAAGACCCCTGAACAACAGGAGGCAGAACCAGGTGAGATAGTCATCAGGGCAAATCCGAGATGATCCCTGGAGTATGGTGGCCCAGAAGGGACATCACAAACACCGCATAATTTTCATTTATCTATAGGTCTCTCTCAAATGACGTCACTTGTACATATATTGCCAAGTACATCAGCATTTCGGGCGTCAAATTTTCATGATGCGCATCGGCTCCGCCATATTAAGAAGAAATTTTGAGCAACACGCGCGTGGGTTTAGGACATTTTGCAAACCGCGCGCGCACGCACTCTTGGTTTACTTTACTCTTGAGGACAATGCTTTGTGTTTCCCTTTGTCCCTGTAATATAACACTCTCCCATAGACTAAGCACACAAACTTACTACAGAGGACCGTTTCCAACAAACGACCCAACTCCCGAGGACTGAAAGGATCTGTTGTTCTCCCTTTGTGTATCGGTCCTCAGGGGTTATGTAGAACACGTACAGACATACCTGATGGCTTTGAACACGCAGTTGTAATTTTACTACAAAGATGGCGTCCTATGAGAGAGATCTATTTGTTTTTATTTATTTAAACAAGACAGGAAAACAAACGTTGAAAAGACAACTCAAACGGAATATTTTATAATAAAGATCCTTCCAAAATTCTAAAAAGTGTCACGAAAGGAAATAGTTTGACTTCAGAATGGTCTAACTTTTTTCAAACTTCGCATTTTTAACGCAGCGATTTTTAGACAAAGTAAAAATCCTTACACACAGCCCAACAACATACTTTTAAAAACTACTTTACTTTAAACACATGAATCAAGAAACAGAATGAGCTTTTAGGTACACTCTTCTTGCAATAACTGATTCCCCATGGTAGAATAAGAAATATAACACCAGACAATAAATATCTTTTGAACTCTTGTTTATAAAAATGTATGGGACAATATATCACTGTCTCACAGGAACGGATGTTAACCTCTATATCCGGGATTGAAATCTGTGTACTGAAAAAAATGTTGGGTATGCAGGTCTGGCATGAAATGTTGCACCGATACTAGAGATGATAAAAAAAAATGGTCAAAGTAAAATTTGTAGAAATATAAATGGGGTATTGGATGGAAGAAATTGGAAGAAAAAGAATTTTGATGAACGCTTATGATTTTCTATCAAGAAAACGTGTGCATTAAGGAACTGACTTATGTCTTGGGAACATGATGATGCTACATATCTGAGTGCAAAAAAAGTGATAAACAAAAAGAATGTTAGTAAGAGACAAACAAAATAAACAAAAACACTTGGCTAAAGTGAGAAAAACATGAATGCTTTAGATACGTTTCTGTTGTTAAATAAATTTATGTAAATCAAAGGTTTTTTAAACAAACCGTCGCCATTTTTAATTCACAATGGTAAAATCACTTGGTGTGTTGCTTTTCTTTTTTTGTAAGTTGTCATGGCAACCATTTCCCAAAACCCAGAGCAATACACTAAAAGCGTGTTGATTTATCGCATTATCTAAGTATGCTTGCTTTGTGCGGAAGCATTTTGTGTGCGTGTGTGTGTTTTGTGTACAGCAAACCAAAGATTGTTTCTAAATTTGAAATTTCTTATTTTTAAGCGGCCTTTTGGTTTTTCGAATAAGCTTTATGTGTACCTTTTTGTGTGAAACGCAACTGCAACTTGTTTGTGAGAGTTGCCCTTTTCAGCTTAAAGCTAAAATCGCCTTCTTGTGTTATATCATGCAAAGCATTCTTTCATTGAATATGAGGTTGAAAAGAAATTCATTACCAATTCTCTATTCAAATGTTTCAATTTTCTTGATAAAAAATCCCAAACTTCAAGTAAAACAAATGTGCTTTTGACCTACACAAACAATTGACCTTCAAAGTACTCTTTCAAAAGTTGCCAGGTTTTCTTGCAGTTTAACTTTATTTCTGAATACTGGCATTTGGAATTATCTCGTCTAAAACAGTGCAATTAGCAGTTCGCTTTAATAAACAAAAATCTGAAATTAATTGACACCCATCAGCTGAGGTGAAAGCCACAACAGAGGTAGATGGGGATTCTCCGCCTTCAGAAACGTGTGCAGAAAATGGAGAGTTGATACATGAAACGGCAGTTGCGTCTGAGGAGCCCAAGGAAAGTGCACCGGCTGAGACCCAGGACTTGGAACAATCACAAACTGAGCAATTAACGGACACGCAGGCAACCGAGGAGGCGCATCAGGATGCGGCAGAGGGACAGGAGGGGGTGACAGAACCCACAACAGAACCCACAGCAGAACCCACAGCAGAACCCACAGCAGACCCCACAACGGAACCCACTACAGAACCCCCGACAGAGGAGGGTGGGGATGCCAAGACAGACCAAGCCACGGAAGGTGATGAACTCACAACCTGAGCACTTTCTGCATGATGGAACTGAATCATCTCTCATCATCATTAGATTCACAAAAGCATCACTAATAGTGCATTCTCCTCTTGTTATTTTTCCGTTCACAATCGCATGACTTAGCAATCTTCAATTAAGCGTTCCAACTGCAGTCGGTTTCTTTGTACATTTATCATCCTCATCTTCAACTCATCTTCTCATGCGTCTGTGTTTCTTCAATGTTCATGCAGTTTGCAGTAGGCATAAGACCCAGTTGCTTTGTGTTTAGTTTCCTTTAGTTCATTATTTGGAGCTTTACGATAGATAGCATTGCTGTGTATGCAGTAGAATAGCATTGTGATGAGTTGCTTTGCTTGCCGTGAGAATTTCATGTGTTTCTTTGATTGGTTATATTTGCATTTCTTAACATAACCCTTCGAGATCAAGCTTCAAAATATTTGCGACAGTCTCCACAAACATGAAAACAAAACCTTCACAAAATTTCAGGCCGTTACACCAATAGGCCTAAGTTATTACATTGTACTCACGCTAGTCGTGTTACATATTGGCACAAAACTGTCTTTCCCCCCCCCCCCCCCTTCGATTTTCAATGATTTTGAAATCTGACTTGAGATGCTGTAATGGATGTTTTGAAATAGTCAACTCTGGTTTCATAATTTCTACTATTTTGAGTTCAAAGTTATTTCTTGCAGACGGCAAAAATATCCCTTTGCATTCAAAGCATTTTTTCCCGGCATTTGGACAGAAAAAAAGAATTTGGAAAAGGGAAAAACTGCCTTTAAATAAAGCATTTTAGTCTTTTTTTTTCATTCAATATGCCATAAGTAATTCTTCATAAGGACATATAGAGCTAAATAAGACACACATATAAATTCTTAAACACAACTTAATAATACAAAACAGCAAAAATGAATTTTAAAAACAGCTGTTATACTGTTTTTATTTTTTAAAGTTTCGTAACCTTGTAAAATGTTCACCTTTTTACAAATGGATGTGTCGCATTTTGGAAATAAAATCCTCACGTACACAAGAAGTACAAAAGATCTTTACATTTAAGATCCTGCATACGTCACGAGAAATAAAGAAAAACGTTTAGAGAAAAACATGAAAATGAATGAAATTTTCTGCAAAATCCTGAATCCAATGAAAACGTGAAAGTCAACAAAAGGCTTTTGTTGGTTTTTATGAAGATATTATTCATTGGAAGTTAATTTTATGCGAGGGCTGCGTTCGCAGGGAGAACCTATTTGCGTCTGATGTCTCTATTGACAATCATAATAATCCTCCATTCTTCCTAATGGCAGGCTTCTCAATTCAGAACGGTCTGGCTATTTTTCATTACGGGATTAGATTTGAACAATGAAAAATACTTTTCAAGCATGAAAGTTCATTCCCTCATTTTACCGTCTTCGGTTATTTTAATTGTTTTTTTCATATGAAGTAGAGAAGAAATTCATTTTTTTTGACAGAATTTTGTTACAAATGACTCGCGTGGGCAGTATCTGTCAAAAAAACTCTTTAAGTAATATTTTTTTAGGATTTCTTGGTTTTAGTGCAGTTTCAGAATGTTGGTTGATGAATAAAAAAAAGTCATTTTAAAAAAATTAATTTTATTTCAAATGACCACCGAATTCTAATTTCCATAATTTACCCAAACTCCAAGTTTTTTTCTATAATTTTAAGCACCCCCCAAAAATTACTTTATTAGTCATGACATTTATAAAAGACTGAAAATACGTCCAAAGAATAGAAAAAAAGTCTTAAGATGTTCAAATTAAGAACACCTTCATTTATCATTCTCTTTCAATCATTCTTTCGTGTCACTGTTATCATACATGAATGTGTTTTTATCGTCTATCGTTTCAAAGATATTGTGAGATATCACACTTTTTTTTATTATATGAACGCACAAAAATCCAATTTTTATGATTCAATTCACAGAAACATCAACTCATTTTACCATCTTCTGTGATTTTAAAAGTATGTTTCATGTCGTAAATGAGAATGCATGTCGCATGTTTTGATTGCATGTCGTCCGGGGTTGAATCAGTGATTATATCAGTTTACAAAAAATTAGAAAACTAGAGAAAAACTTTTAATGCAAAAAATATTACAAAAAAGATCTTGCAGATGCTACCACAAAAAAGTGCTCTTATACTGTTACTTTTAAATACCATACAGTTTAATTAACTAATATACACTTCATGAATACATTATGAAGTGCATGCGAAAATCTATTAGTTGGCTGGGAAAGCCTCAGATGTGCGTTGTTTTGTTTTTATGTGCTGTTGCCATAGTGATGCCGAGTGCGTAAACATCCTTGAATTGACGAGGCAATTTTTACTGCAGCATGCTGTGTTTTGTGATGATTTTGACAAATTGAAATGTCCAGCAAATGTTCAACAATGTGAAAAACAAAAACATTGAGAGTCCCAAATTTTCGGACTAGAAAGGGGTATGACCAATTTTCCCTAAATCCTGCCTTATAGTGCACGAGATATGGCTGTTTTCAGCCAAAAAAAATTAAAATATTACCGGATTCACACAAGTTTATCAACTTCATGGAAAGTGCATTACCTTTTTGCATTCAAATGCAAACTTAAGATAAAAATAGTGAGGTAGCTTGTGTTGACATAACTGTGTGCACAGGAGTTGTATAAATGTATTGAACCATTGGAAACTATATGTGCTGCGATTTGTAGCCTTCGCGGGAAAATAGAAAAGGGAATTAGACAAATGTAATAACACGTCTGTGTGGTTTCTACCGCCGAATAGCCAATTCAATTTCCCTGATAAAATCATCAGAATTGCTGATATCGTGCGTTGCCATGGTTACTGACGACGTCATGTTCTTGTTGGAGGACAATCCGGCAACGATAATTGTTTTTGACAATGCGGCGGTAGCTCGGCTGTGTTGTTTTCGCCTGAACGAAATGTCATTACATTATTGTCCAAAACAATGGGAAGATTTCTTTTGTCGGAGAAGCGCAGTGCTAATTTAAAATAGTCCAGGACGAGACGGGAAGTTTTGGTTATAAATCTTGTCTGCGCCTCTTTCTCAGTCTTGCTCTACACAATCTGCCCCGAAGAAACCGAATTTAGTAGGAAAAATCTCAAAGCTTTTTTTATTTTCTGGTATTATGTCTTTGCTTTGGCGGTACGAAAAACAAAACAATCGTGAAATGGATGACCAACAATCCTAACACAAAGGGTCATACATTTTTCCCATAAATCTTTTATGAGGCTGTAAAAATTAACGAGCGAGCATAAACAGTCTTAGTCCCCCCCCCCCTCCAATAAAAAGGGCAATTACGGAGTCTTCCAGTAATGGGTTAATTTGTCTAAAAAGGTTTCCATGGTGTTTCTTACAAAACGCATGTATCTCTGTTCTCCTGACAACCGTACATATACTTAATTGCGAGAAATTTAAGTGTGGTTTTTTTTTTTTTTTTTTTTGGTCATTAAATGTGCATGTTGTACGGTTGCCCTTCATGCAATTGACCTTTGACATTGCATTTAAAATACCATATGAGCTCCCCTACCCAGGGGCTGTTTGAATATTACAGGGTCGGTAAACTACTTTTTTCTGTACTGCCTCTGGTAGCAATAGCACTATGTAATGACCAGCCCCCCCCCCCCCAACATATTGACGCAGGTGCCAGCAAAAACAGCGATGCAATTACCATTAGCAAGCCTTTTGTCGGTAAAGGAAAAACATCGATTTGGTAATAACACCATATTTTTTTGGTTATTTTTTTTCTTTTCAAATACAGATGCAGAAGCCTCTTAAGCCAGCAGATATCGACACCCAGCAAGAGTACGGATAGGAGGAACAATCCAGCATCCAAAAAGGAAGGATTTTTTTAACGAGTGTAAATATTTTTTTTGTATATGAAAGGGCCACTTTTATTGCAAGAGGAAGTCTTTGTATATATTTTGTGTACAAGAGACAGATATGGTTGCCCACACTGTGAAAATTCATGTTAGATGTAAAATTTAAAAAAGTAGCTGCACGCCAGAACATCTCTGAAGGGTTGAATGAAAATCGGCCTCCCCTTCCCAATCTATAAGCCCCTCCCCTAGAAATCACCCACTTTCTTAAAATGTCACGCAAGAGACAAAAAAAAACCTCAAATGTTCTTATCGTTTCAATTCAGATTATTAAATGTATTGAGATTTAATTAATGAAAGGTTTGCGGAAACACCATATGCGAAAAATTTCTCAACTAAGAGAATGGTTCTGAAAAGAACCAGAGGTATTAACTCGACGTTCAAGGAGAGTGCCTAAACTCTAAGAAAGTGAATACTTAAGTAGCAAAGGGCGAAGTCAATGAAGTGTGAATTTGCATCCTGTGAGGATGCCAAGTAGACAGGATCCTAGAACAAGCTTTGTCAGTAGAGGGAGGACCTAGGGTATAGGAGACCCATCAGTCTAAGGTGGTAGCTGAGGACCTAGGGTATAGGAGACCCATCAGTCTGGAGAAGTGATTCTTTTCAGAACCATTCTCTTAGTTGAGAAATTATTCGCACATGGTGTTTCCGCAAACCTTTCATTATTTAGTATCTCCACCATGCAAAGCCTCAAATCTTTCTTATTGAGATTTAATTAATTTAGTAGCAAAAAACACTGTATATAGAGTTGAAGGGAAAAGTTACATTCAATAATCCTAAGTTTGCCATAAAATTAAAAAACACACGTAAAGTGGTTAATTGAAAAACCTAACTCAGTTTAATATTCTTAAACTCAGTTTAACATGCAATTAAATGTTTATCTTGTCACTGTACAAGTATATTATGAACACCAATTTATGCAGACAAAATTATTGTTCCTTAGTACAAGCTGATGTGCACAGTTTTCACCATTGCATTTTGTGCACGAACTCACATTTCAACCCATAATCATGATACATTATATTAGGCCAACAAAAAAAATCTCCGGTTTCTGGTATGCGCGCGCGTCGCCGTAGCCATGCGCGTCGGCAAAATGAAAAAGTTTTTTTTTTTCAATGAAAGATGATGTCTCAAAACCGCCAAACTCACTGGTTTGACTGGAATCCTGCTGCTGCACAATTTTAAACGTGTTTTTAGATTGGGTTATGGTCGAGAATAAGCTTTATGTGGCCTCTCTGGACTCCCATATATTTGCACTAAATTTAGTCGGGCACCATTTGCAGTCATCAGCCGACATTTGAAGCAAAAATATCAGGGGAAAAAAAAAGAAGCCGCGTCGCCACACCACTTTTTGGACAAGCTCCATACCAGAAACCGGAGACTTTTTTTTTTGGCCTAACAAAAGTAATTGCCAAATTTGATCAAATACATTGTAGAAGAAAATAGCTTTGAATGAAAATTCACGAATCAGATTAAAGTCAGCAAGCATATTTTGATGCATAAATTGTTTGCTATGAATGAAGATAACATTTGGTGGGTTTTCTTTTTTGGGGGTTGTAAAAAAAATAGTATTTTTCCACTTTTAATGTTTCATACTGAAGCAATGCACATACATGTACTTGTATATATTGATAAAAAGTGCACTTATATGTAGCATACATGTAGTTGTCTATACAGATAGTTGGATGCTTTGAAAGATGATGGGGAAATTATTTGAATGGGGAGGAATACGTTAGTTTTATCATTAGCTTTCAATTTGTCAAGAATTATCTTAAAAAACTTAATATGCTAAGAATGGAAAGTTTTTGCTGGTTACCAGCTAAAAATGCCATGCGATGTATTGCTCTTTGTGACTGGTTCACAGTGGGTATAGCATTGCTAAGGCCAAGTAAAAATATAAACCAGTTTCTTGTCCCGCCCACTTCCTTTTTTCACGCCTGCTTTTTTTCCCCTCAATTCATAAATTGGCTATATAATGTAAATAAAATTGTCAGTATATTGTCTTGATATTTGTTTCTTACAAAATTATAGCTATGTAGAAAGGCTCCTTTGAACACAATTTTATATCAGAAAAAAAATTCAAGAAAATGAAAGAATCAATCCCCATCTTGAAAAATTCGCCATCTTGGGAAGGAAAAAGGTTGGGAGAAAAAGTGCCTGACTCCTTCGTTTTTTTTTCAAAAAGCGCGGGCGAGAAACTATTTTATTTTTTTACTTGACCTAATCAGTAATCTTAGCGAAATTAGGGCAAGTGTTTTCTATGGAACTAGGAATAACAGGGTTTGTTGAAATTTTTAAAATTTGTTGGGGAAAACAGGTCTTTTCAACTTAAAAAAAAAAATGAATTGCTCTTATCTTTCGATGCTCTAAAATGATATAAATAGAGTACCGTTTTGCAAATGAGCTCATAAAAGACCATGGGTATTTATTTAAAAAAATTATGCGAAATTATTTGCAGAAATGTATCAGAAATTGTTTTCATTTATCCAAAGTCTTCAAAAGCTAGCAATTTTAGTGTAAAATAGTACAGCACAAGTAAATTTATAGATATTTTTTCACCACATAGGGACAGTATTAAACTTAAATACTAGAAAAATTACATCTCATTTTCTTTGCTGTGCACTCACTTCAATTTTGTTTTTGTAAAAAAAAATGAAAAAAAAACGCATAAGAAATTTCAGTCAGTCTGGAAAAATGTGTGTATACTATAATTCTTACACTTTAAAGTTTTACACTAGTGTTGTAAAAAGTTAAATCATGCCTATCACCCCATAAACTTTTTTTGCGGGGAAGGGGATTTTTACAAGCCCCCCCCCCCCAAAAAAGAGAATGCCTTGTGTTAAAAAGAATGTAGTCTAAATGTCAACTTTGTTTTCACGAATAAGTCGGAAAAAAAGCAACTTATTTTGTATAAAAATAAGATGTGCAAAATTTAATTACACATTAATTTATTCATTAAAATTAAGCCCAGAATTTGAACAATTATGATTTTAGGAAGGGTTTGTGTGTGCTACTATTCTTTATTTTGCTCCTAAACATGTTTATTTAAAAATTATTAGTGACTGTCAGATCAAAATCGCTGCAAAATTTGTTGCTAAATTTATGTCTGTGGGAATCCCAGTTCAGCTTCCCCGCTTACTGTAATGGACTACACCGCATGTAAAGAAAACATGCAAGGAATGGAATATCCCATTCTAAATTTTAGGTGAACATTTCAAAATGGGATATTTAAACCCTAAAAATTCATTGAATGTTAACATGAATTTGGTTATTAATTATTTTTAGAATGAGGACAATCAAAAATTCTATTGTGTAAATATTTTTTCCATTTCTCAAAGTTTTGTTGAGTCCGTCCGAAACTAAAACCATGTTGTCTCTAATTTCTTTTGTACAGTATGCGTGTGTGTGACTATAATGAATGAAGTTAATTTAAAAAAAAATGCACATTTCACCAAAAAAGTTGGTATTTTTGTCATTTTTATTTGTTAGTTTTCTCTTACTTTGCAAAAGAGTAGTTTTCCAAAGCGACGTTTTTGTAACTTTCTTGACTGTTTATTGACAGTTAATTTACCTTTTGAACCTGGCAGCCATTTTGAAGGTTTATTTTTCGAAACCTCATTCCTAGCAGCGCCCTCTTCATTCCAAAAGCTTGCCCATTGACGGCTTTGATGCAAAGTAATTTCATTTTTTTTCGGTTGAAATAAAATCAATACAGCTTGCAAAGTTATTACATGTAGGCCCTACATTATTGCAGGACGGTTGTCTTCTCTCAGCTGTATGTTTTAGGAAAAGTAGCATCAAATTGTTAAGGTCATCGGCTCTGCTGGAACGTAGAGCATTTTAAGGACAGCTACAAATTATCTTGAGTCCAAACTTGAGCAATTCTTATTTCCTATTTTCTTTTTAACCACCTTTTTTTGTGTGTGACATCGTATTTCATAAGGAATCCATTTTGATGATATAATTTTTTTTTTGAGATACACGCCATTTTTTCTAGTAGTGCAAATGCTTTTTTCGCTTCTGAATGAGACATGAAAGACTATTCGTTCAAAGGAATCTTTAAACTTTGGATTATTTGCAGTGTCTCACACACACACAAGCGCTACTGCATTAAAGTCCGTTGCCCATGAAGAAATCCTTGCGCCGCCCATAATTACAAGAAATTCTGATCGATTTTCTATACAAATTTTATTTTCGGAGAATGGCTGATACGTCAGACTTTTAAGAGAAAGCAGCTACTTTAATGAAACCTCAAGTTCCGGTGTCATATGGAATTTGGACTTCTAAGAAAAATTGGTCTCAATACTTCTAAAGATCGACTCTTAGTCCTATTGTATTATTTCCAAGGCATGTGCAATACAACCAAAGAGTCTGTATTTTAATGAAGTCAAAATATCACACCACACCGGAATTTTCAATAATGCGTGTTCCGTATGATTAAAAACCAGGAAAAATCGATATAATTCAATATATTTGGCGTCACAGCAACAATTTCTCATTTTCAAGGCACCGTCTGGCTGCCTTGGTAAAATGTCATAAAATAGACGTACTGAATGTGGAATGCACACACAGATTGGGCCTGCATCATTGTAGTAAGGTTTCCATGGTAACCAAGTGACATCCTACATAGTAACCTGGATTAAAAACCAATCAACTACCTGCATAAGTAGCTTGCCTTGTTATGCCACGTTGTGCACGTAAACCATTTGATCAAACTCAATGGAAATTTGCTTTGACCTTTAAAGGGAAGATACAACATTTGCAAACATCAAAAAACGAAATGATCAAATTATCACGAAATATCTTACTGGATTGTAGGGAATGACAGTCTAAAGCATCCGGTAAAGTTTTGGCTCCTGGTGTGCTGACATTTTCAAGAAAAACTGTATTTTTCCAACGCTGGTCAGCTGACCAGCGTTGGAGAAAACTGGCTTTTTTTTCAAAAAGTGCTCCTGATTTTTCATATTTAGTTTGTCTGCATTTTCTTTGCAATTGATTACACACCTGTGGAGACTAGCCCGCTAGACTGATTCTCTGATCTTACAATTGCCCAAAGTCTATAAATTGCTCCGTTTCATCTTAAGTGGGGTCAGGGAACCAGACTACAAGAATATGATTGATTTTCTTGGTTTTTCCAGCATCTACGAACCCAAAACTTGAAACAAGTCAGTGTAACAATATTTGCTATAACATACTAATCCTCCAAATCCATTTATTTCTGAAAATTGCAGCAAAAGCAAATGTTGTACATTCCCTTTAAAGAACGCCCTCTGTTGAAAAAAAGTAGCTTATCTTGCAGGCAAAATCACATGGCGGACCTTTAAAGATATACGAGAAAAAATGATATTTAACTTCGAGGACACGTTATGCATTAGCTTGTACACCTGTAATATTAACAAAAAATCAAAAATTACATGAAGTACTGTTAAGAAAAGTGTGAATATGCTATAGGCCTACATGTAGGAATTCCTAGCGTTTGAAATCAGACAACTTTTGCCTGTTTAGTTCAAATGTTTGAAATTTAAACCTTGAAATTTATCCCTTGGTATTGTGTAGGATGCTGTTCTTGTACTTCCAGAACTGTAAGGTTTTTTTTACAAACCTTACAGTTCTGGAAGTGCTGTTCTTGCAGACAAATTAAATTTTCTGGAAAAAAAGTTCACAAATCATGTTGAACTCGAAATTTACCGGAAAAAAAATTTAAAATTCAATTTCTTGCTCAGGAATTCGGTACAAAGACGACCACGCACAACCTTGAAAAAGGTTTTTCAAGGTTTATTATTAAATTAGTGGAAGCAAGCATAGTGTTATATATTGATGAAAAAAATCACGGGTACAGTCGATGTATAATTGTTTTTCAGGCGAAATTGAATGAATTTAAACACCATCTGAATTTGAGTGAATTCATTGCTGGTAGTGGAAAGTCAAGCGAATGACTCTTTTGAATTGTGACGGACAAAAAAATGTTAGAAGGCATGGTTCAGATGGGCCAGGTATTAAACTGATTTTTTTGCCGGAAAAACCTAGAAAAATAGTAGAATCCCTCAATACAATGATTCTTACAAGCCGCTTTTGATGACTGCAGGACCTGGGAATTTCGAGCATACCATGAAGACATTCTCTAAGGCTTCTACCAGAATATATTTTACGAGGCACGCCCTTAACGTGACCATAATTCTTTGATTTTTCGCCTATTGTTTTAGAGCAAAAATTTTACCTCAAATTGGCACGGTAAGTAAAATTTCTCCAAGCTCTAATATCATTCCTGTTCAAAAATCTTGACATTACATATCCGTTTAATACAAACTTCCAGAGAAATTATATTTTGGCGTAGCGCAATCTCCGATCTTATTTCGAAGTGCACATGAACCCTTTTAAAAAACGAAGTGGCTATCGTTACGGCAGCCGTTGTTTAGCGCCCTCTACGATACTTTTTTGATACGCACGCAGGTATAATTATTTGTTTCCCCACGTTTTAGCGAGCAGTGCGACAGCTCAGTCGATAGAGGGTAGGATTTTGCACCGCGAGGTTGTGGGTTCGCATCTCAGTTTTGCACTCGAATTTTTTTCCTTTTCTAACCTGAGGCTTTGGACTGGAGGATTTTTTTTTAAAGGGAAATAAAGTCCGAATTTCATAACCTTCAAAATCACTTTTTTTCCTTCTAATTTTATATTTTCTTCTCATGTTTTCTATAAAAGTTGCAGTAGGCCTACTACCGTAACGATAGAAAATGGGAAATGCGTTACGGCTGCCGTAACGATAGCCACTGCGTTAAAAAAAGGTTTTCTTTTGGGGGTGTGTCCAAGTCTAGTTGTAGGCCTATTTTGTTTTGATACTGATAGGGGAAAATGTAGAGTCGTGACACTACTTTACAAATTGCTAAACGACAAAAGTTTCAGCTTACCTAGTTGCTTGAACTGACACCTGAACACCGTTTTTGTCTACTCTTAATTTCTTCAAGTATATAATTAAGGTAGTGTATATTTTGCCGGAGGTAAATTAAACACGTGTTTTGTCATGTTTGTGTATACCGCCCTCCATTGACCAACATTGCCTAATGCTTAACCGATCCGGCGGCAAGCAAACTGATTGCCAGGAATTCACTGATTATTAACCAACTATGGAAGGTAATTTACTCAGATTTATTGTCATATTATAAGGTCTCTATAATCTGATAGTCTGACTAAAGGCCGTTAACCTGGCTAAAAAAGCATTTGTCCTCGACCGTCCATTATCTGCGCAGGTAACACTTGCATTAAAGTTGCAACGCGCGTGCGTTGTCACACACAAATTGAATGCGACTGCGAGTGCGTAGAAATACACGCGTAGGACCGTGTAGCTTTAGGGGGTCTGACAGTGACACAATAAGCTTGCCACCGGCGTTGTGTATGGGTTTTTTGTGTGAAGTACATGTATACATTATTTAATATATGTAGTCACAAATTTCGCGCTGCATAGAGCATTCATTTGAGGGGCGGGTGTAGCTTTCAGGAAAAAGGGGGGGGGGAAGTTGGTATTGTCATGATTGTTGTTTTGTTATTGTTTTGTTGTTATTATGAAGGGGGGGGGGGGGGTGAAACTTTTTGCGTGAAGAGGCCCCCGGAAAATTTTGAAATCTACAAAAAAAAACGATGCTTAATCTCCCTACATAACAGTTTGGGAACCATTCTTGTTTGGGGTGACCTTATTAAGATTACTTTATTATAATATAAGAGGAAAGAATGAAAGATTCCCATATCTGGCCATCACTTGTCACCCTGTGCACAAACCCTATGGGACTGGTCTGACAATTTCTAAGTCCTAATCTCAGTAAAAATTCAAAATTTGCCCCTGCTAATTTTGGCTTTTTAGGATATATTATCACTTTCTGATGGGTGATAGGTAATTTAAGGGGAAAATTACTGATGGCCAGATAATGAGATATGGGATTCTTTCCCATTATAAGATCCTGAATGGCTTCGACGATATATGGATTCAGAAAAGTTCTTCTCCAAGTCAAGTACAAGTACCCGAGGTCACAGGTTGAAGTTGTTCAAGAAGAGAATGCATATTAAAAGTCTCCAATTAATATTGAGGAAGCACTTCTCCCAATGGGTACTAAACAACTGGAGCAACCTCCCAGCCTACGTCGTAAATGCCATGAATGTCAATCAGTTCAAGAATACCTTTGACAGTTACTGGGTCTTAAAGGGCTTAAGCCTATAATTGATAATCCCATCAAATCTTAAGTGTATTACTTCTATATTTTTGTATTTCATTACAAATCGCCCACGGAACAAACTTGCTTAACGTCCGTTTGATCAATCAGTAATTATTTTCATTTAAAATGTGTATGTTTTTTTTTTCTTTAGATATCAAACTCCAAAGGAAGTTTGATTTCATCATATCTCCGCAAGAATGGGAAGAGAGCATTCACATCAAGCAGACCCACAAGCAACGATCTCTTCAAGGTTACTCTAGAATTTTCTCACGGGAAGTCGCAGTGACGAATCCACACTGTTCGTTGCTTTTCAAGTACAATCGTGTCCGAAAGGTCGGCAGCAGGAAGGGAAATATGCCGTTTTTCCACGGTAAAGGGCTTTGCAGAATTGAAGGATGTACTAGGTACGACTTCATTATCAGGAAAGAAGTAAAACGGGGCACCCGAGTTAAAGTTAGGGTTAAAGTGTCTGGTGAACTTAACCATCCCCAAGGTGAAATTCACACGCTGAATGAAAGGGAAGACATAAAGCATTTGATGTTGAATACAGCTACACAACCAAGTCCTGCACAAAACCACTCGAATCTTGAAAATTCAAGCGATGAGGGTTCTGGCAACGATTACGACGCTCTTACGGATCTAGTGGCACAAGGCGAAGTGGATGTATTCCGTGAGATCGAAATTGTCAGAGAAATCACGTCCGACTTGATACCTGGTGGTTTTGTACGTTACATAGGTGTCTTCCCACTGGGAGTGATTATGTACACCGTAGAACAGATTCAGTTACTGAGCAGTTCGCTCAAAGACGGACAGTGCACTGTTTTCATGGACACAACAAGATCATTGGTGAAAAACCTTCCAGGCAGGCCACAAGACGTGTTGTACTCTGCGCTTGTTGTTGAAGGGTGTAGTGAGAACTCAGCTATGGCAGTTGCAGAGTTCTTCACCGATGACAACACCCTTCCGAAAGTTTCATACTTTCTGAATATCGTGAGGCGTGCCCTCAAGCAGGCCGATCCGAAGAACAACGTCCCGCAAAACATTGTGATGAACTACAACTGGGCGTGGATTAATGCTGTCAACATGGCTTTCAATGATATGTCTACGTTGTCGTTTCTCGAGCATGCGTGGATTGACAAGCTGCCGCCATGCAAGATTCACATCTGCAGCACGCATGTGATGCGAACAGTAGCCACACGTCTCTACGATGTGGACGTCCGCAAAAAGTACTTCATCCTGTTATGTGTCGGGTGTTTGATTGTGGCGACATCAAAGACCAAACTTGACGAGATATTCAGCATGATGTGCGAAGCGCTCCTATCCAAGCAAGCACCCAGCGAGAACATACAGGAACACCTACAATCTCAGCTGGTTGGAGTCTCAATTGACTTCGACCATGATAAGATTGAAGGTCACGTTTCCACCGGCGAAACTGAGAACTTCTGTAACCTGACCGAGTCTCCGTACTACAAGCACTACCATACAATCAGGATGTTGTTTGATTGTAACAAGGATACAGCGCCTGTCAAGAACCCGTACTACGCTCCCGAGTTCCTCCACTATTTCCTGCGTTGGTTTATGTCCATCGCGCCACTGTGGACAGGCATGCTGGGAACAAGGAGTTCGCTCACGTCCAGTGCGCCAGCGAGAAACTGGTTCCAGAAAGTGGAAGAAAGCGTCCTGCACCGCAAGAAGAGACTGGGACCGAGCAAGTTTGTCCGCGCCATGGCGGGCAGTTTGAGCAAAAGAATGCGAGAATTCAAACTTTCTTAAACTTGAGTTAGAGTTGAAAATTGTGACACCGGTATAAGTGCCATCGTAATAATAAGTTATCCCGCGAGCGCGAGTGGAACACGCAATATGTGGGACAAAGACGCACTACATTTTCCATGTTCCACGAGCGCGATAACAAATTTATCTTCAAGCAAACTTGACGCACAGTACAGTTGGAACGAGCACGCTTTACACGGACATTCAGCAGCTTGGAATGTCGCTCGCATCTTGGAATAGCGGAATACGCGGAGTGCGGTATGGACCGAGGCCGTGCTACATGGTTATATGTAGCACGGCTTGTTGCCATGGATCGACCAATCAGGATGGAGGATTCAAGTTTACTTGAAGATAACATTTTATGTTTTAATCCCAAGTTATGTTGTTCATGTACTATTATGTGGGGGAAAAAGGCACAATTTCTTTGAAATAAGTTCATAAAAACAAAATGTTTGGTCAATGGGAGCGCAAATAAAGCATTTGACATAAAGTAATGATCAGTTATGTAAAAAATACGAGTTCTGCACTCAAGCCTGTCATAGAAAACAAATACAGTCGAGTCTTGTTATAACAAACTCGTTCGGACCTAGCCAAATTGTTTGTTACATCAGAATTTTGTGTAAAGAGGAACATCAGTCCCATTCATTGTGCACATAAATGCACAGTCGGGACCAAGGCTTTATGTTTGTTATAACCAGAATTTTGTATTAACAGAGTTTGTACTAACGAGAGTCGACTGTATAGTCAAACAATCCATTGGATCTTTCTAGCCCGTTTTTGAGCGACAGCCGTAATTATTTTCTCTGTAAAAGAAACGTGAATATCCATAAGCCAGCATTGAATTGATATTAAAGCCATTACCAAGAAAACTAATTTCAGAATTACATGTACTTGATTTTTTTAAGCATTTTCACAGACCAGGGAAATTTTGAATTTGTCATTCATTCTGCGGAATGTTTGGTTTGGATTTTGCTTTTTTGGCCGCCATTATGTTTCTGTGTAAAAAAGTTTTGGACGTGGTTTACATGCACAATCATTTTTAGAATAAACACATCACAACAAGCCCCATTGAGGTATGTAACAACACAAGAACATTACCTGTAACATGTGTAATGTATTAAAATTGTGTTAACTTTCAGGTTTTTTTCCCCCTGAAATCAAACCATTGTCTTATGCAGTCCTAAATAAACACCATTTAAACCATATTTTGCCTTTTCTAAGATTTTCAAATGAAACCATTTATCCAAGGGATGCAACTGGAAATAAAAACAGCAGCAGTTCCCATGGTAACAACTTTATACAAATCGGAATCAATTATTATTTATATCTGGTAATGAAACCAAGGATTCCTCAAAAGTGCCCTAGGCACTGTAGCTCGCAAGCCTGAAGAAACCTGTAGAGAGAAAACAAGAAGAAGAAAATACAGTTTTAGAGGTGGGAGGAAAACCCCAGAAAAATATTCTGGGGAAACCCACGGAATCAGGTAGGGACTGAAAACCCAATCCACATATTGGCCCAGGCGGGATTCGAACCCGGGTCACAGCATTGGAAGGCGAGGAAAGTACCGCTATGCCAACCTGACTCCCTTGATCCAGACAAGAAAATTACAAGTACAAAAAGATGACACGAAACGCCGACTTAATAGAATAGCATCTTAGACATTTAATCATCTGAGTTACAACATAATCACAACAAAAACATGAGAATATATTCTTAAAGTAACAATCTCTATTTAAACTGTGTCCATACTGTATTAATTAATTACATGTATTGGTTCCCAATGCATATGTACATCACAAAAAACTATAAACAACGGCCAGTTCTGAAACATGGCTACAAAACATGAAATATTAAAATACCAATTACATGTTTTCCTAAAGATCCCTCTAACAATTTTAGACGTAGAGCAAAAAACCTACACGTGAGGGAGCTAGGAGTTACAAGGATTTAGTAAAACTAATTTATAAGCAATGACTTTAGTTGAACACAAACTCAAACTCGGTAAAGTTAAATCATGATCGAGTTTGGGACAAAATCTGAAATCGTGGCTGGCTCATTTTTTTTTATTAATTTCTACAATTTGTACATTGCATTACAGAGCTGCTGTAAGCTGTAATTTTTCTCATTTAATATTTCATTTTTAAAGTAAAACAATCTACGCAGTAAAAATATTCATTTTTCTAGTTTTTTTTTAACTCTTGGTATCGTTGGAAATCAATAAATTAATATTTTGGGAACTCATCTTTCCTTGTTGCAAGTTTTGAAACTTCGTTCTTGCCTCCAGTTTCGGCTTCCATCACGTTTACATGGAAACAGTCTCCGGAAGCCACATCTGAAAACAAAGCCTGGTTTCGAAAATGCATCAGGTGCATAATTGCTCAATTTTGGATTCAGGTCAGAGAACTGCCCCTTCAGTACCACCAGCTTTCTGTCTGAATGACCTCTGACACATGACCTTTGACACATGACCTTTGACATAGGGTCAAAGGTTAATATGTCAACAGGGAATGCACCACAAAACATCTGTAATCAGCCAATCAAATGACAGGAAGGAAGAACTAATTGTTGCAACAACCAATGAAATCTATGAAGATGGGGCACGATTACCTGTCCTCATTAAATGAAGTCAGGATACCAGTCTAGTGGTCTACAACCAAGAAAAAAATACACTTGACTGCCCATAAACAAGTTTTTATTTCTAACTAGCCCACATTTCAATCAAAGCTTTTTAAAATAGGAAAATTGCTGCGGAACCTAAGGCTGGAAATCACATTTCCTTAAATCTGTTTTTTTTTTCAATAAATGTTAACACAAAATATACGCCATCAAACTAAATATGAATAACTCAATTTTTAATTACCTCCGATCGACTTTAAGGACAAAACAAAGACTTATTCCTAAAAACGATTGGAGATACGGTACACATGTACAGCTTGGGAGTGTATAAAAGATACATTCATTTTTGTATACAACGCAAAAATTATGATTATTTCTTTGTTTTTTTTATCAAATTTTAATTTATACAGTCCACATTAAGTTTGGGGTTTTACTTTGTGACTAATGTACATCGTTCTAGTAGGAATGCTGTTTCTCGGTGACATAAAAATACATGAACTTTTTTTTTAAATTTGACTAATAAGCTTTTATTGAAATACATTTATTTTATATCGTAGACATTTTAAAGAAATTTCTTGAATTAAAATAGAGAGAGGAATGCAAAAGTAACATTTTACGGAAAAACAATTGATACGCATTTTATAAACACAACTATTAGTTGGAAATTCTTTGAGAAAGTATTATGTTAAGCAAGATAATGTTTGTTGTTTCAATTTAAGACTGAAATCTTATTGACTATTGCCATATGCGAGTCTTTTCCAATTTGGAAAATATGAAAAAAAGTGTCGCTAGAACGTTTATTTACCTGCAAACAATAAAACAGGCAAGCGGTCCGTTTCTGTTCGTACTTTGAGAAATGTCAATCGGGTTGCGAATATTGCCGATGAATACAATTGCCGTAGTACGATACCTATGGATTCCGTGCGCAAACAATAGAGGGCGCTATTTTACCACTTTCAAAAGCGCAGTGGACGGCATGCGATTACTGGTTCGCGCGCACACAGCGCGAAGTACGCACGACTTATTGTATTCTGAATGTGCAGAAAGCCAGAGCATCTTCGCGTGAGCGTCAGGCGTCGTCAGAAATGCGTCCACATGTCTATCCCAGTGGTCTCCCCAAACTCTCCCTTTCTTACCGTTGAGGGGGTATTTGCGCACTGAGCCCATTGACTGGTACATACTCGTCTAAATATCGACGCGAATGTACAATGGCATCACATTCACATTTAATATAACTTTCCCATATGAAATCCGCGGTGCAAGTAAATACGTAACACAACAGTACATTTCAGTGCTCGAATCCAAATCATGAGTGACCTATATAAATTTCTAAAACAAAATCTGCAAAAAAATAACGCTGTTACTTTAATGCAAACTTCATATGACCTCAATAAAGAAAAAAAAACGGTCCGACACGTAAAAGTTCGACCATACTACAAAAATTCTTGTGTTTTACAAAAAATAGTCCTCTCAGATTATTTTCATTTGAGATATTAAAACCAATGAAATGTTTGGTATTTTTTATTAATTTCCTATTTTGTTTCAGATTTGCACGTCCCCATTTGCTAAATTAAAAAAAAAATCTAGGAAAACAATATTTTTTTTTATATATCTTAATGATCCAACCACGGTTGGGTGTATCGCTGTATTTGTATCGGTGTGTGTTACTGTAGTATCAGGGTGGTGATGTCGGTAGCATGTATCATGGTGTCTGTCACGGTGTGTATCACCATAGACCATGCATGTATCACCATGTGCGTCACTGTGTTTTCGTCTTACCCTCATCTAGGGGATGCAACAATGCCAAAGACGACGCCCGTTCTCAGCAGAAACTTGCGGAATATTGACCTCAGCTCAGGTCGGAGGTCAAACATGACGACCTCGCACATTTGAGCGTAGTACTTGGAAGCGTGGATCTTGAACTATAAAATTGATTTGATCGTGGATTTAAGAAGTTAATTGTTTGTTAAAATCAAATAAACCACAAAGCGGCATGAGCTGGGTACAATTTCGAGTTGACTTTAGTTGAGTCATCAACTTGAGTCACTACAACTAGGGTTTTAAGGCCAGGAGGGGGGGGGGGAGGGGGAGATGGGAGGGGGAACTTAAGGACCAACTTACCCTCTCGTCACTCATCTTGAGTATTTTGGTCAATAGGAGGACCAGCAGTGACTTCCAGGCCGCCCGGTGGCTCTCTGAGTCTAATGAGTTGAAGTATTCTAGAGCACTTTGGCAAACACTGAACCAGAGGAGAAAAGACGGCTAATCAATGAGTTAATCACAAGTCAATCACAAGTCAATTACAAGTCAATCCCAAGCCTGTCACAGGTCAATCACAAGCCTGTCACATGCCAGTCACAAGTCTGTCAGCAGTCAGTCACATGTCTGTCAGAAGTCAATCACATGTCAGTGATAAGTCAGTGATAAGTCAGTCACAAGTCAAATCACATGTCAGTGATAAGTCAGTCAAAAGTCAAATCGCAGTCATTCACAAGTGGTCACAAGTCAGTCACATGTCAGTGATAAGTCAAATCACAAGTCAGTCACAAGTCAAATCACAAGTCAGTAACAAGCCTGTCACAAGTCAATCACAAGTCATTCATAAGTCAAATCACAAGTCAATTACAACTCATTCATAAGTCAAATCACAAGTCAATTACAACTCAATCACAAGCCTGTCACAAGTCAATCACAATCGCACGACAAGTAAATTGCACAGGTTTCGAAAAAGTCAGCAACTTTAACAGAGTAGTCAAGCAAAAAATAGCCATAATATAAAAGCCGCTGACCTGAGGAGTTTTTCTTCGATAGCAGGCCATTCAGCTTGCCTGGTTTCATCACTGTACATCTTGAAGAGGATACGTAGACAGCAGGCCAGGCTAGCTGTCTCCTGGGTAGACAGGTTGGGCTTGTTCTTCCCACGGAATCCTGCAAGAAAAAAAGGAAAACTTCAAATTGATGAAGATTTTTGTCTAAATTTTGCAATGAGATGATGTGACTTTTTTGTCGCAGCTACCTTTTGCTAAATTTTGATGTCGCATTCAGCAGTACAGTTTCAATCACAAGTCAAGTCATTCACAAGTCAATCACAAGTCAGTCACAAGTCAATCACAAGTCAATCACAAGTCAATCACAAGTCAGTCACAAGTCAATCACAACTTAGTCACAAGTCAATCACAAGTCAATCACAAGTCAATCACAAGTCAATCACAAGTCAGTCACAAGTCAATCACAAGTCAATCACAAGTCAATCACAAGTCAGTCACAAGTCAATCACAACTTAGTCACAAGTCAATCACAAGTCAGTCACAAGTCAATCACAACTTAGTCAAAAGTGAGTCACAAGTCAATCACAAGTCAATCACAAGTCAGTCACAACTCAATCAAAAGTCAATCACAGATGATGAAATAATGACAAAGGAATGGCTTTGCCGCCATTCATTTGAACAGCTTATGACTTGCAACTGGACGACTTATGATTGACTTTTGATTAACTTATGATTGACTTATGATTGGCTTGTGATTGGCTTATGATAAGTCTGTGCATTACCTGCCGATCGGAGCAGTTCCCGCTGCCCGTTGTTGCTGTTGAACTCTTTGGCGAAGCTGTGTGATTCCATCAGACAATCCATGAGCAGGAAAAGCTGACTGGACGAAAGGAAACGATACATGCCTGGATCCTCACCGCTCAGAGTGGACTCGGAGGACACCGATAACTGATCCATTGTATTGTCCTGTAAAACAAACAACTTGTCAAATGATATAACGTGATTACGGTGGCTATGTCCTTCAGCAAGGGTGTTTACTGTGATTGCTCCACTTTTCAACAAGTACATGTACCAGTGGCATAAAACTTTTGTGGACACTTGAGTAGTTGTCCTACCAAGTTAAGTTGAAAATGGTGCCTATTTCTTGGGCAAGCTAATTTACTGTGATTGCTCAACTCTACAGCTGGATCCCTGTGGCCAAGTTGGTAATAGTACATTGTATATATGTCTAGTATATATGTCCTTGGGCAAGTCTGTTTACCGTGATTGCTCCCCCTCTACTGCATATCCAACAACTCTCTAATGCCCATACCTGTGCCGCTTTGAGGTTGTCAGCGTCTTCGTGTCGACTGGTGGCCGGGAAGAATACAATGTTATCAATGGTCTGAATGAGCTCTAGCTGGACGACACACTTGATGAGCAGGTTGGCAAAGATCTTTTGGTCAGCAGCAGTTTCTGGGAAGTAGAAACAAAGAGAAGGAGTTTAGTGGTCTGTGCAGCAACACTAGCAAGGAATTGGGACCGGCTACATTAGGAAAAAAAAAAAAAATCCAGTCTTGAACTAAGACTAGAATGCGCAATGTGTTACATACTGTGTATGTCCATGGTCCTGCTGCTAGTCTTGCTCTCCATGCTGGTAGCGCTGGCCACGCTGTGCTCACTGCCAGCTCGGCGTAGGTCTGATCTACGCTCGGACGCGGTAGGCTGGGGGTGGTTCTCCTTGTCGATGAAGGCGGGGGAGCCGGGCGGTTTGGCCGGAGACTCCTGCAAGGGATGATGGGAAAAATGTCGAGATCCGTTTGTAGAGTTTGGAATGCTGTGGTCGAGTCCATCACAAGTGTACAGCAAGTCGAGTCACATGGTAATCACATATCTATTCACTAGTCCAGTCACAAGTAACAGGGGATGAATGATAACAAAGGAATGCCTCTGTTACAGTTCTTGACAATAGCTTGTGATTTGACTTGGGAATGGATGACTTGTGATGACTTGTGATGACTTGTGATGACTTGTGATGGACTTGTGATGACTTGTGATGACTTGTGATGACTTGTGATGAATTGTGATGGACTTGTGATGACTTGTGATGACTTGTGATGACTTGTGATGACTTGTGATGACTTGTGATGGACTTGTGATGACTTGTGATGACTTGTGATGACTTGTGGTGAACTTGTAATGACTTGTGATGGACTTGTGATGACTTGTGATGACTTGTGATGGACTTGTGATGACTTGTGATCGACTTGAGATTGACTTGTGATGACTTGTAATGACTTGTGATGACTTGTGATGACTTGTGATGGACTTGTGATAACTTGTAATGACTTGTGATGACTTGTGATGACTTGTGATGGACTTGTGATGACATGTGATGACTTGTGATGGACTTGTGATGGATTGTAATGACTTGTGATGACTTGTGATGACTTGTGATGACTTGTGATGACTTGTGATTGACTTGTGATTGACTTGTGATGACTTGTGATTGACTTGTGATTGACTTATGATGACTTGTGATGACTTGTGATGACTTGTGATGACTTGTGATGACTTGTGATGGACTTGTGATGGACTTGTGATGACTTGTAATGACTTGTGATGACTTGTGATGGACTTGTAATGGACTTGTGATGACTTGTGATGACTTGTGATGACTTGTGATGGACTTGTGATGACTTGTGATGACTTGTGATGACTTGTGATGGACTTAGTTGGCTACAAATATTTATGTGACATTTACACTGAAAACAATCACAGATTTTGCCTGATTTAGGGAGTTGCTCATGGACTGGTCGATTGGGAGATACTTACATGGTCAGGTGATGGTACAGAATCCCTGCTGACCGTGTCAGCATCGCCATGATGTTCCTCTGGTTTCCACGTCAACAAACTAAGAAATAATAGCGAGATAAACAAATATTTTTCTTACCCATGATATTTATTCTCTGTTCTCTGACGAATCCATACAACCACCGAGCTTCACAAAAACATCACAATGGTGCATTGAACGACCAGTATAGAGCATACATGTTAACAATTTAAGTATACTAAACTGGCATGCATCTACTTTTCCTGACTCCTTGCGAAATAAAAACTGTGACTTTTCATGAGTTTCCATGATAGCTTTAAAGGGAAAATACAACATTTGCAAACATCAACAAATAAAACTACCAAATCATTTTGAAATACCTTGCTGGACTGTTAGTGAATGACAGTGTAAAGCATCCTGTAAAATCATGGCACCTGGTATACTGTCATTTTCAAGAAAAGTGGTATTTTGGTATCAATTTCCAACCCTGGTCGGCCGACCAGCGTTGGAAAAAACTGGCTTTTTTTCAAATACTGGCCCCAATTGACCATCGCACTTGTTTGCAATCGATTACACACCTATGAACGGGTACAACGCTAGACTGGTTCCCTGACCTTACAATTCCCCAATGTATGTAAACTGCTCTGTTTTTCTTATATGGAGTCAGGGAACCAGACTACAGGAAAATGATTGTTTTTCTTGGTTTTTATAGCATTTTCGAGCCCAAAACCTCAAAAAAGTCAGTGTAACTATATTTGCTATATATTTCCAACCCCCCAATTCCATCCATTTCTGAAAATTACAGCAAAAGCAAATGATGTATATTCCCTTTAACCCTCCTATGCAAACATACATTCTGTGCAAAGTTGTCCTTTCAGTCAAAATCAATCAAGTGACTGTTTTTAACAGTTAAGAGCTCCCAGTCTACATAAAAGCAGGATTGACTGGCTGTGACTGTTTGTGTAACTTGATGCAGCTATGCTTTGACTTTAGGTGATCGATAACCCAGCTGTGCCTACCACTTGCTTTTGTCTGTTGACTGAATTTGACTAGTCACAGTGCTTGCTTGAAATGTGATTCGACTGTTGGTGACTAGCCTGTGTAAAAGGCATGGCAGGGGAAGAGGATATTCCAGGATATTTTCAGGAGTTTTCCACGACTGTGCCAGCTGTGGCTTATCAGAGGGAAGAATGCAACTCACCCGTGAGGTATGGTGTTCTTGAAGATGTCCAGCATGCATGTACAGACACGGTCCCACGTAGCTTTGCTGAACGATGGTCCGTTGCAGATCACGAGCTGCTCTAGGCAGTTGGTGCCTGACCGCGCCAATTGCTCATTGTCTGGGGGGGGGGGGGGGGGGGAGGCAAAGTTTACTTCATAAGTTACTTCGAGCAAGACAAAGCAAGTCTAGTAAAGCTGATCCCAGAGCGCACACAATTGTATTCAGTTGATCCAGAATGGCTATTCACTGGTAGTCATTTCATGCATCTGGTGGGCCCGATTCAGCCCATTATTTGGCGTTACGGGTAACCCTATACAATAGCACTGCCCAGCTCACAAGTGCCAGTCAGTCAGTGAGATAGGTACAAAGGTACAAAGATATTGAGGTAATTACGTGCACCTTTAATGTCTTCCTTTACTTCAGTGAGTAGCGCCCTCTATTGTAACAGAACGGAGTCCAGAAGCTGTTCATTTTCGCCTAGGAAAGTTGACACTACATGACCGCAACACAAAACTTTGTAAACATATTCCGTAAAAAGTTGAGATTTAGGAGTTTAAGTAAGATTTGCGGCTTTGCATGGTGGAGATACTAAATAATGAAAGGTTTGCGGATACACCATGTGCGAATAATTTCTCAACTAAGAGAATGGTTTTGAAAAGAAGCAGAGGTATAAAGAGCATTTATACCTCTGGTTCTTTTCAGAACCATTCTCTTAATTGAGATATTATTTGCACATGGTTTATCCGCAAACCTTTCATTATTTAGGAGTTTCTTCTCGTACCTTGTTGGACGCACCACAGGAGCTGCTGGAGTAAGTCTTCAAGGAGTATCTCATTGAGAACGTCAAAGTATTGCGTGAAGACGTCTACGATGGCGAACAGGGCATGGTTGCACGTCGTCATCATCCACTCAGTTTTCTAAGCCGAAAAAAAAAGAAAAAAGATGAAATTCTTCCAAGTGAGTTAATGTTTTCAATGGCTCATACAAGCAGTGCTTTTCAAATTAATACAAAGAAGTTAGACTGGAGACTTGATCTCATTATCAGGTATGGGTAAATGTCCTGGGTCAAAGGTCATGCTGACGATGACAGTTGGTCGTTCTCAGCCCCAATATCTGAGTGAGATTTTTGATGTAGTATTTGGATTTAAGCAAACAAAACAGCTAAGTGAATTTCTTAGTGATTGGCAAATTTACATTGAAGCAACAATGGCGAACGTCATCAAATTCACTTTATGTAAGAAGTACAAAGAATATAATGAAAGGTTACGGACCAGCTTTTGGATTAATTTTGAAGAGTTTTGGGATTCTATCTGTTGCTTTTCTTTTCATTGAAATGACCTTGAATGTGTGCAAATTATGTGCCTCAGGTCGCATGCAAATGAGTGGAAGTCCGCCCTCTGTAGGTGACGATGGCAAAGGAAAAAAATTCCACAAAACTGTTCTTCAACTTATTACACAAGACAATTGCGTGGCAGCAATCGGCTCAGTGAGAACGTGTCTCGGCCGCTGAATTCAGGCCCAATTCAAAACATGATTCAGCAACTTTTGATTTGAAATCGAGATCCTAGAATGTTGTTTTTCTCGAAATATACAGCTGAAGCTGTGCTGAAATTCATCAGGTTAGTTGTTCAGCACCCTTCTTTAGATTTTGAGCACTTTTGTTGCTTCAAACGAACATAATGCACAAATTACAAATGATGGACTGTACCTTTAAAGGCTTTGTATACCCTCCACAAAGAAACTTTGCCGACAATAACATAATTTTGTCAGTAGTGGTTAGTATATTTTACAGGATAACAAGGATTTTTTTAAGAATCTTAATGCTAAGAACACAGCACAGAAATTCTGTGCCAGAGCAATAAGCATATTAACAATGATCATAAGCGCACGATTTCTGCATGATCACAAGTGCAGTATTCTGTGGTTAGCTGAACCAAAAAAATTAGACCGGTTATTATTTTTAGTAACACAATTAGTAGCTGTAACTAGAACGGCGAAGCCGCCATGGCTCGCTGTCCATGGCAGGAAGGGAGGCTGAAGGTAGGGTTGGGGATGGGCATGATGGAAGGGGATCAGGAGTCTTGTTGATGTGCCTAGGTGTAGGGGACAGTTTTTAAATGTCAACATAAAAAGTTAACAGATTACCTAATAAATACATATGTATATAGGTTAGCCGTCACTGTATTATGGGGGAGTTTTCCATTGTTAGGGTAATTAGGACCCACTTGTGGATTTTTGCAGCCCCAACAGTGTCTTCTGGTCCCCATACTTGTAGTACCATGGGAAAACTCTTGTGTAGTCGCCACAAATGCAGAACAAGAATGGGTATACATGTACATGTAGACACAGCACCATCACCACCTCCCCCGAACCTTACCCCATCCCAAAACCTTACCCCATCCCCAACCCGCCCCCTCCCCCACCCAACCCCCTACCCACACCCATTCCATCCTCCCCTAACCATCCCCACCCTATCACCTACACATCCCAACCCCACTCAAACTCCAATCCCTATCTCCTTCCCCCTCCCCTGACCCGTACCCTCCCCTACCCCTACCCCCTACACCCACCTACCCTATCTTCCCTTATCTGTCCTTACCCACCCTACACATCCCCATCCTAACCCTTACTCGAATTCCAATATCCCGCCCACCCCATTCCCCCACCCATACATCCCCACCTGACCCCATGCAACCCCTACTCTGATCCCTATATATTGCCCCCTCCCCTTATCCAACCCCTACAACCCATCCCTACCCATCCCTACACATCCCCAACCCAACCCCTACTCCGATCCTATATCCCGCCCCCTGCCCAACCCCCTCCTAACCCAACCCCTACATCCATGCCCATCCTCTCCCTACCTGTCTCTCCCTACCTGTTCCCACCCCACCCCTACAAATCCCCACCCCACCCAAACCCAGTATTCCAACCCCTCTCCCCACCCCAACCCACCCCGCCCTACCCATCCTAGCTCCCCTACTCATCCTACTCACACAAACCCTAACTCCAACCCTATACCCTACCCCACCCCACCCCACCCCACCCCACCCCCACCCCCACCCCCACCCCCACCCCTACCCCTACCCCATCCCTACTCCAACCCCATAAACTATAAGATCAAACCAGAAGCTCATGCACATCCCCAAAATGCATAGTGTACATGTACATGTTATACCGGTATACACACACGTACATGTTATACTAGTATACATGTACATGTAACAATTAAAAACTTTAACATTTCCTTGAATTAAAATTCCTCAATAAAATCATAAAATTTACTGCAATGATATGAACCTAACTGAAGTTATAAGGATGATACATGACAACTGCATTTAATTTTTTTCCCCAAGTTAACTAGAACCAAAAACTTCAACATTTTTATCTGAACGCGGACGGCCGGACGGACGGACGGACGGACGGACGGACGGACGGACGGGCGCCCGGACAGACGGACGGAAATTGGTATTACATAGGCTCGCATCTGCTTCGCAGCTCGCCAAAAATATCTATCTCACTTCTAAGATCTGTTCCGGGAGCTTCATGTTGTCGAAGATTCGGAAGACGATCCTGAAGAGATCCTTCCACCAATGTTGATAGAATGTGTGGCCGTAGCTCTTCATAATCTCAAACATGACGGTCAGCCCCCTAGGAGAGTAGAAAATATGAAATGATTAGAGGTAGGTAGAGAATAGGCGTTGAGAAACCCCCTAAGTTGGCAGAAAATAGAAAGTGCTTTGAGAAACTGCCTAAAGGCCGGTTCGTGCTTCATGCTTCATGCGAATGCGATGCGAAATTCGGGCGATTCACAATGCAGTGCGCCACCAAGAGTTTGCCATGGAGAGTCAACTTTTCGAGTTTACGGTCGACAAAATATGGCCCATTTGAATGAGTATCAGTAGACACTTGAGCTAATTTGTTATAGATTGGGGCATAGCGTTCTGCCGCCTTACCAAAATTCACCATATTGATACAAAGAAAAGAAAAGGGCGAACGTATACTCGAATCATACATTTACGAAACTACTGACCGGAGAAAACGAACAATTTCAAATGTCCCGCCCTGCGAATTTGTCGACCATCTCCCACAATGCACTGGGAAAAATGAACTCTCCGTGGCAAACTATTGGTGGCGCTCTGCATTGTGAATCGCCCGAATTGGACGTCAAGAAGCATTCGTTGCGAAATTAAATAACTCTTGAAGGAGGCAATACTGCACATTTTTACTGCACACAATAATGAACAAGAACCTTATTATTATTCACGAGGCTTGAAAAGATTGACAGATATATTGCAAACACCAGAGTTACAACTTTTAAAAATGCACATAGCCAGGCCTATTGTTCCAATTTCAATGAAAAGTACTTAACATATCAAAACAATTATTAGCACATAGTTGGACCATTATAAAGAAACAAACCCTGAAAGTTGCATGAAGATACGGTCTTCCAAATGGGAGAAATTGATTTTCAAAGATTTTGCCTGCGACCATCCACATGTCTGTGTGCATGTTGTTTCAATCAATATTACGTAACCTTTAAAAATCGGCCTTTGCAACCACATGGCCGTATTTTCTCACCTTGTTCTGACGTCTAGTTTACACCTATTGATGACGCAGGACAACTCAAAGAGAACAGGGAACCATCCCTTGACCCAGATACGATCGTCTTCATCAATAGGTGTCTCGTGGTCTCCTACATGCTCACGAAACATCTAAAACAATGGAAAATTGAGAGGGGAAAATGATTCTTCAATTATAATAATGTTGTGCTTATATAAATTTGTGGGGAGTTTGTGGCCTAGTGGTTAGGGTTCGTGACTCATGATCAGAGGGTCCGGGGTTCGAATCCAGCCGCTGGTCATATATTGTGTCCTTGGGCAAGGCACTTCACCCCCACTTGCCCCTCTCCACCCAGGAGTATAAATGGGTACTGGCATTAGCTGGGGAGTAACCTGCGATGGACTAGCATCCCATCCAGGGGGAATAGAAATATTCTCAGTCGTTTCATGCTACTGAAACCGGAGATAAACGCTGGCCTGATGGGCCACATTGGCTCATGACAGACTTTACTTTTTACTTTACTATATAAATTTATACCAAAATCTCAAATTGCTGTACAATTATTACCCTTGATCATCAGGCCATGAGCCCATTTTTTTTTGCAGCAGCTGACGGCTGTGGCTATTCACTATAGTACCCACATATCAGGAATGTAAGCCACAGCCGCAAAAGGACAGATTCAGAAACAGCCTATTGAAGAGCAGTAAGGAAACCAAGTCTTGTACCCTGACCCACCTGCGGCTTTTCCATGACGTATTTGGCACAGCTCCGTATGAGCCGGATTGCCTCCATGCTCGTGTCAGGGAAGGCTGCGTTGCAGGCAAACTCCGACAGACACTTGACAGCGTCTTGAAAGGAGTCTAGCGTGGCGCCGAAATACTTCTCAAACACATTGCCTGAAGAAATAACGAGAAATAAAATGGTACAATCAGGCCAAAAAAAAAAAAATATTCGGCTTTTTTTTTTTTTTTTTTTTTTCTTCGAGCTTGGATTGTACAGACAAGGTGGGGTACTATTTTGCTTTTTTGGTGTCCTCATGTACATTGGTGTCCTCCATAATTTGCCTTGGTGCTCTCGATCATTTGCCTTGGTGCAATTTCCCATTCCTTGGTGCTCTTTGATAAAAAAAAAGTGAGGAGGTGCGGCAATAGAGGGCGCTGTTGGAGCTACAGCGGAACTTTTTGGGAAAAAAAAAGATTGACGCGCATGATTAAAATCGACGCGCGCGCTGACCAGAGACCGACTTATTATTTTTTTTGGCCTAAAACTGAAAGCGCAATAAAGTGGTGTATCGCACAAGGTACCCACGACTAATATTATTTTGAATGTGGACAAAGCCATAACGTCTTTGCGTGAGCGTCAGGCGTCATCGGCAATACGTTTGAATGTCCTTCCCAGTGGTCTACCCCAACTCTCCCTTTGTAACCGTTGAGGGGGTACTTGCGCATGAAGTCTATCCTGCCACAGTTGTCTAACACACACCCATGGTTAGCCAAAGTTTTTTTTAAATAAGCACACTTACTGACAATGTTGCCAGTGGTCTGGAATGCCAGTTCTACGATGCCTTCTTCATGATCGGCCGCAGCCAGATGGAAGACTGAAAAGACGTTCTTCCAACCAGATCGGATATTGATGGCTTGGGAGTTGACCATCTGAGCTATACAGCGAACAACCATGTCTCTTATGGTGGATGACCTAGGTACAAACATATCACAACTCTTGACTTCAAACTTGGTATGTCTATAGATCCGTGCCAATTAGAAGTAGCACATTAACGCTCCAGGTGGGAAGTCAGTATTCAGAGCAATATGTAAAACCGTTTAAACCCTGCAGGTCAGTTTCAGGTGAAGGATATGAAATGTTACAGTAACTGTGTCACACAGAGAGTCACTATACACACACAAAAAAACAGCACTGTGGACAGCAGTGAAACGTGACCAAGTGTGGATCTATCTGCGATTTATTTTCTGTAAACACTTCGTCCACGGACTTATTTACTTTTTCTAAACCGAACATCTTTGTACTTTTGGACACAAGGAATATGTAAACGAAATATCAGCTTCCTCCATCAGGTAAAAAAATTACAAAAAAATTGTAATTTGTTTTGCTACGGCAGCAGAATTTCATACCGTGGATGTCAGTCCTAATGCAATAAAGACGTCATCCAGCGCAGCCTGGGCCCACTAGGGTGGTATATAACAGCGCATATTAAAGAGATAGGGTACCACGGATTTATAGCTAAAATATGGCCACTGAACATGAACACAAAAAAGTCTGGAAATATCCCCAAAAGAAAAGTCACAAAATTGGAGCATTTTAACTGTTGATTTCGTTAAAAAGGTATTTATTAATGGGAATAACAGTGTGAGGATCCGGTCTTCACCATGTTCACTGCGTGATAATGACCGGGTTTGGGGGTGACCGCTGTTAATGTTCGTCTCGGTCCATTAACAGCGGTTACCCCCAAACCCGATCATTATCACGCAGTGAAGACCGGATGCTCACACTGTTATTACCTTATTAAAAGTAAGAGTTCCATAACTAAACTTGGGCAGACTTTTTTCGGTCAATGTCACATTCCAAAGTGAATAAGATTTGTTTTGCTAGAAAAATAGCAATTTAAAAAAGAACTTTTCTTTTTTCTTCACTGAAGGAATAAAGAAAAGCGAGCATAGACTGACTTGTTCTTCTTCATGATGTACTCAAACGGCCGCAAGAACTCTTTCTGGAACTTGAAGTTGGGCAATTCTCCCTTCTCCAGGAACTTCATGGAGAGTTGTCGGAGGGAGTCGATGGCAAAGAAAGCTACATCTTCCTTAGGATTACATCCCACCTACACAAAAAGCATCGCAAATATTTAAAGATTTGTAAAATAGTTATTCTATAACAAAACAGTTGATTTGGAAAAAAACTAAAATAAGTAGCACACCTTGTTGAAATGGTCGCCCAGTATGCTCCAGATGCGAGACCATTGTACACGCACACGGCCCATGTTGTAGTACGAGATCTCAACAATCTTAGTCAAGCTGAACATGCGACAGGTGTTTGTCGCCTGTAGTTCCTCCATGGATACTTGGCACAGGGCTTGCACAAAGTCAACTGCAAGAGAAAATTGTGAATGCTCTGTCAAATATCGACTCTTCTTCGAAGATGGGGAAAAGCAGATTAGTATATACATCTTACCCTTTGCAATGACACTTTATTTTTTTGAAAACAGACTTTGTGAAAAAGTGAAAGGGTATGATGTCACAAAAGTGAAAACAGAAAATCTGCCTGCTAAAGTTTTTTTGTTACTTAAACTGATTCACCTTTAGAAATCCTTTAAAAAAATCATCTTTAGAGGCAAAATTACACTTTGAAACTTTTACAGTATATTTTAGAAACATGTTGAATGACAAATTTGCAACCCCCAAAATTGGGGGGAAACCCATAAAAAGACATCAGTATTCCTTTCATCTGAAAACCCAGACTATAAGGACTTTGTTTTGAGTCTCAAATTTCAATGCAATGTTTCTCTTATCTGAAAAATCTTTCTACACAATTTACCATAGGTATCAAATATTACATCCTCCAAGTTGATGTCAAAATCATGCTTTGCTTTTGAAACAAGAATTTCACTAGGCACACATGTTAACGCTGTGATCACCGAATTTGTCAGTATCATTCAGTACAAGCCGTCATCTTGATATTTTCATTCGATAGAGGGCGCCCTTTTGATTGCGATATTGTCAGGTACAGTGAAAAGGTTCACCTCACCTATTGCATCCCCATCTAGACGTGTTGAACCGGTGAATATCCTATCGACGGCAACCACGATGCCTTGTGAGGATGTCTCTCCCATCGCCTCCTGTAGGCTGGCCATTTTCTTCTGATCCATGTGAACTCTAGACACTGTCGTAACGAGAACCGAAATAGGGTGGAGTGTTATCAGAAAAAGTAAAGTCTGTCCCAAGCCAACGTGACCCATCAGGCCAGCATTTATCTCCGGTGTCAGTAGCATGAAACGACTGAGAATATTTCTATTCCCCCTGGATGGGATGCTAGTCCATCGCAGGTGACTCCCCAGCTAATGCCGGTAGCCATTTATACTCCTGGGTGGAGAGAGGCAAGTGGGGGTGAAGTGGCTTGCCCACAGACACAACAAATAGCCAGCAGCTGGATTCGAACCCATGACACTCTGATCATGAGTCACAAACTCTAACCACTACACCATACTCCCCCACACGGTATCAGAAAGAACCAGTTCAATTAGGCTCCGCCCACTGCGCATGTGGGTAACGATATGCACGCCTCTCCAATGCCACATTGCATGTTCCAGATACGTGCATCACATGCATACATGTTGGAATTTTGTGCACGCATGTCGGTCATTAAAACACCACTCAATGGATCAGCCCATTGATAAGGCCAGCAAGTGATTTCATGAACTTGTAACTTTACATGCATCACAGTACTACGACGTGTCTTATCCCAACAAAGCATCACTGCTGCGATGCGTCCTGCAAACCATTTCATACAACTTGTAATTGCAATATGGCATGAGCACATTTACAGAGTACCAAAGTCTGATGTCAGATGTCTATGTTCTGGTTCATGCGCTGGTTCACATGTTGATGTCTTCACACACTTAAGCTATGCACGTGAACCAGAATACGCGGAACACTCTATGTGCAATGCAGTAACTATTCTATGTATTCTTTTTACGTACATCAAATAGTTGTCTGATATTCAGCAATGAGTAGACAGGATGGCAAAACTATACTATGGAATAGAAAACAAGCTGGCAATGGACTGTTATACAAATATTGAATGCTTCGAGTGGTGTAGTAAAACTAGCCTCCTGAGGTGATCCATGGACATTCTATTTTCCCGAGGCGAAGCCAAGGGAAAATAGAATGGTCCATGGATCACCGAGGGAGGCTAGTTTTACTTCACCACGAGATAAAGCATTCAATATTTGTTTTATAACACTTCACCCACAGATTCTGCTTGGTTATAATATTTAAAGTATTTAAATCTGAACGCAGTTGAAATAAACTTCAATTTCAATACAAAACTGGAGGAAAATGTTTTTCTCTCTTCCAAACTACCCCTTCGCGAAATGTTTGAACCCAACTCTGCGGCGCGCTCTCTTTGGAACAAAACGCGCTGCGTGCAACTCGCACACCAGCATGCATTTGCACACAAATACCGCGCCGTGGAAATTGTACTTTGGTTGCTAATGGTATAGTACTTTGGTTGCTACGGGAATAGTACTTTTGGCCTTGCACAGAAAGATAGCAAAAATAGAAAGTATCATGTGACTTGCTCTCGGCCAATCAAGACAAAGAATCTGTGGGTGAGGTGTTATAATATAAACTTATGTGAAAGTTTGAACTGTAATTGATCACATTTATTTTGATGTATATATCATTAGTAACTTCACATACTAGTGTCTTAAATACAATCTTGTTTACATAACATAAAACTGGCTCAAATTCACAGGATCACAACTGCATTATGCCCCCCCCCCTTAAATTGTGGTTCTGGATCCACCATTGAGAGCACTACCTACCATCTCCTGATTCCAGCAGGTCATTGTGATGTCCAGAGCTCCTATGCCCCCCGGCCGAGCTACCGCCTGTCCCCGCGATGAATTTCCTCTTGACTCCAGTGCCAATGAGTTGAGCCAACTCCAGCTGAGATATACACTTCAGGATCTGTCAAACAAAAGCCAAACAAATTGAGATTCAGCAAATTGAATTATCTTGCAAAACAGGGGATTCTCATTGAGCAGAGAAATTTGCGAGGCACAAAAAAATATGAGGGCATAAATTTGTGGCTTTTTGAAGAGTGTTTGTATAGTATAACAAAAATAATTTATTCTGACTGTAAGCATATTATTAAGCTTAATATTTGCTGCTAATGTTGCTTTGAAAAACATACAAATGCACGTACATTTTTAATCCTCAAATCAAACACGATTAAATAAATAAACGGAGAAGGTGAACATTGACAACTTTTTTCAACTTCCGAATGAAGCAAGTGATAAATCTGAATAACATGTAACAGGTAGCACATCACGTACGACGTCACAAGGTCAAACAATCTAATGACCTATTTAGTACACTTGGTGTAACCTTTCTAAAGCAAAACCTTTCTAAAAATTCAGGGTCCAATGTGTGACATTTTACCTTGGAGTCTTGTAAGTTGCCATTCAAGTATCACTAAGAATGACTTCAAATGATTGTAGGTAGTTTGCAATTCAAAATCACTCTTGGAGGACGAATGCATTACGAAGTGCATCAGAATGATAAAGTCATAGATTTCAGATGTTACAGGGACAGAAAAAAAACAACCCAAAATTTGTAGACTAAATCCAATAATGAATTTGTCCTTACCTCCAGCCATGCTTTGCCTAAGTAGTTCCCATCCGTATGAGCGACTGTGATGAGCGTCTTGATGGTGTCGATGTTCTTCGTTTTCATCTCCGTGATGGAGGAGTTGGCGGTCAGTAAGGTGAAACGGGAGAGAGCTTGGACGTACGCGTCACGTTCCATCTCCAGACGGAATATGCACGCGATGCGGATCGCGCAACGGATGCCATCCAGGCAGTGCGTGGCTATCTCCGGGTCGTCGCAATCCTGGAGGCCTACGCTGAATGCCGCTAGGAATGGCGTCCACGCAACCTATGCGGGATAGATCGTAAGGATGCTTAGAAAAGGCTCTCAGACTTACGGCTAGAGATACTGTCAGCATGTACCATGTTGGCCAAGTTCGGGCAAGGACCATTAGTCGACTAGTGGTTGATTTGTGACGTACCTTACGCCTGCGCACTGGTAGCAACGTGCGAACGTCTCTAGTCAAACGCTGGTCAAAATGTCATCGCAAAACTTCTGGATCCTGGCTCTCTGCTAGCGTTATGAATGCGCGCGGCTATTGGTTACCAGCGAAGCAACCAAGCCCTAGTAGGCTGGTTCCAAATAGTCGACTAGCGTAGTCAACCATCGTCGACTAGACAGAGTTCGGGCAAACGTTAGTTAACCATTGGTCAACTATAGTCCTTGCGCAAACTTGGCCGTTGTTGTAACTGTCAAAGACCTAGACCTAGCCCTGGACCAATTTGATTGTTGAGTCAGTCACAATTCTAGTGTTACAAACAGAAGTGTTACGTTCGTGACAGAGCCAATTAACCATGATATCTAATTAATGATTCAGAGAAATGATCCACAACTCCTAGCCTGTAATCTCCTTGACCATTACTAGATGATGGATGTATAAGATTTGAAAACTAAATGTTCAGGTTTATTCACTGAGCTCCATCTGTGACACCGAACATTACACAATGTTGGAATTGCCCAAGTCTGTTCCAAGTCCATCACAAGTAACGGGGATGAACAATTACAAAGCAATGCTTTTGTAACAACTCATTTGAATAGCTTGAGACTGTATTTTCGGAAGGGGGGGGGGGGGAGGAGGTCAGCCTCCCTGACAGCAGTTGGTGAACATATATCCACCCCAGGGCATAACATCTCCGTGGGCAATGTTAAGATCATGCCATGGAGGACGACCTCTGGAAACGTAAAATCCACGAAGCCGTGGAAATCTGTAGGCACCCCCATATGAACAGAGATGGAGGGTACGAGCTGGCCCATGTGTGCGACCGCCTCCTGTCGTGTGACCAAGCCTGGTCACGTGACGGGCCACGTGACGGGCCTCAACATCGCCAGTTGATAGAGACATAATGGTGTTGCAAGTTCCTGATACGAGCTCTGTAACTCAAGTTCCAAAAAGGTACCTTCTCTTTCTTCTTCTTCATTCATTTATTTCATGATGACTTGATGAGTTGGGCCCAACTGTCCCTGTCGAGCATAGTGTTGGAAAGAGATGGATCACTCAGACCAGTTTCTAGCTCGATCAGTTTCTATTTATTTGATACAATAATGGGACTGGAAAAGAACTTTCATGCTCGATGAATTTTTTAATTCCATGTTGGAAAAGTTACTTTGAGAAATCTTGCAGTGAATTGGAGGGCATGGTCAAGCGAAAGTTTAGGGCTGTATTTTAGACTTACTTTGAACATGGGTCTGACGTGCTCGTGGTGTGTCGCGCTGGTGAAGCTTGTCATAACGTGGCTGACACTCTCCATTAAAACCTTAGCGGTGTTGGACAATGCCTCCATCTCCGCGTTATACAACACCTTGCGTTGCTTCTCGCTAGTCACATCTGTAATGACGCACAATCAGGAAAATTTCCTTCAATAAACATTGAAACCTAATTTAACTTTTTCAAAATTTAGTGAGGTTTCGCTTGGGAATGGATACATGTAAACACACATTTCGTTTGAAACTAGTTTGCATGAGGAATGCTTGACATTTGTCGGGTCCAGTGCCAAAGTTCCCAATACTGGATTGATTCATGTTGTTGACAGCGCCCTCTAGTGCTAGGGTTGCTTAGCTGTTTACCAGGGAAGGACTGGCAGCATTAAAGGGCCCGTGTAATGAAATTTTGTTAATGCAATCCTCAAAAATACACCTTTGTGTCCCATGTAACTTTATTGTCAATTTTCATTTTGCCACAGTTAAAGGTATTTTGGTGCTTGTTTGGGTTGTTAATGCTAATGCAATTTTCCATATTCCCAAGCGAAAGTGTGATGTCATTTCAGGCAGAAACCTCAATGTTACAGCTATTTCAACACCAAAATTTGCCAGAATTTTGGATGATTTGTTGTTTGTAAACTTTCTTTCCTTTTGTGATGCGTTGATTTTTCAGTAGACGACAGTAAGCCAGTGAGCAAGGTTTTCTCACAAAACTTTTCAGCGAGCAAATTCTAGGTCCACAATTTAAACGGAAAACCCAGAAACTGAACTGTGTCTTCCTGAAATGACATCACAGCAACAGCGCCCTCATTTGACAGGAAAAGCAAGAAAAATATTTAAATGTTAAAAAAGCTACACATTTTCATAACAAAAACCAAAAAGAGAAGTCAAAGAGTTTTTTTTACATTTAAGAGGAGTTGAAAGTTGCATTTAATATGTTCCCAAGAAAAATCCATGTCATGTGCCCTTTAAGAGAACAAAATAAAATGAGACTTGAACCTAGACTAACTAGGGGCTGAATAACATGGTTGGTAGGGCACCGGTGCAACTTTCAAGATGTCGTGGGTTCGAATCCTGCTAAAAAAAGAACCACTTACTTGCTGTGACCACTTTGTTACTGGTCGTCGGTTTCATCTTGATCTCGTTGCAGGCGATCTCGTCGTAGATCTCTGACAGATACTCTGGTGGGAGATCTTTGCTGTCATTGATGCCACGATTCATCCGGATGTATTCCTCCTTGGAGATCTTGTGCTTGACCTGAGGTCAAAAGTGACAAGGTCAAAGTATAGCTCACAAAACTAAAAATACTGCAAGTAAAACTTGCGCGCTCCCTCAGCATCCTGTCAGTTTGTATACATGTACATGTACAGGCAGTTAGTAAGGACAATTTTCAGAGACAGCCTGGGCCAAGTTCAGGCAAGGACCATTAGTCGACTAGTGGTTGATTTGTGACGTACCTTACGCCTGTGCACTAATAGCAACGTGCGAACGTCTCTAGTCAAACGCTGGTCAAAATGTCATCGCAAAACGTCTGGATCCTGGCTCTCTACTAGCGTTATGAATGCGCGCGGCTATTGGTTACCAGCGAAGCAACCAACCCCAGTAGGCTGGTTCCAAATAGTCGACTAGCGTAGTCAACCCCCGTCGACTAGACAGAGTTCAGGCTAATGTTAGTTAACCATCGGTCAACCATAGTCCTTGCGCGAACTTGGCCGGTACCAGTTCTCAGAATGGGCAGTTTGGGTTGAATGGAGAGTTTGGGTGAGACACCGGACTAACATATGTTAGAGTCATTAGTAATACTGAGCTGAGCTCTCCAGAGACCTCGTAAAAGTCTGTATTGGAAAGGATTTGTTTTAAAATCGGCCTCCTCTCTACAGACCATTTTTCAAGTTTGGTTGAGAACTTTACAGTGAAATTGAACACACACACACACATGGACACACGCTATCGCAATATCCCCTTGTCTGGATTGAAGGCCAGGGTGATAAAAACTAGAATTACACCATATTGTAAAGATGATTAACGATCACTGACCTGTGAACTGTGCAGGTCTGTCGTCAGCAATATAATGGAGTATGCCAGTACGTAGGCAACGTCGGCGCTCGCGAATACCGTCTGCCTGATGTTATTGTCCACGTAGCGACTGGCAAACTTCTCCATCATGCGGTCAATCTTCTGGGCCTCCCCAGGCAGACGGAACCCCGCCAGGAATGACCGAAGAGCCGCTACGAAATCCTTCTCGGAGAAGTCCATCTGGTCTACGTAGGCGTACATCACCTCTTTGTTGAGTCTGTGATCAAAACAATTAAATGTATCAGATAATTGGCCAGTGATTGTGGTTAGGGTTTGTGACTCAGGATCATAGGGTCAGGGTTTGAATCTAGCTACTGGCCATATGCTGTGTCTTTGGGCAAGCCACTTTACCCCAATTCACTTCTCTCCACCATTGAGTAGCGGCATTAGCTGGGGAGTAACCTGTTCTGTAATTTCATGCCATGGACTTAAACACTGGACCAATGAGCCGGATTGGCCCCAAAAGATGTTATTTAAAGACGAAAGGGTTTTAAAAAAAATTCCAACTTACTTTTCGTTTTCTCCCATGAAATCCCCTAAGACGGTGGTATTCAGCCGATCGTCTTTATGGAAGAAATCCGCGATATCATCCGGCCTCTTACCCAGAATGCCGTGCTCCTGCAGGAATGTGATACCCTTCATGGGTTTCTTATTGAACCTGTGGATAGGTAGACGGAGACATTTGTTTTAGAACTTGAGATGTAAAGTGTCTTTAACCCTAACAACCCTGAGCCCATCAAGCTCCAACTGCGGGTTTTGCTTGATTTTGGCAGGGTTGGTACCGAACACTGGCCAGTTGGTGTTGGACTTTGATTGACTGGGTACCAAAGGCCCAGGGAGACCCTGTTGAATTTTGTGAGGTTCGGGGCAGAAGGGCATGAGATTTGTGAACACGTTGGAGTTTGAGGGAGTTCACTGGCATTTCTTCGTGGGTATGCTCACCCACGGTCCTCAGCACAGTTTGTGGTCAAATGTGCATGTATATATTGCTTTATTTTGTTAGGTTTGGTACCATCCCTATCCAATCACTCGACAATGCATAGGCCCATCCGTACCAAGTCAATCATACTCCAACAGTTGGAGTTTGGCAGGTTTAGTACTGTTCCCCGTACAAGGCCTGTTGGAGTTTGGCAGTTTTGGTACCAGTGCTTACAGACCTGTATGCAGCTGTTGAAATTTGTTAGGTTTGGTATACTTTCTAGTGCAAGAGCCTAGGGGGTTAGGGTTAATCTAAGATAAACTTAGATTATCCTGGATTAACAAGGACTAACCTTTATTAGCACAAATAGGGTTAGCGTAACTTGGCTAGGTCAGTAAAACATTACTATATAACATAACCAACATGTTCAATGCCCTGTTCAATGATCTCCTCCTGCTGTATTTGGCCCTCAACTAACTTGGATTACTAGGACTAACTCAGATTAGTGAAACTTAACTAGGTAAGATAACTTACATTTCAATGCCCTGTTCAATGATCTCCTCCTGCTATTTTGGCTCCGAACTAACTACGATTACAACGACTAACTCAGATTAGCGAAACTTAACTGGGTTACATAACTTACATTTCAATGCCCTGTTCAATGATCTCCTTCTGCTGTTTCTGGCTCTCAAACTGCTCAGGACTGTCCATGGGCGCAGTTTGTGACTGCAGGTTGGAGGTGGAGCTAGAGTGGGTGGAGTTAAGTGACCCTTGGCTACCAGAGCTGGTCATTGTTCCCTGACCGCTGTCTGCGTCTGCTTGGTCACCGCCGACGGCCTTCTCTTGACCTGGTCAAAATCAACAACCGATAGGAGAGGTTACCTTGGAAACGCCATATTTTACAGTACATCATGGGAAAACGTGAACAACTGTTGTACTCAGTGGCAATGACTCTACAATTTCCAGTTTGTCACGTTTGACAGGGTTGGGTTTTGGAAATTAGTTTTGTGGTTTTTTCCAGTAATATGTGACGCGGTATGTCAACACCAGGCAGAATTGGGCAGAGCTTGGGGGATTGACTTTTATCATGCTGCCACCATTTTAGTCATGTTCCCTGTATCCAATCACAGTACTGAATGATAAGTTTTTTGTGCAAAAAGGAACCAGACTATTTTTCCTTCCATTCTCGGTTTGGTTACATTGATTTGAATGGGGAACAAATCAGATGGCTGCAACATGATAATGGTCTTTTGCCAATGATTTTGAGATTTTGATGCTACTAATGTTTAAAATGTTCTGTACAAGTTTCAAGCTAATCTTTGGAAAGATTCCCATATCTGGCCATCAGTAATTTTTCCCTTAAATGGGTGGGTTGGACGCATTTGTGGTAGATCCTTGCGTGTTATGGGTGGGTTGAACGCATTTGTGGTAGATCCTTGCGTGTTATGGGTGGGTTGAACGCATTTGTGGTAGATCCTTGCATGTTATGGGTGGGATGAACGCATTTGTGGTAGATCCTTGCATGTTATGGGTGGGTTGAACGCATTTGTGGTAGATCCTTTCGTGTTATGGGTGGGTTGAACGCATTTGTGGTAGATCCTTGCATGTTATGGGTGGGTTGAACGCATTTGTGATAGATCCTTGCGTGTTATGGGTGGGTTGAACGCATTTGTGGTAGATCCTTGCGTGTTATGGGTGGGTTGAACGCATTTGTGGTAGATCCTTGCATGTTATGGGTGGGTTGAACGCATTTGTGGTAGATCCTTGCGTGTTATGGGTGGGTTGAACGCATTTGTGGTAGATCCTTGCGTGTTATGGGTGGGTTGAACGCATTTGTGGTAGATCCTTGCATGTTATGGGTGGGTCGGACATTAGGAAATTAGTTCATTACCATAAATGCATGCCTGAAAATGAATTCTAGACTATTTTTCTGAATTCAGAGGTCTTACCGAGATTGGCCTGAATGTTAGGATTGAAGTATAGATCCTTGCTCCATTCCACCATGCATTTGAGTATGGACACCAGACAGTGCAAGCCTTTGATACGCATGCGTTTCTCCTGCTGTGGTGTGGCACCCAGATCCATTGCATGCCGGCCCTGTGCGATCTTGGACAGGTCACTGACTAATCGCTCAAAGATGTTAGCGCTTGATAAGTCGCAGTCGTAGTTCAGATAGATGTCCACTACGCACTGGGCATCTGGTAAGGAAAAAAAACGAAAGACACATCGGTGACGATTTCTTTCTAAACTTTCCCTCCTTTCTGTACTTTATTTGTCAAACTTTAATTAAACTTGACTGTTTTAGTATTTAAGACAAACCTTAAAAGAAAATTGTTTGACTTTTTTAAGACCTTTTTTAAAAAGTATGATTGGCAAAAAAATATGCTGGCTCATTCAGCCGCTGCTTCAGCAGACAATGGAACAGAATGATGGAATTCACTTTTAGAAATAGATTTCAGTTTTTGGGAAAACATTACCACATGCTAAAAAAAAGAGAAACAAAAAGCATTGAAACTTAAAAAGGTTTCTGTAAATATCTTCAATTTCAAGCATAATTACAGCTTTGGACAGTTTTGTTAAATCTTTTGTAACAAACATTATCGACAGTAACTTTTGTTCAGTTGTTTTCAGTGAAATGTCCACTACATAACACAAAATAAAGCAGGCAACTGATTTTCCTAAATAGTTTTGTGGTTGGTTTCACGGCATTCACGATTTACTTAAAGGGAATGTACATCATTAGCATTTGCTTTAATTTTCAGAAATGAACTATTTGTGGGGTTAGTATAATATATCAAATTATTGTTACACTGACATGTTTGGAGTTTTGTGTTGGAAAATGCTGGAAAAACTAAGAAAAACAAAAATGTTCGAGTAGTCTGGTTCCCTGACTCCACTGAAGATTAAATGGATTAATTTATAGATGCCGGAAAATTGTACGATAAGGGAACCAGTCTAGCTGGTCTGCACCCATTCAGAACATGCAACCAATAGCAAACAAAATTTGGACTGAAAAAAAATGGTACATTTGGAGCAGTAGTTGAAAAATAGTTAGGTTTTTCCAACGGTGGTCGGCCGACCACCGTTGGAAATGTATACAAAATTACTATTTTCTTGAAAGTGACTTCACACCAGGTGCCATAATTTTACAGGATGCTTTAGACTGTCATTTACCAACATCCTGTTGTGTATTTCATAAAAACTTGGTAGTTTTATTTTTCGATGTTTGCAAATGTTGTATTTTCCCTTTAAATGGAAAACTGACATATTTATAATTGAAAGTTTTCCTTTAATACCTGCACATATTCTTGTCAGTGCTTGAACCACCATCCATTTCTGCTCAAAGGAGCTAGTAGGCGTCTCCAGAATGTTCAGGAAAATTTCCTTGAAGAAAACCTAACAGAAGGAGAGATGCAAACACAAAAACCTTGAAAGTTGTTCTTCCATGTCCCTTTACAAATTGTTCTTTTTTTTCAAACAAGTTTTCAATTTGCACGATATTTTTTAACGAAAGAATGTGTGTTGATCTTGAATTGGCTGTTGTTCACAGCCCATTGTTGTACAATTTATGCACCAGTGCACACCCCGGAGTATTGAAACATATGAAGTTTCGGCAAGAAATATCATACAAATACTGTTGAAATGACTCTTGCGAATTAGCATTTGTGGTGTTTTGGCTGTAATTATCAGAAGTTGGCTGGAAAATGTTGGCTTTTGCCTTTTGCAAAAAACAATCCTTGTGCGAAGTGGTTAAAGAGGTTGTGGAATGCTCGAAGACATTTCCGTCATTTTTGGGGTATATGTAGCCTAAGGTGTGATGAAATAAAAACAACTATTGTGTCTGTCATGAAATGAGTACAAAGGGTACTTTTGAGAGCTATTTTTCAGGTCCTGTTTCGACCCGAACGTGCAATTTGTGTAAAAGTCGTCGTTGCGGGCAGCAAACAAAACACAGTAAATCGTGACGTAATAAACAGGACTCGTTTATGCTACTCAGCATCGGGAGTCGTGTTTATTACGTCACGATTTACTGTGTTTTGTTTGCTGCCCGCAACGACGACTTTTACACAAATTGCACATTCGGGTCGAAACAGGCATGACAGGACTTGAAAAACAGCTCTCAAAAGTACCGTTTGTACTCATTTTAAGACAGAAACAATAGTCCTTTTTATTTCATCACACCTTAGGCTACATATACCCGAAAAATGACGGAAATGTCTTCGAGCTTTCCACAACCTCTTTAAGCATTAACAGAATCTCCTGAATGTAGGTTTGATTTACTGCTACGATAATAGTGCTGTGGTCCACTAGCAAGACACTTTACTCCAATAATCTCCAATAACCACAGATAATGACCTCTCACCTCGATTTGCATCTTGAGGTGAGTCTTGAAGAGGCTGAGCAGTGTCAGGAATATAGCCAGAGACAGCTCGAAGACCTCCGGTACCGATGACACACCATTCTTAGACAACGCCACGCACAGGTACTGCTTGATGGCAGTGATGAACATGTCGTTGGTGCGGAACACGGGACCAGCGCTCTGGAGAACTGACAGGAGGAGGTGAAGGGATAGGACCTTGGAACGAAGTTCATGGGATCTGGGAGGAAAAAGAGGAAAATTAGGAGGTTTTGTTGCAGTACATAGAACTGTATTGTTTGGTAACCTGGGCCCAATTTCATAACGCTGCTTAACAGTTAACAGAAAAGTTGTGCTTACTATAGCAGAAAATCATGCTGCTGCTTAAGCACTTTTTTATGGCCTGGATGTGCTTACTGTTGCGCGTGCATGGAGACTACTATTGTTACGTCACTGATTTAAGCAAATTTTTCCTCTGGGGTTAAGCATGCTTTTGATGTGCTTACTGCTTAGTCTCTGTGAAATAGACAGCTGTTGCACAGATCGGCTGCTAAGCAGCGCTATGAAATTAGGCCCTGTTCTTTGTCAAGGCCATTTCATTTTCCCCTGTGAGGGATATTAACATTTTCAATCAATCAATCAATTTTACCTAATAACCGGCAAGATTTAAATAATAATAACTAATTTGGTGACCGAACGACGCCATCTTGCCTGACTGCAATATTTTGCCGCGAATGCAAAGCGTGGCCACTGTGTGTACATAGTACAAAGCCCCTGGTGTACGTGCGTCACACACAAGGAACGGTGTGCGCGCGTCAACCAGCGAAATGTATGTGTCCCGCCCATGGGGCGTCATTGCTAGGTAAAAGGGCGCCCTCTTTAGTTGGCGCACGGAGCCCATAAGGACCTGGAAAAGGTTTTCCCTACAACACTTGTCTATATTCATGTACATCAGGGAAAGTATATGGGTCATTCCACCAGGTTGGGGAACAAAGTGTGACATATGACCATATTAAAAAAAGCACGAATGCCTTGCTAGCAGTTGCTCTACATAATTTTTGTTGTTGGATGTTTCACTACTGCAGAAAGTTTGAAATCATTTCAATGTATTTTGCCAAAAATATGAGCAAAAAATGTCATTTTGGACATAACATTGACACCGTGTCAGTGTTACGTCCAAATATGACATATGTACCTGTTTTTTAATTTCTGCAAAACATTACCCAAATTCACTTTGCGCACTTCTTACTATACATGCAACACAATAAGAAAAGCTTTTGTTATGGTAGTCAGGTATCAAATGGAGCTGAAATGATAGCTTGGTTGTGTGGATGTAACATTTACACGGTGTAAAACCCAAATGTCACACTTCCATTGAGTGATTTTTACACCGTTACATCCACACTTGAGGTATTGTTTCTGCTATATTTGAACCCTGACTATACCAAAACAAAAGCTTTTCTTGGTGCTTAGGTGTCCAGTTGTAAATATGCAATGTCAGTTTGGGTAATATTTTACATACGTGTAAAAAATGGCAAAAAAAGAATATGTGGATGTAACATTGACACGGTGTCAATGTTACGTCCGAATTAATACATTTTTGCTCATATTTTTGTCAAAGTACTTTCAAATGATTTCAAACTTTCTCAAATATTGAAACACCTTAAGACAAATATTATGTTCAGCAACTGTTTAGAATGCATCATGAAACATGCACTGCTTCCCAACCCGGTGGAATGACCCATATACAAACATGTGCACATGATCCATGTACACTCACGTGGCTCCCTTCAATGGAGAAACCTGAACAATAGCTAGCACAATGCTTTCGCCATTGAAGGGGGCCTTCACGATAGAAATGATAGCAGCCTGTATTGGTCTATACATGAAAGATGACAGACTATAAGATTCTTACTTGGGGTCTGCTGGCCCGTCCGGTAATGGCTTCATTGAGAGCTTACAGAGGGAACGGAACACCAAGAACGCATCCTTCTGAAGGATGTGAGAGAACGGTTCCTCCGTCTCTGCCTCTGCGTCCCCATCATCACCAATGGGCGGCAGGGTGGGCACCGGGGAAGGAGTGGGCGCCGGGGAAGGGGTGGGCGTGGTTATAGCATTGGTGGGCGGGGCTGAGGGGGTGACTACATTGGAGGCCGGAGGTAGCTGGGGGGTGGTGGTTGGAGCATCTTGTGGGGCATCCCCTGAGGTGATTTCAGTGATGATGTCGCCCAGGATCGAGGCAACGATGCCTTGAACATCCTCTTCTGGAGAAAGTGAAAGTGAACGGAAAGGCAGTTTGTCATTCACAAGAAATTGCAAAGGTGTTATAAACATTTGCTGGGCAAAGATGGGAAAAAATCCCCAAAACACATTGAACAAAGCAGTGCCAGTAAAATCAAACAAGTGACTGTTTTTGCTGTTCACCCCGCAATGCCCACATAAAGCAGGATTGACTGGCTGTGACTGGGTACAGCTATGCTTTGACTGTGGGAGATTGATAAGCCAGCTGTGCCTACCAGTCAACTGTTTTTTTTTGTCTGCTGATGGAATTTGACTGTCACAGCAACTATAAGAAATATGATCTTTTTTTTTATTTTCTGTAACTTTTTAAACAGGATTATTGAAAATAAGAACAGAATAACCTACCATTTGGATTCAGTTGACCATTTTCTGCACTCACAATATGATTGCTACTACTGGCGTCATTGACAGTCACTTCTGAATTAGAAGAAAATAAAAATGTAATTTAGTTTTCTGAGAAATTTTGTTCTGCTTTTCTGCTCCTTGAAATGGACTGCCTGTCAAACATACAATGTGCATTGACCAATCAGATCACAACTTCTGGTCAGGTGACCATGGCAGCTTGATCACAAGCACTGTGAGAAATGTACAGAAAACCAAAGGTGGGCGGGGCTTATGATCAAATCTGGATTTTTATAACCAATTAGATCATGACTTCTGGTCAGGTGACCATGATTGACTGGTCAAAAGCACTGTGAGGAATGTACAGAAAACCAAAGGTGGGCGGGGCTTATGCTTAAATCTTGATTTTTATGACCTATTAGATTAGACCGTCTGGTCAGGTGACCATGGTTGCTTGGCAAGAAATGTAAACAAATACAAAGTTGGGCGGGGCTTATGGTCAAATCCGGATTTTTCATTGACCAATCAGATCATGAATTCTTGTCAGGTGACCATGGTAGCTTGGTGAGAAATGTATACAAAACCAAAGGTGGGCGGGACTTATTACCAAATAAGCCAATACTTACCCGGTAATGTTCCAATTGGTAACACACTGTCCGAGGTTTTCGTAGCACCGTCACCATTTTCTCCGTTGGTGATAATGACGGGGATCTTCTCTGTGTCTTCGTTCAGCGATCCGGAATCTTTGCTCTGACGTCGAGCTTCTGCTTCGCCTTCTGCTTTCACCTTGGCATCCGCAACCTACAAGTCCAGGGGAATATTGAAATATTACAAGTCATTGTTAACCATCAAAAGTCATCACAAGCCATTACAAGTCATCACAAGCCATTACAAGTCATCACAAGTCATCACAAGCCATCACAAGTCATCACAAGTTATCACAAGCCATTACAAGTCATCACAAGTCATCACAAGTCATCACAACCTATCGCAAGTTATCACAAGCTATCACAAGTCATCAAAAGCCATTGTAAGCAATTGTAAGCCATCACAAGTCATCATAAGCTATCACAATGCATTACAAGTCATTATAAGTCATCACAAGATATCACAAGATATCACAAGATATCACAAGATATCACATGGCATCACAAGTCTTAACAAGCTGTCATAAGTCAAACACAAGCCATCAAAAGCCATTGTAAGCCATCACAAATCATCACAAGCTATCACAAAGCATCACAAGCCATCACAAGCTGTCACAAGCAATCACAAGTCAGTCACTACTCAGTTCAATCTCCATTCCAGTCATAGCTACACCAATGAACTACCACTGTTCACCTCCATTCACTTGCGAAACTACAATTTTTTCAAAATGGAATTCTAAATGCTTCCGAATTAAATTCTACAAAGTCAACAAAACCTCAGTGTATAAAAGTTTTCTAATTTGCCATATTTGTAAATTTTGTCTGTCATCTTGTACTGAATAAGTGAAAAGGTAAAACAAACCGAACAAATTTGAATTGACTTGTAAAGACTTGCAATGGACTTGAATATAACATTGACATGCTCTAAATCAAACCAAATGAGCTACGGGTTAAAGATAACGTCAAACATTTGAAGTTAAACCAATCTTCTTACCGCCTGCATCTCCATGCGATTGAAGATGACATTCAGCATCTGTGTGAGTGTCGCTTTGGCCGTGGTTTGGTTGACCAGGTTCTTGCTGGCCAGGTAGATGTTGTAACATGTCCTCAAGACTTGCAGGAGAGTTCCTTCATGGACCTCACAGGTTGGGGAGGTGACAGCTGTTAGAAGCGCCTAAGGGAAGAAAACATCATGTCCATGAGCAAGATACTTTACGACAATCTGGAAAAACTTGGAGCAAATGAGATCTCGGGTACAATTCAAGCATCTGGAGACAAACCTGGATTTTGTAAATGCTAACCTTGATGATTTGGAGTTGCACCCCTTCGTCGGTTTGGGTACCAATGAAGCAACCGCATATGGTCTCAATGATGCGATCGATTAGCTTCTTGCCAGGCATGGTGCTGTCCGGTCCATCGCCAGTCAGGTGGCCATATGCTATCAGTTTCTGTCAAAACCAAAACATGTACATAGCAATATAAGGTACAGTCAACTGTAACTTACATATGCCAAGTATTTCTGGTTGAACTACAGCCAAATACCATCTCAAATTAAAGGGAATGTACATCATTGGCTTTTGCTGTAATTTTTAGAAATGAACTATTTGAGGGGTTAGTATAATAGATCAAATATTGTTACACTGACTTGTTTGAAGTTTTGTGTTCGAAAATGCTGGAAAAACCAAGAAAAACAAAAATGTTTAAGCAGTCTGGTTCCCTGACTCCACTCAAGATGAAATAGATCAATATTTATAGATGCCGGAAAATTGTAAGGTAAGGGAACCAGTCTAGCCTACCTGCACCCATTCATAAACATGCAACCAATAGCAAACAAAATTTGGACTGAAAAAATGGTAAATTTGGATCAGTAGTTGAAAAATATTCAGGTTTTTCCAACGGTGGTCGGCGGACCATCGTTGGAAATTTATACAAAAATACTATTTTCTTGAAAATTACTTCACACCAGGTGCCATAATTTTACAGGATGCTTTCCACTGTCATTTATCAACATCCTAGTAAAGTATTTCGTAAAATCTTGGTAATTTTATTTTTCGATGTTTGCAAATGTTGTATATTCCCTTTAAGGACCACTGGTTTTTGGCTTCACCAAAAACAAGTTCATAATTTATGAAGAAATCCAATTTGAATTGTTGTTATGGAAATGATGAATATTCATCACATCTTCTGTTTTGACTTTAAATATGCAAAGATTATGAAGTTTTGAATTTATATTGAGCCAGGCCTGGTGAAACTGCAGCTCTTGTATCACGAGGTGGATATTTTTACAGAAGCTGTAGGAATGCATTTTTCAACGGCAATAGTAACAGAATTGCAACATACATTGTGACTGTATAAATATGAATTTTAAAATTCCTACAGCAATTGAAACGTTTCGGTGCTAGGGGTGTGCATTTACGGTAGTACAGAAACCGGGCATTTTTTTCCTTTTAGTTTTCCAAAATATAGGCCTATGTTCTTACTTTTATTGTTTGAAATCAAATCCTACTTTGTATGGTTGTAGTGGGTTGAAATGATCTTTCTGATTCAAGGCTCTTGAAGATTTTTTTTTAAACGGAAGTAAAGTTCAAGACCAATTCGGGTGAAAACTGATGCATGCACAAGAATCAGGGGAGTCACGTTGGCCCCGCCTTCCACCGCTGTGACCCGGGTTCGAATCCCGCCTGGGCCAATATGTGGATTGGGTTTTCAGTCCCTGCCTGATTCCGTGGGTTTTCCTCAGAATATTCTTCTGGGGTTTTCCTCCCACCTCTAAAACTGTAATTTCTTCTCATTGTCTTCTCTCTACAAGTTTCTTCAAGCTTGCGAGCTACAGTGCCTAGGGCGCTTTTGAGGAATCTTTGGTTTCAGTACCAGAATTAGTAACAATAAAATCGATTTCCGTAAATATAGTAACAGCGTTTCTTTAAATATCAATGAGTCAATCACATTTACAACAGGAAATACTACTTAAGATCAAAGGAATATATTAAACCAAGGACATGAGTAGCAGAATACTTTGTAAATGTTGCACATAGTCGCTCAGCAAAATCACTAAATTATTATTATTTTTTTAATGTGGGATACACTTTTCTCACCCCCCCCCAAAAAAAATAAGAATACATGTACATGGGGTACATTCATGAACATGTATGTTTTACCATTTAAGTGTAAAATAAACCAGTTGCCATTTGAACAGAAAAAAACCCCAGACAAATCCAAGACAGCACCGTTCCGAAATTTATAAAAGTTGAGGAGTATTGCGCGGTATTTTTCAACATAACTGCTTTCATCACAGCCACACTATATTTATGACATTTATTTATTAGTGTGGTTGTTGGATGTTATTGTGACAACGCATGACATTTCAAACATCATGTAGATTTCAGTGTCTTAAATGGAAAGTACAAAATTTGCTTTTGCTGTAATTTTCAGAAATAAATGGATTTGGAGGAATAGTATGTTAAAGCAAATATTGTTACACTGACTTGTTTCACGTTTTGGGTTCGTAGATGCTGGAAAAACCAAGAAAACCAATCATGTTCTTGTAGTCTGGTTCCCTGACCCACTTAAGATGAAACGAAGCAATTTATAGGCGTTGGGGAATTCTAAGGTCAGAGAATCAGTCTAGCTGGCTTGTTCCCCTTCACAGGGGTGTAATCAATAATGCAAAGAAAATGCGGAATAACTAAATATGAAAAATTAGGAGCAGTTTTTGAAAAAAGCCAGTTTTCTCCACAACGCTGGTCGGCCGACCAGCGTTGGAAATTGATAAAAAATACCATTTTACTTAAAAATATCAGCACACCAGGAGCCATGATTGTACGGGATGCTTTAGACTGTCATTCCCTAACAGTCCAATAAAGAATTTTGTGGTAATTTGATCATTTTGTTTTTTGATGTTTGCAAATGTTGTATCTTCCCTTTAAAGGGAATATACATCATTTGCTTTTGCTATAATTTTGGAATTGGGGGGTTGCAAATATATAGCAAATATAGTTACATGTACACTGACTTTTTTGAGGTTTTGGGTTCGAAAATGCTATAAAAACCAAGAAAAACAATCATTGTACTGTAGTCTGGTTCCCTGACTCCATATAAGAAGAAACAGAGCCGTTTACATACATTGGGGAATTGTAAGGTCAGGGAACCAGTCTAGCTGGCTTGTACCCGTTCATAGGTGTGTAATCGATTGCAAACTAGTGCGATGGTCAATTGGGGCCAGTATTTGAAAAAAAAGCCAGTTTTTTTCCAACGCTGGTCGGCCGACCAGCGTTGGAAATTGATACAAATATACCACTTTTCTTGAAAATGACAGTATACCAGGTGCCATGATTTTACAGGATGCTTTACACTGTCATTCACTAACAGTCCAGCAAGGTATTTCAAAATGATTTGGTAGTTTTATTTTTTGATGTTTGCAAATGTTGTATCTTCCCTTTAACCGCACATTGAGCGTAACCGTATTGAAAAGGTCGAGCAACTCTATTATTAATTATAAAATTGGAGGGGTGGATATCACAACGTCAGAGAAAATGAGCAAATGGAAATTTCAAAGGTCCTTCTGACAACGTCAAAGCAGAACACAATATAAGACAACAGACGGAAATCAATATTCATAACATCAATACGAGAGGGAGGGTTTTGTAGCTTAAAGGCATCTGCACACTCTCAATTCGCACTAATGAAACATTTGGCCGTTAGAGATAAACCACTTCCTATCAAATTAAATTCATAAGATATAACAAAGGGAATATATAACAAAGGGAATATTGAAGGTGTGATAAGTCACCATTTATGTTTAATTAATCAAATTGTTGCATTAACATTCTATTAAGTTGAGTTATTGTTTTAATTAAAGGGAATGTACATCATTGGCTTTTGCTGTAATTTTCAGAAATGAACTATTTGAGGGGTTAGTATAATAGATCAAATACTGTTACACTGACAAGTTTGAAGTTTTGTGTTCGAAAATGCTGGAAAAACCAAGAAAAACAAATATGTTCAAGTAGTCTGGTTCCCTGACTCCACTAAAGATGAAATGAATCAATTTATTGATGCCCGAAAATTGTAAGGTTAGGAAATCAGTCTAGCTGGCCTGCACCCGTTCATGAACATGTTACCAATAGCAAACAAAATTTGGACTGAAAAAAGGGTAAATTTGGAGCAGTAGTTGAACAATAGTTAGGTTTTTCCAACGGTGGTTGGCCGACCAGCGTAGGAAATTTATACAAAATACCACTTTTCTTGAAAATGACTTCACACCAGGTGCCATAATTTTACAGGATGCTTTAGACTTTCATAATACCAACATCCTATTAAGGAATTTCGTAAAAATTTGGTAGTTTTGTTTTCCAATGTTTGCAAATGTTGTATATTCCCTTTAATTGTTGCATTAGCATTATATTAATTTGTGACAAATGGAAATAAAAACAAAACAATACAAAGTGCCTTAAAAAATAACTTGTTTCGTAATATACATGTACTCTCAATGTGATACACGTTGTAAGATATGTACACAGTCATGTTGATTGGGACTACAATTTCAAACAAATCAAAATTCATACACAGGACTTTTTATAAATGCTTAAAAATGGGGAAAATGTACATTATTACACTTGTTTTGCCATTTTCTATCTGGTAAGGATTAATTTATTTTAATTCGATATTTTCTTGAGTATCGGTGAATACACTGGGGATGAGCCATATGAATACATGTGTACATGCCTTATGTTTTTTTTGTCATGTCATTTATACTATGTACATGTATGCTATCTGTGGTTGCATTATTTTATGTACATGCAAAAAAAAAAGATGTAATTCATAAGAATAACTGAATAATGTATATAGACTGTATGATCATGCTGTTAGATCTGCATAACATGCACATGTACACATAGCTTGGGACAGCTGGCATGCGTTATGCCATATGGCCAAACTGCCAAATTAACATGCCAATTTCCGTCCCATGAAAATTGAAGTTTTTTCAATGTACGCTTAACGTGGACCAAACCTCATGCAAAATAAACAAGAATTTAATGACCCGTGTGCAAATTTAGTATTCAATGCAAACACACATATTAAACAGGAAATTTTGCAAAGGTATTTCAATTTGAGAGACGTAGTTTTGTATTTTGAACCCATAAACATCAAACCTTCAGGATGAGATAGTGTTCGGGCCAGCGGAACAATTTCGTGAAAAACTGCCTTTTGTTGGATCTTATGGGAATTCGATGTTTTTACCGAAACAATGTTGTGCTAGAAAGCGTACATCTTTTGCAAAAGGGCACAGCAGATCTTGCATTTTACGGTAAGCAATTTCATAAAAAATGAACATCTGCTATTTAGTAGAACAAAAACATACTTCCACATATAAATCCATGAATTCTGAATTGTGTGCATTTTACAGTGCAAATCACGGACTACTACTCACTTTTTTTTAAACTGACTGTTTTTATACACAGGTACGGCTGACGGTTTAAAATGTCAATCGTGCCTCGCCTCGCCTCCGGGTGACGTCTAAACACGCTAATCCCTCATTTGTTTTGTACACACATACAAAGTCCGAGAATTCTATGGCGGGGGTCAATGTTGACCTTGAACTGGGTCGCTGTGCACGGCCTATTGTTGTACAATTTACGCTCCGTGAAAACACCCCGGAGTGTTGAAAAAATATGAGATTTCGGCAAGAAATATCGCACAAATACTGTTGAAATGAATCTTGCAAATCAGTATTTGTGGCGTTTGCCTATATATCAGAAGTTGAAAATCGAAATTTTCGGCAACAATATTTCCGTCCCAAAACTATTAATACCCCCTAGGCCCTTGTTGCTTACAACCATCCTCAATCCTCCAAAATATTTCAACTTCGCCTAAATTTTTCAAAATTGTCAGACAGTCCTGCCTCAAAATGCATTCATCCTCAATCCTCCAAAATCCTCCACATCCCAAAACTTTGCACTCGTGTTTAAATGAAAGATAACCAACGCCAAATCCATCAAAATCATCAGACAGTCCTGCCTCAAAATGCATTCATCCTCAATCCTCCAAAATCCTCTTGTGCTTCAATCACCATTCATCCTCAATCCTCCAAAATCCTCATGTGCTTCAATCACCATTCATCCTCAATCCTCCAAAATCCTCTTGTGCTTCAATCACCATTCATCCTCAATCCTCCAAAATCCTCATGTGCTTCAATCACCATTCATCCTCAATCTTCCAGAATCCTCATTTGATTCAATCACCATTCATCCTCAATCCTCTAGAATCCTCCAAAACCGCCAGGAGGATTTTGGAGGAGTGAGGTGGGTTAGGGTTAAGGTTTTGAGGAATTAAGTTAGTATTTTTGTCAAACTAATGTTTATTCGCAACGCTTCCAAATGCATATTTGGAGTTTGTGTGCATTGCAGGTAAAAATGCATGATGAATTTAAATTAATTAAAATTGAACTCATAAGAAGTATTTTTATTTGTTCATACCTGTAGACAGTCCAGCGCCGTGTTGACGATTCGTGGGGCTTTGGACTGACAGGCCAACTCAAACGGCAGAAAGTAACGGTCTGCCGCGATGAAGTTGACTTGCGTCTTAGGGAGGGGAAGTGCACCGGATGCATTCTGTTGATTCTCCCTGTCAAAAGATCAAGAGAATCTTAACCATTTACAACCAAAAATGGTTTGAGACATGCCGACAGCATACAGGATTATTTCCCTTTTGTGAATTTTGTTTGTTTTCCAATAAAGCCACTCAAAATCCAAAGAAGAATGTTCAAAACCTAACCTGTTAAAGTTTCAGCTCCGTGGATATTACACTTTCAAGAAAACAGTGAAAAACCATGCACAACCTTTTTATCATGAATGATTATTTGTCAATGGCATTTTTTATTTCCAAAAATCAATCAATTAAAGGGAATATACAACATTTGCAAACATCGAAAAATAAAACTACCAAGTTTTTGCGAAATACCTTCATAGGATGTTGGTAAATGACAGTCTAAAGCATCCTGTAAAATTATGGCACCTGGTATACTGTCATTTTCAAGAAAAGTGGTATTTTTGTATCAATTTCCAACGCTGATCGGCCGATCAGCGTTGGAAACAACTGGCTTTTTTTCAAATACTGGCCCCAATTGATCATTGCACTTGTTTGCAATCGATTACAAACCTATGAACGGGTACGAGCCAGCTAGACTGGTTCCCTTACCTTACAATTCCCCAATGTATATAAACTGCTCTGTTTCTTCTTATATGGAGTCAGGGAACCAGACTACAGGAAAATGATCGTTTTCTTGGTTTTTATAGCATTTTCGAACCCAAAACCTCCAAAAAGTCAGTGTAACTATATTTGCTTTATATTTCCAACCCCCCAATTCCATCCATTTCTGAAAATTACAGCAAAAGCAAATGATGTATATTCCCTTTAACGCTAACTTCCTAGGCATTTTTGCTAGGATGTAGCCTCAATCCTGCAAAATCCTCCAATTGGCCTCATGGAAAAATAGCATATAGCCTCAATCCTGCAAATTCCTCCGTTATTTCTTGAATGTGGTCCGTGGAGGGGTGACCACTGCCTGAATCCTGCAAAATCCTCCGGCTATGACTGTCAATATGTCGAGGCAGAGGCAGTGACATCCTGGAGCAGTGCGGAGGATTTCAAGTATAATCAAGGACTAAATTTATGCATGGCTGAGCATAAATAACACAAGGTCCGGCCCAAGACCTTGACAAAGTGCATCCTACGAAATCAGTAACACAATTTTGCCATGTAACCTCAATGCTCCAAATACCTCCACTTTGGCAAAGAGGATTTTGAAGGATTAAGGGCGGTTGGGGTGTGTAATGCTTTGAAACAAATTAATGCACATCAACATGCACAATGCTTCAGTAGTTTGCTTCTGCAAAATCTAATGGGGGCAAAACTTTAAAAACAAAGACGGGAGTTTTTACATATGTGGGCACATACCGACATAATAGAGAAACAAAAATCTGAACTTACCCCTTGTCATTGTATTTTTTATTGATTTCTTCTGCAAAAGAAAGGAAAAACAAAAGATGTTTGTGAATAAAAATGTAACACTTCTTAGAAGGATGCAAATAATTTAGACTTGTATTGGAGTGCATGGGCAGAAAGTTTGTTTTTCTATGTAAAATTTTGTAAGAGTTTAAACCTTTTTTTTTTAACCCTAACTCCCTAGGCTTTTTTGCTAGGATGTAGCCTCAATCCTGCAAATTCCTCCATTATTTCTTGAATATGGTCCGTGGAGGGGTGAACTCTGCCTGAATCCCGCAAAATCCTGCGGCAGTCACTGTCAATATGTTGAGGCAGAGCCTATTTCTATGCATGGCTGAGCAAAAACAACACAAGGTCCGGCCCAAGACCTTGACAAAGTGCATCCTACGAAATCAGTAACGCACTTTTGCCATGTAACCTCATTCCTTCAAATTCCTTCACTTTGGCAAAGAGGATTTTTAAGGATTCAGGGCAGTTAGGGTTAATAGCACATGTTGTTACAATGACCTGTTTAAGTTTTGTGTTCATAGACGCTGGAAAAACCAAGGAAAAAAATGCTGTGCTTGTAGTCTGGTTCCCTGACCCTACTTCAGACGAAACGGAGCAATGATTGCTATCGTTGGAAATTGATACAAAAGTTCCACTTTTCTTGAAAATAATAGCACACCAGTTGCCATGATTGTACAGGATGCTTTAGACTCTCATTCAACTACAGTCCAGTATTAAAGGCATTTCATAATAATTCGGTAGTTTTGTTTTTGATGTAAATATTACCATTAAAATTACCTTCAAAGTGTGTATGATTGTGAAGGGTCTGAACTAGCAATGGCCATTTTGGGGATTTTTTGGAAGCTCATTATGTAGCAAAGGTAGACCTTAATTTACTGTCTTAGAGACAAATATTCAGGAACTTGTGATCATGCACATCATGAACAAGCTACAATTATAAACCTTTGTGGAAAGAATGTTGCAACCTGATGCTGCTTTTTTTCTTCATATATAATCTCAATGAAGGTCAGTCATTGCAAAATAAAATGACGATAAGACATGAATCTGGAACTGAGAAACATTTCCAATTTTGTTAGGAAATACTCAGAAAATTTTCTTGACTCTCCATAGACTTTGTACACAACCGCCGAAGTAGCGTCAGGTTGCAACATTCTTTCCCCTTTTTGAAATTCACAATACATCTTGGGTTCATGGATGACAAATAATCCGGGCTGTTTATGCTCAACCTAAGGGGGGGGGGGGGTGAACCAGTCAAAGGGAAAAAATGTTGGGAAAGAATTCCATAAACGGACGTCACTAATTTTTCCCTGCAATAGTACCAGCCATCAGAAAGCGATAACATGTTGCAAAAAGTCAAATTTATCACGGAAAATATTGAAGCATTTAGTGAGAAAACACTAATTTTTGAGACCAGTCTCATAGGGTTTGTACACAGGGTGTCAGGTGATGTCTGTATATGGAATTCCTTCCGAGTGGGACATCCTTTTTGCATCATATCTCAATGAAGGCCAGTCATTGCAAAAATGTTGAAAAGACATGAATCTGGGACTAAGACACATTTCCAATTTGGAAAAAGTTCCGTACTCGATCGCCACTTTTTTCAATTAATTTTCTAGCGCCAAAAGTTACATCTTTTATGGTTATTCCTCCACTTTCCCTCCTCTACTCTCACCCTCTCCTTTCCTTAATTTCTATTTATTAATCAGTCAGTTACTTCATCGGGATTCGAACCTTTGACGCTTGCTTGATACACGAGACTCTTAACCGCTAGGCCGCGCACGATCGCTGTTGCAATAATCAATCTTTGGACGTATTTGAAGTATCCATTGAAATAAACTAAATATTCATGAGAAAATAAATATCATAATGACGTATTGCACTATCATTGGCAGGCTCATGCGACGTCATGGTTGTTGATGTCATGTGTATAATGTACCGCTGTCTTTCAGCCACTACAATCAGTTTTGACCGGCTGCTTCAAGTTAGTTCTGCACAACGTACATGTATGCATCCAAAATGTGCTCTAAAAACACATTTTGAGTAAATTTTTTTCACCTTTACACAGCTTCCTGGATTTCTCTTGGTTCAAATGACAAGGTGAGGTGACAATTAATATGTTTGGCAGCAGATAAATTGACGTCCGAGTACGGAACTTTTCCCTCCAATTTTGTTAGAAAATACTTTGAAATTGCACTCGACTCTCCATAGAATTTTTACATAACCATTAACGGAGTGGCGTCTGGACACTGCAGTCTTTCCATTATTTGTAAATAAAATGAACTTTTATAACGTCAGAAAAAATGACAAAAGAATAGCCTAACCCTAGAAATTTCTTTCAAGATAAATATTTCCTCACAAAATACAAAATCGTGAATGTTTATCATTCCCAAATCCCATTTGTAATCCCTGACCATCACTTAAGTCATATAATGAAAGAGATGGTGTCAGGATTTTACACTGTACCCCTCCCGGATCCCCCAGACCCTGCCCCCCCCCCCCCCATCCCCCCTCCCCCTTCAAAAGGGGGAAAAAATGAAAATAAAAATAAAGACCCACGACAAAACACTCCTTTTGCTGTATGATATGATAATAAACCAAACTATCGCCACAATCACATTACATAAACATTAAGCTAGAGCTAGCTAGACCTTCAAATAAAACTAAACGAAGTGGCTATCGTTACGGCACTCGTTGTTTAGCGCCCTCTACGATATTTTTTTGATACGCACGCAGGTATATAATTATTTGTTTCCACACGTTTTATCGAGCAGTGCGCCAGCTCAGCCGATGGAGGGTAGGATTTTGCACCGCGAGGTTGCGGGTTCGAATCTCAGTTTTGCACTCAAATTTTTTTCCTTTTCTAACCTGAGGCTTTTGAGGATTTTTTTTAAAAGGGAAATAAAGTCCGAATTTCATAAAGTTCAAATTCACTTTTTTCCTTCTAATTTTATATTTTCTTGTCATGTTTTTTTATAAAAGTTGCCAGGTTGCAGTCTACCGTAACGATAGAAAATGGGAAATGCGTTACGGCTGCCGTAACAATAGCCACTGCGAAAACTAAAAGATACATTTCATTTCAACAAACAGCACTGTTTTCACGAAACTGGTTGTACTCACCTAAGGCAACTTGGCATGCCTTCCTCAGCTGCGAATTGTACGATTTCTTAGTTTCCTTATCGTTGAGAATTTTCTCCAGGGCACGCCGAAGAAACATGTCTCTGCCTTGCCGAACATCCACCATCTCAGAAACTAACACATTTACTCAGAAAACCTCACAAATCACCTAATGACGACGTGAAATTCAAGAAAATAGCTCTACATTCTGTGAATTTTACTCGCTTTCCGTGGATGCCATGTCACCTTCCTCGATCTTGAACGTATGAAACTGGTACTCGGTGCGTGCATTATTGAACGGACAACGTACGTTGGTGACCAGTGCAATTTAGCAAACAAGTAGGCAGCGCCACGGTACCTGTACTGTACCGTACCTGGCTCAATGTAGCCGCAAACTTGGGCGAATTTCACATTCAGCCATTCACCAACATTTAAAAATGTATAATACATACGGCAAAGGGTGATCTAGTGTCAAGACAGATTTCTATCAAAAGAGGGCGCGCTACACAAATACTGGTCACCACGTAAAGATCTGCAAAAAAAACTAAACACACTTTGTGGAGACGATAACTCAAGAACAACACAGTGCACTGAATTGAAATTTTGTGCAATAATTGTTTCGGATATGGGGCACAAATGGTTGGAAAGTCAACGCGAACCCTTGAAGAATTAAGTAAATGCTTTAAGAAATTACAGTGTACTAATCGCAAAAAAAACAATAATAATTCGAATTCGAGTTACTTTGAATTGGGAAAAAAATAAAGCACTCTTTGTGGAGACGATAACTCCAGAAAAACACATTGCACTGAATTGAAATTTCGTCCAATAATTGTTATATATATAGGACTCAAACATGTTGAAAATTGACGGGAACACTTGAAGAATAGATTTAAGGGATAAGGAAATACAGTGTATTAATCGCGAAAAAAAAAATTCGAATGCGAGTCACTTTGAATGGAACAAAAATAAAGCACTCTTTGTGGAAACGGTTTCTCACGAAAAACACATTGCACTGAATTGAAATTGCGTCCCATAATTGACTATGATTAAACGACACAATAAATTGAAATTCGACAGAACCGGTTGAAAAAAAACCAATTAATACAACGAAAACAAAAACTACTTTGTGTACGGGCACTCCCGTGCATTCTACCAACATAAATTTCTTCCAAAAGAGGGCGTGCTACACAAATACTGGTCACCACGTAAAGACTTCTGTCAACGTGGGACACGATCTGCCAAAACGAATCAAGTGAGCAAAAACTAAACACACTTTGTGGAGACGATAACGCAAGAACAACACAGTGCACTGAATTGAAATTTTGTGCAATAATTGTTTCGGATATGGGGCACAAATGGTTGGAAAGTCAACGCGAACCCTTAAAGGATGGAGTAAATATGCTCCATGAAAATAGAGTGTACTAATCGCAAAAAAAAGAATAAAAGAATGTTTCGCAATTAGTACACTGTATTTCCTTGAAGCATATTAACTTTATTCTTCAAGGGTTCCCGTTGACTTTCAAACCATTTGTGCCCCATATCCCGAACAATTATTCCACAAAATTTCAGTTCAGTGCAATGTGTTGTTCTTGAGTTATCGTCTCCACAAAGTGTGTTTAGTTTTTGCTCACTTAATTCGTTTTGGCAGATCGTGACCCACATTCACAGGTCTTTTTACGTGGTGACCAGTAGTTGTGAAGCGCGCCCTCTCTTGGCAGAAATTGATGTTGGTAAAATGTACAGGACCGGCCGTGCCCGTTCACACTGTAGTTTTTGTTTTCGTTTTATTAATTGTTTTCTTCAAAAGTTTCTGTCGAATTCCAAACTTAGTGTGTCGTGTACCACTTTCAATTGTGGTACGTAACTTGAAATCAGTTTTTTTTCTTGAGTTAATTATCGTCTCCACAAAGAGTGCTTTATTTTTGCCCCCTTCAAAGTGCCTCGAATTATTTTTTGCGATAAGTACACTGTATTTCCTTAAATCATATTAAATTTTTTCTTAAAGTGCTCCCCTCGATTTTTAATATGTTTGAGTCCTATATATAGAACAATTATTGGACGAAATTTCAAATCAGTGCAATGTCTTTTTCTTGAGTTATCGTCTTCACAAAGAGTGCTTTATTTTTGTCCCATTCAAAGTGACTCAAATTCGAATTGAATTTTTCGCAATTAGTACACGGTATTTCCTTAAATCATATTAAATTTAATCTTCAAGTGTTCCCATCGATTTTCACCATGTTTCATTCCTATATATAGAACAAGTATTGGACGAAATTTCAATTCAGTGCAATGTATTTTTGGAGAGTTATCATCTCTAGAAAGAGTGCTTTATTTTTGTCCCATTCAAAGTGACTCGAATTCGAGTGAATTTTTCGCAATTAGTACACTGTATTTCCTTGAAGCATATTAACTTTATTCTTCAACGGTTCCCGTTGACTTTCGAACCATTTGTGCCCCATATCCCGAACAATTATTCCACAAAATTTCAATTCAGTGCACTGTGTTGTTCTTGAGTTATCGTCTCCACAAAGTGTGTTTAGTTTTTGCCCACTTGATTCGTTTGGGCAGATCGTGTCCCACGTTGACAGAAGTCTTTACGTTGTAAACAGTATTTGTGAAGCGCGCCCTCTTTTGATAGGATTTGATGTTGGTAAAATGTACGGGAGTGCACTGCAATTTATGTTTTTATGTATTAATTGTTTTCTTCAACGGTTTCTGTCCCGTCCCAAATTTATTGTGTCGTATAATCATAGTCTATCATGAGACAAAATTTCAAATCAGTGCAATGTGTTTTTCTTGAGTTATCGTCTCCACAAAGAGTGCTTTATTTTTGTCCAATTCAAAGTGACTCGAATATTTAATTCACTCTTTTACACTAATCAAAGTGTTCACTTTGATTTTCAAAAGGTTTGTGTTCTATATCCCGAACAGATATTGGACGAAATCTCAATTCAGTGCACTTTACGGTGGTGACCAGTACTTGTGTTGCGCGCCCTCTTTTGGAAGAAATTGATGTTAGTAAAATGTACGGGAGTGCCCTCACACACTTTTTGTTTTTATTGTGTTATTTTTTTTCTTCAACAGTTTCTGTTGAATTTGAAATATATAGTCAAATTATAGTCAATTACGGGAAGCAATTTCAAATCCGTGCAGTGCGCAAGGGCGGATCCAGAACACAATTTTTTTTGGGGGGGGGGGCAAAAAAAAAATTGGTCCCTCCCAAAATGGGTCCAAAAAATTACGGCGTGGGGTTCGGGACCCGCTCAAGGGCCCCGAAAAATTTTTGGATTCTAGATGCTCTGTGGTGCGATCTGAGGCAATTTCTGACCACTTTAACCAATGTTTTTTTGGAGGAAAAGATGGTGGTGTACTCATTGCCTGCCTTTATTGCGATGTCACATAAAAAAAAAAAAAATTGGTTTCGTTTTTTTTTTGGGGGGGGGGCCATGGCCCCCTTTGGCCCCCCCTCCTGGATCCGCCCTTGGCAGTGCGATGTGTTTTTCTTGAGTTGTCGTCTCCACAAAGAGTGCTTTATTTTTGCCCCATTCAAAGTGACTCGCATTCGAATTGAAGTTTTCGCGATTAGTACACTGTATTTCCTTAAATCATATCAATTTATTTTTCAATGGTTCCCGTTGATTTTCAAACAATTTGTGTCGTATATTTCGACCAATTATTGGACGTATTTTCAATTCCATGCAATGTGTTTTTTTTAGTTATCGTCTCAGGAAAGAGTGCTTTATTTTTTTCAGTTAAATTCAGACTCAATTTTAGTAAACTCTATGTTTTTTAAAACAAAGTGTATCTCACATGTTGTAAAAATCTCACAATTTTTTTTCATAATCTTCGAGATCATAATCATCATATACTGGGCGGCACACCTAATTTTGGTATAAGTTTCAACTGAACACTAAATAAAGCTTTATTTATTTATTTATTTTATTTATTTATTTTATTTCTTTCTGGTAATGAAACCAAGGATCCCTCCAAAGTGCCTTTGGCACTGTAGCCCGAAAGCCTGAAGAAACCTGTATTTTAAAGCTAATTTAATAATAATTGTTGAGTCGAAATTTCAAAAAAATGTATGAAACGGTTGCTTATGTTGTGGTTCTTTATATGGCGTGTCAAAAATACCGTTATTTTCCGTTTACTATGAACATTCGTTGAATATATAAATCACCTTTTGCCGCAAATAGATCACCTTTTGCCGCATGTATTATAGATTGTGTTGTCTTTTAGGTGAATGCGCGGCTGAAACCGCAGCTGAATAGGCAGCCATAAATTCGGCCAAATCCACGGCTACCTTGGGTTTTTTCGTAGCGGTGCGCGTGGCCAGTCTGCATCGTCGGAGGGCGTTAACTATTTTGTGATGTCGGAGGGTGTCGAAATCGCGCACTGCACCGAATACATGGAATAAAAAAAATCGGCATATATTTTCTTTTTGGTCACGAGACATGACATGAGCTTTCGCGTGAGACACTGCACTAAAATGAGCAAAAAACACTCACTTATTCCAAACTATTTTGAAATAGGAGTGTCCCCCCACTTGCCACGTACCTGACCTTTCCCCGCCCCTCCTCCAATCAACAACAATTTTAATGTATAATGAAAAAGTAACTAAACGTTGACACATTTTTGATTGTAATATTAAAGTCTCACTTGCAAGGAAATAGTTTTTGCAGGCCTACAAAGAAATAGCAAATAAAACCGATTGTTTATTGGTAAAACTCAACTTCGGACAAAAGGTCCTTTGGACGGAGGCGCATATGGCCTAGCAGCACGGCGGACGTTGCTTAAAGTACTTTGCATACTGCTTAGTTTCGAAATTTCATATTTTTTCTACCTAACGAAATTTAATGGAATATGTTATCCTGTAATAAGTAAAATTAGTTGTTCGTTTTTGCAGGTCTTTACACAGTTTTAAAAGTGGCTTTAAATGGCGCGCTCGATTAAGTTCCGAAATTGCGTGCTATTCAGAACGATCTCCCGCTCCAATAAAAAGTTCAGATAATTTAATCGATTACTTGTCTTCGGCCGATTTTTTTTCGTGCGATGTCTCATTGGAAGCTCATAACTAATAAAATGCTGGAAAATTATCCATTTAATTTGAAACCTGTTTTTCAAGATGCCACACCCAAAAAGCAACCTTTTTTTGAATTTCGGATCGAAAACATATGGCTTGAAAATGATTCCCGTCTTAATTTTTCTATTCTCGTTAAATTCTTTATTTGTATTCAAAAATTCTTTATAAATATTCGAAAAGGGGGGTATAGGCAGGCCAAACAAATGCTTTAAAAAGGGGCGGGGGGGGGGGTGTTAAAATTAAGTTTATGATGAATTTGGAAAAAGCGGGTCTCATTTATTTACGGTGGGTAAAAAATCATATTAAAATTCGAGGATATTAAAATTGTAGCAATGTTAGGGTTAAGAAAGGAAACAGAACACCTACTTACAATCGTCTTATTTTCTTTATCAAAAACAAAAGTCAGGTCATGAATTAATTATTAAAATAACTCTAGCTACTTATGAATGAATAACTAGAAATGTCACTATCTACCAATCAACGAGCTGCTTTTTGATCACGTGACAGTTGCTAACAGTTTGTTTTCTATCGCCCAGTGAGGCTGTGTTTTGCAAGCGTCTCCGTTCATATTTTGCAGAATATGAATAATTGAGGGTCTTCAGAAAGTCCGATGTAGCAAATTCATAAATTTTACGAATTCAAGATCAAGACAGGTAAGTGCATTCTTTCTCAAAATGTACATTCTTTCGAACTGCAGCCCGAATTTGGTGAGGGATTCCTGCAAAAGTGCGAAGCGATACGCATTGTTAATGATAGTCTGGTGTCCGGGGTATATGATTTGGATCATGTGGCGTCGGGCGTCAGACAACTTATTGCTGAATTCGAAATGTCATGAACGTGAACCAAAAAAAAAAAAACTCCTCGATTTCGAAAGATGACAATCGCTTCTAATATTGGTAGTAAATGTTTCCGAGGAAAGATTTTTCATATAAGAAGCTCACTCAACACCCTGTGTACAAACCCTATGAGAGTGGACTGAAAAATTCTAAGTGTTTTCTAAGAAAATGCTTGTATTTTCTCACTGCTCAAATTGACTTTGATGACATGAAATTGCTATCTGGGGGCTTGTTAGTCAATACTGACATGACTGAGGAAAATTAATGAACTTCTTATATGGAAATCTTTCCGTTTCCGATAATTACAAGAAAAAGTTAATACAAGACATTTTGGTCTTTTCTGAAAAGAAAAACAAGGCACAGTTTTATCTTGCGTGCGTGATCAAACCTGGTGATGATGAAGAAATTTGTAGACCCTAAATAATCAAAATTTAAACTATGCAAACAAAATCGCTAGAAAATTTTTTCACTTTTCATTGCCTTTTTTCCGTCTCTTAATTAAAATAACAAATCCTCCAGAGCCATGGCTAGACGGTAAGATGAATCTATCAATATTAATATCAATCTAAATCAATCATTATGAATCAATCTAAATCTAATCAATCAAAACATTCTTACCTACCTTGAATTTGATGACAGGGATGACAAACTAAAACATCTTTTCGGTGGCCACTGTTTATTTTTTTCCAGGAAGGATGCAAGCCAGATGACGTTCTGGTTGCTAGCGGCAACGCAGACTAAACCTCCCTGACCCCCCTTCCATCATGGAGTATCGTAACGGGGGCCTTCTCTTCACGTCAAAGTTCGACTCGGGTAACTTAGCCCGAGTGGAGCGTGTCTGCCGTGATGACGAGGACGATCCTAGCATACGACGAGTCGGGGACCCAAGCCCGGCTCCAGACTATGAGTTCAATGTGTGGACCAAGCCCGACTGTGGCGGCACGGAGTTTGAAAATGGCAACAGGTCAGTGACAATGGAGCAAGAAAGAAAAATTGTTGACTCGGCACCCAAAAAAACCCCCAAAAATTGACAAAATGATTCATTCATGTGTTCATCACTGACATGTCTGCCCAATGAACAAGCTGGTGAAGATCAACATCATGAATATGAATAAGACTCATCTCATAATTTATTAATATATTCGTCCCTGACAGGTCCTGGTTCCATTTTGCCATCAAGGGCTGTCCAATGAACAAGCTAGTGAAGATCAACATCATGAATGTCAATAAGGCTCATCTCATAATCTATTCATATATTCATCTCTGACAGGTCATGGTTCCATTTTGTCATCAAGGGCTGTCCAATGATCAACCTGGTGAAGATTAACATCATGAATATGAATAAGACTCATCTCATAATGTATTCGTATATTCGTCCCTTACAGGTCCTGGTTCCATTTTGCCATCAAGGGCTGTCCAATGAACAAGCTGGTGAAGATCAACATCATGAATATGAATAAGCAGGGGAAGTTATACAGTCAGGGCATGGCGCCTGTGGTACGCGTGCTGCCCCAGAAGCCAAAGTGGGAACGAATTAGGGAGAGGCCAACGTATGAGGTAAACCAATGACCCTGAACCCCCACCCCAAACCCCACCCCACCCTGCCCATAGCCCACCCCCCTTCCCAATATCGTTCAAATTCCACTTGGATGAATGAAAGTCTTTGTTAAACACTCACTCCAGTGATTGTAAAAGCTTACGTTATTCCTAATTTCTTTCTTTCTTTTTTGATACAGAACGCGGATGGCCAGTTCATTCTAACCTTCACGTACCGCTTTGAGTATCGGTTCTCTTCCGTCTATTTCGCATTCTGCTACCCGTATTCCTACGCTGAGTGCCAGCAGAAGATGGACGACTTGGACACTCAGTTTGCCCACTGCCAAAACCTTTCACCGTCCAGGTAACGGAGACAAAATCTTTAAAGACCAGTTGAGTTAAAAGTGACCGACTGTCACTTGTGCCTAAAGCCCGGTTCATACTTCACGCGAAAGCGAAGCGAAATTCGTGACGTCAACAATGGTGGACGCGCTTCGAACACATTGTTGACGTCACAAATTTTGCTTCGCATTCGCATTCGCTTTCGCGTGAAGTATGAACCGGGCTTTAGCCTGGTTGGCGGCCGTTGAAGAGAACCGGGCAGTGCTATTGTATAGGATTACCCATAATGGGCTAAATCTGGTTTTTATGTAAATTTGCTTTTGTTGAATTTTTCAGTCCCGTCAACTCCATATACTACCACCGAGAGCTGCTGTGCTATTCGTTGGACAGGCTCCGCGTTGACCTCATGACAATTACATCATGCCATGGATTGACCAATCAGAGGGAGCCACGTCTACCTAAGCTATTTCCGGATCAGTCGGTGCCCCGCGCTTTCAAATTCAAAGGCAAACGGGTTAGTAGTGTTATTTGGATCCTAGTGTGCATAGTGACCTCTATAGATCAATCCAACAATTAATATAAGTCGAACGACTCGCTCAAAGTTTCTTTGACTGAAGTAAGGAAGTGCCCTTCTTAAATTTAAGAATGCATACATATCTTGAAATATGCAAAATTTTTCGCTTTTTCAGGTATTCTTTCTAACAAGCCGGGTTCACCCAGGTGAGACCCCAGCCAGCTTTGTCTTCAACGGATTCCTTGAGTTCATCCTACGACCTAAGGACCCACGTGCCATCCAGCTACGCAGGCAGTACGTCTTCAAGCTTATCCCGTTGCTGAACCCGGACGGTGTGCAGCGCGGGCACTACCGGACTGACCAGAAAGGCGTCAACTTGAACCGTGTGTACCTCAACCCCGACTTCAACCTCCATCCATCCATTTACGCTGTTAAGAATCTGATTCTGCATCAACATGTGAGCTCCAGGGTGGTTTCGAGCGCAAGTCCGAGTCCGAGAAAAGCTGACTTGAAGACGGTTTCGGAAAGGAGCGAAAAGGGGGAAGGGGAGGGCACCGTGGCAGTTTTGCCTTGTGTTGAGATGAAGCCGTGCCCAGCGAATGCGATAGTCTTGATCCACGAAGGTTCCGGGGAAGCTGGGTCGCTGAACACCGAATGTCAAATGAACGACGCGATTGACGAACTGATTGTGAAATCAGAAGCTGATTTTGTTGACCGACACAAAGCAGCAGAATTGTTGGATACCGGCTTGCCTGCATCCGACACCGTTAGTGTGTCCAGGGAACGTTTAGACAGCAAAAAGTGTGTGGACCACGAGTCCCGATCACGCGGATCTTCCATAGCCAAAGAGAGCTCTGTCGATGGTGATTCAGGAGGTGAAGAAGATGACGACACCGGGCTTCGAAGACCCTCCGTAACTTCTCAGGACACAACAAAAATTGAATCAAATGACGAAGCCACACCGAACATTCCGCCAAACGAGAGCGGGGTGGCGCTATACGTAGACCTCCATGGCCACGCCTCGAAGCGAGGCTGCTTCATGTACGGCAACTACTTTGATGACGAAGAACGACACGTCGACAACCTCCTGTTCCCGAAGCTGATCGCAATGAACTCAGCTCATTTTGACTTTGACGGGTGCAACTTCACAGAGAAGAACATGTACACAAAAGATAAACGGGACGGCATGTCTAAAGAAGGCAGCGGGCGGGTTGCTATACATAAAGCTACTGGGATTATACATAGGTGAGTCTTGGTCTCAGACTTGATTTGGTTCATTTGTTAAATAGCGCCCTCTAGTGCTGTTCCTTGACAGTCACCAGGGGCTGCGCTGCATTAGGAATTCAACAAAATTGTAGTACATTCTTTGAGTTTAATACATTGTCTTTGTTTATTTCGTAGCTACACCTTAGAATGCAACTACAACTCGGGCCGGTTTGTCAACTCGCTCTCCCCGGCTACTACGGACGATGGCCACGCTACCCCACCCCCGCTTGCCGGATACCCTCCTAAGTACAGCCCCCAGCACTTTGAAGAGGTATGCTCGACAATTTAAAGTTAAACCCGTAAGAGTAAAGTTTAACCATTTTTAAGATAACATCTTGTGTTGACAATGCTTAACATTTGATTATTTTTTTTCTGTAAAGGTTGGCAGGGCGGTTGCCGTTGCAGCGATAGACCTCACCAACACCAACCCCTGGTCCAGATTGGCGTCCACCGAGTACGCCAACGTCGTGGGAGTACGGGCCTGGGTCCAACGCTATCTGCGTAGCATGCGTGGAGCGCCCTCCCTCCCCAAGAAAATGGCGCGCGTCGCCTCAAAGACCTCAAGGTATGTTATCTCAATATTTCATTTAGAGCATTTAATTTTCTCTTCAACAAAAGTGGAACTAAAAATCATGCATGATTTATCTTTGTTACTACTTTTAGCATTGTCGCCAGCGCCACTGCCAATACATTCCACAACAGGCCACGTTTCTCTTGGAGCGACACAACAACAAGTCAAGCCCCCTCTAGTGTTCAAAACAATCCAGTGTCGTCAATATCATCAACCACCACGGCCACCGGCAAGAAAACGACAACACGGCATCTGGGCCCCGTAAGAGGTTCGTATAAATGAGCAAATCTACTCTTTTTAATGAAGTTCTTGCGCGGGATTCCATCCGTTGCCACATTTTTACTGGATAATTACAACCAATTCCTTTGATTTTCAGAAACAAAGGCAACGATCGAGAGAAAGAAGCACGTGCAACAGATGCAGGGGTCAAAGTTGATGTCAGCCTCTGTCCCAGCGTTCGGTAGCACCACCCTGAGGTCACACCCCCTGCCAAACCAGGGTCGACAAGCCCTCCCAAACCCCACCACCCCACACCAATCCAACAACCACCACATCAACATCGGCCTAACGAGCAGTCTCAAAACCCACAAGACTAGCCCCCAGTCCCACAACCACCTGTTGCAAGGGGTGCAGCATCCCAACGTACACGGGGTGACAAACCCTGTGACGCACGGGGTCCCGCCACCCATCCGACACGGCGTGACGCTCCCCGGAACACTTCCAGGCAAGCACCAGAAACTGGGCGACCCTTTGCAGGCGACGCAGAACGTCGTGCACGAGTTGTTAAGCAACGTGATGATCAAAGCGCTAGAAGAATCCATGATGGCGCAGACAAGAGGCGTGTCTAAAGTCTCCTGCGTGAGTATTCATTTGCATGTTACCATGGTTACCTTTAACCCAATTTTTAAAAAGAAACGTGCTTGAAGTTTAAATCTTAAAATCGACGCTTGCATGTGTCTTTGTGTGAAATAGCTTATCTGATCTTTCTGCAAATTGGCACACAGAAGTTTGTGAAATATACGATATCAAGTTTGTCGAGATACATTTACGTATTATATTGTGCCATAGGTGCATGGTGTCACCCCTAATTAGGATGAATGGCTTGAATTAACACCTTCGCTTCGCTTGCTTGGTCTGTGCAGGTTTCCCTTTCGCCCTTGCCTCCCCCATCCCCTGACGCCCCGCCCACCTCGCATGCTAAGCCCGCTAACACTGACCAGGCTGATGCTACAAACCATACAGCTATGCCTGTCCCTACCCTGGTAAGCTATGCCACTAACTTGTTAAGCAAAAGAAAATCTCCTTAGCGTATTCATTAGTGCATTAATACAGGAACGAAAGTTGAGAATGTCGCTTAACAAAAATGGGTTACCAACCAACATGTCATGTGTTACTAATTGCTCTTGACTGGCGCTCTGCCCATTTTCGCTATGTGTTATCCATTAAGCTAAGCTTCTTTACATTTAGGGATGAATACTGTTTACCTATACACATGGTTGATTTATTTTCCTATTCGATAGACACCTGGCCTAAAAATTCCGACCAATCACAAGATGCTGTTTCGAACGATTAACAACGAGGCGGTTGCCAATGGCGACAGCATCCTGAAGACTATGAAGCAACGGGACTCACCAAGGTATTATCTTGACATAACAAATAGTCTCAAAAATCAATTTAAAGAAAACTTCACATAACCAGCTTGTTGCATTTTTGTAAAACTGAAAACTGGTAAGTTTACAATGAAATATTTGCCATTATCCACATGTATGTATTTAAAAAAAAAAATTCAAACAAAAATTTGTCAATGAAGCTCGGAACCTACCAAGAGACGTAAGAAGCCATCAGGCGTGAAGCGACGCAGCGCGTCCCATAGCCCCACACGCAAGGGGCGACGCACAGGGAGAGGCAAGGGGAGTGAGACAGACAGCGAAAAGGAGAAGAGACAGGGTCATAGACGGAGGAAGGGGTCCGTGCCGGGGGGCCCGTCAGACCCTATGACAAGTGAGTAATTGTTTGAAGCACGGGTGAACATGTATAGGTGGGCGCAGATATCCGGGAAATTTTGATATTGGTTTGTCTAGCTCCCAGACCTATGAACTTGAAACTCCATGGTTCTTGAGTCAAGAGTGCTGAATGGTAACACATAGCAACTGATGAAAACTTATGTGCAAATGAAGTTTCATTGGAAGACGTAATCTCGCCCCAGCAATTGTATGTGTTTATTGGATCTCTCTCTTAAAACTCACATACCTGACTTTTAAGGCCGTAAACGTCTCACAATCATCCCGTTTTTCTGTTTTCTTCATCAGGTGAAAGTGTGCCAGATTTGAAGCTCGGACCACAAAACGACCATACAGCATTAAGGAGGTATATATGTTGGTAGTGGCATCAATTTTACAATGGGCCTTATGCACGAGTCGGCCATATTGAATTGAAAGTGAGGTAAAATCTTCATTGTTGGAACTTGTGAAGAGAAACGAAAGCAAGTTAATACAATTAATTCTAGTCTGCCTATTCCTGAATAAATAGTCTGGCACCATCCCATTCAACAGTTAACAATTAATGAAATTCAATAGGGAACTCGACAAAAATGGCCAACTCATGCTTTAGGCCTATGTGCCAATTGGGCTGTACCTACTTGTCAATCAAACAGTCTGTATTGACCAATCAGAGCACTACTTCTGGTCAGGTGGCCACAGTAGCTCAGTTGAACTCACATGCGCATGCACAAACTGCCAAAGGTGGGTGGGAGTCTACATGGCCAATGGGCAGGGCCTATGGCCAATGGGCGGGGCCTATGGCCAATGGGCGGGGCCTTTGGCCAATGGGCAGAGCCAATGGCCAATGGCAAATAGAAAGAGGTTGATTACTTTGGCTTGTAATTTGGATTGATTACTTTGGCTTGTAATTGGTTGTTTTTATTTTGTATTTATAATTAGACGGAGTTCAGACATAGTCCAACCAGACAATCGGTCCAGGCTGGCTGCACGGTTCACCAAGTCACATTCAGTTGGCGAGGTAGGTATATTTCTTAAAAAAAGTCAGTCACAAGTCAATCACAAGTCAATCACGTCAGTCACAAGTCAATCACATGTCAGTCACAAGTCAATCGCAAGTCAATCAAAAGTCATTACAAGTCAATCACAAGTGAACCCCAAGTCCATCACAAGTCTATCACAAGGCATCACAAGTTCATCACAAGTCAATCACAAGTCATTCATGAGTCTATCACAAGTCAATCACAAAGCCATCACAAGTCAGTCACAAGTCCAACACAAGTCAATCACAAGTGAACCCCAAGTCCATCACAAGTCTATCACAAGGCATCACAAGTCCATCACAAGTCATTCACAAGTCAATCACAAGTCCATCACAAGTCAATCACGAGTATATCACAAGACCATCACAAGTCCATCACAAGTCCATCACAAGTCCATCACAAGTCAATCACACATCCATCACAAGTCAATCACAAGTCAATCGCAAGTCACTCATGGATTATTTCATCGTTTCCTTTTTTGTTCCTATATTTTATTTTGCATAGAATCCTGAAGCAAGCGTCTCGTGCCAAGTTGTGGACTTGAACAACATGAACAGTAACTGGAAACCCAAGAAAGAGGTGTCATTCTGGATGTGAACATGAACCGACCGGAACCAGATTGAACTGGATCAGTCCGGTTCATACCGGATTGCACCAAAGTGGGTTAACTCTTTCAACCTCGTAAAAAGGTTACTAGCCAAGTCTTTGTGTGTGTCATGTGACTAGTATTTCAAATGAACAAAGAGTACTGTTTATGTATATATATTTAATTGCCACCAATGTATTCTGATATAATAGGAAAATGATTATTTGGAATCCAAATGAATAAATTGAGGGTTAAACGTTAAATTTGGAAATTCAGTTTTAGGCCAGTTTTATTGGTTTTATTGTATTACAGTTGCATATAGACGTAGTACACAGGCCTATGCCAATGCACACATACTCAGAACAGCCATGTTTCAATCAAAAGGAGTATTCTACATGCAAATGAGAATAAAAAACTGGTTGAAACCAGTTTGGACCAGTTCGAGGTGGTTCTCAACCTGTTTAGACCAGTACATAATTACACACAAACTACCAGTGAGTTTGGGTACCAATATTTCAGTACTAATGCTTTCGCTGTACAGCCCATCAGTTTATTAATATTTCATGACAATCGTATTGTACATTCAATGCCAAAATTCTTTGAAAGAACAATTCAGTTTCTAAAATTGGTGTGCACTTTTGTCAATGAAACTGCTGTGTATAAAATTGATGCCTTTTGTTTTATTTAGAATTGATATTCAAATCTTTTTCATTATGTTTGCATGAAAACATTTTGAGTGAAGAAAAAGTAAAAACAAAAAGCAGAAAGTTGTGCACAAAGCTAATAGGTCTTCAGTTCCAGTACCTCTTAAAAGACTTTTTTTTTACATTCCTATTGTCTGAAATAACTGCTGAACAAGTTGCTTTTCTCTGCGTACCTTCGTTATTCTTACCACTGTTAAGTTATATGTAAATATAGCTGAAAGATGTAGTATTGTGCCGTCCATATATAACAAACTTTTGACGCCGATGTGAACTTGTTATTGTAGGTGCTGTATATATGTCAGTTTGTAACTTTGAGATTCTTTTTATTGTAACTATTGTACTAAGAGTACTTTTATCAGTTGATAATGACCAAAGACAATCTTATGTTTTAATTCATGCCAGTTCTTAACCCTTGTAGAAGACTTATGATCGTATATATATCGCAGGTTCAAACTTTAGTAGTTCCAAAGAATGCCCTTATGTGTACATATCAGTGAAGTTTTTAAGCAAAGTATTCAATTTTTAAAAGTGTGGTGCTTTATTTGTTTGGTATGCCAAAAATAGCATTATCGATTCAGTTGGTCGTCTCTTCTCAATTTTTTGGGATTTTTTTTTGGGGGGGGGGGGAGAGACCCACTTTGAAAGTGTGCTTGGGTTGGAATAGACTCGAGTGATAATGGCATTATGGAGCATTGCATTCTGGGAACATAGTCGGACATTGTGAAAGATTTGAGGCTACTGCTTCGTATGTCATTGTTGGACTGCATAAAGTCATTTGTCCAACAATTATTAAGCCGTCCATTTTAGTCAAAGTTTTGTTTGGATTTTTCCTTTTTGAATATTTATTGGTGGTAGTTCACCAGTCAGCGACTGTGAAATAAAGTGTGTTCAAAAAGAGTGCTATGTTTTATCTTTTTTTGTGTGTGTGATTAACTTTAAGAAAAACAAAACAAAAGGGCAAACTAATTTTTAGAAACATAAGTTCATTTACGGCCGCAGTTGCTGCTTAATAAATACATGTATATACAAATGTCGATGGTTAATTTTCAGTCGTGAAACTTGGGTAAGAACTCGTTTTGAAGTTTTCAAGACCATAAAGTTCACAAAGGCAAGAATTTCCGAACATTTTAATACAATTAATTTTATTATCAATACATAATAACATATGTTAACGCTTAAGAAGAACGCTTGTATTTTAATAATTATACCTTATGAATATTTATGATCCCACCAACAAAACTGATCGGTCAGTCTTCAGCGGTGTGGCTGATTTTAATTACCTCCAGTAATTCCACACCTTACTTCGTGTATTTTGTACCTTTTGCTTTTAATTTTAACCAGTTCACGCCGGATGACGTGTATACCCGCAAAAGTTTTGCGGTATTCGGAACGGATGACGGATTAACACGCTAGATATAACTGTCAGCAACCCGCTTGCAGCGAGCGAGGCCGGAAATGCCTAAGGGTGATGGCTTCAACCCGCCTGGCTTGAGGTCAAGTGAAAAAGTAATCCTGCGCCTCTTTCCGTTCAAAATAATCCCAGATATTTATAAAGCCAAACAATATACAATGTATAATAAAATATTACAATACAATTACAATTATGATGTTATTATGATGTTATTTATAAAGTATGGTACATGTACGGTTCAACTAAATAACATGAATAAAGGGAAAAATCACTAACAAAAATCACTCAATACATGAACGTGTAAAATCTTCTTAAAACATTTCTATATATAAATCTGCGCTTGAGTATACACTCCATATAACTTGGTAAAATTATCTATAAAAACGTGGCTTTATCTGATATAATTATAAAGTTAAATGAAATCTTTGGCGAGAAATTATAAATGGCATGAAAACGGCTTATATAAACAGCGCCACCGTACCAACGGCTTCGATATATTTCCAAGGCAATCATTTATCGCAAAAAATCCTCATTTTTATGCAACTTATATATCAAAAATCATTTCTATAAATGTCCTTATACAAAGATGAAACAAAGTCAATTACTCACTTTGCTGAGCTGTCCTAGTATCAAAGAAAAATGGCGAAAGTTGACTGAATTTGTGACGAAAACTGAACATGTACGTTGCAAAATGATGACAAGTATGGTAAAAATGAATATAGCGCCCTCTGGCTTGAACAAACTATCTATCATTACAATGCGGGTCATAGGTCACGCACATGGCATCGCATATGAACGCAAAGCGAGTTAAAAATAATAGGTTGCAGTCAACATGGTCTCTTACCAGCGCTGTATAGCTATGGGGGGAGGGGGGGGGGGGGGGGACATGACATGACATGTGCATTTGAGGGGCACTTTAGTTTATAACCCCAAGAGGGGCCCTGCTTTTGTTGTCCTTGCGGGAGCTAGTGCCCCCCCTACTCCCCTTTCCGCCGCCAGTGTTTTCGCTGTCTTCGAGCTTCCTTCGTGTCTGTTTCTTTACTTTTTTCATCTTTTTCTTGGCGATGACATCCTCTTGTAGTTTGGTTGAGTGGGGCTCCACTAGCGGGTAGATTTGCTTTATAGCTTGGGAGATGTTTTCAACACAAGGTGCTGAAAATAAAAATAATGAAAGAAAAAAAAAAAAAATTTAATAGGACGTTGTAAATTAAGTTAACCGAAAATCTCAAACAAATACAGCATGGTTTGAGGGGAAGTAGTGGTAATTACTGGTCCCGAGGTGTAGGTCAGCTTGACTACCTCCCATCTCTTGACGTGAAGTGGAGGGAGGTACTCAAGCTGACCTACACTGAGGGACCAGTAATTTACACTATTCCAGAAATAAATATTGGAAAATAAATACCAGAAACACTGGTATAAAGTTGCTGGGCCGTACCTATGACCGTGATGCTACCTGTGGAGAAGATTTTCAACGTTGCTCGTGGGGATTTCAGTCTGTATGTGACGGCTGGATGAAGCTCAGGCTCATAGCTGTCAGGGGAGATACAACAAAAAATGCAGTTTTGCTTTAGTACAGAAGACTGGTGCTTTGATTGTTCAGTTTGATGATAAAAGCATTACATTTGGCACAGTATGTCATGGGAAAGGTATTTGGCTATAGGGCGATTGCAGATTTGTCCTTTGAAAAAAATATCACACAATAACAGGCAATTTTCCAAATTTTCCAAATGGCTGCCATCCCATGTTATCCTATGTTATTCTTTTCAAAGGTCAAGTCTGCAATGACCCTATAGCCACAAATCTTACCCATTATATACTGTGTGTGCCAAAATTCATGCTTTTCTCATCAAAATTGAACAATTCCATCAGATTGTGCACCTATCTGCCCGGCTACATGTACTTGGATTTTTTTGGGGGGGGGGGGGGATGGCACAAACAGATCCATCCTGCAAGTAAACTGGTTCCTAGGCCCTACATTAGCAATGCTGATAGGGAGGCAGGAACCAGTCTACAATCAGAGAACCACATGTACTACTGTCGCACCATAAATAATTCAATATTGGTGTTTTATTTATTCCGTAAATGAACATGGGCCAAATTTTTCTTTTGACGTCTCATTCAAAAGTGAAATTTTTTTGGGCTTAAAATATAGCAAATTAAAAACCAAATGTAGTTTTGGGGGTGAAACTTGAAAATTAGCACTGACAGGTGTTCTTTAAGAGTCACAGCTATTGTATAGACGTACTCAGCTTTGTCACGAGGTTGCTTCTTAGCAAACTGGGCTAGCTTGATGCCAAAAGGCATAGTGCAGGTCCCAAGCATGTTGACTACTTTAAAGTTGTTCAAGCGGACCCGGAAACCTAGCTTCTGTAGCATTCGGGCACACTGTCTCGCTGTTTTCTTGGCATCTTCTTCACTGGGAAAAAAAAGACAGACACAAATCAGGTGTAGATCGATAACTTGAATTTCTGGAAGTCAAATTAGTAATAAAAAAATATCACAGTTAGGCCCCCCAAAAAAATATTCGGTCTCTGGTCAGACCAAAGTTCCGGAATTGACGCGGCCAAGCGGCTTTTTTTTTCTTCTTCAGCTTGGATTGTACAGACAAGGTGGGTACTATTTTGCATTTTTGGTGTCCTCATATACACTGGTGTCCTCCATAATTTGCCTTGGTGCTCTCGATCATTTGCCTTGGTGCAGTTTCCCATTCCTTGGTGCTCTTTGGTAAAAAAAATTGAGGAGGTGCGGAAATAGAGGGCGCTGTTGGAGCTACCGCGGAACATTTTGGAAAAAAAAAAGATCAACGCGCATGATTAAAATCGACGCGCGCGCTTACCAGAGACCGACTTTTTTTTTGTTTTGGCTTTATCTCCTAATAAAGCATCCTTTGTGATCTTGTCATCACTACTGAGAATATTTCTATTCCCCCTGGTTGGGATGCCAGTCCATCACAGGTTACTCCCCAGCTAATGCTTGTACCCATTTATACTCCTAGTGAAGTGAGGCAAATGGGAGTAAAATGGCTTGCCCAAGGACACAACAAATGGCCAGCAGCTGGATTTGAACCCCTGACCCTCTGAACATGAGTCCCAAACCCTAACCACTAGGCCACATTCCTTGTCAGACCACGGTGCAAATAGTAAACAACTGGTTTCCAGGCGTACCTATTATTTCCCATAATGGACACCTTTCCTGACGAATATATTGTGCATGTTGCCTTGGGATTGCGAAACCTCTTGTGAACTATCTGGGAAGAGATAAAAAAAAAATGGATCAAAACAAACAATGCGAATATTTGACTCTATTTTAATTCTAAAACCACAATTTAATTCTAGAACTCATCATAGAGCAATTCACTCATTCAAATAATGTCTGGGTGGCACAATTGCTATAACAGATGTTATCTTCAAGTAAACTTGAATCCTTAATCCTGATTGGTCGATTCATGGCAACAAGCCGTGCTACATATAACCATGTAGCACGGCCACGGTCCATACCGCACTCCGCGTGTTGCGCTATTCCAAGATGCGCACGCCGTTACACGCACGTGTAATAGGATAACCGCTGAAAATCTTTTGAGTGCTTCAAGTTTGCTTGAAGATAAATTCGTTATCACGCTCGCGCTCGTGGAACACGGAAAATGTAGTGCGTCTGTGTCCCACATGCTGCTCGGCCTTCGGCCTCGTGGTATGTGGGACACAGACGCACTACATTATTCCGTGTTCCACTCGCGCTCGCAAGATAACTAATATAAACCAGTCAGTTGACACTGACAAGCTTGGTTGTCCAAGACCGAGACCTGAACAAGTCCAAAACTGAGACATGATGTCCGAGAGTGAGACCGTAGTCCGAGACCTGAAGGTCCAAGACTGAGACCAAAACCAATACCTACACCTGAAGGTCTATTGAGACTGTAGCCCCTTATACCTGAAAATCTGATACCAAAACTGTGCCAAAGACCGAGACCTGAAGGTCTCTGCGACTGAGATCTGAAGGTCCAAGACTGAGACCGTAAGGTTCAATTTCATTATTATTATTTATCTTAAATGAAACCAGGGATTCCTCAAAAGCGCCTCAGGCCCTGACCTTGCAAGCCCGAGGAAACCTGTAGAGAGGAGACATTAAAGGGAATATACAACATTTGCAAACATCGGAAAATAAAACTACCAAGTTTTTACGAAATACCTTACTAGGAAGTTGGTAAATGACAGTCTAAAGCATCCTCTAAAACTATGGCACCTGGTGTGAAATCGTTTCAAGAAAATGGTATTTTTGTATGCATTTCCAACGGTGGTCGACCGACCACCGTTGGAAAAGCCTTACTATTCTTCAACTACTGCTCCAAATTTACCCTTTTTTCAGTCCAAATTTTGTTTGCTATTGGTTACATGTTCATGAATGGGTGCAGGCTAGCTAGACTGGTTCCTTTACCTTACAATTTTCCGGCATCTATAAATTGATCCATTTCATCTTTAGTGGAGTCAGGGAACTAGACTACTTGAACATTTTTGTTTTTCTTGGTTTTTCTAGCATTTTTGGCCACAAAACTACAAACATGTCAGTGTAACAATATTTGATCAATTATACTAACCCCTCAAAAAAGTTTTAGGCCCCAAAAACCCATGTGTTTAGCATCCCTGTTCGCTTCCTTTTTGGAGGCCAACTCACTTTTTTTTACTTTTTTTTAAAAACACCCGAAAAATGATAAATTTTAAACAGTCACATCAGTTTGGCATCTTTGTTTTTTGCATCTAGCCCATATAAAGCTGGTATGTCATTTCCTGAGTCCATGTGGGGGCCAAATATAAAAAAAAAAGGTTGGGGTCATCTTAAAAAAAAAGCCCGGCCGGTCCTTTAAAAAAAAAAAAAAAAGGCCTCCTTCTTCCTTTAAAAAAAAGAAAAAAGGCAGGACGATAAACATGTCTTTTTCAGGTGTGTGAGTGACCACTGATAAAAATAGCTGAAAACATCTGAAAAAGGTGCAAAAAAGCTGGACTTTGGAAATCTATACTTTTGTGCACAGCAAGTGAGGGAAAAAGCTGAATCCAAAACTAAAACAATAACTGAAATCAGCTTTAAAGCTGAGATTGCACACCCCTGCTTTTTTTATTCAGCCTTAGAGATGGGAGAAAACCCCAGAAGAATATTCTGGGGAAAACCCACGGAATCAGGTAGTAACTGAAAACCTAGCCCGACTGCATCTGGCCGTACAGTACTATCGCGAGCTCTGTAGTACGGCCAGACCGCCAATGCTCCCCTAAACGCTGAACTCTGATGTAGCAATTTTGCTACCGATTTTGATCGAGATTATCTTCTCATCCAGGACAGACCTTTCCAAAGTTAATATTCCTAGTCGTAGAGGAACTCATACCTTTTCGAAAAAACATTCTTTTATCCCAAAATCTTCATCCATCTGGCCAAAAGACGACTTGCAGTCATCATCTTCCACTGATATCGTCCCGAAAATGTTCCTCCATCCGATTTCAAAATGGCGGCCGCATTGTAATGTCTGCATTATGCAGACGCACTTTGGCAAGGCTATGAATATGCATTGTTCAGATCATGACCTCGTGTTTGTATGGCCAGCCGCGCCGTGCGACCGAGAAACGTCATGAACTGCAATGCATATTCATAATCTTGCCCAAGCCCACCCGCAAAATGCGTAAACTACAACACGGCCGCCATTTTGAAATCAAATCGGGACGATATTTGTGGGAGATGATGACTGAAAGTCGTATTTTTGGCAATATGGATGAAGATTTTGGGATAAAAGAACATTTTTGTGAAAAGGTATGAGTTTCTCTACAACTAGAAACCTTAACTTTGGAAATGTCTGTCCTGGATGAGAAGATATTAATTTCGATCAAAATCGAAATCGGTAGCAAAATTGCTACATCAGTTCAGCATTTAGGGGAGCATTGGGTGTCTGGCCGTACTACAAAGCTTGCGTTAGTCTAGTACTGTACGGCCAGATGCAGTTGGGCTACTGAAAACCCAATCCACATGTGAACCAGGGCAGGAATTGAACCTGGGTCACAGCGGTGGAAGGCGAGGAAAGTATGCCAACCTGAATTCACTGTGTGAACAAATCTTCTCACCCCATTTTTGTGTTCCACATTGATTCCTTCCATGCCAATTTTCTTCAAGTCCAATGGACAGCACACGCTGAACGTGCTCATCAAGTTTTTGATGGAAATATCTCCAGCCATTGTAGGGGACGAGCCAACTTCCTTTTAAGTCGGGCTACTTCGCAAGCACTCTGGAGTTTTTCATGAGCCTGTGCCTCTGAACCTGTATTTTAAACAAAAAAGATAATCAATAAAAACACTGACAAACAACAAAACACTGCCCAAGACCAATTTCGGAAAGAATGTTGCAACCTAACGCCACTTTTTTCTTCATATAGGCAGCCTATCAAGTATCATCTCAATGAAATGAACATCGCAAAAATGATAAGACATGAATCTGGGACTGAGAATTGAGAAACATTTCCAATTTAGAAAATTGTCTTGACTCTCCATAGACTTTGTACACAACCGCTGAAGTGGCGTCAGGTTGCAACATTTTTTTCCAATATTTCAGCTGTCCGTATTGTTGTTTGTTGTCCTAAAACTTAAGTCATGTAACTAGTAAGTAGTAGGCCTACACGAAGTTGGGGCCTATATTATTAATAATACTAATAAAAGACACGATACTGATAGACAATCGCTATTTTCAAACGGAATCTTTGAAACATTGTCAAAAGAAAACTGCTGCTGTTTTCCCCGATGCGATCCGAGAAGTTCCTTCTCGCGATGGTGGTGAGAACAAGTATTTTTTAATATAAAACATGTAATTAATTGACTTGAAAGAAAATTTAGAAGTAACGTACTACGTAGGCCCTACAGATATGTATTTTGTTTGAAGACTTACCGCGCTACGTTCAAATTTCCCGGTCGCGAATGTCACAATCGGAAATGGGTCAACTCGTACCCGAATCAACGCGTACCCCAAAATTACGCCCCAGTCAAGTCGTACCCAAGTCAAGTCGTACCCCAGTCAACTCGTACCCAAGTCAAGTCGTACCCGAGTTGACTCGTACCCAAGTCAACTCGTACCCACAGCTCAAAATAGTTGCCTATTTACCAATGGTGAAACGAACGAAAAATGAGGGATTTTGCCGGTTTTCCGTGCAGGGTGACATCGTTTTGCCGGGCCTGTGTACATTACTCGTCAGTCAAGCTGGTGGTCGTACCGTGCACGGCCCGGTGACATCGTTTTTGCCGGGCCTGTGCTCGCACTCGCCGGTCAACGTGGTCGTACCGTGCACGGTGACATCGTTTTTGCCGCGCATGGCGCGCTCGCCGAATTTTTTTTCTGTACGTAGGCGGGATGGCTCCAAACTCATGCATAATTCAGTTTTCCTTTGAACCTTTACAAGATCGACACTTAGGTTCTCATTCTTACGAAAGCCCTGTAGTGCCATCAAGTATATATTTCGCCAAGTTCGTTTTTATGAGTTATATATTTCGCCAAGTTCGTTTTTATGAGTTATATATTTCGCCAAGTTCGTTTTTATGAGTTATATATTTCGCCAAGTTCGTTTTTATGAGATACATTTTGTCGAAGTTCGTTTTTATGAGATACATTTTGTTGAAGTTCGTTTTTATGAGTTACATTTTCTCGAAGTTCGTTTTTATGAGATACATTTTGTCGAAGTTCGTTTTTATGAGATATATTTTACGGAGTTACGGAGTTTTATGAAGTTACGGAGCCCCTAAAGGGACATCCAAAATTATTTTCTTATCTCGTGCGCACGACATAATATCTCGTGCGCATGAGATAATTATCACAGGCTCACGACATATATGACGTGCGCACGACATAATATCTCGTGCGCACGACATAATATCTCGTGCGCACGAGATAATTATCACGTGCGCACGACATATATCTCGTGCGCACGAGATAATTATAAGTATTAACGGAGCTTGCTGCACTTGCAGCGGACGAGTTTGTGTGTAACGAAAGCAGCGTGTCTGGTACGCTGCCCCTAAAGGAACATCCAAAATTATGTTATTATCTCGTGCGCACGACATACTATCTCGTGCGCATGACATATATCTCGTGCGCACGACATGCGCAAGCTCCGTTAATGCTTATAATTATCTCGTGCGCACGAGATATATGTCGTGCGCACGAGATATATGTCGTGCGCACGAGATATATGTCGTGCGCACGAGATATATGTCGTGCGCACGTGATAATTATCTCGTGCGCACGAGATATTATGTCGTGCGCACGTGATATATGTCGTGCGCCAGTGATAATTATCTCGTGCGCACGAGATATTATGTCGTGCGCACGAGATAAAAAAATAATTTTGGATGTCCCTTTAGGGGCTCCGTAACTTCATTAAACTCCGTAATTCCGTAAAATATAACTCATAAAAACGAACCTGGCGAAATATATAACTCATAAAAACGAACCTTGGGAAATATATAACTCATAAAAACGAACCTGGCGAAATATATAACTCATAAAAACGAACCTTGCGAAATATATAACTCATAAAAACGAACTTGGCGAAATATATAACTCATAAAAACGAACTTGGCGAAATATATAACTCATAAAAACGAACCTGGCGAAATATATAACTCATAAAAACGAACCTTGCGAAATATATAACTCATAAAAACGAACTTGGCGAAATATATAACTCATAAAAACGAACCTTGCGAAATATATAACTCATAAAAACGAACTTGGCGAAATATATAACTCATAAAAACGAACCTGTCGAAATATATAACTCATAAAAACGAACTTGGCGAAATATATAACTCATAAAAACGAACCTGGCGAAATATATAACTCATAAAAACGAACTTGGCGAAATATATAACTCATAAAAACGAACTTGGCGAAATATATAACTCATAAAAACGAACCTTGCGAAATATATAACTCATAAAAACGAACTTGGCGAAATATATAACTCATAAAAACGAACTTGGCGAAATATATAACTCATAAAAACGAACTTGGCGAAATATATACTTGATGGCACTACAGGGCTTTCGTACATTCTCTCTTTTCCCTTAAAATATAATTATCTCAAAGATAAATTGAGAGAAGAAAAACAGTTGATGAAAATGAGCAGCGACGCGACGACGTGGAATCGAACCCGGAATCTTTGTATAGTCGTGTTCCCTAACGTGGCGCACTTCGAAGTTTACCCAACTTTCCTCGTGTAGTGTTGCCAAACCTCTTTGTTGATAAACCTCAAATTCATGCAGTGAAATACTGGTACTTTTACTTTTTTATTGCTTGCTATTTAACCTCTGTGTACAATTTCGGTTTCATAAAATTTAATCCGAAATGCAAAAACGGTCGCGTCCGGAAATTGGGCACAAATTGGCGGAGTGTTCCTTTACGTGGCGCACTTGAATAAATCTCGGAAAATTCCAAATTAACATTGAAGAATTTCTGTAATCTTGATAATTTCTGATAAATCATTATTATCTTTACTTACAAACCCAGCCAGATGTTTGTCAGAAAATTATTTTCTTAATATTCCTGATTCGGGGCATTTTCAAAGGGTTCACTTTGCACTTGAAAATAAAATCGGAAAATCACGCCAAAATAATTTTTTTCTTTTAACTTTGTAACGGGTAAATAAACTCGCGATTTATGAACGGGAGTGTTTAGAACTTGATGAAATTTCACTTTCTGTGAAATTTCAGTTAAAACTTTTGCTCTAGCTATTCGCTACAGGCGAAAAATCAAAGTGCGCCACGTTAGGGGCCGCGCCACGTTAGGGAACATCAACAATATTCAGAGCTCATCACGCTATCCACTAGGCTAACGTGTTGTACTACTACTAGCTCGGCGATGTTCGTAGTTTTATTAAAATGCTTTAAGGTAACTGGTTGACTAAATAACAACGATGCTCCTGATATCATTGTTCTGTTTCATGAATAAACATACTGGTCCGATCAATCTATTGAATTATTCATGACTTTGGAGCATGCCGCCTACGGTCCGCGAATTTTTTATTTACACAATAGTACAGGGTAACCATTTTCAGGCGACTTGAATCAAGGTTATAGGACTTGAATCAAGGTTATAGGATTGTAGAGCGCGCGCCGCGTATTTAGTGCAGGGCCAGTCGAAAATGTGCGTGTTCGGAAGGGGCGGGGCGATACCATATTGTATTAGACTTGCCCAGTCGACCGCCTACATACAGTGCAGTGATGGTTGCTCAGTTGACTACAAAATGCATGTGCCCGTGCATGCCACTCACGTATGTGTACGTACGAAGACATGGTGTGCAGTGCTATCGCCCTACAATGTGCCCGTCCTTTTTGCACTGTTTGCGTCATATTGAGCACGCGCGCTTTAGCTCGAACATGACGTAAACAATTGAAAAGAACCCCATGATGTGCCCGTCCTTTTTCCATTGTTGCGTCAAATATTAAGCACGCGCGCTTTTGCTCAAACATGACGTAAACAATTGAAAAGGACTGCGCGTGTTCTAGGTATATTATCTGCCACGTTGAGGCTCAAAAAATGCTGCTTTTTTGCAGCCTTTTCGAGAATCCCTCGTCCAAACCACTTCCCACTTGGCACTGCACATTCTGTGGTCCTGAGCAATATACCCGCCGATTTTCAACTTCATACGGTGCCCAGTTCTGGAGATAATCGACGGACAGACAGACAGACAGACAGAGATTCCTGGAATTGTAGTATTGGATGACCAACATAATGATGTGTGTGTGACTCTTTTAAGTTTCTTGTTATATATTTTCTCTATCAGATTTGATGTACTTTTAGTGCCCCCCCCAATTTTCCCAAAGAGATTTGTGCTATGTGTAGGTATATAAAATGATGCCAAAAATGGAGTGAGTACACGTTGAAAAATATTACTTTTACATTACAAAATTCATTTTTTAATAGCTGCAATTTTCTTTAAAAAAAGTCTTGAATACTAAATTCGTAAAAAGAAAACCATGCATGCCCTTAAATTATAACACGTTCGGCCGAACAAAAAAAAAAGACGTAGCAGTTCGCACAATCTCAGTGATCCAGGGTCTTTGAAAAAAGAAATAACATCATTGCTACAACCTAAATTTTAAAATAACACATCTGATGATCTCAGGGATGAAAAGTGAAATTTACCGTATCAGCGGGGGCTCCTTCGACTCGCGAGTACCACGTCTGTCGTTTTGAAAATATGCTCTCCGCGCGATCATACCCGTCGCGATGTCCCTTGCCGATGAACGGGACATTTTCCCTTTTCATCCAGATTGTGAGTAACTTTAAATACGTACTACCGCCTTTAACTAAACCTTGAACTTTATTTGTATTGCTGGCGGCTTAACTACTATTTCTTTCACCGTTTTTTGGGTAAAATCTGAAGTTTTTGTTAACCATCCATCCGCGCGCCTTTTGGGGGAGTACGAATCAACTTCGTCCCCATGGTGTCAGTACGCGCCCATCGCTGACCTGGGTACGAGTTGACTCAGGCACGAGTTATCTTGGATACGAGTTAACTCGGCTACGAGTTAACTTGGGTACGAGTTGACTTGGGCACGAATTGATACGAGTACGAGTTGACTTGGGTACGAGTTATCTCGGGCGCGAGTTGACCCAACTTCTCATAATCGTATCACGTGATGCAAATTGACCAATAGAGTACGTCTAAGGCAAAGTTCGCGCAAGACCATTAGTCGACTAGTGATTGATTTGTGACGTACCTTACGCCTGCGCACTGATAGCAACGTGCGAACGTCTCTAGTCGAAAGCGGGTCAAAATGTCATCGCAAAACTTCTGGATCCTGGCTCTCTGCTGTACGTTATGAACGCGCACGGCTATGGTTACCAACGAAGCAACCAACCCCAGTAGGCTGGTTCCAAATAGTCGACTAGAGTAGTCAACCATCGTCGACTAGGCAGAGTTCGGGCAAGCGTTAGTCGACCAATGGTTAACTATAGTCCTTGCGCGAACTTGCCCTAAATTGTAGGTGAGGCAGCGTCCGTGGCTAAAAATAAACATGACGACATTGACGGCCCTTTTTCAAAGCTCGGTTTCGTTCCGAGTTCGCATATTTGTTTGGCATGCCCATGGGGCTTTTTATAGCTCCATGGTATGCCAAAAAATAGTATTATCAAAAGTTGGTCGTTTCTTCTCAATTTCTTTGTATTTGTTAACAATTTTTTTGGGGGGGGGGGGTAATTTAATTTATTGATGGTAGTTCAACTTTCAGCAACTGTGAAATAAAACGTGTTCAAATGCTGCGCTATGTTTTTGCTTTTTCCTATTTTTGTGTGATTAACTTCATGAAAAACAAAACAAAAGGGCAAACTTATTTTTAGAAACATCATTTATTAACGGCCACAGTTGCCGCTTAATAAATATATACAAATGTTGACGGTTTATTTTCAGTTGTTCTACAGATTCTACAAATAACACTCCATACAAACATGCAATTGTCTCTTATAAATAACTGCTTCATTAACTTGGTTATGTTAATGAATTTTGCACTTTAAATGTAAAACTTTTTTGGGAAGTGACTTGAGTACATGTATTGAAGTTTTCAAGACCATAAAGTCCACAAAGTTAAGAATTTTTGAACATTTTAATACAGTTATTGTAATAATCAATACATCAATAACATGTTAATGCTTCAAGAAGAACAGCTTGTATTTTAATAATCATACCTCATGAATATTTATGAGCCACAAAACTATCTGATTGGTCACAAAGTCTTCAGCGGTGTGGCTGATTTTAATTACCTCCATTAATTTCTCAATGCACCTCATGTATTTTGTACTTTTTGGTATTAAACTTAACCAGTTCGCGCCGGATGACATGTATACCCGCAAAGGTTTTGCGGTATTCGGAACGGATGACGGATAAACATGCCAGAAATAGCCGTCAGCGACCCACTTGCAGCGAGTGAGGCTGGAAATATGAGTGTGCTGCCCGAGGGTGATGGCTTCAATCCGCCTGGCACGAGGTCAAGTGAAAAGTAATCCTGCACCTTGTTCCGTTCTTGTCAAAATAATCCCGGCGTCAACTGGTTAAGGAAACACGGACATTTTACAACATCTTGTAAACAGCCGCTCCGGCGGATTAAAATTTTCCTCCATATTTCAAACATCTTATTTCGTCTTACTTCACACACATAACTCTTGCCTCTGACATACAACTGAACTTTTTCAACTTTTTTTCTTTCTGTGAACATAAAAATAAATAAAAACCTAAAAATGAAATAGTGGTCTTCACCACTGATACTAGTAAAGTACAAAAGCTCTTTGCTTTATCAAAGGGGGTGAAATTGGGTTCTGTGCATACTTTTCTGCAAGATTTCAATTAATTTTTTTAACAACTTCAGTCTTTTGTACATTTCTTAAATAAGTTCTGTAACTTTTCTCTCAGACTCTGTTACACAAAAACTAATCTTCACAGATCATCAGACAGAGTTCTTGGGTCGATTTTCACAAACACCGTCACTAAGATCATCAAAATCAAAGTAATCATCCACAGTCTCGAAATAATGTCTTAATTTTTTTCATCCTTTTTTCTTTGCATATACCATCTGGACAAAAGTCGATTGCAGGTTTTTCGATCGTTGAAAAAAAAAAAATCCTGTCACAAATCATCTGAATCATCTGAGTCGTCGTCCGAATCATAGTTGTCATAACCTTCGTCATAATCGTCATCGGTATCATCGTCGTCTTCGCTGTCGTCAAGTTTCCTCCGTTTCCGTTTCTTGACTTCTTTCATCTTTCTTTTTGCGATGACATCCTCTCTTAGTTTGGTTGCGTGGGGCTCCACTAGCGGGTATATGTGCTGTATAGCTAGGGAGATGTTTTCAACACACGGTGCTAAAAAAAAAAAAAAATGAAAGAACTTTTAATGAAAACAAATTCAAAAAAGGAGGTCCTCAAATAAGTAAACTGGAAATCTCTAACTAGAGATTACAGTCTGTGCTGTCAAAAGCCACAAGTCAATTGAAAGTCTCAAGTCAAGTCACATGCTATAGATCTCGTTCAAATGACATAATGTCCTAAGGACCATCCATGTGCATCGGAATTTTGAGCGTCAACTTGCATAACGCGCATCGGCTGCGTCGTGTTTGGAACACATTTCGAGCAACTAGCGAGTGTTTGGAACATTTTTAACACTGCACAATGTGTGCTTGATTGTGTACAATACGCAGTTTCAGTTCTCCTACAGAGATGGCCGTCATTGAGCGAGCCCTATTTGAATGAACTTGACAAAGATAATGTTTTGTACTTGTTCGTCCCCTGTTACTTATGACTACACTTGTGATGACTTGTGATGACTTGTGATGACTTGTGATTGACTTGTGATGACTTGTGATGACTTGTGATGATTTGTGATTGACTTGTGATTGACTTGTATTTGACTTGTGATTGACTTATGATTGACATGTGATTGACTTGTGATTGACTTGTGATTGACTTTTGATGGACTTGTGATTGACTTGTGATTGACTTGTGATTGGTAGAGACAGAAATACTGGTATAAAGTTGCTGGGCCGTACCTGTGACCGTGATGCTACCTGTCGAGAAGATTTTCAACGTTGCTCGTGGGGATTTCAGTCTGTATGTGACAGCTGGATGAAGCTCAGGCTCATAGCTGTCAGGGGAGATACAAAAAAGATGAACTATTACTTGGAAGTTTTCAGAATCGACCAAAAGGCTTCTTTTTTGGGGTGGGGGGGGGGGGGGGGGGGGGGTGTCGTGCACAGACAGATCCCTAGGAGTATACTGGTTCCTAGGCCCTACATTAGCAATGCTGACAGGGAGGCAGGAACTAGTCTACCATGGAAGAACTACACGATAGTCGCAATGTAAAAATTCAATTATGTGAAGTAATTATTCCGTAAAATTGAACATGGGCAGAATTAGGGAGGAATTGTTCTTGTGATGTCTCATTCATAAGTGAAGTATTATTGTGTTGGTAGAAAAACAGCAAATTAAAAACCAGGGAAGGGAAGGGGAGGGAACTCAAAAATAGCAGACAGTGCGTCTTTAAGAGTCACAGACATTTGATAGATGTACCTGGCGACACGCGGGTGCTCCATGGTAAATTTTGCTATCTTGATGCCAAAGGGCATAGCGCAGGTCCCAAGAACATTGACTACTTGAAAATTGTTGAAGCGGACACGGAAACCTAGCTTTTGAATCGCTCTAGCACACCGTCGGGCCGTTTTCTTTGCATTGTCTTCGCTGAAAAAAACAAAACCAGACAAATTAGGTGTACATTTACTTGAATTTATTGAAGTCAAATTAGAAATGGAAAACGGTCACAGTGATCTCCTAGTAAGCATCCTTTGTGATGTTGTCAATCACAACTGAGAATATTTCTATTCCCCTAGATAGGATGCCAGTGCATCGCAGGTTACTCCCTAGTTAATGCTGGTACCCATTTATACTCCTAGGTGGAGAGAGGCAAGTTGGGGTGAAGTGGCTTGCCCAAGGACACACATATAGCCAGCGGCAGGATTCGAACCCCTGACCCTCTGATCATGAGTTATGAACCCTAACCACTTGGTCACACTCCCCATCAGATCAGGGTACAAAGAGTACATGATTTTGTTGGTTTCAGTTAGTTTCAATTTTTACCTATTATTTCCGGTAATGGACACCCTTCCTGACGACCATATTGTGCATGTTGCGTTTGGATTGCGAAACCTCATGTTAACTTTCTGTAAAGAGATGGAAAAACGGGATAAAACAATGTGATTTCGTTTGACTCTGTTACAACCAACATTTAATTCTACAACTCATCTCAGAGCAATAATTCACTCATTCAAATAATGACCGGTTGTGGTACAACTGCTAAAACAGATGTAAACCAGTCAGTTGACACTGACAAGCTCCGTTGTCCAAGACCGAGACTGAGACCCAAACAAGCCCCTGAAACCGAGACATGAAGGTCTGCGACGGAGATCTGAAGGTCCAAGACCGAGACCTAACCATAACCTTCTCAAATCCTCCAAAATCCTCTTTGCAAAAGGGAGAATTTTGCAGGATTGAGGTTATATGGCAAAATTGTGTGGCTGATTTTGGAGGATGCACTGCGTCATCGTCTTGGGCCGGACCTTGTGTTGTTTATGCTCAGGCCAAAAAAAAGAATAGTTCTGCTTCCGGTTACCCGACCGACCCTATTTTTAGGCTGCGACCCTAAAAATTTTATCGGCAATTCCAAAAAAAAAAAAAAAAAAAAGATTGAATAAATAAAAATAAAAACCTTATGTCTTGTCTGTCTTCACAAAATACCTCTCAACAACCCTTTTGCATCAAAAAATGCTTGTATTTATTGTTTTCTTACTTACATTCGCTATTTTTTTCAAAAGAAACCTCCGTTATTTTTACAAATTCGCTGCGCGATTCAACTACTTCGCAATTCGATGTCTATAATCACGTGCGTAATATTAAGCGCAATGCGGCGACGACTGGTTCCCGCCGCGCCGCGCAGGAGCCAATTATGAAAATGCGGTAACTAGTCTGTGCACGGCTATGCGATGTTAGCGCTAGCATGGCTATGCAGGCGCAGGCACGTGCTCTGTCAACTGGTCGGAATCGACATCGTAAAAATGCTGAGAAAGACATCGTAAAAATGCCAAGAAAACACCGATGGAGAAAGAACATTTTTGCAAGTTAATTCACAGATTTTATCTAGCTTGTCTGTGTATGTATTTTCCGTGTTCAAGAGTTCATTTTGAGATCGCACTACTCGTATTTGGAGTGATACAATGCAGCGTGTTTCCTGAAATGTTCGACCCGTTGGCCGCGGGCCACACATGTACAAATGTACATGTACAGTGCATCACACACTTCGGAGTTTTGGCCAGCTCCCGTTCTTGACTAGCGTTGTGCCTATGGTGCGAACGACCTGAATTTCCCACAATTTTTTTAACGAATTATCGAACTTAAATATATTGACAATAATTAAGGTAGGTTTTATTCACTTTTTGTGGCCATTTTGTGTATAGCTTTCGTAGTGCAATAGAAATAGTTCAGGCTAAAACTTCGCATATAATTGAATACCCCATTCAATCTGCATAAAAAAAATTGGCAAAAAATTTTTTTTTTCGACCGACCGACCCTATTTTTGAAAGACATGTAATCGGAAGCAGAACTATTTTTTTTTTGGCCTCAGCCGGGCATAAACTTCGGACTAGATTATACTTGATATCCTCCGTACTGCTCCAGGATGTTACTGGCTCTGCCTCAACATATCGACAGTGACCACATTCAAGGACCACATTCAAGAAACAACGGATGATTTTGGAGGATTGAGGCTGTATGGAGGCAGTTGCAGGATTTTGTAGGATTGAGGTTGCATCCTAGCAAAAATGCCTAGGGAGTTAGGGTTAAGATCCAATATCATTATTATCTATTTATCTTCTGGTAATGAAACCAATGATTCCTCAAAAGCGCCCTAGGCACTGTAGCTCGCAAGCCTGAAGAAACCTGTAGAGAGGAGACAATGAGAAGCAATTACAGTTTTAGAGGTTGGAGGAAAACCCAGAAGAATATTCTGGGGAAAACCCACGGAATCGGGTAGGGACTGAAAGCCCAATCCACATATTGGCCCAGGCGGGATTGGAACCCGGGTCACAGCAGTGGAAGGCGAGGAAAGTACCGCTATGTCAACCTCACTCCACTGTGAAAAACAATCTTCTTACCCCGTACTCCTTTCTGTATTCCACATTGATTCCTTCCATGCCAATCTTCTTCAAGTTCAAATGACAGCGCACGCTGAACGTGCACACAACGTTATTGATGAAAATATCAATGCTGGGCGTGGCGTCCGTTCCATTCTCCTCCTCGTCGTGATGAGAAGTGGGTTCCACGAAATCTTGGTTCACAAAAGTGTTCTTAGTGTAGGGAGTGTGTTCGACGCCGTTCCCGTCTGCTAAATCTGTGGAGTTGGAACTTTCCAAGAGGAGCAAAGCGGCGTCTGCTTCAGCTCCAGCCATCGTTGGCAACGAGCCAACTTCCTTTTAAGTCGAGCTATTTTGCAAGCACTCTGGAGTTTTTCATGAGCCCGTGCCTCTGAACCTGTATTGTAGCTGAAGATAATCAATAAATTCTGATAACGAAATAACTTCCAACATTTAACAAACGTGTTATTACTACATGTACTAAACTTGTTGTTACAAACTTTAGTTTAACATGTTTAAAGTTTTGCATTCAGTTTGATAAACACAGTGGCTATCGTAACGGCAGCCATAACGCAATTTCCAACAGCTTTCAGGTAACGCTTGCAAGTAATGCAACGCGCGCGCATTGTCCAACGCAAATTGAATGCGAGTGCTTCGAAATAGATCCTTGTCATTTTAGGTGGACTGACGATACATAACGAGAGAGTGTAAACTGCTTGAATGCTAATCTTTACTGGACTCAAAAAACAAGAAAATGATTAGATGTTGAGAGTCAAATTTTTTGGAATGAGCAGACTGCCATGATAAGGGCTCAGACAATATCACGTGCGCATGGACACTGCCATGACAGTGCAGTGCCAGTCATCGGCCAGTGCAGTGTCACATTGGCATGTTTACACTTGTAAATCTGTATCTTCATACGAATTACATCCTTCAATGGAACACAAACAGTAGATAAGAATATAAGCTCTGCCTACACTGAAAATGTTGGTCGTTAAACATTGCATTTGGCTGTATTGATGATGTTAATAAATGAGAAATTGGAGACACGCACCTCTTTTGCCGACAACGAATTTTGTTGTGCGCTGAAACCTATCCAAATCCTGACGTAGGTGGCGTTTTTCGCAGACGAAATTATTTGGGTTTCTTTCTAATGGGTTTCACATGAAACAAACATTGTGATTAGTCCTTGCTGTATTTTTACAAGGTAATAATTTTTCAATTCGTTATTCCTATAATCAATACATAGCTAAATTCTCCAAATAATATTGCTTTTATTTCATATGTTGAACTTTTGATTGTATTTTTTACAAGAAAAGTAATGTTAATAAGTGAATAATTGATTTCAATCTCTTTTTAGCTTATCTTTTACTTCAACCAATAGGAAAAGGGGTACGTAAAAGCAAATTAGAGAAGCCGCGCCGTGCCCCGGGAAATTTAAAGCCACTCACTAAGAAGATACAGTGTCGACTAGACAAGAATCCCTCACAAATATAACTCCAAACAGCTACACAACCACGTTTTCTATTAATTTCAGTTAGAATTTTCAAGGTAAGCATTGGGCACTTAAAATACAAAGAATATCTACGGGAAATGGCTCTACTTTTGTCGATTATTTTGGCACTGAAAAATGTCCAAAATATCATGTTCGTTTTTGTTGCAAAATGCAAAAAATTATTGAATGACGAAATGAAATGCAATATGATTTACTTTAATTCAGTTTCAGATAACTTAGATATGTATTTGGTTTTAGATTGTTCATTTTAATAAGCAAATCAGCAATATTAAATTATAAAAATATATTGGGCGCTAAGTAAGACCTAAAATTGTATGAATATGAATTCAGAAATAGGCCTACCTCAGACAGTTTAGCCATTCCTATTGGTCGAGAGCAGAAGTAGTGAATGATGAATAGGCCCTAGAGTCTAGACTAGTCGTGCTAGTTTTCTTTACTTTTAATTGTTTAAATAAATGTTTGTAATCAAATAGTTCTTTTTATTTATTTTGAAGTAAATTCCATTTTCCTTTTTGAAATCAGTAGCCTTTGGAGGATTTTTTTTAAAGGGGAAATAAAGTCTGATAACCATTTGGTTGAATGATAGTCTGATTCCAGCAGGCAAAAAAATCCTAACGTTGAATAGGCCTACTATAAGGTCAGGGAACAAGACGGTTCCGAAACGATAGCACGCAGTTGAAAATCCCGTTACGGCTGCCGTAACGATAGCCACTGCATTTATTATTTCATAACCAGAATTTTTTTAGACATTTTTGCCACATAAGACATGTGTAAATTGTATGGCATTCCTGTATTTGGCATGTCTGGGCCACATTGTTATTGTCAACATCCCTTATTTTGACCAAACCAAATGTTTTTGGTTTCGTTTTACCCAGGTAACTTGACGTCACAATCTACAGTCTTTTGTTTCTCACAGCCATGTCTGAAATCAGTGCACGGATCAGTATGGATGGGTGCATGAGTACAATGAACGGAGGCAACAAGATGTTCACTCCTATGCCTGGTGGACGAACCAGGAAAACCATCAAAGCAAAATCCATCCGGAAAAGTCATCAGGTAAAACAACAAGTATACACATAAAGTTGGAGGTTTAACACACCCCCCTCCTTGGGCCACGGATCGGAAAAACACATGACTTTTTTCAAAGTTTTATTGTGATAATTTCACCCATTCAAAATACAGTATAACACTGAATATGATTTTAAAGAAATTGTAAAAGGAAAATTATAGTATAAAATCACAAGCGGTAGGCCTAATAAACCTTATCTCCCTTAGGATTTCAGGAACTAAATTCAAATCTTCTTTATTCGTTCAAATTCAAATTCTTCCAAAACCTCAAAATATCACCTTGTGATTCCTCACAGACAACTCTTGGCTCGTCACCAGTACTCTGCAAAGGACAACGGAAGACACTACAAGTCATCCAACCAGCCGTCTGCAGCAAGACCAAACTCACAGAAACCACCAACAGGGTAAATATATTTTTTTAAATGGCCAGATTTAGAATGATACTATGTTGATTAGCTTTTGTATTTCTTGTGAATAGTGCCATTCAAAAGGCAACTTTAAAAAAAAATTAGCACCTTGTCTCTTATTGAACCAGTAGCAAGTATGCAAGTTTGTTGAAGCTTACATGTACTACAGATCCATGGACCTTTTAAAACTGTTAAACCAAATGAAATAGGATTTTATACTTGAGGATATTTGTTTTGTTTTTTAATTCCGTTATACAGCCAAAAGCAGCAAAGCGAAAGCACAACTCAGATGCAGTCGAAAAACCAAGTAAAATGTCCAAATGTGAGCGGTTTCCAATCTACGAAGATCCAAAATCGAGTTCAGAGAGCAACACAGACATTGAGGTAAGTCCTGGTGGAATTCCTTTTGACAAACTGATTGATTTGTTGGCAGATTATCATTGTTTGTACGATGTTCGGTCACCCGATTTCAAAAATCAGCCAGTTTGTCCTCTAAAATATAGTTGCTGACAACATTGCTGACACTTTCATTGATGGCCGCCATATTGAAGTCCCGTGAACAGAGTATGTGCTTTCAATGGACTGATCCAGTAAGCACCGCCCCATGGTGTTCTGACCAATCACAGCCGTGATTTATGTCCGACGTGCGTGCACAAATGTCCGACATGCGTGCACGCGCGTATGATGCGCGCAGAAGGAAAATGCAGCGTAGCATTGGAGAGGAGCACATGTTTATTTGCTCACGTGCGTACTGGGCGGAGCTTACTGGATCGGTCCATTGCTAGTTAATATTTTTGGCTCAACACATAGCTCAGGTTGCCCGCACAAGGCGAGTTTTTTCCCTCGCGAAGCGAAAAAATTCAAACAGCTCAGAAATTTGCCTCACAGCCTCGCGGGGCAGAAAACGCAGCAAAAGTTGACCGCACACTGATATTTTCCGAGCTACATGTTCAGCAAACGGCCACAAATGACTTTTTGCTCAGCAGATAGCCAGAAAGCTCTTGTGTGCAACAGGCTTAACAATTCATATTCTGAGCCAGTCTTATCAGTCCTAACATTTAAATATTCTTTATACAATCACACATGTTGATTTCAGCTAGTTTTTCCTAATTGTCCAACTTTATTCTCAGAAATCCAAGACAGCAGAAGAGAAAGCCTGGGAGCTGATGGTGCAGGAACCCGCCCCAGAGAGTTACTGGAAAGACCTAGCTGAAGAGAGGAGAGTAGCTCTGGACGAGACACTCAAAGAGAATGAACAGGTCAGGACAAAGTGGAATTCACCCCAACCCTCGTAACAGCAGCTTCAAAAATTTCACACTTGTATAAAGTAAAAATTTCTAATCCTTTTTATAGACAGGGTACAAGCTTTAAAGGGAATATACATCATTTGCTTTTGCTGTAATTTTCAGAAATGGATGGAATTGGGGGGTTGGAAATATATAGCAAATATAGTTACACTAACTTTTTTGAGGTTTTGGGTTCGAAAATGCTATAAAAACCAAGAAAAACAATCATTTTGCTGTAGTCTGGTTCCCTGACTCTATATAAGAAGAAACAGAGCAGTTTACATACATTGGGGAATTGTAAGGTCAGGGAACCAGTCTAGCTGGCTTGTACCCGTTCATAGGTGTGTTATCGATTGCAAACAAGTGCGATGGTCAATTGGGGCCAGTATTTGAAAAAAAACCCAGTTTTTTCCAACGCTGGTCGGCCGACCAGCGTTGGAAATTGATACAAAAATACCACTTTTCTTGAAAATGACAGTATACCAGGTGCCATGATTTTACAGGATGCTTTACTCTGTCATTTACTAACAGTCCAGCAAGGTACTTCAAAATGATTTGGTAATTTTATTTTTGGATGTTTGCAAATGTTGTATTTTCCCTTTAACATGTTTAACACTAACCTTCCTCAATCCTCCGATATTCTCCAGGCAGTATTGGAGGATTGTTGAGGATTGAGGCTGAATGGATTTGAGGCTAAAATGATTTTGGAGGATGCACTGTGTCGAGTTTGTAGGCTGTGCCCTGATTGTTTATGTTCTGCCATGCATAATGGAGCCCTTCGTTATGCTCGATATCATCCGCACTGCTTTTGAATGTCATCAGCACTGCCTCAACCATTGGCAGTGATTGTTGGCTGATTTTGGAGGATTGAGGCTGAATCCCGTTTTTACATGGTGGCAATTGGAGGATTTTGCAGGATTGAGGATGGTTCCTAGCCAAAAGATCCTAGGGGCTTAAGAGTCAATAATATCTGATTGATATACAAACTGTGTTTTGTCATTGTTCTTTATTGTTTTTTGTTTATCATCAGCTTCACGGTGTTATTGCTGAACTTAAAACAGAAAACGGAAGACTGAAAGAGATGGCTGATCAGGCTGAATATCTTGCCTCTGTCCTTCAGGTAAGTTCTGCACCTTCTCCCTATCCCAGCTGAAATCGGCCAAAATTTTCTTTCAGAAAACACTCGATAATCCCAATGGATTAATAAGGGAATAACAGTGTGAGGAGCCGGTCTTCACTGCGTGATAATGACCGGGTGTGGGGGTGACCGCTGTTAATGGACCGAGACGAAGCTGCACTACACTTCTGTAAGATGTCGTTTCAAAACTTCCTTACGCGCGCACGCACGCATCCCTAGCAACTGTGTTGCGTACGCGCGCGTCAGTCTCACGCGATGGGGGTTGAGCGCATGTGCAGTGCTCTATTGTTACAAGCTACCGCAGGACTGTTACTATATTTTGACCAATCATTGGCTTGCATGGGGCTGAACGGGGCTTGATCAATGCTGGTTCAGGGGCCATTTATTCGCTTGATCTTTGAAGCCGGTCCATTATCACCGTTAATGCCCGGCCACGTGATCGAGTCTCGACCAATCAGAAACCATCAACTCTCCAAGGTATTTATTAATAAGAAATCACTGGGTTTTTTTTCTGTGTCTTTAAAAAGAATGTCATCGATGGCAAAGAAATTGATCAGGACTCTGATGCCAGCGAATCAGAGCATGAAAGCTGCACACCGAGTGACAAACACGGTGACGGAGAGAGTGAGAGACACCCTGAGGAAGTGAGTGAAGCAAACAGTGACATCACAGATGCATCGAGTAGAGAAACTGAAGCAGAGGGTAACAGTGAGAACTAAAAACCGAGTTGGCGTGATGTGTATGCAGGTAAATTCTAATGTGATATTTATTGAAGTCTTTGCCATTTCGTATTCAACTCCGCTCTGGTGCGAGTAATGCTGTTCTTGATAAACTACTCATACAAGATTCGCATCCATGTTTAGCATATCAATATGAATGTGTGTTTCATTAATGAACAATATGGTTAGGTGTTGTCCAGTTGTTGCATGTGATGTTCGCAGCTGAGTGATGCAAAAGGATCCATAACTTGTTCGAGAATACTCTTTGCTTGATTTTTTGTTTATAGGGCTATCCGTTGTTAGAGGGTTTATTCGAACCAGTACATGTAACAAATCAGTTTAAGTCCTAGTAACAGTGATTATAACATTGTCATTTCTTTCACAAATTTTTAATTTCAGACATAAAAGAAAGTTTTAGTGTTATTCCTGCCTTCCTAATTAGCTTATCCGATCTCCCCAACAATTGAAGAGTATAAATACTACCCTAAGAGAAGTAAACAAAAAATTGTTGACAGAAATTGCAGACTGCTTTAAAAAGTGACTAAAGCATGCGAAATGGGATCAGATCATCAGAAGTGGTTAGCGAGGACCAAATGAGAATACATCATAACCTACACAAAGTAAATGAATTTAACAGTGCTTTTTTACCTTATCTTGAGTCTGTCTGTCTTTGTTTAATTGCCACAAAGTCACGATGGGATTTTTTTTTAGTTGCATGAATATATCTGATTCTGTTGATATATGAAGTACTCCACAATCCACTATCAAAGTCAAACATTTCTCCGAAAACCCTTACTTTTTTGTTGAACATCGTGCAATTCTGTGAGAATAATTTGCCATTATTGCTGTTTTTACTTGACTGTCTTGGATGAATGGTCGATCCGCTTCTTACTTCTTACAAGAAGATTTCTATAGTTTGAACATTTTGCCAAGAGATGAATATCTGGTTTCTGTTTTTACATTTTTTATCTTCAGTGTACTTTTACATGTGGTCGCAAAAGAGGAAATTCACACAAACACCAGTACTGGGAACACAAAAACTTGAAAATGAAGTGTTTTTTGAGTTTATGTTTACTCTGTAAGATATGTATTGTTCAGATGTTTGTATTTCATTTTATTTTTGTCCGTGTAACTATGTAAATGTGTAAAGTATTAAAGTCGTTAAGTTTTGTCCAAGCAGGATTGTTTTTGTGTGCAGAGTTTAGTCATTATTGTCTGTTGTTGTTTTCTTTTGTTTTGTTTCTCATTTATTATTTATCTGGTCGAAGTAAGGGAATTATACTAAATTTGGGTGTGAGGTTTCTATGTGAGAATGTGTTGTGGGACTATCTGCATATTTGTCTTCAAAATCACGATTAACCATCAGAATTTGCCACCCTTTGCGGCTTTGAAAATGATTCTGCTTAAGAACAAGACAAAAGCAAGCCTCGTGAAGTCGATCCATAGCACGAAAAATTCCATTCAGTTGATCCAGAATGGTTAGTCACTGGAAGTCTGTTCATGCATCTGGTCTACACAATGGGCCGGATTTAGTCCATTCATTGGCATTATGGGTAACCCTATACGATAGCACTGCCCAGCTCACACGTGAGTCAGTGAGTTCGGAACAAGGAGGACAATAGTACCCCTGGGCGACTCGTGCTTTTTCCTGTACTCGAGTACTTGTCCTGGCGCGAGTAGAAGTGTAATCGCGAGTAGAGTTTGTTAACTAAGAAAAAAGTAAACATTTTGGCGTTTCTGCGCCAAACTTGTCTTGTCTGGATCTTTCGTGTGGCTCCGGAGTTCTGGCTCCAGAGTTCTCTGGATCTTTCGTGTGGCTCGCAAATGAAAGCTAGTTTGTATTATTTAGTTTAACAAACTTTTAGGAAACCTGAACCAGTTGACTGCAGCTAGACCAAAACTTACTGTACGTAAATCAGAAACCAAACAGATGATGACCAGTCATGAAGTTCTCCGTCACAAGTTCTTTGTTTTCATTGTTTGTGAACTCCACAACCTATTGAAATACTGTACCAAAACTGCGGTGCCGGTGTCAAGCCGGTTCCGATGGCCTATGAAAATCGGACTCCTTTACTGGTTAAACCCTCTCACAAGATCGGTCACTCTCCTAATTATAATACGCATGCGCGATGCTACCAATGAGTCCGTATTTCATACAGTCCTGAATTCACGCAACACCAGCTCCAACAGAATTTCCACCGAGGCTAAACTGCCGCCTAAACTTCATCAAAAAAAAAGATAAAAAGATACTCAATCATGTTCCCTCAGCCACACAAAGAAATACATGTATTACTTTTGTCGGTTGGCTGTCAATCAAAGTCCAAAGAGTTGGGATTTATTCGAATTTGGCTTTGGATTTTATTCCTATCCTGGCGAGATTTATTTCTTCGATTAAAAAAGTCATTCCAAAGGTATCTCCAATGTATACTGATATTTAATCTGGGTTTTACTTTAAAGATACATGTTACGTCTATCCGTTACTCATTTGAAAACAAAGTACGGATGCACGACAGGTTGGATCTCTGGGACCAGCAGAAATAAAATTGGCCCAACCTCTTCCCTGGATGTTGAGGAAATAGGCCGGTGGCCAAGTGACCCACTCTCGGTATGACGGACTTCCTATTGGCGGTTTCGTCATGCCAAGTCACGTACACTATTGGTCATGCTTTTACGCATGCCTGGAAATTAAAACCGGTCATCACGTGAAACTAAACTCTTTCGTCAGACAACAAACGCTATAAAATGATTGAAGATGTCGAGAAATGATCATTAAACTAATTTGATGTGGGCGTCGTTCAGTACTTTCACTTGTGTTTTGAAAAGTGATTTTCAAGATTAACACAATTTCTTCAGCTGTCTTACGATCTTCCAAATTTGTGCGCTGTAAAACTTGTCGGACCGAGAGGTCGTATGCTGAAAGGATGGAACTTGGCGACTATCAATTTCTATCGACTGTGATCGTCTTCCTTTATCTGTTGAATGGAGTAACTTCAAACAGAGGTAAGTTATAGTTTCATTTTTATTTTGGGTGTAAAGAAATTTCTGAAAATTAGTCAGGATAGTTCAACAACTTGTAAATTGATTGGTAAAGTGTACATGAGTTGTATCCATGTTAGGCTTAAGTTAAAGTTGAACCTTGAAATTTGCGAAAACAGCCTTTACCCTCAAATATACACATTTTTTTTGGGGGGGGGTGTGTTATTCCAAACTGGGATGAGTTTTCTTTTTGATTTCTTGCGCCTCTGTTGGCATTTGCATAAAATAGTACGTTTTTGTTCATGAGAAATACAACTTTTTCCGACGCATGGTGGAAGTATAATGTTGAGCTTTCAAGAATCAAAAAGAGATTATTTACTGACTAATTGTGAATACAAATTACAAAACCCTTTGTCCGATTGGACTAAAACTTAAAATTATCATGGTTGTCTCTACATAAACATAAAGAATACATTTCGAGAACATTTTGTCACTGAATGACCTAAATCAGAATCCAGTCCTGGTTGTAAAAATGTTTGAAAAACCGGCTCATTTGGGTTTCAACGCCAAATAAATCTCTTTGTACATTGTACAACTGGTGCATTTTTGCCAAGTATTTTTGTCGCTAATTGTTTGTGTGAATGTAGACTACAGGGTGAGTAAAAAAAAACAAAAAGGAAAACCTAAATGTCAGGACCATTTTTTTTCAAAAGAAGTTCTGCTTGTAGCACTTTCAAAATCTAGGATACGAAAGTCCAATTAATAAGCTTTCTTTTAGTTGGAGAATTATTCAAATCACTCATACTTTGCAAGTTATGACATGTTGAACACAAACACCGTTTGAAAGTTCTGTCTACGGATACACAAAACAATCCCACACGTTTTCATTTTGTTAAAGTACCTTTTTTGTGTGATCCGTGGACAGAACTTTAAAACGGTGTTTGTGTTTAACATTCCTTGAAAATACATAAGCGATTTGAATGATTCTTCTACTAAAAGAAATTAATCGGGCTTTCACATGCTAGGTTTTGAAAGTGCTATACATGCAGAACTTCTTTAAAACATATGGGTTTCCTTTTATTTTAACTCACCATGTATGCTGTTAAATCTCACTTTATGCCAATTTGAAACTAGGATTAGCCGATACGCCAATATGAATTGGCTAAACCCAGCTGACTATTCTGAATAAATTGATCTTTAATAGAATCTCGTGTGCTCTGTCCCAATTTTACTGGTCTTGGCTTGTCTTGTTAAGACAATGGGAGTGTTCTGAGTTTCGTTATTGCTTGCATTGAACCATCATTTCAAAACTGTGATGACACTTTCTTGTCCAAACTTTTCCCGGTTGAACACAATGACACGAGTCAAGGTCACACAAGCGGAAAAACATGTGGATATAGGCCTAATAAATTGAGTTATGACATCTTTCTGTACACTGCCACAGTACGGAAGGAAACGATGCTCAATCCACAAGTACAGTTTTCAGGGCTGGACTTGTGCAGGGTCATTGCAACTTTATAAAAAAAAATTCTGTGAACTTTACCAAGTGGTGCACTTGTCAAATGTTAACTTTTTACAACGGAAAAAAAAATGCACATTCACCCTCGGGGTTTTTTTTTTGGGGGGGGGGGGGAGGAGGAGGAGGAGGAGGGGGGGGGGGACAAGGCAAGCCTAGTGAAGCTGATCCCAGAGTCCAAAATTCTATTAAATTGATTCAGAACGGCTAGTTTAATATCAGGCAATGTGTTGCCATGGTATGTTAAATCAATAATTGTTTGATTGAAATATGAATTGATATTACATGTACTTTTAAAAGGGTGTGGTTTCAGATTAGGCCTATATGTATTATTATGCTGTGCTTATTATAAACGCACTTTTTAAAAAATCTTTCGGATTTTCTCCTTTCAACTAATTTTTTTTTTTACTTTTTAATTGTCTAGAGTTGCTATCATGCAGTTTTGAGACATCTTGTGGGATGGACCACACCACGAATTCCCAGTTCTATTGGCGGCGCGTCAGCGGGGCTACTCCCAATGCGTACACGGGCCCCTCAAACGATCACACTTTCGGAAACGGAAATGGTAAGTAAACACACAATAATCTGAAGTTGTATACTTATAAATACATTATACAAAGTATTATGGCTGACATTTATTCTCTGTTTTTCTTGGCTGGAGTTTTCTGTGATTTTTGTACGAAATATAACTATCCATTAAAAAAAAATAAGAATAGGTGGACAATGTGATATAGGTGCCATAATCTAGAACATATACATGGTTGTTGTTTTACTTATTTTTGTAATAGGTTTCTTCAAGTAAAACCAGCACAACAGAATATAGGCCAATGCTACATGCGATACTGTATTTCATCATCACTTCTCTGTTTTTTTTATGAATCAGTCGATATGTTTGCTACTACAAACGTGTTTGCTCAGCTTTAGTAATTGCAATTCTTAGCGGAATAAAATAAATCCGGTTTTCATTTTGTTTTCATTTTCCTTGCACAGACATTTTCTATGTCAAGAAACTTGTTTTTTGTAATGCAAAGTTAATATATACACAAAGTTTTTTTTTAAATTTTTGAAAAATACATCACTGATATAAAAAACTAACTTAATGTAAGGATTTCAATAAGCATAATCAAACTGTCTTCGTTTGAATTTAACCAGTGTGTTCTTACATAATTAATAACAAATTGAACATTTACATGTTATAGTTCTGGTTTTGATTCCAATAACTTCTCCGAAATGATAAAATCTGATTCGGTATTATAAAAACGTCATATAAAAACTCAATTTTACCACATCCAACCTCTTTTAACATTATTATAGCCAATAATAAGTACAGATTTTTTTTATCACAAGCGTATAACAGAAATGAAATATATTTGTTTTATACATTTTTATATATCATCTTAGAGATATAAACTGGCATGATCACACAGGTACCGTCTTTTTGTACAAGATTTTTTGTGTTCATTATAAAATTAAAATTATCACAATTTATCACGATTTTTTTTTATAAACATTGGCACACGATTAAATTAAGTTTACGTGTTTCATGCTTTTTAAACTGATTGAAAATATACATGCAAATCGCCATGATCACACAATCACAAGTATTTGTTTTTATATATGCACACCATAAAAAATCGTGTATCAATACACAATTATACAGGTTTTTTAGTTTTCTTTCAAATATCGCAACACTCATTAACTTGAAGACAAAATCTGTCTACAGACGATATTCACAATTCACACAAAGGATAATTCCAATAAACTATGAAATAACTGCTTCGTCTCTGCACTGTCAAAGTGCATTAGCTTGATTAATAGTGAAATTTACATGCATGATTATAACGTTTGCAAATTTACAAGACCAAGCCCAATTATTTAAGTCACAATTTGGTTTTGGCAACAGCAATCAGTTTCATTTACTCCCCCCTTTTTTTTTAAGTATGACAATCGTCATTCAGGCCGGTCGCGATTTCTTACGACTTTACCGTGAAACTTCGCAATCAAACTAAATAATAATTATAAAACTGATTTTATAAATGGCTTAACATCATTCGTATATAATCACATCATTCTCTTCAAGTCCACAAGTGGAACTCGTATAATAATTCGTACGATTCAACGTTTACTCAACATTCCTTGAGCTCACCCATTTCGATGAAAGGGAATATATAACATTTGCAAACATCAAAAAAACAAAACTACCAAATTATTATGAAATACCTTACTGGACTGTTAGTAAATGACAGTCTAAAGCATCCTGTAAAATCATGGCACCTGGTGTAATGTATTTTTTAAGAAAGGTGGTATTTTTTGTTCAGTTTCCAACGCTGGTCGGCCGACGAGCTTAGGAAAAAAATGGCTTTTTTTTTCAAACCTACCAAATCTACCATATTTAGTTAGTCCGCATTTTGTTTGCCAAAAATAAACTGAACGGGTACAAGCCAGCTAGACTTGTTCCATGACCTATTCCCCGATGTCTATAAATTGCTCCGTTTCATCTGAAGTGGATCAGGGATCAAAACCTTGATTGTTTTTCCAGCATCTTCGAACCCAAAACGTTCGTCAGACGCCACCTAACATTCGCTACTGCTATTTCCTTTTTTGGGGGGGGGGGGGGGGGCTATAAATGTTGGAGTTTGTGCCTTTGACATTCCACAGGTCTTCTTCGAGGAATCTTAGATATCCTTTCACGAGGATTCTCTCTCGAGCCGCATTCTGCTGTTGTCAACATAACATCGGACTGTTTGTTTGAAGCCTGCAGAGATCGAATTCTCTTGCCTGTCTGCAGTTGTGAGGCTGAGGCTGCACCTCTCAGAGCCTTTGGAATCTTGCTTCTATGAACATCAGAATATTTCACTCTTCCAGTCAGGAGATCACTTGATGTTTTGTTTGCAGAGATAGACAATTGACTCGGCACTTTTACAGTTGTTGGAATCTTGGAGGTTGCACTTCTCGGAATCTTGGAAGTTTTCGTTGCAGAGATAGACAATTGACTCGGCACTCTTACAATTGTTGGAATCTTGGAGGTTGTACTTCTGGGAATCTTGGAAGTTCTGCTACCAAGATGGCAAGAGTCTTGGGGTGGTCTACCCAAGTGATCACTTTCTTGCTCGTGGGATGTTGACAGTGCAGGACTTGTGTTTCCTGCTCTTGGAATTGTTGAAGTTTTCCTTAGAGTTGTCGTGCAAACTTGTGTTGTGCATCGTCCACTCTTGAGACCACCTTTTGGCTTGTCTGTTGATTTGCCCAATGAACTCAGTGTGGATGAGCAGTGGCCGAGTTGACTCTTTGGTTGACTTGCAGTGAGTTGATGTTTGTCTTGTTGATTTTGGACATCAACACACGGCTTGGGGATCTTTGTGGGGATGGTCTTTCCACTGTGACTCGAGACAGGTGTTATCTTGCTGCGGCTGCGAGGAGTCATCACTTGTGACCTGTCGCTGGAAGACAACTTTGTCACTCGCACTGGAATGGCCGATCTTTTGGCACTAGATGTGTTGTCTTGGTTTGCAGGGTTCAGGCAATCTTTAAGATTGGTCTTGCTCTTACCAGAAGCTATCTCCTCAAGGGCTTTCTCCTCCTTAAGCCGTCTCCCCGTTTCCCCCTGTTGGTTCGTTTTCTTCTGTTTTCCCCTTTTGTGCTCTTCCTTTTTCTTCCGTCTCTGCTGTTTTTCTTGCTTCAGCCTTTTCTCAAGTTCTCTTTTCTCTTGCTTGTCTTTCTTCTTCTGTTCCTGTTTTTCTTTCTTTGCCTCCTTTTTCTTTTCTTTTTCCTCCTTCCTCTTTTTCTGTGCCATTTTCTTTAATACATCCTTTTTGTTGTTCTCTTGCTTATCTTTCTTCTTCTTCCCCTGTTTGTCCTTTTTCTTGAGTTTTTGTACATCCTCAGTTGCCTTGTTCTGTTCCTGCTGATTTTCCTCCTGCTTTGACATTTCCTCGAGGTTCTTTTTCTTCTGTTTTCCCTTTTTCTTTTTGTCCTTTGTCTTCCCTTTGTTCTCCTTTCTGATTGGTTCATCTTTATCCATTTTCTGCTGATTGTCCAGTTTCTCCTGCTTTTTCTTTTTCTTGTTCTCCTTTTTCTCTTCCTTGTCCATTTTCTTCTTTTTCTGCTTTTCCTTCTTTCTCTTCCCTTTGTCTTCCCCTCCACTTCCTTCCTCTTTGTCATTGTTTCTTTTCTTGTCCTCTTTTTCCTGTTTCTCGTGTTTGATCTTTCTCTTGAGCTCCCCCTTCCTTTGTTTTTCCTTCTTTTTCTCCTGTTTTGCCCTTTCCTTCCTCCCCTGTTTATCCTTTTTCTTCTGTTTCTTGTTTGACTTCTCGTTGTTCTTTGCTTCCTCATTCTCTTCATTTGCTTGCATCTCCTCTTTTGCCTTTTCCTCCTCTTTCTCTTTTTTGTCATTGTTCTTTTTTTCTTCTTTGTCCGGATTGTTCTCCCGCTTTTCCTTTTTGTTCTTTTCTCCCTTCTTATAACCTTTCTCCTTGTTGCTCTTCTTGCCGAGAAGAGCTCTGCGGGTTTTCTTTGATGCTGACTTCATGGCTGCTCTGATCCTAGATGCAGTGGATGGCTTCTTAGATGACTCGGCCATTTCTTCCTCTGTTCCAATTGTCTGAAAGAACCATATGTAAATTTTCATATTAAGACATTTTCAAAATCATAGATAAAAGTTAAAATCAAACAGTTGAATTAAAATAAACATTTCATTCTAATTTTGTAAACTGTTAAAACAGTTTCTGATAAAAGGGAAAGTTGAAATCAAAATGTTTTAAAATAAACCCACCATGTCAGCATCCGAGGTTGAAGCCACATTGTTATCATCATCTTGAACATCCATGTTGGTGAAGATGTTGACCAGATAAGCAGCATCTTGTTCTAAGATGGCTGCCTGGTCATCTGACATGAGGTCCTGTGTTATTAGAACCAAAACATGTTCTTAATTTTAGCAGTATGCAACGTTTTCACTTGACTAAATTCACACGGTAGTGTCTTTTGTATTTTACGTTTATGTAAGACTTCCACAGCACCTAGAACAGAATTCTCGGGGTGTAAAGACCAACCAGACTGTACTAAATGTACTTGTGCAAATACATTTTCATTTGCACACCAAAGTGATTAAAACATTAGCTATAATATCAATGTTACTCATCTTATATCTGATTGGTTTTAAATCAATTTTGCTGATTCTGGCCAGTGGATCAATGGATGTCCTCACTAAATTTAGTGCATTTTATAATAATGTCAAAATAATAAACGAGGTTATATTTGATATCAATATCAATGTATTGATCTGTTGAAATCAGATTACTATAATACTCATTTCCTCTTTAATTTTGTGACTCAATGAATTTGTCCAAAGGAAATAAATGAAACCACATACAAACCTTGTCAGCTTCTGTGGGTGAATCCACATCAGTATCTTGACCATCCATGTTGGTAAAGACATTGACCAGATAAGCAGCATCCTGCTCCAGAATAGCTGCTAGGTCATCAGTCATGATCGTCTGTTCGGAAATTGAGAATATTTGTAATGAAAACATTCCACATTTCCACTTAATCATTCCTGCTTTTTTTCATTACATGTTCTATGTGTGTCTAGTCTTAGCTTCACTTACACAAATATTTATATTTTTAACGAGCCACAATACCAGTGGTACACAAAGCATAACACCGAATTGGACTTCAGCTGATTTGGTGACCCCCATTTATTCTCCGGGGTGGAGAAAGGCAAGTTGGGGTGAAGTGGCTTGCCCAAGGACACAACATTATGGCTGGATCGAACCCCTGATCCCATGGCCACGAGTCACGAACCCTAACTACAAGGCCACCTCCCTTTGAATGTAGTAAAATAACTTGAGTAACTTTTCTCACTTACATCATCCTGATTAACTTCAGACTTAGCATCATCAGAGCCTTGATCCTCATCAGGCGGTGATGCACTTTCCTCGTCTTTGTCTAAGTCGGCAAGGATGACCTTCACCAGTTTAACAGCCTCCTCATTGAGACTGCTGAAATTGTCCTTTAGTGATGTAAATCAAATGTTTGGCATTACTTAATACACTAATTGTACATGAAGTACACTTCACTTATAAACTTGGCACTTCTGATGACATTTACTCTGACCATGCAACTCACAAATCAGCTTGAAAATTAACTTCAGTGAAAATGGCTTGTGCTCTAACTGACACAAATTCATTTTAATCATTGAACAAAGTAATGAAACATCAAAAGATACAGCAAAATAAATGCACCAACAACAGTAATTGGATCTTTATTATGACCAGGTTACAACCTAAGCAGTAACTTACCTCCAGAATTTCCTCCGGGGTTGCATGCTCATTGGTGGTTTGCTCAATGGCGGTAGTCAATTGCTCTGGGGTTTGCTCAGGGGTCTGCCCTGGGGTCTGCACAGGGGTTTGCTCTTGGGTTTGCTCTGGGGATTCCTCTTGGGTTTGCTCTGGGGCTTGCTCTTGGGCCTGCTCTGCAGTTTGCTCTGGGGCTTGCTCTGGGGTCTGCTTTGCAATTTGCTCTGGGGCTTGCTCTTGGGTTTGCTCAGGGGTTTGCTCAGGGGTCTGCCCTGGAGTCTGCTCTGGGTTCTGCTCAGGGGTCTTCTCACTGATGATGACTGGCAACTGGACCCCACCTATAAAACATCACAAATATGAAAGATATATCAATGATGATTTGTACATAAACAATTGGAAATAATTACTTTGCATGATGATAACTCAAATTATTAAACTCGCCCAAGTTTAATTTGGAAAATAATAAGTGTAACAATTTTCCATTGAATTTTAGAATTGTAACATGGATGTACCATATGAGAAACATGGAAATATACTCAATAAATGTCGCACTGCAAGAAGTTAGTCCAAATTGCAGATTTTCTTTAAGGAAACAATCAGAAACAGTCATTGGATGGCAATATTTTGTACTAAAGAAATAAGAATTTAATCATAAATGATCAAATTTAACCTACCGTGTCCAGCTCCAGCCAGAGCTAGAGCTCGCAGTTCAGCATCACCTTGAGCCTTGGTCTCAGCCAGGGCCTTGGCCATCTTGGCCTTCGCCTGTTTTCAGAGCAAAATGATGCTATCAAAATATCTAATTCCTTAAAAAGAATCATTAATTTGTAATTAAAAAAGCCAAAGACATGATGATAGAGATGTGATGCTTACATAAATATATTTGATAAGAGATGTGATGCTTATGTAGGCCTATCACTGCAGACCTCAGTGCAAAGATTACGTGGATTGAATTTGTTTTTTGGCAATGCCAATGGAATATGAGTGGGCCCAAATGTATACTGTGAACACTCAATATGCTCAAGTCAAGACTCCAAAGTCAAAGTCAAACTAGAAACAGTTCAAATTAGTGTCTGTTTTTCTTTTTTAAACAAATTAACAAACCTTATTTTGCTTCTTCAAAGCTCTCTTAGATAACTTTGATGTATGCCCGTACACCTCCATGTCCGATGCTGAAACAGTGCAAGGGAAAAAATGAAATGTTAGAATCACTTTCGTTTAACTCAACCAATGTGCGCTAGCGTATAGCATGTCGAGTTGTGGAAATGGAAGACATGCATGCCCATAGCAACGGGCATGTCGCGCAATATTTTACATCGAAGTTCTTACCAGAAAATGTCAAGTTAGAACAAAAGTGAAAACAATTTTACCTGATACATGGGTCGGGCGTTTTCTTGACTCATTGGAGCCCATTATTCAACTGAATTTCTGGAAATTCAGCCACAAAAAAATCGCTGTTTGCACTATAGTAACAAAGTGAGATCACAAAATGTACGTCCGCTACACGTGAATCCAAAACTGTTTCTGTATACTTCCGGAGCGACAGCGCATTTTGATTGGTTGAAAGTCCGATTTCACGCTCATGCATTATTCAGGAGGTGATGTTTCTGGTTGTTATTCGACATACGCGTTCGACAATTCACAAATAACTCGGCAAAATATACAAGCATATTACGTTAAAACCCATGATAAATTCGGAATAAAATTATTTATGGTTAAAATTTATATTTTTTACAGACAAACGCAGTGTGTCTGTATTTCTAAAACCTCTAACATTGTTCTGAGCTTTGTACCCCTTGTTCAATACCATGGAAATATGCAAATTACTCAATGACCTTTCTTGACGTTGACAAAAAGAACAAAAGCGCACGCGACTTCTTCAAGTGCGCATGCGTGTTTTAATGTTTACAAACAAACGAAGAAAGGCCATTTCACAAACTTCGGTTACGTTGCTGCTTTGGCTTCGTTGGGTGCTAAAATAATTTTTTCAATAAAATGAAGGTCTGAATTAATTTCAACAGGACAAGAAAGTTCTCGACTCCAAAATCTCCACTCGAAATAAATTAGTGCACCTACTTATAAAAATGTTTTACCTACTTGAAATTATTCTCGAACTGCCAGTACTTTAAAGATTTGGATTAAAAACGTTTCAAGAGAAGGCTGGGTTGATTAAAGTTCTCATTTTATTCGAGGATGACGATCATCCTTTTGACTTTGGCTTTAAAGTTGGACATAAAGAAGCCTACTTTTTACATACATCCCCAAAACGTTTCTACCATTGAAGCACTTGTACAAACATGCTATCATCTTGAGTCAAAAAGAAAGGGATCTGAATTAAGGATTTTTCCCCTTATATTCAAAGCAATTGAATTTTATTCACTAACGAAGCATATATTTAACGAGCATGTTCTTCCACTCATTTGAAAAAAAAAGAATTACTGAAATTGATCCATTCCATGAGAAGTACTGGTTATGCATTTTTTACTGAGAGAATCCATTTTTACAGCCGCCCATGGGATGCCATTTGAAGAACCAGAGATTGCACACAGGCATTCAGATACAAATGAGATTTCTTGTCACGGCAGAAACATTACTTTTACTGTCAGATTTTATGTGTTGAATATGAGGATTCTTTTCTTAAATAATGATGGTGTGTTTTTTTGTCTGTTTGAGTCCGTGCAAATTTCCATTCATTTATGAAGTCACGAAAAAGCCCTCTTTTCCATTGTATTTGAACGGTAAATGATCATTGGTGGACAGCTGAATGTTGTGATGTATGTATTAAAATAGACATGACTTCTGAACATAGTGCGCAAATTACGTGAATTTTTCCACAGTTTCTAGCCAATAATATGTACGTTATCCCCATGTTATTTTTATTAAATGGAGCGAGCCCGGCTCATATTTTTTTTCCAAATATTTCTTTTCTTATTAGGTCACTTTCTTCGGACTCACCTTGTAATATTTAGTTTAATCACAAGTCAATTTAGTGCCAGATCACAGGTCAGTCACAAGTCAAATCGCAAGCGAAGTCGCAAGTAAAATCGCAAGCGAGGTCACAAGGATGAGCAAGAATAACGAGGAATATGTCTTAGTTACAATCAGAAACACTTCTCACTTATGAACAGACTTCCGACTCTTGTTTTGAATAGTAAGAACTTGCCCAAATTATTTGCTAAGACTTTTCTGCCTTTGTTGTCCCATAAAGGGCAGTACATCTACGCCCCATCCAGCGAGAAGTACTACGAATTCGGCCGAAGGAGTACCCTTTACACTCCCTTGTACCGGCTGACCTCAGGGCGTGGCCGCATTGAGTTCTACTATCACATGTATGATGGCCTCGGGACTGACGACATGGGTAGTCTTGACGTGTATGTGTGTGGGGACAGCTCGCCGGTGTGGACTAGGCGGAGGAATCAGGGCAATGAGTGGCGATCGTCCGGTCAGGTGGACTTCACGTGTCAGAGAGATTTCAGGGTAAATTACTCTAAGACTTGTGTTTTAATGTTTTGAAGTTGGTCAGTTTTAAGCTTTGTCAGGAGCTTCTACATGTCACTTGGTGGTCGGTCGGTCTGTCCTCAGAATATAGACCAAAATAAGGCCCTATACGTTTCCCATATAATATATAACTACCAAATTTTTATTTTCCAAAAAAGCAAACAAAATAAATTAAATACTTGACCAAGATTGGGAAAGATGTTTATGAAAAGTGTGTAAATGGAGGCAAAATATGTGCAGTTATGTTCTAGTCACGTGGTATTTATCACAAATCGCTATAAATATAGGTACATCTAACGTATGGTGTTCCATATGTGCCATCGGCGTCGCATTATTCAGCTCTGGCAGGGATCATTTTGATAGATTAAATGCAAGACGGCCAGAGCTTATTGTGCACTTGCACTTGTTTTCCTAGAGGACACAACACACTTTTCAACTGATTCAGAATGGCTTTGCGCAATGGACCGGATTTAGCCGATTTGGTCCTCCTATACGATAGCACAGCTCGATCGGCATCGGCTAAGATAGGTACAAAGAGAACGCATCACTTAATGTTTAGCTTCCCAACGAAATAACGATGCATAGGCCCTACTGCTTTAAATTTCATAACAACATCTCTCGTGCTTTCCTCCAAAGAGCTGCACATTATTCTGCAACGAATTATTCATTTACGGAAATGATCATGTTTACCTTTGACAGGTGTACATCATCGCATCTCGAGGGAAGTATCAAAGCGACATCGCCATCGATGATCTTATCATCACAGACGTCTTTGATGACCCAAGTAAGTCATCTGGAATGAATATCTTATTCTCTTAGAAGTGTGGTTCTAACAAGAAGCAGTAGTTGTCCAATGTTCTACCTGAGATGCACATTACCCATAGTGTGCCCTTCACTAAAAACGTAGGGTAAAGCACTATAGGCAATGTTTATTTGTCCAACATTGGTATGAAATTACCTCACTGTTCAATTCGGGTAAAAACTGACAAACATTGGGAAGAATTTGGCCAATAGTGTAGGCAGTTGGTATGTTGACCAACATTGGGCAAAATATCAACTCGTTAGTGCCCACCTTTTATTTTGAGTGTATAAAAATCGTTTAATAGGCAACCTTTTTCCCAAGCCTAAGTTATCTCCCGAACTGGCATCATTCTAACGGTCCCCGTTAACATATGACTTTGCATGCTGGTTGCGTTTAGTCAAACAAATTTATCTATGTCACATGTTTTACAATTATTTTCCAGCTACACCTACCGTGACCACAGAGCCTCCCACCACTAAACCAACAACTCCATCAACTACCACTCAACAGACAACCCCTTCAACCACCACGGCTCCTACAACCACCGCGCCATCCACCACCACTCAACGAACAACTCCACAACCTCCGCCAACCAATCCACCAACCAATCCACCAACCATGCCACCAACCATGCCATCAACTGCCGCACCAACCGTCCCATACAAAATTATGCCAACTACTAGGGCTAAAACAATCCCATTAACAACGAAAGCCATTTTGACCGGCGCTTGGACAAAGAGTCCCCAAGCATCAACGGTGACATCTGCATCAAAAGACACAGCTGTTAGCTCAACAGTTACCATGACAACGGCTTCCTCCTTAGAAACGGAAGTGGACATTTCGGTTGTTCCTGACAACCCTTCGACTGTTGGTATAAGCGTGGACTCAAACTTACAAAGTAAGTGCAGTCATTAGGTTAGACACTTGAACTTATAAAGATTTTATTCCTTGCCAGAAGAATGCACTTTTATGAAAGATTTGTGTATATAGATGCGGACGATATTAATATTTAGAAATGAAACAAAAGAGGAAAAGTAAATGAATAGTATTTGGCTGGCCGGCTGTTGTGCAGATTCGTTCCTCGCATTCTCACTCTAGCTTTCCTCAGGTTACTGAGTTATACAATGCAGTACGCTTTCAAATCTTGGTTTCTTTACTAGAAAGAAATACCCAATGCTAAAAATACCCTTGGCCTTAAGGATACACCCGAGCAAATAATTTCCCATAGCTGTAGACACCAGTGCGAAATCCCCCGTGCTTCAATTTCGTTTTATATACTCAGAACTCTTACATGTATTCAGGCTGCACAGTAAAACGATGATCAACATGTCATCTTTCATTTTCTTTTCAATTTTTGCGGGTTGACTTATGACTTTTCGAGAAATTCTCACCAAAGAAACGACCTCTGAAACGAGTGGTGTTTTTCCGAAGTGGGAAAGCAGCCATATTGAAAAATAAGATCCCTCCACAACATGGCTAAACAGCGCCACTTTCGGGCCCAATTTCATCCAAAATGCTCAGAATTGGAAGCCCCAAGTCCGGGCCAGAGGTGCATTGCCATATCTCTTCAATTTTCAAACCCTTCAATGTAGAAGAAATTAAGTGTAGGCCTATACTTTTATTCATGAGCTCGGCGGACGGATTTTTGGCCTATTTATACTGTATTGCACCGTTAATCCGTTGTGTTTTTCCCCACTGTAGGCGGATCATCATCCCCCTCCTTCGTTGGTCCCATCGTGGTGGTGTGTATAGCCCTGCTCTTGATCGGCTTGACTCTTTGCCTTGCATTTAAAAGGAAAAAGAGGTAAAGAAAAATACGTCTGGAAATATGTTATGAAAACACTAACAAATAATGCTACATGTGGTTATCTTAGGTAGAAGTTTCTGTAATGTAAACGAAGGGATTTAAAATGTTACCATATCTTCACAGCATCCGATTGCATTGTTTTCTTTGTAGTAATCTATGTTTTCCTTGATAAATTTGCTACCATTCTCATCCTACTTTACTCCTAAACATTGTCGTCCAATGCTTTCGATCATCACTATGATAAATTCTTATTATCATTGGCATTATTGTTTTCAAAGTTGTCCTTATATTCACTTGTTATCATCTTACTAATAGTTGTCGTATACCATTGTTTCGTCATCACCACTCTTCAACTTCTTCAACCATTATATACACCAACACTGTTATTCTTCATAATCGTCAACATATCCTCCCCATAATTACACCATCAATTTCATCATATTCATGTATCATCGATAGCAATTATCATCATTAAACTTCATATATTGTAAAACAACCTTATAGTTCTATATTTCTGTCCAATATTTCTACAGCACGCGCAAACCTGCTTCGAAGGCCGCCAAAGAGGTCACACGCGTCGACAACCCTTCCTACTGTGGCGAGGTAGACTCTCTTCCAACCGCCAATAACAAAAAACGGGCAAACTACAGCTATCAGGAGCTACTGCAGCAGCAGTCATACAGCAGCATCGATGAAACTGGGCGGGAAAGTGATGTGGAATACCACACTCTTGAGAGCTCAGATACGGCTGGTGCAGGCGGCGATTGCTCATACCAAGAGATCGGGGAGAAGAACGCCCCCAGGCGTCGAGGGGAGTCGGCTCTGTATACAGCCATTCCCGATCAGGGTGGTGTCACAAATGAATATTCATACACGTATGCAAATCGGGATGGCAACGGCGGGTCGTCATCAGCAGCAGGGAGAAGTGGGATTGCGGGAAGGGCGCCCTCTGAAGGTAATGAGCAAGAGTACGCGGCTATACGCGATCCGAACAGCACTGGGAACGAACAAGGGGCGGCTGGCTCTTACGGAATGGTGGAAAACCAGTTGTACATTCCCTTCAAAGAATAAGAACATGTTTACATGTGAATAACAATAATGATCATCAAGTTCAACTTTGTCCTATCCAATCGCTCCTCAAATTTTGAATTCTGACCAATGATGATCTGTTTCGGCGTAGGTTTGTTTAATTTTGCGCATTATATAAAACTAATATGATCTTTCTTTGCCATAAAACTCTGCCAGTAGGGGCCTATATAAATTATGTGCGGTTAGGACGAACATTGTTTTAATTCGGGAAGATTACATAATATCAACATTATAATTGATGACCAAATCTTATTTTATGCAATACTCATACCATGTATTTATAGTACACAAATGTACAGTCCATAATATGAAAAGGATGATACCTTAATGTCTTATTGAAATTACTCAAAGCAATGGAGATTATTGTGCTTAAAGAGAAACAATAAACGCAGTAAGCATAAAATTACTATAGAATGCGGTATTATATGTTGTATAGAAAAAACAAAATGGACACTTAACCAACTTATTAAAATAGTCATGCTTAGCTAGATCATTTGTCCTAATTATCATATATGACTGTGTTAAAAAACCTTCAATATACATGTATATTATTTACAATGTTAATTTGATATTTATGATATTGTAAGTTAAATAATACGAGATGCATACGATTTACACGTTTATATCGAACACAGTGGTTTTGGTATCATAGGCTCCTGTCTAGTCCGAGGTGCAGTAATCATAGTTCAACTTAACATACTATACCACTAATTAGTTTATTGTTTGAAGAAAAAAAGATATTTAAAGTTAAATTAAAGTCAAGACAGCATTGTCAAGGTGTTTGTGTCTTTCTCTTTCTAATGAATTTTTCTTGAGGAGTAATGGACTTTGGCCGTTGTAATAGTAAAATCGGTGAATCGAATTGCATGCAGTTTATTTTGATGATAAATAAGCCTGCTGCTATTGCATGTCCGGCATCCATCCTTGAATAAGTTATACCGATGATACGACTCAATTCTCACTTCATACAGTGAACAGTCACTAATTCAAATATTTCTTGATTACAACTTGCCTCCGCTCCATCTCCCAAACAATGAGACACCTGGGCTTATCTCACGACCCGTGACTAGTCACATGATCAATCGCGAGACTGCGCATGACACCAATTTGCAAATATTGGCTGTTACCTGTCATTCCGAACAGTTTATGCTCGCGGGTAGTGGTGCATCTAAAATGGCAAAGGAAACCCTTTTCTCCACATTCGACTTTTGAGAGCCGATTTTAGTGGTACTTTCCTCGCCTAGCTTCCACCGCGGTCACCCGGGTTCGAATCCTGCCTGTGCTCAAGGGCGGATCCGGGGGGGGGGGGGGCCAAAGGGGGCCATGACCCCCCCCCCCCAAACGAAATCAATTTGTTTTTATTTTTTATGTGACATCGCAATAAAGGCAGGCAATGAGTACACCACAATCTTTTCCTCAAAAAACATTGGTTAAAGTGGTCAGAAATTGCCTCAGATCGCACCACAGAGCATCTAGAATCCAAAAATTCCTTAAGCGGGCCCCGAACCCCACGCCGTAATTTTTTGGACCCACTTTTTGGGAGGGACCAACATTTTTTTGGCCCCCCCCAAAAAAAAATTGTGTTCTGGATCCGCCCTTGCCTGTGCCAACATGTGGACTGGGATTCCCTGCCTGATTCTGTGGGTTTTCCCCAGAATATTCGTCTGGGGTTTCCTCCCACCTCTAAAACAGTAATTTCTCTCTACTGATTTCCCCAGGCTTGCGAGCCGCGGTGCCTGGAGCACTTACCAGAAATATATATTTATATATATAATAATAATAACCGTATAGTATGTCTTCGCGAATAATGACAGAAACGAGGGTAATGGAACAGCCGTTGAGTTATCGATTCATAAGTATCGAATAATATATAGGCCTATGTGTGTGTATTTTCTGGAAGTGCAAAGTCATAATTATTATTGTATCGATTGGTGAAACATCAAAAGACGCGGTACACGTATCGCCTCGAGCTAGTCTCACAAAGACTTCTCTCGTCCATGCACATTCATCGACTGCTCCTATTTTACGTACATTTCGATCTGTGTATAAGAACTGTACTGTGCCGCTAGCTAGCTGCGGAGGCAAGACATTCTGGAATCGCCACATTCTGCGAATGAATTTCAAAGAAGTCATTTCTAAAGTGTCGTTTGGTTAATTTGACTGACTTTGATGACGTCACATATCAAAGACTTAATTCATTACCAACAAACGACCAATTTCTCGCTAGAAGATTTCTTGATAATTTTTCATCCATAATGTGAAGAAACGGAGCGTGCCGCATGTTGGTTTAATTCCGGAAATCGTCAATTTGTGAAGTTTTTCATCAGCGAATCGAAGCCATCTGCAGGAACAATGATGCGTTTCAGCAGATTGGTAAGTAGCCTATAGGCCTATACTCCATCCACTGATATGATAGGGAATACCGTTGCTTAGTTTATCGGGGAATAAACCCCGATATCAATTTCAATGTTAATCTGTGATATAAGAGAAAATAATAATAATAATAAAACAGCATTTATATAGCGCAATATGAATCAAAGATTCCTCAAAGCGCTTAACAATAGAACAAGAATCCAAATTTAAAACTTAACTTGGTTACAAACTTCGGCCGGACCAGCTGTTGTCTGAATGATTAATCGTTAGAAATTCTGTAAAATTCTGTAAACTGTTAAATACCGCATTACCGCACATAGATAAAACACCATTAAAATACTGTAAAAACTTCATTTGTATATTAAAAACCCCAATCACTGTTATTCCTTGTAAATGCATGGACAAAAACAAATGTGTGCAACACTTCAAATGAAAACTAAAACATGAATAAAATGCAGACTTGTGTTCAACAGTTAAAAAGATAGATCTTTAGTAATTTCTTAAAATCATCTACCGACTTGGAACATCTAATAGACAATGGAAGCTCATTCCAAAGTTTGGGAGCAGCTGCAGAGAATGCTCTATCACCATATGATGTTGATGTTGTGGCCAGTTTCAGAAGATGTTTGCTACTTGATCTAAGTGAGCGGATCGGCCTGTGATCTGTCAATAATTCAATTATATAACCAGGTGTAAGCCCGTGGAGTGCTTTGTACGTTAGCAACAAGATCTTAAACGAAATGCGCTTGCGGACTGGCAACCAATGCAATTGCAGAAGGACTGGTGTTATATGGTGGTACTTTTTCACACGTGTCACCATTCTGGCAGCAGCATTTTGGACTTGTTGCAACTTAGCAATCTCACGGTCTGGCAAACGATACAATAAACTATTGCAATAGTCTAAGCGGGAGGTGATAAATGCATGAACAAGTTTCGCAGCAGTTGACTGATCAAGATATTTACGAATTTGCCCGATCCTACGTAGTGCCAAATTTGCAGCCCGACATACATTATTTACATACATTATAATTGTGTCATGTATTTTTATTGGGGGGGGGGATAAGTTAGTATTAGTATAAATAAATAAATAAATTAGTTAGTATAACTAGAAATTTTAGATAAAATTAGCCTTTCCAGGGGTGAGAATGGGAAACCGCCCTCAAGCGATGGAGAAGGGTTGCCTTAACATCCCAAAAATTATGCTGCTACTTTTTTTTTTATCTTGTTTGTATATATATTGTCAGTGTAACTGACAGTAAAATTTCTGGTTTTAATTCAAAACGAACATGGTTATTTTTTTGTTTTATTTTTCACTCTGTACTCCTTTTTTTGTAAGGCCTTGATAATATTTCGCTCAAGTAATATGTACCGAACGAGCCCGGTCGCTGATTGGACGATTACGTTTTGCACTTTTTTCGTGTGCGTTGTAGCGCCATGCGGAAGTGCAGATGTACACTTTGCTGAATTCATTCATTGCTTGTACATTATACAGTAACGTTACGCATTGGTGTACGTAGCGTGTAGGCCCTACCCTTTACAAATTCAGCCACCTTTTGGGCCACTAACAGGACGAATTGAGTCGGTAAGTTTTCGCACTAATGCACGGGGAGTAGTGTCAATTGGTTCGAATCAAGACTGGCCAGTACCAACTTGAACATTTTGTGTTCATTTTAATTTAAGTGTAACACGTTAATGCTTGACTTATGGCTATTTCATGCTTAGCCCCACTGAGACATAGTGTGGCTGGGACAGCGCATGCAACACTAGCCGGGCCACACTACTCACTAGCCATATTTGTGCTAGGCCACAGTTGTTCCAAAACACAGTGGCTAAAGTTACGGCAGACTGGTTCTCTGACGTTTATTGGCTCTTGGACCCAGGCCTTCGACCCATGATGGTAGTCCAACGTGTAACCATTCGAGGTACCAAACTGCAAAGTTTTTAGCTGGTCGAAAGGGCAGTTGAGATTAAAAACTATACTTTCAGATTTTGCAAGAGTATTTTTGTAATGCCGTAACGATAGCAGTTAAAAATCGTGTTACGGTTGCCGTAACAATAACCACTACGTTTGTTGTAATGTTTGTCTTGGGGTTGGAAATCCAAAAAAAAAAAAACATTTCAATTCTACAGCGTTCAGCTTGTTGACACAGGTCTGTTTTTAATTACAATTTTGGGGTTAGACAAAACGGAAAACAGTATCCTTATTTGATGGCCAGATATTGCAACTTTTATGCGTCACGTAATTTTTTTTATGATGCTCTAGAAATGAGAATCACATGAAACTAGTGTTTGCACTGCCCTAGTTAAATTCTAACAACCATCTTAATAATTCAGAACCCAGAAGGTGATGAGAAAAAGATATAGCAATTTACAGGGGCAAAATCAATTACGGGTCCAACGAGGATTTGCATGAACACAAGTATTGATTTTTCTTTTATGAAAAAGGCACATATCGTTCGTAAAAATAGGGAAATGGTGGACATTGTTTAATCATTAATAATTTCTGACCCACATGGTGGTTTCTCACAGGGCATTGCCACCATGGAAACATGGCTTCCAATATTTTTCTTGTGTCTTACTTTTGTTCCAAGGTTATAAAGTCGATTTTGTTCATGTGTGGTAACTTCATTGGAAGTAATTTCTTAACAAAAAAGTATATCAATATCTTTGAATGAATTAGATAAAAATATGTATACAATCACTTTGATGTTAGCGGTGCAGAGTATAACAAAACAACCCTTTATGGGTTTTTCTTTAAAAGGATTTTTAAAAACATCTAAACCGGCAGATATGTAGATTGACATTCTGACTACAAAACACTCACAGAAACAGGCACAGAAATAATTGAGATTCTCACAAATAAAAAAACACACTTTACCAGGCCCATAGCCACTGTTTAATTTTAGTGATTTAGTTTACTGTTTACTAAAAATGTGCACTTTTTTGTGCTAGACTTTTCTTCAAGGGACTGAATGTTTCTGTTTTTAATTTCAGTTTTGTTTAATTCTTTTATAGGTTCTACTCTTTGTGATGATGAAATACTCATGTAAGTACGATTTATTTTGTGTACAATTTTTGTACACTTAATTCCATTCTTTCCTTGGAAAGAATTCCATACCTGGACATCACTTCACACCCTGTGCACAAACCCTATGAGACTGGTCTGAAAAAATGCTTAGTGTTTTCTTAGTAAATGCTTTTTTTCCCTGCGAAATTTGACTTTTTATAGGGTATATTGTCGCTTTTTGATGGCTGATAGGTCATCACTGCAGGGAAAAATTAGTGACGTCCATGTATGGAATTCCTTTCTAATTCTCTGCAGCTTTTCTTTCAAATGGAGCAATGCATGAACTTGAAACTTAGTATGCAGAGATGTGCAATTGTCAAAGTTCAAGTGATTTTTGTTTAAAAAGTGACTGTCTTGTTTCAGTTATAACTCATGAAAAAATTAAACAATAATGTTTATACTTTGTGATAGGAACGGCCATGGCTTAATAAACATTTCTTGAATACTTCAGTCCTATAACTTTAATGTTTAAGGTCTTTGTGTGTTTTGGGGTTTCTTTCATAATAATTCATTACGTTTTGCCTCCTGTTCTTAGACAACATCGAGATAACGCAAATGAGAATCCGAAATCTGTCGGAGAAGTTCCTCCGGGTGGGTTGCCACGCCAACGGAAATGCCACAGATGTTCCTCCACCCAATATCGTATGGAGCCTCTACAGCCAAAGCTCTGGCATTAATACTGAGCAGTCCAGAGATTTTGATGATGTCTCCATTGATGAATGTGCCCAAGATGATTGGAGTCTTGCTTCAATCTTGACCATTCGGAATCCCTTTTCAAAGAATCTGATGGGTGCAGATGTCTTCTGTAACGTCTCCCAAGATGGACAAAACCTTGCATATGATTCAGTCAGAATCGATAATGGTAAGTCACAATAAATACTCATATCCTTTCAAGTTTTAACCCCTGCATTTTCAAACAATGATGCATACCTGTTGGTTTCATTTTACTTCACCCTCCAATTGTCATGGAATAAATGTGTGAAATTTTGAACAACTAGTTTGAATTTGTTAACAGAATCATATTTTCCCCCCAAGATGGGGTAAGGGTTGGGATGGAAGAAACGGAGTTGTAAGTTGTGTGCGATTTTATATTTTACGGTTGTTTATGTATTATAACAAACTTTCTCTGTGTAGTAATGTTTGCCACTTGCCACTGGTCCATGATTAACATTCAGTTTGCTACACAAATTTTGACATTTTAAACAGCGATTCTGCAACCTGGTTTGTTGACTTGTATATTTGATTGTTTCAATTTACTAGATTAGCTGAATGTTAAATTTTCAAACCAACAGCAGGAACTTCAGTGTATTTATTTATTTTTTTTCTGGTAATGAAACCAAGGAATTCTGAAATGGTGCCCTAAGCACAGCTCGCAAGCCTGAAGAAACCTGCAAAGAGAAGACAATGGGAAGAATTGTTTGTAGAGGTGGGAGGAAAACCCCAGACGAATATTCTGGGACCCCCCCCCCCAAGGAATCAGGTAGGGACTGAAAACCCAATCCACATGTGGCCCAGGCGGGATTCGAACCCGGGTCACAGCGGTGAAGGCGAGGAAAGTACCGCAACACCAATCTGACAAGTGGCCTGCTAGAAGTTCTAGCTCCGTTCTGCATAATTGCCCTGTGCAGAGGAGATGATAAAGTGATATACCTCAGCAAGACTAGACTAAGCCTGTGTCTAAATTACTTGACTATGGCTCGGAATAACACACGAGTCTATGGTAAGTGACTGCAGTTACTTCCATAGGCGTGTGTGTAACTAGCCGTAGCCAAGTGCTTTACAGTGACTGTGTTTCCTTTGCAGTGTTTTACGGAACAGTCACCCTTACTTCAGACAATTCAGCCCCTGAATACGGAAGCGATGTTCACCTCAAATGCACAGCCCTCGATGATACAGTCTACCGCATGGATTGGTACTGGATGCCGCTCAATGGCACATCAGATTCCAGTGTCTATGTGGTCGATTCTAATTATGTCTATCAGACATCTCACATCGGCGGTACGTCGCCCCTCGACATTGTGAATTTCCAGAGCGAGGATTTAGGGATATATTTGTGTGTCATCAACTGGTGGTCTGCAGTGGCTAACGTGACATTGGGACCGGAAAGAGGTAAAGAAAGTATCATTTTTTTTCAGCTCATCAGCTCACTAAATCATTCATGCAATTTGTGTTTGATAGGGTGGTTGATCTCTCACAGATTAAAGGATAGTTACTATAAAGAGGAGTTTGGTGTTCATTAAACTGAGTGGGCAATATAATAAGTCCGACGCCTCATAAGTCCGAAATTTCGGACTTATGAGGCGTCTGACTTATGAGGCATAACATTTATTTATTTTGCCTCATAGGTCCAACGCCTCATAAGTCCGATGCCTCATAATTAAGTCCGATGTCGGAAAAACGAAGCATACGAGGCGTCAAAGCTATGAGGCGTTGGAGCTATGAGGCGTCGGACCTATGAGGCGTCGAACTTATGGGCCTTTATTTGGTTGGGGGATGCGATTTTGTCGGACTTATGAGGCATCGGACCTATGAGGCGTCGGACTTATGAGCAGACCCAAACTGAGATGGTGTGATTGCAAGATGGGTCAATAACACAAAAAATGATGTTCTTGGTCAATTTATTTGATCCCATCTACAGTGGCCACAACTATAGAGCCAACAACTTCATCAGCCACTACTCAAGCAGATGATGCATCGACCACAGCCACTACTCAAGCAGATGATGCATCGACCACAGCCACTACTCAAGCAGATGATGCATCGACCACAGCCACTACTCAAGCAGATGATGCATCGACAACAGAGGTGCCATTCACAACTGAATCTTTTGCCACGGTCACCCCAACATGGTGTGCATTAGGAGATGTAGACACCCTACAGGTATGAAAAGAAAGGCGTTTTCACACCAGAGACTCTCAACCTGGGTTGAACTCAACCCTGGGTGAACCCAGTGCCGCCCTGGGGTTGAGTTTTTTATTTCTCCACCCTGCATTGTTTCAGACTTGTTTCGTGAAAAACAAGCTTATTCCACTCGGTGGCTTCTCTTTTGAACCCTAGCGAGAGTTCAACCCCAGGTGAAAATCTCAACCCTGGTCTGGAGCAGAGTTGAGTTCAACCCGGGGTGAATCAATCTCATGGTTGACGCAGGGTTGGTGCAGGGATGACTATTTTCAAGTATGAAACACTTCATGTTTTCAACCCTGCGTCAACCCCTGAGATTTGTTTATTGTGAAAAAGGCCTTGCTCTACAACAAATTTCAATTAATTTATCCTAACAAAATTCAAATTTCTATGTTTTGTTTTAAAACATCTATGTAAAATTTGCCCCACGGGACCCAACATTATAGAAGATATTAGAAACTTGGAGCTTTTGGAGGTACGGTACCGTAATTGTTTTTTTTCCACAGGAAGCGATTGCATGCGGTGAAACGACCCGTATTGATGTTGAACCAGGCAATCTAACTGATGCTAAGAGAGAAGAACTGGTTGATTTCTTGAAGTTCATTGCGACACAGCCCGCAGAGCAGCTGACAACAATCTCAGATACCGTTGCAGTTACAAAGGTAAAACCATGCATATGGTTTGAAGTTTAGAATACTACTTCGTAGTAGTTAAAATATACTTGGCAAGGTAAATGAAAATGTATTTGTCTGATCGCAAAAACTCACATCAATTCTAATATTACATAAAATCCTACTCATTTTCCCATTGTAATTTTTGCTGATTTGATTATTGAAAATGCCAAATTCTTCTTGTCCAAAATCACTTTAATTCAGAAGAGGTTGCTTAAAAATGTCACAAATGGTTGCTCAATTATAAAGGAATTTTTCATGACATTTTGAGATTGTATACAGTCTACATAAACTTGTCTTTAAAAAGTACTTTACAGAATTCAGTGAATTCAGTGAATTCATCTTATCGCAATGTGATTAATTAGAAATTGTTAACTAACTTTATTTTTAGACTGTTTTGATGGCGTTTGCTAAACTAACAGATCCTGACCAAAGTTTGGTAAGTAATTTTAACTTTAGGGTAAACAAATCCAGTAGGTAATTTTAACCTTAGGGTAAAAAACAATCCAACCACTTGAGTTTTGCTTCAATTTGCATCTTAAACATGAGGTTATAGCTGTAAATAGTGATTACAATTGTTTTTCTCTTTTATTTTAGACAGAAGTCACTGCGACACTGTACAAGAGAATTAATAATTTTAAATTGCTTTTTGATATAATTTAAGTCTGAACTTTAAAAGACTTTTGAAGGGTTTTATAGAAACCTCACCGATTTTAGTGTCAATTAATTAAGACTTCCATTTTTAATGTAAAAAGTATTGTTGTTGGTTCAATTCTAAGATTGAAAAAGCACTTTTGTTGAGCTCCTCTTTCGGGGCTTGGAATATTTTGGCTTTTTGAAATCGGATAGATACATGTATCCTCACTATATATAAGCTTTTCTTGTTACATTTTCAGTCGGTTCAGGGAGAAACAGCTATTGTAGCCGATACCGAAGAAGCGTTGAAGATGTTGGCTGGAACTCTGGCACCCAAAACCTGTGCAACAATTGGACACCAGACCGGCAGTAAGTCTGATTTGTGTCTGTCTAGTGTCATAAAAGCTAGACGTGAAATATTTTGAAAGTTATTATGTACTTTTAAACCACACATTTTAAAGGGAATAAAAAAAGCGTTCCAAATATCATAAAAATTTGTCATTGCATTTCTGAGATCTACAGGGTGGGGAGATGTCAGAATCCCCCTCCCCAACCCCAACCCCAGCCCATCCCCGTCCCCACCCACCCATCCCTCCCCACCCCAACCCCTAGTTTCCTACCCCTACCCTAACCCCACCCTACCCCACCCACTCACCCACTACTCCCCACCAGACCCCACCACACCCTTCCATTCATCCCCTCTCCACCCACCCCACCCCCTTGGCTGTTAGATGGCCACGAAAAACAAATCCCCTTTATTTCCTTGCAGGTGCAAGTCTGTGCAATTCTCTTAACATTGATCAGTCGGATGGCTACACCTTCAAGCACCAAGTGCCCCTGAGCTACGATGCAGACGGCAATGCAATCGGTACCTTTGAAGAAAGCCTGGAGTTTGACTTGCTAGATCTGGATAAGGATGCAAGTAAGAACAAACCAGGAGTAGGGTTGTGCAGTGGTACTGTCCTCACCTTCCACCTCTGTGTCCAGGGTTCAAATCCCACTTAAGTCAAGTTTTTAATCGGTTGTTTCTGGGGAGCTTCCTTGCATGTAGTCTTGGATCTCCCCTACCTCTAAAAGTGACACTTCTTCATTGTCTTCTCTCTGACGTTATTTCAACCAAGTTTCCAAGGAACAGCATCTTCCTTTACTTTCTTGTCTATGGGCTCTGTGCGTGAGCAAGAGAGGGCGCTTTAAAATAAATTATTTTGAATATGCAAAATGCGTGAGCACCAGGCATCATTAGCAATGCATTCAAACGTTAATCCCAATGGTCTCCCCCAACTCCCCTTTCTGACTGTTGAGGGCGTACTCGTGCATGGAGCCCATGGTTCCAGACCAGTGAATAGATCGACTGCCAGAGACCTCAATGGTAATTCCCAAATGTATTACACACAACTCTCCAAAGTGTTTAAGACGCCCATCAAGTTAAAGCTTATACTTTATCATCTTTCATTTTCTGTTCGATTGTTTTAGGGTTGACTAATGACTTTTGGGAGAAAATTCCATCCAAAGATGATCACCCCTCAAGTAGTCCTGAAGCCCATCACCATTTAGAAGAAGGACCCTTATTAGCTCCATTGCAAAATAGAGCCATTTTAGGGCTTAACTTCATCAGAATTTCACAGAAATGCGAGCTTGTATTCCTGTGAACGGCTCCCTTCTTTTTTTTACAAACCCTCAAGTTCATGACCCACAAAAGCTCTAATACTGGAGAGCTTGGCACTTTGCGGCCTGTTTACTGGCCTGCACCCCGTCAAGTTATCTGCCGGTCTTAAATGAAATGAAACCAATGCACTGTGACAAGATTGACTAGTAGCCTGTCTCCAGTTTCAGTTATAATAGAGAATGTTATTCATTGTTACTTTGAGAACTGATCTGTTTGTTTCTTTGACAGAGAATGCGAGTGTGATTGTTTTGAGGAAGGAAAGTACTGCACAAAACATTGACAGAGTTAAAGACCTGGATCAGGATGGGTAAGTGCACATTCCATTCTTCTGCTTTTCTTATGTGGTCTAGATTCTTATGGACATATCGAGGGGATTTTTCAAACCTTGACTTGGTTTCGGTTATATAATTTAAGATCACCGATGCAGTTTTTTTCAAAGTCAGAATTAAAGTTGCATTGCTAGAGTCCACGGCAGTCTTAAGATACTTGCAACCTTCATACGATGGTATTTTGTCTGTGAACTTCAGTCGAACTCTATCGGCGCGGCTAGTATAAGACCAGTACGTAATCGGCCGGGTTCCGACATATCTAGCGACTTGAAGGTTACGTTCTCCACCGTTATTCATGTATGCGTGCAGCGTAATACATATGCAGTGCATTTTTGCGGTAGGATCCAATGGCGCACTGCAATGCAAATAAGAACTCGTTCATTCCGTTGCACAGGGAGTTCTTATACGTCGGGACATGTTTGCAGATCGGGCGACGTTTTAACGGCCAAATCACTCAGCTTGGTCAATTGTGTATAGAAATGAAATGTATCATTGTGATATCCTTGATTTATTTGAGTCGTGTTTGCCCGATAATGAATTTTGGAATGTGACACAACCCAAAGAATAAACCATCGAAGTAATGAGAATGACCTTCCGTAGCTGCCTAGAATACACGAAATCTGAACCAATCAGAGTGCTCGCATAGAATTCGCTAGCGATTCAAAATATTTCCATATGTTGTGTACAAAATAGAAAACGTTTTCGCCAAGTCGGTTATTGAACATCAATAGTCAGCATCATTTGGTCTGGGAACCAGCCATGCGCACATTGCAGTGATATTTTGCGTGCGTGGAACCAGTAACCGGGACCGTACGTACGTGAACAATAGCTGACTTGGCACCAAGTCTAACAAGCTGGCAAATCGGCAAGGTTTCAGACCTGCAACTTTTGGAGTCAACGTCAGATGTAGGTACATGATGCCACTAGTTTCGTTTTTGTGCAGTAAATCCCATAGCAAGGCCTGTCAGCGTCAGCCGTTATGTCTCTCATGTATCGCAGTCTAAAGGTACCTTAAAATGGATGGATTTGGACAATTAAACTATACCTTGTTAGAAAGGTGATGAATAGGCCAACAAGCTGACAAATCGGCGAGGCTTCAGACTTGAAAATTTTGGAGTGACGTCAGATGTAGGTACATGATGCCACTAGTTTCGTTTTTGTGCAGTAAATCCCCATAGCAAGGCCTGTCAGCGCCAACCGGCATGGCTCTCATGTATCGCAGTCTAAAGGTGCCTTAACATAGATGGATTTGGACAAACTATAGCTTGTTGGAAAGCTGATGAATAGGCCAACAAGCTGGCAAATCAGCAAGGCTTCAGACTTGAAAATTTTGGAGTGAGCGTCAGATGTAGGTACATGATACCTCTAGTTTCGTTTTTGTGCAGTAAATCCCATAGCAAGGCCTGTCAGCGCCAACCGGCATGGCTCTCATGTATCGCAGTCTAAAGGTACCTTCACATGAGTGGTTCTGGACAAACTATAGCTTGTTGTAAAGCTGATGAATAGATGGAACTAATGAATTGATTGGTGATTGACTTGTGATGGGCTTGTGATGGACATGTGATTGACTTGAAAGTTTTGTAGTTGACCTGTGATCGACTTGTTTGGCGTGTTATTGACTGATATGATTTACTTCTAATTGATTTGTGATTGACTTGTGATTGATATGTAATTGATTTGTAATTGACTGATGATTGACTGAAAATCTTGTGATTGACTTGTGATTGATTATTGATTGACCTTTGATAGACTTGTGAGACTTGTTAATGACTTGTAATTGAATTGTGATTGACTTGCGATTGACTTGTGATTGATATGTAATTGATTTGTAATTGACTTATGAAGAATTAAAGCCTTGTGATTGATTTGTTAGTGATTTGTGGATTACTTGTGTTGGACTTGTGATCGGCTTGTAATCAATTTGTGTTTGACTGAAAGTCTTGTGATTAACTCGTGGTTGACCTGTGATTGACCTGTGATTGACTTGTGATTAACTTGTGATTGACTTGTGGTTGACCTTTGTATATATTGTACCCCACTAGAATTGTTACCATTAGCAAGGCCAATTAAAATTCCTTGAAATCAGTGGCGTAGCAACGGGGGGCGTGGGAGGGGGACAGCCCCCCCCCATGAAACCTTGTCGCCCCCCCCCAGTCGGCCCCACTGAGATTTTGAGTTTCTAAAAAATAATCATTGATCTACATGACGCCATGGGCGTCAATCCTGGGGGACAGGGGGACTGGTCCCCCCCTACTTTTTGAAGGGTGGGGGACACAATATCAAATGTCGCCCCCCCCCCGATTTTTGAACTCGTGTCTCATTTACAGGGCCCTATTATGTACTACAATGTATCTTTTGCTTAGAAAATATTGGTTAAAGTGGTCAGAAATTGCCTCAGATAGCACCACAGAGCATTTAGAATCCAAAATGTTTCGGGGCCCTTAAGCGGGTCCCGAACCCCACGCCTATAGCTCAGAATTCTGGTAGCTGGTTCAATGACTCCAACCTCGAAAACAATGTTCAAAAAATTGTCATGGCTTTAGCTGAGAAAACCTCGAAAATTATGTTTAAATTATTATCTTTTGTGCTAAGATAATTATTGGTTAAAGTGGTAAGAAATTGCCTCAGATCACGCCACAGAGCATCAAGAATCCATTTTTTTTTCGGGGCCCTTAAGCGGGCCCCGAACCCCACGCCTATAGCTCTGAATACCGATAGCTGATTCAATGACTCCAACCTCGAAAACAATGTTCAAATAATTAGGTTATGCTCAGAAAATATTAGTTAAAGCATGGAGGAAAGTGGTAAGAAATTGCTTCAGATCACACCACAGAACATCTAGAAACAATTTTTTTTCGGGGCCCTTAACCGGGCCCCGAACCCCCACGCCGTAAGGGCTTCGCGCTACGCGCTCGCATCAGTTCTGATCAAGGTATGTCCCCCCCCCCCACTTTTGAGAAGCGATTGACGCCCCTACATGACGCCCCTACATAAATGTTCCAGCCCCCCCCCCAGCGGCCCCCCCCCCACTGAAAAATTCCTGGCTACGCCACTGCTACAACCTCTAGTTTTCTTTGTTTTTCTTGCAGCAACCTTCAAGCTTCCAATGAGACTCAGATACAGCTGAACAGTGCTCTACTGACTTTCTCTGTGTTTGTAGAAGGCGATCGTACGTCAGTGCCCGTTACATTCAGTCTGTATCATCTGGAAGTAAGCGATAATAATTTTTCTTTTCTTTTTTCCTAATAAGTACAATATCGATTTTGATCTTAGATCACTGATCTCGAGAAAGTGTGTCTTAATTCTGTACACCCATTAAAAGCACTAAGTGAACATTTTGGTTACAATTTCAAGTAATGTTTATTCAATTATGTAATGCTGATGCATACGAATATAGTGTTTTAAATTTGAAACTGCAAACTTGACAGCATATTAACACAAATTTTTTGGAAGATCACAATGTTGCATTTACGGGATGCATGGTTTGGCGAAAATGCATGAAAGCCTGAGGTTTTCCGAAATGTCTAATTGTGTCTTTTGTTTCAATTTGTTAAGAATGCGAATGATGAATCAATGAAAGGCGAGAGTTCAACCGTCAACATCAGCAGACAGTCATTATGTGTCTTTGTGGATGAGACAGATGACCAAGATGTGTAAGCTCCCGATTTGTGTCTTTTCAAATCTGAATCTAAAAGTGGAAGGGGCGGTTATAGGCTCATAAGTCTAAACATTTCTCTCGGCAGAGTTTTGTCTTGAGACTGCGCGCGGGTTAGCGCATTATGGACACGTTAATTAACCCTAAAAGGGCCGGGTTATTTTGACCAACTCTCAGCCGGGGGGGGGGGGGGGTGAATTCCGCCCCCCCCGAGATCTCGGCCATCGAGTGACAAAAAATTGAAACTCAGTACATGCACAGAGCAACTCATCATAAACATACCCAAGAAATTTCATGACTAAAAGTCAAAGGGTTTTGGAATTATGGCTAATTAATTATTCATATGTACGAATGATTATTCTGCTATGTGTACACAACGTATATGGGAACATTCAGTTTTGACGGCGCGTAGCGTCGGAAAATTTTTGCGCAAGGCTCGAGGCTAAAAAGTCATAACAGCTCGGGTCGCGAAAACATTTTTTTTTAAGGCTATCGCGGAAAAAGTCGGGGGGGGGGGCCGGCTCTTTTAGGGTTAAGCTAATTTAAATAGCAATCCATACATGTACAAATAAAGTTTTGCATATCACCATGAAAGTAATGATCGGTGGCATATGAAAGTAATGATCGGTGCACCTTGGGGTGCACACATTTTTCAAAGGGGGGGGGGTTTGAATTCTATTTCAGATTTTAAAATGGGGGGGGGGGGGGCACATGGCTGGAAAATTTCCAAAACAACTTTTTGTCTTTGTCTATATTTGCTTTAGAAATTTTAGGTTTATTTGTTGGTTATGTACTTTTCCCTTAGGCAATGGTCATCGTGGGGTTGTAAAGTGCTATTGGACAGATCAACCAGCAAGTATACATACTGCACCTGCAACCATTCCACTAGCTTTGCCGTTCTCATGCAAGTCACGCCCTTCAAGGTAAACTTTTGCAATTTGGTTAACTTTTTTAGAAAAAAAGGATCATAGAATGTCATTTTTTTATATGCTATCTTCCAAATGACTTAGAAAAGATTGATTATTGTGTTCCTTTTAAAATCAGGGAAAAAATTGATATAATTGGTTCATCATACTTTATGCTAGAAGGAAACAAATTTTACTACAGTTTCATTGCAATATTTTCTGTTGAACTCAAATGAATGTGCTTAAAATACAATTAGCGTGAAGTATTAATTGGTTGAATGTTACAACCTTTGTTTTGAAACGTAATGCAACAGTTTTAAATTTTTCTGTAAATTTTAAAATTGTTCTGTAAATCACAGTAGCAAAGTAGTTTCAAAGGGTTAAACCTAAATGATGTATATCACTAGTACTGTAAACCTGGTTCATGGAATGAGCGTTACTTCCTGCACATATAAAAATAAAAATGTCATATTTAATTTGCAGATTTCTACAGCAGATTCATTGGCCTTGACCTGGATCACTTACATCGGCTGTGGTACATCAATGATCATGCTAGTACTGATGTTAGCAGTATTCCTGTACTTGGGGTAAGTAGAAATCAAAACAAAGTAGCACAAAGGGCAAAACCAGACCTGAATTTACATCTCTCCAACGTAAAATTCCACCCAAAAAGTCAAAAAGCAAGTTTGGTCAGCCGACTTACCAGTGGTTGACACTTGATGTACATTAATTGTGCCTGTGGCAAAAACCTGATTTGGATGTGCCCAGATTTAACTTTGTCAAAGTTCCCACCAAATAAAACATGAATATTACGTAGAGGTTCAATTTGATACTGTTGTTTTCTTTCATTAACCATAATAATTAACTTATAAGCTTGGTATACTTGGTGCTGTTCCAGGGCTTGCAAGAATAAAAATCACCATTAAATATGCTCAGATGGGACTCAAACCCTAAACCTTTTGCTTAATAACGCATATGAAACTTTTCCCTTTCTATTTTGACTGGAAACAGCACTCACAATTTAAAGGTGCTCTTTATGTTTTAATTCAAGTTGTTACCTGCACACCAAATCACATGTAGAGCTGGTCTTTGGTCTTTTCACGTAATCGCAAGATTTTATAACAATAGAGAAATATATATCTGGCCATCATCTCTTGTATGTGGATTTATTACCTTGAGTCTTATCAGACTATTTTGGCATATTCTTTTTAAAACCATGGTTTCCATCTGGATTCTGTACCAGTTTTTCATTTTCTTCCGTTGCTGCAGGAGGATGCTACAATCTGGCCGTTCCTTCATCCACACAAATCTGGCGATTGCAATCTTACTCGCGCAGATCCTGTTCATCGCTGGCATTGACAGAACTGAAAACAGGGTGAATATAATTTACATTCCAAATGGATGATACACAAAAAGGGGGTTGGGACTTCCCTTGGAAAAATCCCTCCCCCCAAAAAATTAAATAAATACAAACATAGCAATAATTGCTTGTAAACTTTTAAGGATTATTTGTAAAATGTAAAGAAAAACATTATTCTGGGTTAAGGCTCGTCTTAGAGTATTACACATGTGATTGTTAAAAAGAAATTTTTCATGCTAAGGATACTGTTAAGTAAAGCAACTTCAGGTACGTACTTTACATACACCCGGGGACAGACAGACAAAGGGCCACAACAGATTCTTTTTGTTGTCCTTGAAGGTAAATCTTTTGTTGAAAACGGTTCTCAATCTTGATTTGTGTGCCTAATTATGGGAGAGTGTTAATATTATAAGGGCAAAGGAAAAGACAAAGGCTTGTCTTCGAGAGTTATATATGACTGTGAGTATGTACTTTACTTACACCCTGAGGACCAACGGACGGGTTAGAAATGCATGGTCCTCTGTAGTAAGTTTATGTTGTTAGTCTATTGGAGAGTGTTACAGGGACAAAGAGAAAGACAATGGCTTGTCCTCGAGAGTTATGTAAAACACGACTGTGTGCACAGGAAAACAACAAGTGACCATGCAGCCAAAATCTCATGCAATGAAGTTCGATTGCGGCCAGTTGTTCTCTGAGGAATTTTTCCTCTCGTCGCTCATCAATTTACTAAGCTTTTTCTTCCCACTTAGTATGCAATTTGATAAAAAACTTAACAGTTTATGATGAAATTTGTTTTGCTGGGTGTTGTTTTGCTTACAGGGTGTGTGCAAGGCCGTGGCCCTCCTTCTTCATTTCTGCTACCTGTCCGTCTTTGCTTGGATGCTAGTTGAAGGTGTCCATTTGTACATGAAGATAGTCAAGGTGTACGGCAGTGAGAACATCAAGATGTATCCCTATCTCTTCATTGGCTGGGGCATCCCTGTCATCATCACCTTGATATCATTTGGAGCTAGTAATGACGGCTATGGGACGGGGAATAGGTAAGGATTTCACAAGTCAATCACAAGACAATTACAAGTCAGTCACAAGTCAGTCACAAGTCCATCACAAGTCAATCATAAGTGATAAGTCAATTACAATTCAGTCACAATTAAGACAATCAGAAGCCAGTTACAAGTCAGTCACAAGTCAGTCACAATTAAGTCACAGGCCAATCCCAAGTCAGTCGTAAGTCAAGTACAATTCAGTCACCAGTCAATCATAAGTCAATCATAAGTCAATCACAAGTCAATCACAAGTCAGTCACAAGTCAGTCAGTAGTCAGTCACAATTTAGTTATAAGTCCATCACAAGTCAATCATAAGCAAGTACAATTCAGTCACAAGTCCATCATAAGTCCATCACAAGTCAATCACAAGTCAACCAAAAGTCAACCAAAAGTCAATCACAAGTCAGTCACAAGTCATTCACAAGTCAGTCACAAGTCAATCACAAGTCAATCACAAGTAGGTTGCAATTAGGAATGAACCATGACAAAGGAATGACGTCATCACAGTTCATTTGAACAGCTTTGTCGCTTGACTTGAGACTTGAAGACTTAGAATTGCCTTTTGACAACTTGTGATGACATATGTTTGACCTGGTGACTTACGAAAGCTTATTAGTTACAACCTTGTTGTGATGTCACGGGCTATTTGTTACACATTTAGGTAATCGTTACTTTTAGGACACCTCTATTTTGCTACGAGTTCTGTTCAAAACTGACTTTAGCAGATGACTGTCCAGTACCAAAGTGACTTTTGCAGGCTAGAGCAGTCTTTTTACTTCAGATAAACTCATGTTAGTTGTAATTTTGAAAGCACTTTCAAAGAAAATGTGACTTTTCTACCTTTTTTTGCAGTTCGCCATCTTACTTTTTTAATATATTTTCTGTTTGTCATCGTCGTCTTTTACCCCTCATAAATCAAAGCCCTGCACTCTTTCTACGAAATTAAACCTGCTGATATTCAAGAAGTGTCATTGCCAAATGTTCAAATGTGCCAAGAAATATCAGAATGTCACTTTTGAGTGTCAGTTAGTCAGTTGTTTTGGTGAGTCTTTTAACCTTATATAGGAAAGGGGTCCTAAAGGTAAGGATTACCCACATTTATGTTGATAAACTCCCGGGTATGGTGGAGAAGGGCCGTGAGGCACATCCCGGCTCTATAGTGTTACATTACAAAATTACATCTAGCACATGAAACTTTAGAGGTATATGTACAAGCGAAATGTCCCATCCTATAGCTAATTCCATATCCAAACAAGATAAGGTGTTCGACTTCCTATTTGGCACGAAAAAACGCAACCTCTTTCTCAACCGAACCAGTTGCAACACATTACAAAGGAAGGATTGTAGGAGAGGAGGGGAGGAATTATTTTCAAACTACACTTTCATGTTTGTCTTTTGAAGCCGTGACATAAAATGACACACACATCTATCAATACGCATTCCTGCCTTCGGATTGGCCTAACAATTTGGCGGCAACCCGCTATCGATGATTGGCTGCCTACAATCCCAACGCTGATTGGCTGCCTAGAATCCCGACTGCTGCAATAAATTGCGAGCTATTCATATTACGTCCGCAATCGTGAGATATAAAAAGGCTAGCATGGAAATTTGCACACGGCACCAAACCAATGTTTTCCGTTGAGTATAATGGATTTTATCAATTACTTGATAAAATGGCTCAATCAAAAAGTTCTCTTTTCAATGAAAAAAATCCACAATTGTAGTGTATTTAGACTGCAAGATTAAGCAGTGTCTGATGGTTGGATATCGCAAGCTCAGTGGTGAATAGTGATTGCACTCTTAAAGTCCTGTGTTTTAAGGAGCTTGTGAAAATGATTCTTCCAAGCTCTTGGAAAATCCTGTATTATAATTTATGACTATTTTCAAAAGTCTCATTTTTTCCCCTCTTGTCCAGCTGTTGGCTTGACACATCCTCTGGCTTGATCTGGGCATTTGTTGCCCCAGCACTCCTTGTCATTGTGGTAAGTGTTGACATTTTTTTGTCCAGGATAATTTGTAATTTAGTCAAAAACTCACAAGCCAATCCAAAAGTAAATTACGAGTCTGACCATGCAGAGCAATTGCAGATGATGTTAAGAGGCATTGTAATCATTTTTTACAAAACTATATTGTCTTCCCTTTACATAAGAGAAATACACTAGAATTAATGTTTATATCTCAGATATCAAAGTTACAATTTCATAAATTATCAAGTTTCTGAAAAAAAGAACTCGACGTTTTGGGCAGTGTGCTCTTTCCGAAACGTCGAGTTCTACGCTCAACCAACGATTCTTTTCAGAACCACACTTCTTCCGAGAAGAAAAATATCTTTCCACATGGTATCACCCGCCAACTTTATAATTTATCTCATCCGCCATGCAAAGCTTTATATATATTACAATTGCATGTTCATTGAAGGCCTGGGATTTGCAACCCCCACTTTTGCTCTAAAAAACACTCCTATCCCCTCCCCCTCCCATGTCTGCAGAACTCAGCTTCCAAAATGCAGACTTTCAGATGACAAATGTGATCTTCTCATATTGATACCATTCCACAGATTAACATGATAGTTTTGGCGATGGTTGTGCGCATTATCATCAAATCTGCCCACTTAAGACAGGAGAAGAAGTATGATCACATCAAGTAAGTTCCTTTTTGTTCATAAACAAAAGTTATGTTTTCATTACAAATGCATTAGCTGTGCTCTTCAACAAATTTGACAATTTGGTTCCTCCTCACAAAATTTTCAAATTGTATGTTTTAAAATTAAAAAGAAATGCTTACGTTCTACTTTAGACTCATCTCTGAAAAGGCTGTCACTAGCTGTGGGTTGCTTTTGCACATAGATAGAATCCACCCTGCTTTTAACATCAGTGATGGTTATGAAAATAATTGGTGCTTTCAACCCCCTCCCACACCCCATCCCCCTCTTGAGCCAAAGGTGGACCCGCCCCTGCTCAGCTATATTTTTTAAGCAGCAAAAATGTCCCTAAAAAGTTGATCAAATCTTTTCCAATCCAACCAGACAACGTGAATTACTCCATAACATTGATAAGTTGATACCACTCTCTCTGTTATTTCAGAGCTGGTATCAAGGGCGCCCTCATGCTGCTGCCTATCCTAGGTCTGACCTGGGTCTTCGGACTGCTGGCTGTCAACAGCGCCCTCACTGTATTCCAGTACCTCTTCACCATCTTCAACTCATTCCAGGGGCTGTTCATCTTTCTGATCAACTGCGCCTTCAACTCGGAGGTTAGAAAATTCTCATGTTTTAGGGTCAAAAACACCCAATGATCTGTAAAGGCTTTATGTTGGCAATTCCAGCATCATATAATGTTCATCAAATAAAAATGTGTTTTGGAAAATCTTACACATTCATCATCTAGTAATGGTCAAGGAGATTACAGACTAGAAGTTTGGAACCATTTCAATCAATCATTAATTGGATACCATGTTTAATTGGCTCTGTGTGTTACTAATATTACATTGCACAGTATTTTACAAAACTTATGTGTGTCATAAAAACCTTGTCTCATATTACTATATAATACTACAACACTGTAAAACTGATGGTGCTTGTTTAAAAAAAACGTTTTCTTAAAAAACCTCAAATGTTGTGACCAGGATTAAGAATGTTGCTTACTGAAAGGTTTTAACCAGGGGAAATTGTTAACTTGCTCTTAAAAACAAATACCCTCCATTCCCCCCCCCCCTCCCAAAAACAAGAACCCAACATTTTCTTGTTCACTTTGTTGTCCTACAATGAGATTGTATTCTAAACAAGTCTCAAAGTTTAAGTATTTCGACATGTTTTCTTGATCTGCTGGTTTTAAGGAACGAGTACTAGTGTGGTTCTTCAAGCTCAGAAAAATTGATTTTCAGAAAAAGATGCTGTGTGCTGGCTAGTTCAATGCAACAAAATAAATTTTGAAATTTTGGATATTTTCTTTAATAATTATTAGGTGAAAGCTGCATTTGTACGCAAGAGGGAAAAGCAACGAATGGCCAAAGACAGAGAAACACTGGTAATATAATTTATCTGTTTTTTGTGGGTTTTCGCCTTTGACAAAGAAACCCCCAGCTTTTTTCTTTTTTTTTAAGATTTGTACATTTTAGGTCAATCCAGTCAGTAAGCAGATTAAAGCATTTTTAAAAATTCGTTTTCATGTTTTTTTCAGACTAGTGTATTTTGTTTCGTTGTGCACAAGATCAAATTTTGAACAGAAATCAAATTTTGAAAAAGAAAAAATTATTTTGTGTTTCGTAAGACAGTATTTCAACTGAACCTGTATTTCATTTGTCTTTTAAAGGAGCATTCCATGACTGACCTTGAATTTCATTTGTCTTTTAAAGGAGCATTCCATGACTGACCTTGTATTTCATTTGTCTTTTAAAGGAGCATTCCATGACTGACCTTGTATTTCATTTGTCTTTTAAAGGAGCATTCCATGACTCGCCTTGTATTTCAGTTGTCTTTTAAAGGAGCATTCCATGACTGACCTTGTATTTCACTTGTCTCTTAAAGGAACATTCCATGACTGACCTTGTATTACATTTGTCTTTTAAAGGAGCATTCCATGACTGACCTTGTATTTCATTTGTCTTTTAAAGGAGCATTCCATGACTGACCTTGTATTTCATTTGTCTTTTAAAGGAGCATTCCATGTCCTTTGTGTACACAACTAAACTTGACACAAATGCTGAGAACACGTCTGACACCGGAGGGCGCTCTGATCATAATCCAAAGGAGCCCTACACTGACATCACCTCGCTTCGTTCAGGTGAAAAAATACCTCAGTTTCATTGGCCACTTGTTTTTTTGTTTTTTTTGTGTGAATTTTCTTTCCAATGATGCCTTCTGCTTTATCGCTTGACATAATCTCGTACTAACTGTCTGGATTAGAGACTAACTCACTTGTTTGTTGCCCTGGGCATGTATTGAAATGATGCTCATGTTGTTGTTGCATTGGACTCTGTAGTCTCCCTCTCCAGCCGTCCAGGGAGCAGCTCATCCCTCCTGGATGTTACTCAGCGAAAACACCTGGTAAGACAGTTAAATTGCTCCATCTGTGAAAGTGTATATTATGAGTATTACATCTCAATAGGTGTATTAGTTCTGGTGTTTTTAATTGTTGGGAGGGCTACATTTCCATTGAGTACCAAATATATTGCTTTTTATAAGAATTTTATCAAAAATAAATGTCAAAAAATCTGTTTCAGAAATATTTCCGCTTTTACATTAACTCCCCCCATGAAATAGGGACTACAGTAATACATCAAGAATTCCAGAATTTGTTGCTGTTTTCATTTTTTCCAAAAGTCAGACTTGTCAAAAGCTTTGTTTTATGACAAAGACTTTGAATATAGGCCTTGTCCTGATTTGTTCTCATTTAAAGGAATAATGATCTGAAAAAAAAATATGTGGTCTTTTTTGGGGGGCGGGGGTTGGTGTTTTTTTCTTCGCAGTCTTATTTATTTTATCAGACTTGCAAAAGATTGCCAAACTTGAATAGTTTTTCAATACTAGTTTTTAAAACTGTAAATTAAAGATAAAGGCATTTTTTGTTGTTTATCTTTGAACAGAAACGTCCACATAGTGGCAAGGTTTCACCAATGCCTAACACCGAGGATCTGGAGACCATCTAATGGACATCATCAGGAGACAGGCATTCACAAACAAGACATGGCAGGCCTGGCAAAGCTGACCAAAATCCTACACAATTGATTGAGAATGGCAGCCGCTGAAACCGTTCGTAGAATTAGCTTAAATTTACATGATTGCAATGAAAACCCCACTTTTACCATTTGTTATGAGATTTGACTAATCACCTAGACATGTATCATAAAAGTCATGAAACATATGGCACCAGACTACTTCATATGTAGTGTAGTACAAGATGAATAGATAAGTCTCACACAGCTTGTCCCAGCCGGCACTAAAATCCAATTGGATCAGCCAAAGGTCCTGTTGTAGTTTTAAAGTTTGGGACTCTCAATACTGTGTATGAGAGTCCAAAACTAAACGTATTCACATGCAATACAAGAAAATAGACTGGCACCTGAAACAACTAGTCCAACAACCCTTCAGTACTGCATGAATCAACTTGTGTCAATAGAAACATATGGCATGTCTGGTACTAGTCTCTATTTCTACACATTTCTCCATAGTTGGCCACCAGTTGGACCATGGTTGGGCATGTACCAGTCTAGTCTTTGTTTTCAAATTGAAATTACTTGACTTGCCTCTCATGTGCAGAATATTGAAAAAAGGTCTCCTTTCAAAATTGAATTGAGACCTCAAACTTGGCTGGTGAAATACTGAGGACCTTGTCTTTGCCTCATGACAATTTTGTCAGGCAAAGAGTAAGTAAAGTTGGCCTGATTTCGTTATGCACGTTTTTCAGCATTCAAGGTCCCGTTGGTGTCCCATTGAGTTCCATTGAAAACTGTAATGGAACTTTGAATAAAAAATAATCACAATGACAGTCAGTGAGATAGGTAACCAGTCCAATTGACACATGACAGTCAGTCAGTCAGTCATATTTGACAGTTATTTAATCAGTAGACTTGCATAGACTTTTTAGTTCATATGTTTATGTTTGAAAGTATGTAGAGTTAGGACTCTTATGATTGTAAACCGGCGCAGTAGCTGTCAACTGGTAGCTTAAACTTGTAAGCAGTCTCATCCACTTGCACAGAAGTGGCAAGCTTGTAGTGCATGCATGAAGCTTTTGCGAATTTTATCATGCAATACATCCATTAAGAAAATGTGTCATAGAAGTCTACGGAATTCTACAGAGGAAACCCATTTCTATAGACACTTCTAAAAAATGTAAAGCTCTATAGCAAAGCAGCGACATGGTAGCATATAAAACTATATGAAGTGTTATACTAATACTACACAACTTTTTTGTAAGAGGTCAGTCAGTCAGTCCCAGCCCGGTGAAAAATTAATAGGTTTGCGTTCTCTAGGACTAGCAAATTTATATAGTCTTTTGTGCGGCATGTCAGTGCATGTAATGTGCACATGTTAAAGACAACTTTGTATCGAAGACAAAGTTTATCGAACCGATAAGATACAGTTTACATAGCAAAAGTCATGAACTTATTTTTCATATTACTATTAGTAGTAATTATTTCTGGTAATGAAACCAAGGATTCCTCAAAAGCGTCCTAGGCACTGTAGCTCGAACGCCCGAAGAAACGCGTAGAGAATGAGAAGGCAATGAGAAGAAATTACAGTGTTAGAGCTGGGAGGAAAAACTCTTTCGAACAGATAAGATACACTTTACAAAGCAAAAGTCATGAACTTATTTTTCATATCATTATTAGTATAATTTATTTCTGGTAATGAAACCAAGGATTCCTCAAAAGCACCCTAGGCACTGTAGCTCGAACGCCCGAAGAAACGCGTAGAGAATGAGAAGGCAATGAGAAGAAATTACAGTGTTATAGAACTGGGAGGGAAAACTATTTCGGTAGCTTTTTCATATCATTGTAATTGCTAAGCTGCAGTAATTTCTTGACAGCTACACAGCTTTTGCACTGGCAAAACAAAATGTTACGAAATTAGAATGTACAGTGTCATTTGAACCGTGAGATGGGTCGGAATCTTCCGTGTACATACAAAAAAAACCCACCTGAAACATTTTCATACAATCATCTCATAACTAACCCGCCCCAAACAAAAACAAGGTTTTGCTGGATCGGTGCCAGAGTTCAGAAACAATTAAAGCTCATCTCACAAACAGGTTTTCTAAAGTCGCATATAAATAGAAATGAAATAAATAACTGTAACAAAGCTATCATATCATACAATCAAAATACGTGGAATTCGGATAAGAATCGCTAAGATCACTTCGGGTGAAGATTGGAAGTCAACATTGTACCGTGAAACTTAAATGGTTGTCATGTATAAATCTCCCCCGTCCAAGGTCCGTCGTCAAAACAACGTAAAAAAGGCTGAATACATTTGGTCACTTATTAACGAGTTGGGTACCCCACACAGCGATCATTAAAACTATTAATCAAAATCTCCGAATTTGAATAGTCTAAACTAGTAAACAAAGTTTAGGCACTTGCGCGCCTATAATATTTAGATTTTGGAAACAGAAAAGTTCCAAACTCTCTGCACATCAACACGTTAGTTTCAATCAAATTGATTATGCCTGTTATATAAATTTCTTAATTAGGAATGATATGATGATGATATGATGTCAAATGATGATATGATGTCAAATAAAAAAAAAGTTATTTAGACCAATTTAATACGTGCGGAGCCCCAAAAGGGACATTTAATTCTTTTTTAATTCTTGCAATTATCTCTTGCGCAGGGGTTCGATTAACCCTAAAATGGCCGAGCTATTTTGACCATCCCTAAGCCGGGAAGGGGTGAGGGGGGGGGGGGGGTGGGCGTATTCCGCCCCCTAAGATCTCGGCCATGGAGTGACGAAAAACTCTTCATAAACATACCCAAGAAATTTCATGACTATAGGTCAAAAGGTTCTGGAATTATGGCTAATTAATTACTCATATGTCTGAATGGTAATTCTGGTCTGTGTACACGACGTATATGGGAAAATTCAGTTTTCATGGCGCATAGCGATGGAAAAAGTTTCGCTGTGCGACAACCCCTGGTCCGATTTTTATATTTTTGGTGTCAAAAGATGCGCAAGGCTCGAGGCTAAAAAGTCACATCTCAGGTCGCAAATTTTTTTTTTTAAAGGCTATCGCGGAAAAAGTCGAGGGGGGCGGATTGCCCCCCCCGGCCCTTTTAGGGTTAATGGAGTGTAACATTATGCAGTCTATTATGAACTTGAGTTATGTATATAATTTCTTAAGAAAATTAATAACTGTGCAATATTATTTAATGTAGACACGAAAAGGTTTCTATCAATTTTAAACGTAAGTTGTCAGTTTTAAAGCACGGCAGATAGACTTGACGACAAGTCGCTAGAATTGTATTTACTTTCCTGCTGTATTGCATTCACCAGAAACAGAACATGTACTAGAATTTACGTGCAAACACAATTACTTTAAGGTGTAATAGGAATATTTACATTCTCCTTCTTAACCAATCGGATTGCTCCGTCCAAATCTGATAGCGATCATGCCATACGCTGTCTAGAAAGCCGAGAACAGATTATTGTAGTCCGTATTGGTATCGACCTTCACGCATTACTGGGGCCAAGGATGCGCCAAGCGTCCCCGCAAGTTAGTGCCATACCGCACGCTACACTTATACCCTGGGACGGTATGATGTTTCACGCCGGTGTTTGGATGGGCAACTACACCCGGCCAAACCGACTTGATACAAGTCTAACCAATCTTGACAAAACAACAACAACAACAGCCGCTAGGCGTAACCACTACAGGCATGTCAGGTGCAGTAGGTAAGAACCACAGAGCAAAGTTCGCGTACAGGAAAACAGAAATCAAAGATCACTTACTGGATGTTTGTATAAATATTTAGCTTTATCAGCTAGATCCAGCGCTGAACGTAAATTATAATTTAAGCATCGTAGTCATTTGATTTTCTAAGGTGTTAGACCTACTCAGTGTGACAATGTAAATACCCAAGCTTGTAAACAGAATACTTAGCAATTGTTAGAGGACATCGGTAAACGGGGTGTTTTATTTCAGAATATAAATATAAATGGAATATAGGCCTTAATTACAAACTCATTTTTAAACGTATAATTGGTCTAATGTTGTTCCTTAAATGATTGATCATGTTCAGATTCTATTGTGCAAGTTTTTTAGTCGACTTTGGCAAATACATGTCAGTTACGTGACCTTCACTTGGCATTATTTTGGCTGTTTTATTGGGAAAGGGGCGTAGGTTGAAAAAAAAAATAAAGTTTTAAAAAATATGGGGTGGGTGTTATTAAATCTTGTATGCAACTTAAAATTTGTAAGTCATCAATCTTTTTATGATAGTTATACACGTATCGACAGTTAATTCGATTTTGCCCTTACATTTGGTGTGTTGTGGACCACCCCTGATACATGATGGTATGGTCTATTATCTTCCAGGGATCTCATAATAGTCGGAACAAGGCTCAAAGTGGCCGGCTATTTTAAGTCATATAACTACCAGCGCGTCGATTGTAAGGCCGACCTGTCATCTAGAGGTCAACCTAATTTCAATAACTACGCGTACTAATAGTGTGAGCGCGCAGAAGCCTATTAGATAATAGAAGCTAGAATCGTTGTCTGTCGTCAATATACAAGTGTGTTATGAGGCTGAAGTCTCTAGTCCAATGCAGCTCGCTACATAACCAGCTTGCGCGTCGAAAAGTCATCTTTCTAAGATCTCAACGGTAGACTAAGCACGAGGGGCAGGAGAATATCATTCTTTACCACGCTGTCTATTACATGTATTTAACTATAAAGTTGTTGAACAAGAACATTGACTAGAGCGGGGTTAGAACCTGCAACCCCCGGAACACCACACCGAACAGTAGTATTTAGTCACAGTTGCATGTGAGGTGCTGAAATTCCCTTATTTCGGGAATATATTTTGTTGGTCTTTGTCAGGAATCTTCAGACAGAGCAAGTAAAAATGGACTGCAAAGCTTTGTTTTTAACAATTTTTGTCATGGTTGGTCATGGCTGTAGCATGGTGAGTATTTGGTGAAAAAAATACCACTGCACATTGCACGTTAGGCATTATGCATCAGTACCACTTTATCACGTTTTTTTCATGTTTCCCCCTTCTCCCTGCTTTTTCTGCATCTCTCCGACCAGCAGGGTTTTGCCATCGTGTCCGCGCAAAACAGAACCATACCGTACGTAACCCTCTTTGAATGGCTCTCGGATATTTCGTGGGAGTACGTCCTGGTCGTGATCATCACCGAAAGCGTATTTATGGCTGTAAATGTGTTGGAGTGCTTCAAGTGCTGCTGGCGTAAAAGCGATGCCCCCCGTGGCTGCATATTTGATGCATGTAATAGATGTTTGGAGCGACTGATGGTGAGTCTTGTGCTTGTTAACTTATTGTTGCACTAGGCCTATGCAGTCTGTTTAATGCAGAAGATGAGAGCATGTACATCATTAAAACATAAACACATCATCAATATATAGGCCCATTGCATGCAATAATAACTTGTTAAAGGGCCCATGAAATGTAAATGTGTAAATGCAATCCTTGAAATTCACCTTTGTGTCCCATTTAACCGTATTTTCAATTTTCATTTTGCCGTAGGCTAGGGTATTTTGGTGCATTTTAATTTTTATGCTAATGAGAATTTCCATAATCAGAGCAAAAGTGTGTGATGTCATATCAGGCAGAAACCTCAATGTTG